ACTACGCGTTAGTCGTCGAAACACGTGTTAAATTCAACATTGGTTTAAGGACAGACAGGATTTTTAAGCGATGAGCTCTTATACACCTACAGACGCAATTTAGAGGTCTAGGAACGCAAATCCGCTGACAGTTAGTCCGCAAAGATCTTTGCATGTGGGACGAAGAAATCTCAACTGGGCAATTTTTAACCATTTTCAAACATTTTTAAACCATTTTTTTAACGGAACGCCATGATGCAAACACTATAGGCGATTGTAGGAATACGAACTTGATGATCTTATTAGTAGATTCTCAAGTTGTTATCGATTCAGAATTTTGTAAGTGATGCCGAAGCTTTACGATGTGACCAGCATTGATATCTTTTTATCAGACTTCGGACCTGATGTGACTTCCAGATCGTGCGATATTTGTCGTATCTTGGTAGAGCACCAGTTACTGGTGCTTATTGAGAAGTGTGATATAAATATTGATTTTTGTTTGTGGTCAATAGCAAACGGAAGAGATAAAAAAGTTTCCGCTGCTTGCGCGACTGTCGTGGTGAAAACGGTGTTTTATAAGGCATTTGTGCTCTGAATTGCCTTGAATCCAAATTTTCTGACTCGTTTTGATTGTTATTGTGTTGCGAAGATTATTTGGTAGCAGCTATGACAATCTTTTCAGCGCTTTGAAAGACATCGGGTCGCTCAGATCAGCTTCATTGTTATTACGAGTGTTGTGATTATCTCAAAACTCTCTCGTACCCTAGACATTTTAAGGCAGCTCTGTGTATAAACAAAGCTTCTGATTTGTATCGAGTTCTTGGCTGTTTTCCTTTCATGAACTCATTCATTTGAGTTTTATGGGCCGCTACACACGGCTATAAGCGCTAAATTGAAACCGTCCTGTGACAATTCGTAATGATTTCCGTGACGTAAACGAAAATTCGTTTGTTGTATCTCAACCACAGTATAAACAAACAACCCAACTTGTAGTCAAAACGAAATCAATTTGCAGGCTGTTCCTAACACGCAAATTTTAAGTTTAAAATGGATCCTGTGGGCAGGGTAACTGGGATACCTAGATGGTCCTAGATCCTTGAGATCAAGTGTAGTGATGCTACGGGTGTCGGAATAGTATACTGAAGTAGTGAGCTCAAGTGTGGCCAGGGGCATACAGCTATTTCAAAAAAGGTTGTCATCTACCACTTGTGGGCGCACTGCTTGAAAATAGACATGACCTCTAAATTCCAATTTTCTTTTCAGTTTCAACAGTATTATTCCAGATCTTTCTGGGGAACGTGGTAATATATTGCATGTTTGATCACATTCAACTGGTATATTACAGATTGCACCTTTAATCTTTCTTTGTTGACCTTTGGGCATGACTACTGATTTTTCAAACACTATTCTCTGTGGTGTATCTGTTCAAGCTTCTCTAGAATGGACAACTCTGGTGGCAGTTCATAAACATTTAATTTGTTACATACAGCTTGACATGGGACTTGCCCTTTCAAAACTTTTGTGTGACAGGTGTTACAAATGTACTGATTTTCATTAAATGACTTAATGTCAGTAAATAGTTCTTGCTGAGTGTTGTACATTTGTTTTTTTTACTGGATAACAGTTTTTCTGTATAGTGTTCTATTACAAACAGAGCAAATATAAAAATATGGACCTTCCCTAATCTTAGTTTGAAAAGTTGTGATCTAAATCATGTTGAACTGAGTTTCTATAGGCTTCCTTATTAGCTTGGACCTTTGATAAAATCTTATCTTTGTCTGCAGGATCCAGTGTTTTATACCATTCTGCTCTGCCAGACAAAAGCTTTTCTTTTCCTTCAGGATTCAATGACTTATACCATTCTGCTCTTTTTTGTTTTTGTGCAGAATCAAGCAAGTTAAACCATTCTCAGCTCTCTTTTGCTTTTGTGCAGTATCCAGTAATTTCTACCAAATTGCTCTGCTTGATAAAATATTGTTTTTCTACAGAACCAAGTGATTTCTATCACTCTGCTAATTTGAACAAAAGTTTTTCTTTTTCTTTAGGATCCAGTGATTTATACCACTCAGCTCTGTGAGATAAAAGCTTTTCTTTTTCTGCAGGATCCATTGACTTGTACCATGTTGCTTTATCAGACAAAACTTTTTTTTTCATGGCAGGTTTCATTTGTGCATAGCTTTTTTTTTCCTTTTTGCATGTAGTTCTTTCTGACTATGAGACTTATGTTTTGCCATTTCCTTTTGTCTTCCAGCATTTGACAAATTAGTTGAACATATAAATTTAATACAATATTCTTCATCTTTACTATGGAATTGTTTTTATACAATATCCCCCTATGACTGAATAAGAATATCTATGTCATTCATTTTATCAAATATATCAAGTGTACCATTAGGACTGAATCTTATAATAAAGCAGTTAACACTTTTTGCTTTTGTTTTCATATTTATTTATTGTGTTGAAAAATACAGCTGAAGCAATAGTTTGAAATCCACATTAAAAACCCAGTATTATCCCTAGTATTATCTGTGATTAGCTTCTGAAGCAATAATTTGCCTTGTTTCTCCAAATTAAAGGCACCACTAATATTTGCATCATATATTTGAAGTCCTTGGGAATTGTTAATAGTCAGTGGATGGTTATTACCATGAGTTTTTCTTTGTAACACTTGTTTGCATGGTCAGTGATTCTATCTAGAGTCTGTGAACTCCAATACCCACAATATTTGATCATGGAAAAACAAATGCTACAAAAAGATGTGGCACAACAGGGAATATGAATAGTTGTAATTTCAGCATCTGCATGATTTGCTTCAAGGGGGACAGCTGACAACTGTTGATCAGAAATGTGTCATATCTTGTACTTCACAAGTACCATGTATAGTACTAGTATAGATTGGACTATATTGAAGCTGATAATTCATATCAAAAACTATTATCATTTCAGGTACGTCTGTTAATAGTAACTAGAATTACCTGAATAGACTAGATAGACCAGAACACAATTCATTTTCAATGTTCATGATATTTACCAAGTCTACTGAGGATACAATACCATCCCCCTACACATTGTGTACCAGCATTTAACCCAAACATTGCCACATTGTCTTGACTGAAAGGAGCTTGAATTGTTTTAACAGAATTAATAACAGGACCAGGGTTTGTTTCTATATCCCCAGACAGATTGGACTTCAACAATTTACCCTGTGATTCATATTTTTATAAACATTTGGTACTGAATCAGACCTCCATGCATTCGACTGCTTTGGCTTTTGACTTTTTATTGCATGTGGATTTTGGTTTTGCATTTTCAGTATCCTGTATTTGTTAGACTTTCGATATTTTCTCCTTACTGCAGAAGAGGGATATTTCGTTGTTCCTTAATTCTCGCATCTGATTCCATGTGCATATATTTTTTCACGAGCTTTATTTGTAAAAAGATGCATTCGGGAAGACTTTGGTATGCTTTTTCTGATGTAGGTTCGAAGTAAACGTCTTACCTTCCAGGATTTCTTCAAATACGTGAAATTCTTTTCTTTGGTATTCTTCTGGGCTCACGATCACAAACACGAATATTATGTGTACGAGGGCGATTAAAATAAACAAATTTGTTGTATCGAGATCTACAGTAACAGACTGTATTTGTTGAAAATGCTTCATCATTGCCATCATTAAGCTTATTATCATATGCAATAACGGATAACTGAGCAGCTTTCTCAAAGACTTTACATTCATCGAAGCTATTCACGGCAGCTTATGTTGGAGACATCGACAACTTTACGTAGAAATTAGCCCACAAGACAATTGCGTAAACAAGAGATAACATTATAACATTATACTCAAAAGACGCAGGATTTTGGATCACGTATTTATTAAAAAAGAATACCCCTACCACTACAATAAATACAAACATAAGATTCACCTTTCTGATCGTGAAATTAATACCATGCGTACTGTTATCGTAGCTACGTTCCTGGGCATCAAGTGAATTCAACATGGCGTCTTTTTTCACAAGCAGTTTGCATTCATTAGAATTTTGTTCTTCAGTCTCACGGTAGTAGTGTTGTTTAATAGATTGCATAGAATATATGCAGTTTGGTTTCAGATTTAAGATTTTGCTTTTTTCAACAAGTGTACGTTTTTCAACTAGGACATTGGACATTGGCGTACTTAGCATACAAGGCTGTCATAGCTTTCAAGGCATACAAGACTTTCAAGCGCTCGCGACTCGATCAGTCCGTTCCAAAAATACCGCTCAAGGTAAAGCTCCAGGTAATCGTAAACCAAAAACGTGACACCTCCATCGCCAAAACAACAACCCCAGAACAAATACAAAGTGGCTGACTAAAGAGTTTTAACCCTTTAACTCTCAGACCAAATTTGTCATTCTCCTTACCGTCAACCACACAATTCTTACAGTGTTAGTTCAGAGAATTTATTATTGGATCACCGTATTATCCCCAAATTGATATTTTTCTCTATTCTCATCACTTATCTGGTTGATATTGTATTGATATTGTAAGGAGAAATTCTGCCTCGGTCACTCGTGGGAGTTAAAGGGTTAAAGAAAAATCTCGTGGTTCGTCATGTGACCCGGCCCTCTCCTGTGCATGACAACGTCAATCATCATCAAAATAACACACGTGATAGGCATGTGAACACTTTCACCCTCATTGGATCACAGTTAGTTGTCTTGGTGTTGAGGGCCCTATGACCACTGGGTACTATTGCGCAATTTTTCCATTTTGTGGCGGAGGAAAAAAAAGACGACAAAAAAACAAAGGCGTTTTATGACTGGGATACCTGTGGTATCCCAGTAAAGAATAAAATACAGATTTGTAGTGAAGAACTTCTTTATTCTCACCAGGTGATTTGTGTCATTACACATAACGTCGCTATCGACGAGCTGGCCCGTAATTGGTCAATTCTCTAGTCACCGTGGGCGTTCCTTGAGGTCCTGTCTAACAAGTGAAAGTCCCCGCAAATCAAGGGCACAACTTCAAATCTCCGAAATCTTGAACCATGAAGAGAATATCTTGCAGTGTATTCATCATTCTTCTAATTCAGCAAATTTGTGCAGCGACACACAAGAAATATGCAAAAGGTGAGTGGAAATTGTTACGTTTTAACGCTGCTAAGCGTAAGTCGAAACTCTCAGTTCTTAGTGTGTTTATAACAATTACCCTGGATTTTTCTCCGATACAGGTCGCACACTGTTACCTAGAGGTATCTCCAACAACAATGGTCGCATTGAGTATGAGATGACAATCGTAGAGCGAGTGAATCGCCTCGGAAAACGCTATTCGCCTAACAAACATTTTGTAAGATACGAACACAACGGATGGGGGATGGCCACAGTTTATTATAGACTTGCCGCGTTTGGTCAAACTTTTCGATTCCGATTGGAGCGCGACGCGAGCTTTATATCGCCTGCACTTAATGTAGAGCATATATACAGTGATCTTAGGAGGCTCCCATTCTCTGGGAATTTGCAGCACTGTTTTTATCTTGGGAAAATCCAGGGAGAGCCAAATTCTACTGCCGTGTTTAATTTGTGCAACGGTCTTGTAAGTACCTTTGTCCTGTTTACATATGTTGTTATAATTGATGTTTTAATTCGCGCTTTGAATTTTATACAACCCCGCAGCGCTGTGAATGTACTGTATCACTCAGGTGGTGTTCCTGTTCCTTACCGCTCACCGCTCCGTAATTTTAATTCGATTTAGAATAATTCCATGTGATTCTCATTCATGTGATGAAAACATTTGGAAAAATTATCATTTTGTGACCGATAGCGGTATAGTCTTTTATTTATGTACTCAATTAACGGGGCCTGTCCGACCGACTTTCAGCCAGGGACATGTAAATTGACACGTTTATAAACACTGTGAGTTGAAAACTCTTTACACTGGTTAGTCCTGTGAAGAGAATTTTGTATTAAATGAACGGAATCTAATCCAGAGTTTATTTCACTCGGGATAATTTTGAAATACAGTTTTTTCAAGGACTCGGGTTAGTTATGGTTGCCATTTCAGATTTTTGGATTAACAGTTCTACCGGAAGTGGTTTCATTCGGTAATGACCCCCTGGAAATCAATACTAACAATTTTTCACAACTCACGCGTTCCCGTCTTGATGGCGACACCTTTTGCAACTTCAAATACATATGAAAAAAAGAATTACACTGTCCTTATTATACTAAAACCGCTGGTACATGGGTATTTAATTAGCCAAAAGAATGTCGAGTGACCACTTCCTCCGTTAAGCATATTAATCATGAAAAACAAACAAGTTTGGGTTTATGCAAAATCCCCCTGAAACGCGCGAAGATTTTATTTTCTTTTTGATTTTTGTTTTGAAGAGTGATAGTTCTAGGTTAAATTCTGATCATAAGGTAACCAGTTTCTCTCCTTCTACAGCATGGTTCGTTCGTTTCAAGTGGTCAACGCTATTTAATCGAACCTGCTGAAGAACGGAACACAAAAATACACGCGCATCTCAGGAAATTCCATATCGTATTTCGTCATTCTGCTCTTAAAGACGATGTTAGCAATGCTCCGTCGACATGTGGACTTGTGGGTAAGTTTCATTTACATTACACACGATCCGTCTGTGCGTACAATACGGTTAAAAAGAAGTAAAATCAACCCGCAATTATGCACGTTTTCCGCAATACAGGAAATTTATCTTGCTTCAAAGTACAACTATTCTATATCTACCTTGATATGAGTTATGACAAAAAGTGCATTTTACGTCACATCATGTCGTGTGCCAAATCAGATAGGACACTGTGAGATCGACTTCAGTTAATACAAATAAATACGCCTTTCAACCTTGCTGGATTGCTAGCGAATCAGACGTTTCCGATTTGTTTGTTTTACGCGCGAAGAGTGTATACAGTAACTCTTGCCTTGCATCTGCTTTATTATAGTGCACAAATCTGCAAAAGAGGAAAATTAAGCTCTTATTTTGGTGAGTTTCTTTGCGCAGCTAACTGTACCTTAATACGAGTCGACTTAATGTCTCTCTCTGCCGTGTGTGTGATAGCGTGGGAACGCTGCAGAGGTTGAGGCACACTTGACATGGATAGGTTGTCGCGGTCGACACTGAAACAAGGTTGTCTTAGAAATCTCTGACGTAAAACTTGACAGTGTTCCTGTAAGTCAACCCGCAACGACACGATACGATCAACAAACTAACCCATGAAAGTTTAGTTTTCGTTTTGGCTGTCTGAAAACCATATCTTTTGGATTTCATTTGTCAGTGCCTTTCCTTTCTTAAAGAGGGCGTTTTATTGCTTCAATATAGCAAAAATACAGTTGTGTTACGTCAGAAACAGCCTGCAAATTGGATCAAGAAATTCCTCTCAATTCTTTTCAGCAAGTGGTTAATTGCCATCTGTTATAGAACGCAGAGACGTATTTAAGCTCTGTGCGATGGCGAAATGTCACTTCTGTTTGGTCATTCCTTAATGACAGAAGGTTACGAATTTTTCAGATTTTCCGAATACTATCTTGTTCCATAAACACATTTTTCGGTGTTCCTGCTCAACCGGTGACTCCTGCTATTAGTGAACTCTTTAAAAGCCTCACAGTCTGCTTCTTGAACGCGGTTGATAAACGTAAAGAACACGCTCATAACCTGATGTAATTTAATTAATATTTCACTTTGAAAACCAAAGAATTTTGCGAATTTGCAAATTGTTTTACAATTTTCTTTTTGTCATAAACACAGCATGAAGAATAAAGAAATTGACGTATCACTCCAATGCTCAATCAGACTCGCCTAAAAAATGAGGTCACGTCAAATTTAAAGATATTAACAATAATTACTTGTGGCCACATTTATTTTGTTGAATAGTGTTACGATCTTCGTGTTCACGGTGAGCATTCCATGTCACGTTTAAACAGGATTAACCTGCAATAACGAACGGTCGAAACGTAACTCCTTGTTATTAATGCTTTCGTGATCGATTTTAAATGACGTTAGTCAGATGCTTAATTGCAAGTCATATCCTCTTGTCACGCATTGCCCTTTGCTTGTCATGCAACGCTTTGATCACTTTGATCCAGTGGCAAACAGCTGAGGAATGCCTTTTCAATCAATTCTTTTAGCAGTGCGGCCAGCCTTTGGTTTCTTGAGTGAATTGTAGGACATTTTCACTCAGGTGTAAGTCTTCTGATGAAATTTTCTGTCGGAGTTCTTCAAAGTTTTGCACTCAGTTGGCTTCTTACAAATTGTTATGTACACTCTTATGCCCTTATAGTTATGTGCCTCTTTTGCGCACTGCGCACGTTTTTATTGCACTTCTTTGCGCACTCTGTAATGTATTGCCCCTAGATGAGCGCTGTTTTGTTGACTTCTGTGCGCACGATTTTATGTGCGCTCGCTGTCATTTTATGTACTCTCTTAGGCGCGCGCTGTTATGTACGCTCCTAAGTGCGCGCTGTTACTTTCACTTCTGCGAAGTGCTATTCTTTACAGTTATGAAATAATTTAAATGATGTTTATTTGTTTCTTAAGGTTCGCCATAATTTCTTAGCTCGTAAACAAACTGTATATCTGTAATCATATGATATGCAGACAAAATTGCTCTCCACTTGGTCTCAGAACCATTATTGATTGTTGATATGCATGATATCCATGAGGATCTCAGATTCTTCACAAGATCACAATGGTGATCTCGTTAGATTCATGAGGATGTTAAAAGCGACTCTGTAAATAGCGGTGGTGAACTCATGCTATTCCTAATTGTGAATCAGTTAACCTTCTTGCTCTCGTGTATAATGCACCAAAGCATTTTAAGGTAAACTGTCTTTCCTACCCATAAATGGTGGTGTAAATCAGGTAAAGTTGTGGAAAAGGAGATGCGTTTTTTTTTTTTAATCTTCGGCCTCACTTGAATTTTCCTACGAAGGCTTCAGCTTCGAGCCTTTTCACAACTCTCAGCATTTGGAGTAATTACCCCCAACAGGATTACTTTATATACTTAAGGCAAAATGATTGAACTTAATTTTCCATAACACGACACTGCTTTGACTCTGATTTTAGACACCAACAAACCTCTCCCGCATTTACGTGGGCAGCCACAACGCCCCATCAATGAAAGCTATACGAGGAAAAGACATAAAAGAAGCCTCGGTGAGAGCTTCGTCGAAACATTAGTGGTTGCTGATAAAACTATGGTTGACGCTTTTGATAGCAAAGCCGATTTGGAAAGCTACATTATTACTCTGATGGGTGTGGTAAGTAACATATTATCGGAATCAGTTATCAATTATTTCTCTTCTATTAACCTTCTTAAAGTACGGCCAAACGTACATTAAGTAATGGCACACCTACCCTCCCCCCCCAACCCAATAACAGTCAACTGGTGACAAAGTTTGGTTAAAGTTGGATCAGGGATAGGTGCGCAGTTGCTAAGATAGTGAAATTGATCCGTTTTTTCTTTTAAGTGTGAATAGCTACTTTCTAGGGAGTTGACGACTTTTGTTTTAAATATTTTTTCCGTAGTGAGGGATATTTCGGTTTGTATCCTTCTGTGGACAGCGGAAACTTATACGTTTATTAGGGAATCATACCGTCACAAGTCTTTTTTTTCAATGATCAATTGGTGCCAAAAAAATATTGTATTAATCGTTATGGAAAGGAAGTAAAAGTAAGAGATAAGCGAAGAGAGAGGCATCACGCGAAATCTTCGCGTTGCACATACAACTGTATGCTAGATTTGAAATTCCTCGTTTGGTATGAATTCTCGTCTCCAAATAAGTTAAGTCCACGACGCACTGAACATAAAAGTAGCTCCTTTACAAGTCGCTTTGTACATCATGCTCTGAGGAAAACGCTTTGTAACTGTTCAAATTTCTCTGCAATTCGTCACACACACAAGGTGTAAAAAGCAGAGGTGCACAATTGTTAAGAACAAGTGTATCGTTGAATTGCGTAGACTTCTTGAGGATATTTTAAAGTTTATCGCTCACTCGTGATTTGTCAATTTGCCTGCGTATTAGTAATATCGCATGACCTTAGATTCTCATGTTTGAAGTTAGCAAATAAGAACTGCTTTTTTGATCTTGTTCGCGCCGCTATACCCGGTCTTTCCCACGATAGCCTCCTATCAGCCCTGACGCAGAACGTGTCATGTGTTTTACTTGTATAATTCCTTGTGAGACTTGTGGTATTCTTAAAACCAACGGCAGGTAGTCTCCTCCTTTCCTGTGCAACGCGAAAGGATAAAACGATTGCTAAGGGGGCTTGAGGCTCGGCAAGTGACTGCGAAATATGATTGAGTACAGAAGAATACGGGCTCGTTATGGAGGTCTGATCGATTTCCTTACGTTTATTCGCAATTTATAATGGAAACAAACCATGCGTTTCACCATTCCAACGGTAGCTTCTTCGTTACTAGAGACTGAGAGTTTTTGTTGCGTATAGAGTGCGAGCAGACCCTCCTTTACCGCGAAGTCCGTCGCGTGAGTCAAAGAAAAAAAATGATGCTAGGACCTCAGAATTGCGCGCTGCGCGCTGACATCATTGAATTTTTATTTTGACAAGTGCGATGGACTTCGCCAAAAAGCAGAGAATGCTCGTAAAAAATTTGAAAAAATTGATGCCAGGGCCTCAGAGTTCCGAGCTGGGCGCTGACATCGCTGATTTGTTTTTGACCAGCGCGACGAAATTCGCAAAAATGAGGGAACTGCTCGTAATTTATGTTGCGTTGGCTTCATTGTTATACTTAATACATTTTTTTAGATTCTTGACGATTTTTTTCTCTTTTCTTGAACAGGTTGCTCAAATTTATCGCGACAGAAGTATTGGCTGCGCTATAAACATTGTTGTAGTGAAAATAGCCTACCTGGACACCAACAACGTATGGATCTTAAATTAAACCAAACTTTTAACCCTTTACACTGTAACATCACTATGCATATTCTCCACACTGTTCTCTATACATTTCCTAAGGTGCTGACAAGGAGAATTTGTTAGATAATCAAGAACTTCTTCAGTTAGTGATCTTTCCTTCATTCTCGTGATTTGATGCTTGATTTAGAAGTGAAATTTAAAAGATAAATTAGATGCTAATAGCGGAGCTCGCAGAGCGTAGCCCCATAATTATACAAAATAGTAGTAATCCATCAAGCCGAAAAAAATTGGATTTAACATGCGTGGTCAACTGTATCGCGGGCACGCCAACGTCACGGCTTTGTTCAGTGGTCCAGTGGTCAATGCACAGGGCTCCGAGTCGGGCGACCCGGGTTCTAGTCCTGGCCGGGGCAAGGCGTTGTGCCCTTGAGACGTGCGGGAAATAAAAAGGCGAGCTCCGCTTTTAGGCTTGGCTAAATCTATATATTAACTCTTACGGGTTTAAGGGTTAAAGACGTCCAGTTGTAATGTCTCGCGGTTTGCATTTTGAACCATGTAAAACTATCACCAGTTGAGGGAAACCAAGAAAAAGCAATGCGGGAGCAAGGATTAAAATCTATTATGAGAAGAAAAATTTTGAATTATTTTAATTTTAAAAATCAGAGCCTTTACAGTCATTTCATCGCTGTCACGAACCACTGAAAATTCATAATTGCACCTAAGTGGCGGGCAAAATGGAAACTCCCTTTAGAAGTGTCCTCACTCCTAAGAGTGACCAAGATGGAATTTCTTCTCCCGTTATCCATATCTTTTCGAGCAAATTTGAGAAGAAAGAACAACATTAACCAGGGAATATTGTTTGAATTAACATCGAACCGCCAGAGTTAAAACTAGAAAAATTGTATAATTGATTGAGTGGAAAATTGATATTTAGTTTCTGGGATTGAAAAATATTGAAATGGCGACTGTGCCGTGGCGCTGAGGGCTGCTGAAAAAAATTCGAGAGAGATCTTCCCAATGCACAGAAAACGAAGGAAGTGGTATAAACAGCAGGAAAACTCCGTAGAGCGATTTCCTGTTTTGTTTAATCAGACCACAAATGCAGTGAAGAATACCGGACGTCTGCACTGGAAGTGAATCGCATGTTTCATCTTGTTTGAATTTTAAGAACACGCACATCTTAAAATTTAGCCAAGCAACGAGAGCAGATAAACTAGGGTTTCCAACGTTCTTAGAGGAAAAAAATAATTAAAAGAAAGACACTCCTTTTCAACTGGTTGGCCTGGAGAAATTTGCCAAAGTGGTGGGGTCTTTACTACGAATGAGTATTATTTCATCTGTAACAAACGCATATGCTTCTAGTCACTACTTTCAACAAAAAACGGGAGAAACTCCTGTAGTAAATGACCAAAAGGTTTGATAGGCTACTTACAATGGCCAAACGCGTTTGCAGTGTTCGTAAATAAATGATTGTCTGTTTTATTGATTTCAGCCTGGTTTCCATATTTCGTTAGACGCAAGGCGAACTCTGAAAAGTTTCTGCCGCTGGCAGAAGAAACATATGATGTCAGAAGAGAGTCAGTCTGACCGCCACGATACCGCCATCTTGTTAACGAGGTAAAATTTTTTGTCAATATCGGGAATGTATTTTGGTCATTTGTATTTGGAAATGTGAATTTCAAATGTGCAAGAGCATGTACAGACTTGGAGAAGGACAGGGAAATTTTGCATGCAAAGAAAAAAAAAAGTCGCGAGCAGTTCTTTCACTCGGAACAGCCGCGTTGGTAACATGAAAAAACACAAACATCCCTTGCTCTTCCGGAGTAAAACATTTGGCTGGCACTAAACGGAGTGAATGATGTACTGGTTGAAAACACACCCGTCGCCCACGCAAAGCACCTGAAACATGAAAAAAAAAGGTTTAAAAGAGAAAGAAAAAGAGGGAAAGAAAAGGTTATGTTGGTACCAAGCGCCGAAGAACACTAAAGAGACGCGATGGAAAGCGTTGTTAAACGCAAGCAGTAAGCTCAAAACTTCCGAAAACAAGTGTAACATGCCAGAAACGTGAGAAGTGTTCGGAAAGTGAAGTGTAAAGAAAAAGCTGAATAAGAAAAAGAGAAGCTCGATTTACGAGATGTTACATGTCCTGGAGTTTAGAAGAGCTTACGAGACACGAAGCTAAAACTGTCTTAATAAGCTTTAACATTATGTTTGTATGAACTAGCTGTAGTAACTTTTCCTCAGCAGCTGATCAACTCATTGTTTTACTTTGGTTTTTTCTAAGGAGAGATATCTGCAGATCGCCCGGGAAGTGTGACACATTAGGTAATCTGAACTTACAACATTTAAGAAATCTCGCCAGTGACAAATGAGCTCGTTTTCCTTTTAAGAAGGAGTATTAAACATTGGTGGTACACAGCGATATTGGTCGAAGTTGTCAGATCACGGGAGCCAAACACCCTTTTGCGCAGCTTGCGAGCAAGCCCTAATTATTATTATTATTATTATTATTATTATTATTATATTTTTATCGCTTTAATCATCTGGGCCTGTTCGCAGGCTTCTTTTTCCGCAGTCGACCCAATTGTCGATCAATGATAAAGTTGTGCTTACCACAAAGTATCTGTGGAGACAATACCCCCTTAATTTGTTGTTCTCTGTGTTATCATTCCTGACAAGGTGTACTGATGTCTTTGTTATTCCAGGTTTTGCAGAGCTTGGAACCATATGCCAAGCATCGAGGAGTTGCTCCTTGGCAGAGGACAATGGACTAAGCACAGCTTATACTATAGCACACGAACTGGGTCACGTGTAAGTTAACAAATTTTTAAAGAGAATTTAAATTTAAGAGAGAACGTTCAGTCAGGAGGCTGAAACAACTCACAACTTATGTTATAACATACTTCTCACACCTCTTGAGGGAAGATGAGGTCAACACAGTAAATGGTAAAGATCTATGCTTCCTTAAATTCAAGTACATTCGACACAGTTGAAGCATTTTCCAATCATGGAAAGCACCCTCCATGCTGGCGAGACGGTGTTGTCCTTCTCTAGCTCCCCCCCTCTTCCATCTCCTCCTTTGTTCCTTCTCCTTTTCCTCCTTCTCCTTCTTCACCTCCCTTAGAACCCTTTCTTTTTTTCGCTATCTCCCCTTCAACTCTCCGCCACCCTTTCTTCTGTCTCTATCTGCGTTTCATCTTTTCCTCTCCTTATCTCTTTACTTTAAGTTCCCATTCATCTCAACCTATCCACTTCCTCCTTTAAAGGTTCGTTGTATCAACTGAGTTGACCTCTGTTACCTTTACCTATTTCTTTCAATACATTAGATTCAGTCTTCCTCATGATGGAGATAACAACCTATGCACACGGAGCAGGGGAGATCAACATCTGATGGCCCAGCCATTAAGCTTTGACACCAAACCGTGGTCTTGGTCAAGCTGCAGCCGAGAAAAGATCACAAGGTTCTTAGAGTAAGTAACAAAACTAGTTTCAGTTTAATGCTTTAACATGTCGGTTGCGACAATAAATGACTGTGAATATATGACAATCATATATGTGAACTGCGGATTAGGAAATAAATCTAAAAGTGATCTTCGCAGTAATGAACACTTCTTAAGCAGTCCTGAAAGTAAGGCCTGAAAAAACTTCAAGCCTGTACGGGATTTGAACCCATGACTTCTGCTATACTGGAGTAGTGCTCTACCAACTGAGCTAACTAACCAACTAGGAGCTGGTCATTATGTTGGTTCGTAGTAAACCCGTGCCGGACCCGTAAACTCGTGAGGTGTCTCCTGAATAGATCAGCTTCATTGATCTGTTTGTAGCTGTAACTTACTTACCTTGCAATCGTCTTTATTTCAGATTAGGGTATGGATCTTGCCTAGAAAATAAGCCTAATGAAAAAAATCAATCGAAGTATCATGGCACTCTGCCGGGAGAAATGTACAGCGTGGACAAACAATGCCAATTGATATTTGGAGAGGAATCCAGGGTTTGTCCATATATGGTACGTAATGTTGACAAAAAATTTTAGCCTTTTGTAGGAAGTTTTCTCAATATTTTCTTGTGAAAAGTATACGCAAGGCAAGGATTTGCAAAGAATATTTAAGATTTTGTTTGCGAGGCACTGTGCCTTAGCTTCTGTTCCTCTCTACTTTCTATAAGGAACCTTGCAGACGCCTGTGGTGCGTCAAGATGATTGGGAAAAGAAAAGGCTGCTCCACCCATCACACGCCATGGGCAGATGGGACGCCGTGCGCAAAAAGGAAGGTAAATTCTCCTAACTTACCGTCATAGATCTCTGTCTGTGCTAGTATTGAGAGTTTGATATTCCATCATTACAATATCACTTCTTTGATAATGATCTTAATTCTAACCAGCTGTCTGCCTTACAAAGTTTTGTTAGTAACTGAAAGAAGACTCTACATGCCTATCTATATGCTTATCTATTTTGGTATCTTCCCAAGCCTCAGAAACAAATTTTGTCTTTTTTGGTCAACCCAACATTTTAAGTTCGCAAATCTCGACGTAGATGACTTGTGACAACGAATTCGTTTACGAAAGAGATTAAAAACAGTTTATAATCTCTTGGCTTACGAGTTCACAGAAACTTAACCCACTGAAATGGAACACTTCCAGTTTCCCTCGTTTGTTAGTCTGCTCCACGTGTCTTCTTTCCAATTGAAACTCACGCGCACCTTTGGTACTCTAACAATTAACACGTTCCTTAAGTGACGTTTGCCAAATCGAATCCGTTGAAACATGCTGTCATAAACTAAACCTAATCATGAGAAGGCTGTGATTGAGGATCATCGCTTACTTAACACAATCAACCATGTGTGAACTTCCCGTAAACTTTGTACATACCAACCAATTTTTCGCTTGCGTTGGTTGTCTGATGTTCCCGGTCGTATACGAAATGTTCTGATTGTATCGCTAAATAACTATTATCGATAATTGTAAAGTGTAATTAAGCACATTAAGCGTTACGTCACTAAGACTAATTAACTAGTTCGCTGCTAAATGGTGAAGACGTACGGACGGACCAATTGATTTCGAACCGTACCAACCGTACCAATATATTGTCAACCATACAATAAAAAGGTTTGAATCACCGCATCGTACGCTCATCATTATACTGATGATTTTTTTCTTGTAAAAAAAATATTTCAAAAATACTTCGATTTGATTTTCCTTAAATTATTTTGACCGTGTCGAGATAACTGCCGTTTTTGTGTGTGTTGTGCTATCTAACCTTAGAGGGGGAAAAAAGTGATATATGAGTTCGGAGGAATAAGCAACTGCAAAAATATTAATTTCATCAAGACAGATTAAGAATAGCGTGGGATGGTGAAGATAGCGACAGACCGCGCACGACCTTCTCAAGATTCGCAAATAGGGATCGCTTATTTACTGTTAAGTTTGTGATAGACGAAGGTACTGACAAAACAGCTCTCTGTTATCAAATAATAATTTTAGACATTTTATCAAATTACTAGAACTCATTTCTACAGATCTTACTAGATCTTTGTAAATGATATGTTCCTTTTTTATGTTTTCATTTTATCATCAGATACCCGTGTTTGAGTTATTTCCTCTTCTACGTTTTGATTTTCACCGGTTACCAACTTGATTTCTTCAACTTAATTTGCCTTTTAATATTTAAATACTGTTGTTTGTTTGTCATCGCTTTCTACAAATGAAATGTTCGCATTTCGTTCTTCCCTCAGAATATTTCCGATTTTATTTTAGAGTGAAAAACCACAAAGGTGTTGACTGTATCGAATACATCAATTCACTCAGAAAACATATCAGTCGTTCGGACATTTTTCCTATGCTCTCAAGATCTGAGCATATCCTCTTGTTTGAAGATGATTTTTCAGTTATATTAAAGATAATCCTATAAAACGAAGACCTTTCAAAATAAATCTCTTAATTAGTGACAAATTGATACCTCTTCAATCTTTCAAAAACACGATATTTTAAACTTGTATCTACATTGTGAAAACTTTGGGACAACTATTGTTACTTGAACCAAAAGCTGTTTTCGTTGGCTGCAAGTAGTTTACATACATTTCATATCCTTTTAAAACTGTGCGCTCTCGATGTTGCCCACATAACAGGGTCGCAGGTCAAAATCATAAGCCGATTAAGTTTAATATTTGTCTTCCTAAATTGCAGCGGATACAAATTCTTCCATGTCAAACACGTTCATATTTAACCAGGAGAAAATAATAAACCCATTATTTTCTTTTGGTGTAACATAATATACAACGGGACGGATGTTTCGCAGGGAAAGTTGCCTTCTAATTAGGCCAATTCGATGGCGGCAGATTGTTCCTTACTTGGAAGTGCTGCGCAAAAACTTCTTGTTCCTTCTAAGGACTTAAAGGAAGGTCCTATCATACCCTTCGTTAGGACATCTAACCCCCCTGTTATGTAATCAGAATTATGGCAATAAAAAATATTTATTCACTTTTAGTACACCAGATTTCTTAGTCTAGAAAGTTCTAACGTAGTTACCCAGGCAACGTGTAATACTAGTCTATGCACATTGAAAGGACACCAGAATTTTGCACAAAGATTAATACTGCGTCGCTCCTTCCCTCTCTCATAAAATTTGTGATTTTGCAACAAGCCAACTTCTTTTTCAGATCTCTTTTATTTTATAATATTTAGATTGCTTCTATCACGAGCGGTCTTCACGGTGATATTCTCGTTAACAACCACCACACAAAAAGTCGAATCGCTTCACGCTTTAAGAATCACTAAACTTTTTTCAATCGACACTCATCACGGGATTACACCTTATACATTTTAACACTTCACAACCTTTTCCAACAAAAATAATTACTTGTATCATAAAGTCGTTAACAAATAAGTACTAGATTCATTACAAAAGAAACCGTCTTCCTTTAAATTTTTTCCATAACGAGGGTGTAGAATTAAGCGAGCTATCTTTAACTCTTCACTCGAGGTGGACCAAGGAAGAAGCTCGACTACTTAAATGGAATTTATCAAAAATAATTCTTAACTAAAATTTCTTAGTTAACTGGCCAGTATGAACATTACAATATTGCAAAAAGAGTATAACAGAGTCTCACGGGGCTATGTAAATTCATTTATGACCATGCCCGCATTAACGCTGCTATCAGTGGGATGTTTTAGTTGTGTCACCTTTGCTGGAAAATAGTTTGTAATGTATGTTGGACATGAGTGACGGGAGGTGTTGTATCGTGACGCGAAAGGGTTGCTTCATTATTCTCCTTCTCTAGCCGTCAGTCTGTGACGTCTCAAAGATCAGCTACATAGGACACTTCAATTGCTGATGTGAAGTTTTTTTTACCTGTCTCAGTGGTGCATCAAAGGTCAGTGTGTGATGAAACGAAAATTGAAACCAGTAGACGGTGGCTGGGGACCATGGGGTTCCTTCAATGAATGCACAAGAAAATGTGGAGGAGGGGTTTCCTTCGCATACAGAAAGTGTAACAAACCAATGTAAGTACCCAACTAATTTCTTCATCTAATCACGAAACTCTTATCGTGCCATTTAGCTTAGTTACTTATGTCACGCACAATTTACATTAGCGATAAGCGGACGCCGATGTTCACTTTGCTCGTAATAGAAAGAGAAATAGGACTTAAGCTTGGAACATAATTCTTGCCATGTTATGCAGTTTTAGAATGTTTTGATCTTTCAAAACAACTTGTTATCAAAGGGCAATGGACCTTTATCTTATTTTTCAGCCCAGAAAATGGAGGTAAATACTGCGTTGGAAAGCGAAAACGTTTTGTGTCATGCAATGCTCAGGTAAGAATGTTGCAATGTGATATATTTCATCAAGTGTTTCCACTTATTGATAGGCAGTCGTTCTTGCCTTGTGCCCGTCACCTTAACGCAAGTGTTGTTGGGTTGTTATATTGGCAGGAATGTCCACCAGGGTCACCGGATTTCCGAGCCTTGCAATGTGTGAATTTGCATGGGCGACGTCTGAGTATTGGGTCGAGGAGTTTCAGACCGATTCAGTGGCTGCCAAAATATGCTGGAAGTAAGTGAGAACTTCACGTTAAGTTTATGAAGTTTCTAATTGTACTAGTTCTTTTCTAACTGGCTGTATGTATTGTCCTGATACAGTTCGCAAAGAAAATCAATGCAAGCTGTACTGCCGCATGGCTGGAACCGCAATTTATTTCAAACTGAAAGACAAAGTTATTGATGGGACCCCTTGTAATCAAGAGACCAAAGACATCTGCGTGGATGGCAAATGTTTGGTAAGTTACACATTTTACAAAAATGTGATATACGAGTTAATGACGACCTCACAACGACGAAATAAACGATTTCATTGTGACGAAGACGACGAGAGCGTACCGATGACGAGGACGAGACCATACCAACGAAAAACGAACGATCTTCACGAAGATGCCACGACGTGACAAAGTCGGGAACATGACGATGACAAACAAATACTGAAAAAACGATGCCACGACGAAAACGACGGTAGCATAACGAAAAACGATGATCAATACGAAAGCACTCATAGATTGGGTTTAAGAGTACACTATGTTCATTGACTCAACTAAGAGTATGTCAGGGATAAAACAAGGATTCTGTTGAGTTGAGTGTTTTCAAGCATATTGTATCTTTTTTTGTTTTTGATCACACTAGGGATGCTTTTGATTAAAACGTGTTAAAAGGTTAAATCTAAAGTAGGTTTATCAGTACGTTTTAATCGAGTAAGGAAAGTTTTGTATTTCTCATGACTCACTTTTTTAACGAATATTAATTAAGTGCACCTTACGATATTTGTTTCGTTGGCTTTGAACAATGTAGACAAGCTTCCCAAAAGGCAGCAGAACACAAGGAGTAACAAGCCATTTGAAATGATACGCAGCCTGCTTATGGAGGAAGCTGCATTGAAAGAGGCCATTGAACAGAATTTCGCCAGCAGCCGATTAACTTGTAGTGCATGCTTTGGATGGTTTTTGTGTCAATCAGCCCCTTAACAAATGAAACGTCTGTAACATTCTCATCATACTCTTTTATACTCAGCTGGTGATCATTTAGAGGTAGGAATATCTTAGAGGAAAAAAAACGTATTTGCTTTTTTGTATCTTAAATTTTTCTGGTGACCAAAATGTACCATATGACGATTAGAAAAAACATTTTTTATAGCAGCCATGGTACTCGCGATTTCGGACCTTGTTTTACAGTACTGCAACAAAAAGTGCAAGGCAGACTGAAACGTCTTTTTTGACAAATGTTATATATATCTGAAGCGACAACGCTTATTTGTCTAAAGCTCGATGAGCTTGATCTTTTCTTGACTATGCAGCCTTTCGACGTCGCCTTATAATAATTGATGATGGTCGAACATTCTAGTCTCGAACAATAAACAGTTTTTTTTTTGATACTTAACAATAAATCCGCCTTTGAAAAGTTGTTTGTTTGACGTACTCTCTCCGAAGCGAAATGGAATGGAAACTCTCAAGATTCAAAAGCTCCAGTGTCGAATTGGAACCCTCCATGGTCTAATATGGCATGTCCCTAGCGTTACACTTTCGTAAAACATTCTTCCGTATTCAATGGCACGATTAAGAAGCTTAGAAATCCTATAGGTAGTTTTTACTTTTCACTCTAACCGTCACAGACCTTTTCGGGACTATCGTCAGCCGGAAGATCACATTTACACGACTAAGGATAGAATTTGAAAATAAAAGCGATTGACTGCATAAAGTTATAAAACTTAGAGATTCAGTTCACTCAAAAACGTATAAGCATGCCTGTACTTTATGATACAGACGTTTATTAATAGTCTTACTTATCGATACTCTGTGAAGAAAACTTATATTTTCCCCTCCAACTTGTCTATATCACATTACAGCAGAATTATTTGGTTGACATATTCTAAATGCTCCCTGCCTCTCAGGCTAGAGGAAGGCTATTCAAATGCTTTCAAGCCCATTTAGTAAAACTTCGTTTGCATCCATATCTCTTGCAAAGTCCCGTTTTACTCTTTTCAAAATCTCTCTACGCTCGTCGCTCAGTGGTTTGTCAAGAGCTGAATCACTTGCCCTACCAGTTGCCATGGTTCCCGTTTCCGTCTCAACAAAACAATTCAAAGAGAAATAATCATGAAATGTGGGATCAGAAATGTACAATGAATAGTCGTTCCTATTTTTGTAGAATTCGGTTTTCATTATGATTAAACAACTGTTTGAAACGAAGGATGATCACATGAAAACAAGTAACATTTGTGTTACGCTGGAAAGCAGTCGTTGTCCATGAAATGAGGGAGGTTTCCGTGCATTATATATTAGATATACTAGATTTCATTTTCCCATGTGTACCCCTTGAAGCTCGGTAAAAAATTAAAAGCCTTCATAAAATCAAAAAACACAAGTTTACCTTTGTTTGGGTTGATGAGCTAAGGATTTGTATGAGTTTAGTCTACCATTCTAGACCTTTCCATGCACTTTTTATACCACAGCCATGCCAGTTGTGACGGAAATATCTCCATGCCCAGAGGAAATTGCATTACAGATATAGGTTATCTAGGATATCTATTTCTAAAGCTGTAAAAAATCAAATACCTGCATGCAAAAAGAGATCATTTACAAAATAAATTCCGTTTTTAATTCAGAAAGTACATATATTCCAAATTTGGTTTTCCGACAGGCTTACATGCCCCATTTAGATCAGAAAAAATACTTTACGCCATTATCACTTTCAAAGCAAAACCAAGATTGTTCAAGACTTTTATTTTTTTTTTTTCAGTGAAAAGTTTCTAAACGACAACTTCAAGTTCCCCGAAAGAGATAACTGGATAAATGTGCAACGAATTATCATTACTCTTGGGCGCTTTTAACGTCAAACCCTCTCTCAATTTTGCATAATTAGTTTTTTAATGAGAATGATTACAAATAAGTTATTTAATATTTCCTATTTCACTAGGTGTTTTTATAATTAATATATAGATTTAGCCAAGCCTAAAAGCGGAGCTCTTATTAGTTTATTTTCCAGCCCTACGTTACACTGAATAAAAACTGTAATAAAACTGTCTACTGGCACGTCTTTGTATTATGTTTCAACCCAACCATTTCCTCAACATATAAACACTATTACAAAGTAATTAGTCAAGGAAATGGAAAACTTGTGGCATATACACCATGTTTGAAATGCCATGACCATAGTAAGCTAACACGATTGAGGAGGATGTATGTGGGAATAGGCCCTCTTGTCTGTATCAATAATTTGCTAATCACTCCTGCTGGCAATGTTTTGATGAGGTTGGGCGATCAAGGCAAAGGAACTGAGGATTTTAGATGTACAATGACAGGTTCAAGAAATTCGCACAACTAATTTTTTAAGGTTAGCCTACCTGGAACACTCATCTTGAACTGATGATGCCAAACAGAACTTTCCGTGGTAAGAGGGCAGGCTTTCCTTTCTTCATATAAAGAAATAATGATGTTATCATCTTTCCACAAGCTCAGTGGAAAGTGAGAGTGAATGAGACTGATACTGTCTTTGTTACTTAAATAAATATCTAGAGCCAGGATAAAAAGTCAGACACGGTCTGCAGAACTCTCTTACTTTAATTTTTTTTTTAACCAATTAAGCTAACGCTTTACATTCTTTCTTTGTGATTATGTGCATGCCAATTACTGGTAATTTAACTTTTATGCATCAAATACAAAAAATGTTCTCTTCATCTATGTGCCCTGAACATTACAGGGGAGGAGGCAGGTTAAATTAAAAACATGAATTAAAATAAGAGGGCCCCCATTAATTTCAGTCCTAATTAAAGAAGGATCTTTTTTTCCAGATTCCCACCCTTTTAAACTTACATATCTTGTGACCAATTCCTTATTTCAAGGTTCAGTTTGGGTAGGGCCATTGGTAAGAAACACCATGCATTAATGAAAGCTTGAGCTAGTGTATTTAATGCAATCTAAATAATATTACATGTTACAGTATGGTAACTTACACAGCAAAATTATATAATCACACAATTCCAAACAAAGGAAGTCAGGTTATTGACTTGCCTGCTTCAACTTTTGAGGGCTACAGTTGATACAAAGTTGAAAGCTTGAAAGCTAAAAGATATACATGACAATCATCAGACCCTATGCATCCTAGCAAAAGAAGGGTCATTTACCACCATACCTTCTCCCAAATGTTCATGCTTACAAGAAATCATTTATTTTTGTCTCTAGGTGGTACTGTATTTACAATAGTTCTACCAACACAATGCATTTTTCTAAAGTTATCTCATAATACATGACTGTACAGGTCAAGTGGAAGGTTCCTGCATAGGGACTAACATTTCAATTACCTCAGCAAACTGTAATCATCAGAATTGCAAGCCATGGTGTATTTACCAAGTGCTAAAGTTTCCAAATTAGTTACCTAATTCTTGCAGTGGAGTTCAATCCTCTTTTAGGCTATGAAATCATCAAATGTTACTCACATATTCAAATAATTACCTGAATCAAAAGTTATAATTTTTTTTTAATAACCTGGTACCTTTAATTGTGATCCAGGAATAGTAAATGGTATTGAAGAGAAAGGAAAAGTGTTCTTGAAAACATTCCACATTAAATTAAATTTTGTTATGAATGTTAATTGTGATTGCAACAAAAACATCTGTGAAGCTATAACAATTTCCTTTCCAGGTAAACAAACCATAATGAAGCATGATATGAATAAATTTAATCTCACCCAGTCTGAATGTAGAATCCAAAATCTAATTTACTTACTGATGAATAGGAAAAAGCTCAATGTGTTTTTCTTGCCTCTGTCATTCTAAATATCACAAATCAATCATGCCACCACTTCAGTGTGATTTTTTTAATGATGTGTGCTTTTTCTCATGAACCGCTTTTTTAAGTATCTATCTTTTACCAGCGGACATCTGAGAAGAATGAAGTGTACACTGGCAATTTGACACATTGCAGGCAAACCCTACAACTGATTAACCCTTTAGCACTGCTTGAATATATGATTGCATTAAGTAAAAATGCCAAGTAAACATCCTTCTGTGGTCTTCTACTCTTCCACCCAGGAGGTTGCCTTGTGTAACAAAAAAAAAGACCTTTTTAAAGACACCTCTACAATGGCAGGTACACACAACTGACATGTATGAGTGAAGCATGTCAAGCATTGAGGTATGATTGTCAATTTGCCTTTCATTATTTGCAAACAGCTTACTTCTATCAGCTTTAAAAACTTCTGTATCCCCATTTTCAAAGAAAAGCATTTCCCATGAAAATTTAAGCATTAAAGACATAAGCTACCAGCAACAGGTTTTTCCATTGCAAGTGTTTCATATCATCAGATTCTCATCACATTTTTTTGTTATGGTACATTTGAAAGCATATGAATATTTTAATCATTACAATATGTTGAAATCCCCCATTTTAACCCTTTAACTCCCATAAATGACCAAGAAAGAATTTCTCCTTACAATATCAAAACAATATCAAGCAGACAAGTTATGAGAACAAAGAAAAATATCAGTTAGGGGATTATAAGATCCAATACTAAATCCTCCAAACTATCATCACAAGAACTGTATAGGAGATAGTAAGGAGAATTACTAATGAGATCTTGGGAGTTAAAGGGTTAAGTCCCACTGTTAACCTAGACAGAATTTCTCCTTACATGAGAATTAGGACAAATATAAATTTGGGGAATTGGTTGATCCAATTCCAAATTCTCAACTTTAACATCACATAAATTGTATGGCAGACAGTAAGGAAGATAACTCATGAAATTTTGGGAGTTAAAGGGTTAAGACACATATGGTAATTATTTGTAACAGAAACACAGCAAATAAATATAACAGTATACTCCAGTAAAGTGTTCTTATGAAGAATGAAGTTTCAAACTCATTGAAATTAAGTTGACTTCATAATTCATATTTTAGTTAAAGAAATGTGCAATATCTCTTTACAAGGATGAAAAGGGAATGCCATTTAAAATAGTAAATGCTAAAAACATAAAGATGGAATTTAAAAAACTCCTAAAATATAACATATCTATTCACTGAGGTTTTAATCATTAGCTGTCACACACAGATATAAAATAGGGTTTCTGAAAACAACCAGGGCAATAAAATTAAAGATTCAGGAGAAGCATATGATTTTAACTTGTTTACTGATGTTCTCACCTGAATTCCATCTGAAATGAGAACTCTGCAGGACTTCTGTTTTATCTTGAATTCAAACATAAAATTCAATTATTTGCAGGCAGGTTAAGGAGGAAATTAAAGGATGGATACATGTTACATAAAAAGAAACCCCTTACAATAAAATAAAGCAGAAGAATACTGCCTACATGTCTATGCTTCTGAATACAGCTATAATAGGTATTTTTAAAGTAATTATCTACATAACCGAGTGCAATATATGGTCATAAAAGCAATTTTATCCTAACCTTCCTACTTGAAGGGTACCTTGGGTATCAAGTATATCAAGTTCAGTACCTCCAGAGTTACAAGCCGGGCTTTTGGGGCTACAAAATAATAAAATAATCATCGAGTTATGTAAGGCCAATTTATCGAGAGTAAATTAAGTATAGTTTCCTACAATCGTATGAAAGTTTAAAATGTGCTTCACTTGTGCTATATATATACGGATTTGTCGTTCTTAATTACTAATGAAATTCCGATGGTGTGACTCAATTACTTCAAGAGACAATATCCAAGCAGGTTGCAGAAATGGTTCGTGAATTGTAAACTGTTGATGTGTTGACAAAATTTCCCTAAATTATAGTGCCGATACGAATCCATCATTCATGATCGCTTATAAAATTCCGAGACTTAACCTTAATGAATTTAACAGAAAATATCCAGGTAGGTTACAGAAACAGAATCTCAAAAACTGCTCTTGAATTCGATAACTGTAAACAACAATTATTTACGCGAACCATGTGCTTACCAGCGCTTGTGAGGTCAAATTGCCAGAACCCCGTTTAATTGCACGATCACAGCTCGGACGCTTCTTGCAAAATGTGATGAGTACCAATTTTAGAGATTAATTCCACAGTTTTCAGCATAAAGAAAATAATATCGTATCGCAAGCATGTTCATCATAACGCCTCGAGATGTTGAGCGAAGAGAAAAAGGCTCCACGTTTTGTGACACCTAACCATTTCCTGAAGTTCGAACGAATCGAGAAAAAAGCATGAAAACATAGCGCTGAAAAGTACGACAACAAAACCATTAAATTCAATCATCCCGCTGTAGAAACATCTCCATTTTACCCATGAGTTTGTTTGCACCACACATTTGCGGTCCGTAATTTGATTCTTAGATGTTTGACGGGTTCTCACGTGACAATATCGTCAAAATCAAATTACCGCGTTAGACTTAATGTAAACATGAACATCGCTGACTCAATCCAATTTTATTTTAATTTTGGGAAAGGCCATTACTTCGTTCTTAGAGTAAAACAACACATCTTCGGCAAAGCGCAAATTTTCAGATGCATAGAGTAAATCCTGCGATAATTAACTAACGAGAAAAAAAGTAGAAACTTGCGCTCGCCGTTCGACATCATTTGAAAACTTTCTAGGCAAAACAAAATACGTAAGATAACTTCTTTTCCCATAACACCACGACTGTATTAAACCTTCAAACGAAAGGACAAGAAATAACTTGAAGAATACGAACACTCTACAATACTATTCGAGCGATGAACCGGCGTAAGAGTTTTTAGGCGATGAATGCCAGAGTCAATGTTTAACCGAAACGTGATCGGTTGAATTAAAAACTGAAGCTAGTATCAAACGACGATTGGTAAAAAAAATGTTTAAATTTTTTCCTGGGTCTTAGCGTAAGTGAAAACCCAGATAGGACACGACTTACCCCGTCTTCTTTCGCGGATCCTTTGTAGTTCGCTTCTCTTTGTTGATGACCTCTTTTCAGTCTGTTTTCAGAAGCGACTTTGTATTTCCTTCTCGCGTTGCTCTTCGCCAGAAACTCACCTTTTTACTAATGCCCTTTATTGTTCTCTTTCGGGTTCCTATCGCCGTATTCTGCCTATTTTGACGTCCTTTGTAACTTTCTTGCGCGATTTTCTGGACTCGCTTTACGCCGTTTACTTGTTGCTTTCTGTGGTCGCTCTGTCTCTTTACATCCAGCCTATTTTCAATTAAAACCCTCTCTCCACGAACTTGAATTATAACAATTTCCTCCGATTGACAAAGCTTAAACTCTGCCGGTATTGTTGTCTTACGAGTTGTTTAGAAATTGCAAAATACTGAGAATTACTGTTCAACAACATCCTGACCGGTTTGATTTCCCGCTCAAAACGAGGGTGGCAAATTTCATCTACTAGCTCATGTGAAGCCCTCGTGCAATGCCTAACCGTGTGCTCGCAGTACGCTACACTGCAGCTCGACGTTCAAGTTACGCACGTAATCGCGCCTGCGCATTACTTCTCCCTCGCCCTTCCGTTACTTCCGTTACGTAATGGCTAAGATAGTGCCTGTGGTACAGTTGGCCGCGCATGCTAAAAGTAGCACCTCGTACGGTCGTACAACCAAATTTTTTGGGCTTGATGGGTTACTACTATTTCGTATAGTTATGGGGCTACGCTGGAGCTCCGCTATTACGTACGTAACTAGCTCCCAACCTGCAGGGTTACTTATTCCACGCCCGCGGAGTCTGCGGCACGCTTATAAGCTTCGATACAAAAATTCCGAAAAATTACCCAAAACTCTCTCCGGAAATTCTCCTAAAAATGTCTATAAATCTCGTTTTTATGTCAAAAAATTGGAATATCAATAATTTGCAAAGCAAATGAGCTTTGGTTTAAACGAGTGTTAATATATGGCTATTGTTTTTGAACTGCGGATTAATTAATAAAGATGCATAAGAGCGATGATCACTACTTAACCCTTTAACTCCCAGAAGTGATTCACATGTAACTTCTCCCTTTATTGACATCCATACGTCATAAATCGAAAAGGTGATAAGAATACTCAGACTTGTCGGGTAGAAGTGCATTTTTTTCTTGATCTAACACAAATTCTTGTAACTAATTTACATGGAAATGTAAAAGCAGCTTCAGGTGAGAATTAACAATCAGATCTTGGGAGTGAAAAAAAAAAAGCCTGAAAAAATATTGCATAGCCTTTAACCCTCGTACAAACCATAAATATTTTTTCAGACTTAATTTTCACTGCTGCTTAAGTAGTTTATGCTCAAACTTAACATTTAGATCAATAAAATGTATTTATGCAATATCTAAATCCGAAAAAGATGCTCAATTTCCCTCAAAGATCTCCATTGCGTCAAAGAAATCTTTCCTAAATGAGCGAGAATTTGAAAGGTCAAGTGAAAGACGCGTTTAGTATGAAATGGCTGGACTTGGCCTTTAGTGCATGCCGATGCAACGACCTCCTTTGTAGTGTTCATACCTACGATGATCACTCTCATCTTCATGTATGGTTTAAACAGGTATAGTTACTCCCGATAAACTTTAAAAAATGTCGAAAAGATGTTGAGTGAAGAATAAGAAGAATATGTCAGTTCCTGACCCAACCCACCCCCCACTTCCCCCTCCTTAACATTCCATCGCGTCCTTTAAAGATTAGACAGATTTTTATGGAGTCACTCTAAAAAGTTCTTCTCCAGCTCATGCCAAACTCCAGGAGCAATTCAAGAACCATCAATTTATGGAGCATACTGTTTCAATCATCGATGCAAATTCAACTGTTGTTAAGTGCGCGGTTTAACAAAGTAGAATCAAGAATTTTATGGACAATTGCATTAGATCGCCTCGTACTTCATCGTTTTCCTCAAGAACAGCTCAAGGAATGTGTGACATATACGAATGATTAAGGAGAGTATTTAAAGTGACGTAACAAGAAGTCTTTTTGTGCACTGATCTGCAATTTGATTTGCTATCATCTTCATTGGCTGCGTTGCTGATTAGAGGTTATTCAAGGTCTCGTGGAAAATGCAGAGTGTGTTTTAGTGTTACATTTCAGACGGATTGTTTACATTGGCGAGATCAGTTCGTTTCTCTGTTTAAAAGAACGTTTTAGAGGAAAGTTGGGAGAATGAGGAAGGCAAAGAATATCTAACTTTTAAGTAATATCTAACTTTTAAAAAGAAGAATCAGCTGAAACCTACAATTTAGACCAGCTCAGTTGTTTATCACGGATCAGCTTCAAATGTAAGTTTCTTAATAAATCGTAACTCAGACATTCAAAATATTACGCGTAGCATCATAATCCTGGTTTTGTTCTGGTATTTTGCAAAGATATTAGCTACGTTACACTATCTTTCGAAAATGTGTTTGGTTGAAAGATGAATCCCCTCGAGTGCTAATAGTTAAGACAGAGTGGCCTGTTACTGACTGCTGCAATATCAACCCACGGACCTTTACGTCTTACATGTACCATCGACCTAGTCGAGTAACACTTTCAGCTTCTTTTTACTCTTTTAGTTTTATTCTTTAGTCGCGTTTTAACAAATCTATCGATTTTGGTGCTCAGCGATGGCGGAACTAGTCTTCGTTCGCACGTATGACAGAGTGACGAGACTGACAAGGAGCCTTCGCTTCCGCATTTCTAATGGCTCAAAGTTAAGAGACGTGAACAAATACAGCTTTTATATGATAGAGAACAAACGGTCACTCACCAAGGACTAGTGTCCATTTTTTTAATACCTCACTCTTCGTCAACCAACAATCAATCTTCTTGGGTTTTCATGGTGTGGTATTTGTCAGACCGAATTGAAAATTGTATTTGTTGTGAATGACAGCTTAGATTTGGTATTGTTTACAGTAGATTTAGCTTGGATTCCAACTAATTCTGCCTCTCGTTATCAGTACTTTTAGTTTTGTTTTGTGGGGATAAATGATGATGTGATGATAGTGATTATCCGATGCTCGGATAATTTGGCAATGATTTATAGTAACAACCCTTTTACAGTCGAGCTTGGTCAAGTCTAGGTCATGCATGTTTCCATACGTTCTTTGAGCATCATTTAAAAGTTTTAAAATTGCTGTACAGGGTTTTTTTTGTTTGTCTTCATTTTTCTCAATAAAACCGTGACTTGTTTTCAGCATTGCATGGTGAACAGGCTGTGACGTTAAGAGACTAGAGTCTCTTCTTAACGAAAAATTTTCAGCTTGTGCTGTAATAAAATTTAGAATATATGTATTTTATGAAATTAAAAAGGAAATTTTGTTTGTAAATGACCTCATTTTGATCAAATGATTCATTGGTAGGAAAGAGTGTCGCCTTCTGTAATAATTTTGGTCATAATCCGTTTCTTTGCTGCTCTTTATTTGTTTATTTAAAATAAAAAGCTGTTTCTAAATGCTAAAAGTTATATCGTATGTATTTCATGACAAGCCCTAAGCTCATTATTGTTCCTTTGCAATTGCATGTTTTTGTTTTCTAGGCTGTCCTTTTTCTCCCTGTTGTTTAACTCTCCCCGATGAACCAAAACGCAATGTGAAGATATTTTCTGGTGATCTTTTAAATAAATAATGCATGACAACGTTCATCGTTGATCGAAAGCAATTTGTTTTAGTAAATGGGAAAAGATCTGGCCTTCAGTGCCATAGTGCCCTATGGTGTCCCACAGGGATCCCTCTTGGGACCAAAGCTATTTTCGATCTTAGTAAATGACTTGCCTGACTGTATACCAAATGGTGAAATCCACCTCTATGCTGATGACACCACAGCATTCGTTATTGGAAAGAATGATAACGAGGTAGTAACTTTACTTAATATTGTATTCTCAAAAATTAGCAAATGTTGTAGTATAAACAACCTCACAATTCATCCAACCAAATGAAAAGTCATACTAATCTCAAGAAACAGCTTCACTGGCCCATTGAAACCTGTCAAATGGTGAAACAAATATCTAAAGTATACGGATAAAGTAAAAGTACTTGGAATATATATTGACAACAAAATGACTTGGAAACCACATATCAAAGAGCTAACTAAATCATTTAATGCACAACTAAAGTCTCTTAAAAGAATATCCTATTTGTCAACTAAGGAATTGGAAAGTATCTATTTTAAGTGGATTATACCACACATAAATTACTGTGTATCTGTATGGGGAAACTGTTCAACCTCTGCTTTTGAACCCATTGAAGCACTGCATGTAAAAGCTGCAAGATTAATCCACAGACTCCTTTCTTCCTTAGAAGATCATGATGTACCAAAGAAGGTACATTGGCAGAACATCAGCAATATCTATAAAAAGAGACTTGCCTTAGAAATGCTTCAAATTATAAACTCTGATGGATGTCACAGATTATCTCATATGTTCAAACAAGTAAACTCTGTTAGAATAGGCAAACTAATTGAAATGAATACAACAACTTCAGAGTTTGGTAAACAATCATTGTTCTTCAGAGGTCCAGTTACCTGGAATAATCTGGACAGAGACATAAGAAATGCATAAAATATTAATTCTTTCAAATTAGCTCTAAAAAAGAAATCAAGATTGATGGAAACTATTAGTTACATAGAGGGACAATGCAATAATTTAAATAGGAGAACTGAAGATTTTATATACTATTGAAAGTGATTATTTTTAAAATTAATTACTTATTTATTAGATTCATATTTATATTTGATTATTTATCAATAATAATTTATTAGATGATCTATATTTTATGCTTTATAAAAACTTTTGAGATTATGTTATCAGGTTCTCTTTTTTTAAATATTTTAGCATGTAGTTAGGAGGTCCACATCAGCGAAAGCTGCCTTTATCATGACTTTATTCAAATAAATTATGTATATATGTATGTAACCTCCCTTATTTCATAGACAGTGATTGCTTTCCAGTCTAACACAAATGTTACTATTTTCATGTGGTCATCCTTCTTTTCAAACAGTTGTGTAATCATAGTGAGAACCAAATTCTCTAAAAATACAAGCGACTATTTATCGTACATTTCTGGTCACACATATCATGGTTATTTCTCATTGAATTGTTTAGTTGAAAAGGAATGGGTGGATACAACTCTGAGCGACGAGCGTAGAAGGATTTTGAGAAGAGTTAAACGGCACCTTGTAAGAGATATGGATGCAGAAGAAGTTTTACTACGAATGACAGCTGAGAACATCTTTAACACAACTGAAGAAGAGAGAATAAAAGGGAAGCTAACACGATCGGAAAAAAATGAGCAGTTGCTGGACATTTTACCATCCAAGGGTGAAAAAGCCTATAAAATCTTCAAGGAAACACTCCAAGAGGTTCACCCGCACCTTGCAAACATAATTTTGCAACTTGGTAAGTGTTTTGACGACCACGAAAATCTATTAGCATTAAAAAAAAGCTGTACGATCACACGCAATTGTAATTTTTTACAATGAACAAATTTATACTAAAGGTTGGTTTCTGCGGTTTCTATAACCATTATCGAATATGCTTTGAAAAATGGTTATTCTAGACGCCCTTCAGTATGGAAGCTGATCTTCAGTTTAATAATAATACGACGAACTATTCGCGAAACTTCACAGTCAGCATATGAAAAAGTTACTCTCTCATGAGAGCTTATGAAAATTTCGCTTCAGTAGGAAGGCTAGAAGTACTATCGACACTGAATTTTTCCGAAGCAACTTCAGGCCATCCTGAATTTTTCGTCGAGAAGCACGGTTTGCTGATTTTTAAAACTCCCGCGAGTGTACCTACGCAAAACTCAGCCTCTGCTAACAGTAGCACGCACGCCACTGTAATTCAGCATTGAAATTGAGATACTGCACTAACAATAATTACTTCGCAAGCTTTGGGATTGGGCGAATTCGGAAACGTAACCATTGCCAACGTTTATTACAGCAGGTTAATGGTAACACTATTCGCGGTTTGCTGCGGCAACAGAAACAACAAGATCTTCTCAAAAATTTAGAATTCTGCCATGCGTACCGTTAAAGAAAAGCAGCGTGTTGATCGGGAGCTCTTTTCAGAGCTCACAGAATCCCCGGTCAACCCCGCCGAAGTTTTTGATGCTCTTCAGTACAAATTGAGGAGAATCGGGTACGTTGTCCTCGTGTTGCGGGACGCGAGATCAAAGTACTGGGTTTGCCTCTCACTAAATCCGGACGAGATCTTCCAAGAACCAGATGAGGTGATCGAGGGGCTGTCAAAAAGGGAAAAAGAACTGGTTACTGAAAACCAAAGACCATGGGCCGAGATTGAAGGTAACAACGTATTTATTCCATCCACTTTTGAAGCAATGCGATACGTTTGTCATCAACCCGAAGTACACACAATAGGCCTACACTTTTATCGAAGTGAACCTGATCAAACGACAATATTTTTTTGTTTTAAGATGAAGTATCACAGCTCTATGACGCTATGATCAAGCTCACTACTGTTCAGAAACAGAATTTTCATAAAGGAAGGGCGACAGAACAAGTCGGGCGACATCAACAACAGCGTCATGTAAGGAAATAAGGTTAGCTAATTTTACATATTATTTAACCCTGTTCTTGTATTTATTTTCTTAGTATTCTTCCGGTGTGCATTTTATACTTAGGTAATTAAATATTTTTATACACACACGTCTTTGGTTATGAATGATGAATATGAAATTAATCAATCTTTGCTCTATTGCAAAATAATCATATTTTTAAAAAGTAGGATGTAAGGCTATAATAGTTACACAATTAAATGACTAGAAAGTCAAAAACCAATTCAAGCAGGCTTAAAGCAAAGTAAAGATATTTGGCCCCTTTAATGTAATGAATCACTTGAAAAAATGATAATCGTTCTCGAGAAATCAAGAAATCAGTGAATGTGATGGATGGAAGAGAATAGTATTTAAAATACTACACAAGATCTAATACAACCCTTAATGATTTTCAGGTGCAATATGAACCACCTTTGCGGCTATTTTCAGCTAAAAAGAGGATTAAATAAAGATTGGCCAACACAACCTGGATGCCAATATATCTTTGGACCATGTCGTGATAGACTCCATCTGATGCTAAAGATAACAGACCGGCTTGAGGAGGGCATAATTATGGATATTCCAAAGTGGGATAAGGTAATTATTTCAGTTTTCCTGTCAGAGTCAAATCTTTATGCTTATTGACCTCCAAAACAGACAATCAGGCAAACAAATAACCAGAAAACAAGTGAATGTGAAGTAAATAAGACAAAATTTTAAATATTGCGTTTTGTGTAGGATGACAACGAGACATAGAATTGAAGGTAGGAGTCAGAGTTGCACTCGACAGAGTTCCTCAAAACAGTTCGATCACTTGGGGTGACACTGAACTTATTCAAATATAAAGTCAACTGAGAATGGACTTCTCTTTTGGTTGGTGAAAAGAGACTCTTTCTACACAAACTTCTAGGCAGTTTTGCGCAGATCCTTCCACCAACCAGAGTGGAACATACAAAACAACTCTGGACGGTAAGTATAATGAGGTTTCATCACATTGTTTCATGTACTCTATAAAAACTCACTAATAATCTTGCTTGCTTGTTTGTCATTTCACAATTCTAGAGAGCTGCTAGACATCCTACACACAGAGAATTTGTAAGATGACAAATTACAGAATTTGGACATTTTGTTTTTCCAACCCCTACCAGCTTATTCAAAGCAATTTATAACATAGCTAGTAAATTTGTATAATCATATTCAATTGCGTGAGCGTACTTCATATTCCTATTGTGCATGTTCATGACGTCAGCAAACAAATCCCTCGAGAAAAAAAATTTTCCATCGGGTTAAAAATGTTATAAAACAATTGGTTCATACGTCAGCTGTGCGTTCATCGAGATATGAAGCACGCGGGAAGTTTGGAGAGCACTCAAGAAGCTAGAGTTGCTCTCGGCTACGCCTCGCATCTTTCGTGCTCTCTAAACTTCCCGCGTGCTTCATATCTCGATGAACGCACGCTGACGTATGAACCAATTGTTAATTCTTACACCCCAAATAAATGTCTCAAGTGCGGACACGAATGTATGGTTAAAAAATAAATTTATGATGGCAAATTTATCAATATTTTTCCAAATACAGAAGAAAATTTTACTAACCTCTCTAAACTTTGTGCCGCTCGCAACCACCGCCATTTTCTTCTTCTGACGTAAAAATTGAAGCGCGCGCAGACTGTTGAACGACCGCAAGAACCACGGGCCTTCTGCCCAGGCCATTCTTGAAAGAGTCCAATTTTTGGCGTATTTCTCGCCGCCACGACTGATTGATTGAAAGGAGCATAAGCGAAAACTGCAGAAGGAGATGTCTAGTTCGGGCGAAAGTGACCACTCTAGATCTCTGAGTCCCACGGTAAGACAGTTCGTTGCAATCCCAGGCACAATATTAAAGTAGGTAAATGTAAACTTAAAATTCGCCGAAAATTTTCAGCGAAACGTGCGATCGTAGTCCGTTAACTTTAGTCAGCTTTAGTTGGGGTTGCCGTTTTGAGAACTTTAGTGTACCTTCGGCCTGGAGCTACACTGAATGCACCATGGATTACAAACTCCGACTAAGCCAATTTTTTCGTGGCTAACCGAACCCTTATTTTTGCAGCGAATACAGCTGACTTTTAGAGACAGCTAAGTGGCACGTTCTCTCAAAGAACATGGAGCAAACCAAGAGGGACATTTAGCGTTTTTAGACGCTGTGAGTAGACGGCCTTGATTTAAACTTGTCAAATAAGTCTAAACTCATACTGCTATTGAAAGGAGAAGAAGGAGCAAAATGAATAACAACTTGCACTTCAGTCATCGTTTGCAATTACTTGTCAACTTGTGAAATTGCAGCGGTGAAATAATTTTGAGTGACATGTTGCTGAATTGCTAGTAATTTTGCTCCGTTTTTTGGATGAAACCACTGTTAAATGATCCAGGCAGGTGGTAAGTACGTTGTAAATGGTTTTGCTCCTAAATACTGTAGTTTTTAATAAAACCACTCTTTCAGTTGAATGAAAGTACTTCATCTGTCGCCCTTTAACAGAGACTGTATGGTAATGAATGTAATACAATTTATTTAGGAGCAGCCAACTGTACAAGACCTGCTGCAGTCCAGAAAGTATCCATTTTACGCTTAGCCATTTTTCAAAAGACGTATAACTGAAAAAAAAAAAAAAAACATCGGGCGCCACGTGAAGTCGAACACTGTACTGACTCTGAATGAATGTTACCAATCAATTGATGCAACATGACACTCTGGCGTAATGATTGAGGTGGTCTTGTGTGATAATTTGCCAGATCAGCGCAAAGTGGCCCGGAATTTTAGCGTAACTTGTAGCACTTGCGAAATCATAATTTTCTTTTCTTTTTTGTAGGGCCGCAAAGGCAGGATAAAGACACGCAGGGCCGTCCCTACATTAATGTTATTTTCAAGAAACAGCAAATCAGTCTCAATAAAATAATCGTAATTGCTCCATTATGGTCCCCATTTCTCTTGTTTTGCTTTTCTAAGTAAAAACATCAATTTCCTTAATAAGACGGTTAACTTTACTTTAAAATGGTGAAGTTGATCATGAGTTTTTATCACGTTTGGTGGCTTCAAAAGAAGCCGTTTATTTGTTAGGCAGCTTTCTGTTCACTGCAAATTTCTTGAACTCTTTCCATTGGACGGGAAGCTGCCTTGCGGCTGTGCTCGCCTAGGAAGGCAGGCGACTTGCCAAGAAAAAACTTCAGGTGGACAGGAGCGTCGACTTGACAACCACCTCCTGTTACTGTTAGACATATTTTCAGAGAAGAACCAAGGCTTGCTGCTATCAGCTCGTCTTTACTGGCGAGGTATGCACTCCCTAGAGATCTAACGGCAACCCAGGGAAGATCGCTCGCAGTGCATCGTGACGCACGGTGTTGGTTTCGTTGCGGAACAGGGGCACTTTTAAACCCTTCTCGAATAGAAGACATAGTCACTCTCTACATTTATCGTTGCGAGGTGGATCGACACACCTGTTCTCGAAGGCGGCGATGAAATCTTCCGGCAAATGTTCGGCTGGTTCCCATGTATTTTCACCAGGGGAGTAATTCTGCCATTGGATGATGTATTCCACTTTTCCTCCTTTACCTCGTTTTGCAACAATGTGCTCCACTTCATAAACTCCTATTACAGTTGGCTTTACCTTCGGACAGCATTTCCAAAAGAAATCCTACAGTTGCATCAGGCTCTTTCATATCCCTCCATTTTTCAAGTACTACAGATCCTCATCTCTAGAGCACTGATAATCTGTTTTTATATTGCGAAGTTTGCTTTCTGGTATTTGAAGAACTGCTCCAAGTTCCTTTCAACAGGTTCCTCGCCGCCCTGAGTAGATTTGTTTTAAAATCGTTCAATTTTCAGAATTTTCAACACAGAGCTAAGCAAGGTTCTGGTCGTAAATTCTTATAAAAAATTCAATGATTGTAAGTCTACTGAGCAGGGCTCGTAAAAGCTAAAATTTCGTACGCTAGTCGCTTCGTCTTTCGAACGGAATATGTTATTTTTAAATGCCATTTTCAAATGTTGATATGTATTATTGAAGAGAAGATATGAATAAACGCCTTTGAAAAACAAATGTGACTTCCTGGAATGATGATTAGAAGCGAAAAACCCAAAAGCAACACCAAAAACTAATACGTGACTTTGCTAATTGATCCTTAAATTTTACAACATTCGTTGATCATGCAAAGAATCGTTCAATATTGGATGGGGTATTTAAACACAATCTTGATCCGATGGGAAGGATATTTGAACGAGCCAATATTCAAGAGTTAAAATGCCCGGTTTATTGTCGGCGGGGAAGGGAGAGAGATGTTGAAGCTTCGAATTTATCGATGTGTTAGGTCTGTACAACAAAAGAAAGTTTGCCTTTCTTAAATAAACTTAGTTTGCGTATGTTTCTTCGAAACTTTTTCAGAAACTACATCCATTCCACAAGAAATTAAGAACAGCATCATTCATGAGTAAGTTTGATCTTTTTGGAAATAGTATAACTAGTATAACTCGTATAACTTATTATGGCTGTTTTTGATGTTGTAATCGAAGAGAGATAACATAGTTTCGTGAGTCAGTCACCAGACAAGTCAATTAATGTGCGTACGAACGTATGGCTCGCTAAAGAAGGGGTTTAAGCTCTGACATCAGGTAAAAAAATCAAGGGGTAGATTTGAGTTATGATTTTACTAATATGCGTGTAAGCATTACCCTTCACTCGCTTGAATTAGTCACAAATAGGAAGGCACAACCAAAGGATTTTGGTGTCATTGTTTGTATGAGATAGCTTTTCCTTACTTTGGTCGTAAATCCATTTTATTTCGACTTCTGAAAGCCATTTGATTAACGTCTATTACCGTCTATGATAAGAACCAGACCGGAGTTATCTCAAAATTGACATGGCGTGAGTCAGGAATTCACCCTAACGAGTAGCTTTCCCTTTGCCTTGTTCTGCACGACCTCGAGAAGAACTTTTAAGCAGAAGGAGCGAACACCGTAGTAAATGGTCAACATCTTTTCTTACAGATTCTTGGTATCAGAGGAAGGTTTCACTGAGGACTGCACAATACTCACTCATCTAAACCAGATTGAGGTAGCAGTTTCCTAATTAATTTCTTGTTCATAAACAATATGATATTTTTTGAAAACTTTTCAGATCTACAAGATGAAAGTTCCGAATGGCAAAGTGAATTATCTTTTGTTCGGGCTAAAATAACCAGTTTTTCCCACTATGCCGTTATTTGTCGTCTTAAGAACAACAAACTTCGAAAAGAGGATTCTAGGGAGGGTCCAGGATTAAAAATCAGCGTAACAGATTTCCCGCGTTTTTTGTTAAGCCTTTGCAAGTGTGGACCTCGTCATTGAGGTAAAGGCAATAGATATAATTGAAACACTCTCTTCTTTACATCTTTTCTGTTTTAAAATTGTATTGTTTGCGCTGTTATATCACACGTAATTCTATACACTTTTAAGTTTAAAAAACTTCATTCTTTACAATAAAATACTTGCACTCTTCAAATTGCTTTACAGATCAGTATTACATAATACACGTCAATCCTTTAACTTCCACGATCCAATAATTCTCTCCTCTTGCTGCTACACAATTCCTTGGAAATTATTTGTGAGAATTTGGTGTAAGATCAAGATTAAAATTTCTTCTTGATAAGTTTTAGTATTCTCATTAACCGTTTGCTCTAAATATCATAGGGAGAAGTTACGTGTTAGTCACTTCTGGGAGTTAAAGGGTTAATCATCCTGACGTGATTAAACAAAATGCTTACAACACTACTCATAAAATAGGACAGTAAATCATTAAAAGAATTAAAGAAAAATGCAAAAGTAATAAAGAACATAAATATCCTGACTGGTCATCCAAATGTGTTTTAAACAAGTCTGAATATCCATAAAATTTTATCATGAAGAAAAAAAAACGTTCAGAAATATGATTCCGAAAAGTGAAAGGGAAAAATAGCCAACAATGTTTGTTTTTAATCTTTGTTATAAGAGAAACGTACAGGATATGACTTTTGAGCTTTAAAAGCTGTAAATGCTGGCGTTATGCCCGGTCAGCCGAATGTAAGAAGATTCAGCAGTAAGGTTGAAACGAGTAGCAACGGCAGTAAGAGGTCCTACAGGAGGCGGTACACCACCTGTAATTGGCTGTTATTGAAACCCCTGCGGTAGTAATCACTAAAAGGACAAGAATAATGATACTAAAGGCTCCCTGAAATCAGCGGTACCCTCGCACTGTGTATTTGTTTAATTTCCCCAAAAAAAGATGTGAAATCTTAATTAGATGAGATGTGCATCTTGGAATCATCTTGAACTCGCAACTCTACAGACAACAGAATTCTGAAAGTAGATCAATGATTTCGTCTGCTTATTGAGTCATTATTCAGATGTGACATGCTATGATGAAATGTAACACCAGCTAATTTACAAGTGTTTTCACATAAATTAGAATTAAATTTTAAAATAAATTATATGACAAATGAATAAACATTTTAACATTTTTAAAAGTTTCAGTCAGGATGATAAAATACAATCTAAAATAATTTCACGTTACGCCAAGAAATAAAACGATAATCATATGCACTAAAAAGTTGGGTAAAAGGCCCAAAAGATCAATGTTCTTTACACCGTTTTTGAAGGTCTGAATAGTTCCAACAGTTCTGTGTGACTCTGGCGGCAGATTCCATAGCTACGACGCTAGGTAACGCCACGATTTCAGTCTCTAGGTTGTGTTGTCCTTAGGCAATTTTTTGAGTGTCGGTTCCCTCAGATCTTCTTTAGTGTTTCTAAAATCTATTAAGTTTTTTATACTTTTAGGAGCATGATCGTAATTAACAGCTTTAAAAACCGTACAAACTATTTTTGCGAGTCTTTGATTAGTCAATAACAGTAAGCCTATCTTATTGAGTAGTTCCTGGTAGTGCGTTTGTTTTTCATTTTAAAAAATCGCAATGCACGTTCGTTTACTTTTTCAAGTTTTGCACTAGCACTTTTACTGCAGAAGGGCTAGGTCTCAAAGGAAGAATTGAAATGGGAAAGGATGAATGCAAAATAGATGTTCTTTCTTGTTTCGAAATGGAGCATCTTTTTCTTACACTTGAGGAAGGCAAATTGTTCAGAGACTTTTCTGCAAACTTTGCCTACATATTTTTCAAATTTAAGTTTGTCGTCTATCATAACTCCAAGCTCCTCAAAATCTTCGGTAATGGGGATTTCTGCGTTTTCACAATAAAACTTAGGCGTGGTTTGCGTCTTTCCCATGAAGATTGCTTCAGGGTACTTTGCTGGGTTTCTTCACATACCATTTCCCTCGAGCCATATGTCTTCACGAGCGGGGTCATTGTTGATGGTTTCTTCAATTTTCGCGGACTCTTTGTCGGCATAAATTATCCTCGTGTCGTCTGCGTTGGCAGTTTGTCAGAGCGATTGACGAAGGGCTAATGCTCGAAACGGCAGCTTTGAAACTCTTTACGGTGGCCAATTTACGTTATCAACTCAGTTGATAATACTGAATTACTCTTTTATACTCTCCCACCGACGCAGTACCTCAGTTTCTTTAGAAACTTATCACCTTCATCCTATAAAAGTAAAGCATGTTTTACCAGTAAAGCGTATTTTCTCATCAAATAAAAATTGTCACTGAATGGGAAAACAAAAATCGCCTGGAGGTCAAGAAAGATTTTTAAAGCTCTGATGTTAGAATCTTGGTGATGGAAAATGTAACCCTTGTTGGATGGGCGCTTCGTTTGATCTCAAGTTGTTGACGGATCCATGCAAATGTACCGTCACAGGATATTTACCCAAGGAAATGTCGGTCATACTAGGTAAATTCAGTTTTCCGTGTAAAGGGGTCATTTACTGCGGTGAAAGTACCCTTGTAGCTTTAACATTGTGAGCTATTTTCAGGGTTTTTTTTTCGAACTTCTAACCCTGTTGATAGAGTTTTGCAATAAGTCAAACACGTTGCTTCATTTTTATTGACATTCATTTCTAAAAATACCATATAATGTTTTGGTGGATTTCTTTTCCTCGTAACAGGGCCGCTCTCCAGTAATTTTCAGGGAAATACCTCAGTTGAATGAGGAACCTCCGGTTTGTGAAGCTTCAGCTTCTGTGGAGTCGTCTGTAGATGACTCGGGTGAGAGCTGTATGAATTTTAATATAGTAGTAAGGAACGTGAAAGGAAGAATGCTGGAAGAGAGGTTGTGATACCCCTATAGAATTTTCATGTAGTAATTCTGGATAGACCTTTTCGGATAAAATCACACTTCGCGCGGTTAGGCAGCTGTGTTGGCTGCTCCTTCTCTTTCTTTTTTGACAACTTTGCGAGGGTAAGTACTATTATTTGGTTTAAACACATGTATAATGGAGAGTGCGAGTAACTGACTAAAGCCCTTGCCGCCGAGAGACCTTCAAATAACGACCGACTTCGTCCGGTGCAGTCTAAGTATCTATACCCCTTTATTTAATTGTATAAAATGTCCTCTAGTCTTACTCCTCATTAAATTTTCCTCTTTCTCTGCCCTTCACCTTAAAAAGAGTTCTAATTCCTTTAAGTCATTGCAATACAGTCTGTCTGAATAAGTTTCTTCATTATCATCATGCTTATGATTTACTCCCTAAATGGTTTGATTTCTCATTTTGCATTCTACACTGCAAAGTGCTCGAGCGTACCGGGCTCGGTTGTTGCAAGACATAAGAATATTAATTTACTTTAAAATAGCAAACCATTGCTGTTCTCTCCGAGGTCCTGATGTCAAAGTTGATTATAATTGTACTTGAATCTTTCCTCGGGTAGTTGTTAAAAATGTTTTTCCTTTTGTAGTTATAAGCTGGTTCTGGTTTTTTTTTTTATTATTATTATTATTATTGTTGTTATTATTAGCCCAAATCGAAAAGTTGAGAAAGTCAGTTGTTACTCAAAGGATAGCAACCCTTTTTAAAGAAGACATAGGAAACTGCTGGTCAGACCTTGGACCATTTCTTGAAGTTCGTGAGAGCGAAATTCGCAACATAGACAAGGATTACCATAAAGCTCGCGATAAGGGATTTGCTGTTCTCCAGTCATGGAGGGATAAGAAAGGGCGCAAGGCAACTGTGGGACGTCTTGAGTCTGTCCTTACTGCGAGAGGCATGAAAAGGATCGCAGAAAAATTGCTAGGTACTTAAATCTGTACTTTTAATGGAAATCGTCCATTTCGCTTGAAGTCCACAGAATTCTCCCAATGAGTTCTTGAAATTTTCTGTGGTACAGTTAAACGTGGTCACAGTGTTTTTAGTTGCTTTTACAACCTGCAATCTGCATTTGTATTATTCATTCATACGATCTAAATTTTCTGATCATTGAATTTCCTCGTTTCTGGAATAGAAATTGTACGAGAAGAAAAACGAGGAGAGAGCAAATATCATGAAACATATAGCAGTGAGGAGGAAGGTACGATCAATATTTACACGGATTCTCCTTAATAACTTAGCGGTCTGTGAAGAATTAGCGAGTGTATAAATAATGATGCATGCACTATCTTATGTATCTCGCGCTTTTCATATCATATTGGCTGAACTCATCGAAAGTTTCCAGTTGTAAGGCATCCCCAAACAGCCAATTTTCAAATCCTCTTGTAGTGTTCTAGAACACAGAGAAGTATTGGGATGACCTTTTCTGACTCATGGTTTAAGATGCGCTTCATCTCATGTTTTAATACATCATTCAGTACCATGTCTATGGCTACTATCCTTTCAGATGCTCAATATAAGGCTTATAGAGGTTTTTGTCGTGATCTTTTTAAATCCTGAAATCCTACTGCAGTTTTTCCTTTTCGGATTCACAAACCAGGTTAGGCATGTGTTTGTGCCAGTGTGCAGTTGGTTGAAATCTTAACCTCAACCTGACTGAAAATCTCAGTGAGTAACTAATTCTGTCGTGACTTTACATCGTAAATCATTATATGAAGCTAGCAAATTGATCTCTATCCACCAGAGCTTCAGAGCGGACATTAATTTGTCACTTGTAAATTCAATACGCAAATGTCACTAGAGTCTTCTCTTTATTAAATTTTGAACATACGCAAAACAAAATGTTATAACATGGTTTTCATCAACGGCTGAGTTGAAAACAGAGAGCACTCAAGAACCCGTCACTCCATGGGTAACCTAGAGAAGCCTTGAATAACATTTTAGCTGTTATTGTCTTGTAGAGATAAATAACACAGAAATGTGTTGATTCTAAAGTGCACAACTAGTGTGCTAACGATACCGTGTGATTCGCCTAAATTCCGTTTTTCATGGCTGTCCTGGAATTAATAGGTGATATCTTTTGGTTGTTCTTGCGTAGTGATGGATAATTTTTACTAGATGGTAACTACTAATGTTATATTTAGTCTTTCCTTGGTTATTATGGGGCGAAACCTGGCAACACCAAGCCAGCGAGAGAGAAGGTTCCCCTAAGACGATGCCCAGTGATGCAAAAGAGGTCTATGTATCGAAGACACGAGACGTGAAACAAAGTGGAAGGAGAGATGAGGCGGGAAGTGAACAGAGGAAATTGGGTGAGTTAAAAGAAAGTATCAAAAACGTTAGAGAGATGGATCAAGTCGTGACGAGACTCAAATCTAACGTATGTGAGTTTCAGTTGTGACTGTCAATAACCTTTTAACCTTTAAGAGTGACTAGCGTTTAACTTCTCCCTGTTAAAACACCCTTGAATTTACATTAAGGTCATGAGAATAAAGGAAATGATTACCAACTAACGAAACTCCCGATTTTTAAGCAAATTCTCTTTGTTAGCACCTTAGGAAATGTATAGAGAACAGTATAGAGAATATGCATACTGATGATAGAGTGTAAGGGGATAAAAGCCATGCAATCATTACGAGTCTTCCATAGATTATTGACATGCTCATTCTTCATAGGCTCTGTACTGTCAAGCGCCAATGTTCTGTAAAATTTGAGCATTTGCTGGAGCATCATCAACCTGATCTACCTAGTTTTTTTTCAGTTAAAATCTCGGCATGTGGGTCGTATATGGTCAGTTTAAAAAGTTGTAATTATTTGATGGTCGAAAGCGCTCATGAATGGGGTTTTGTATTGTGCTGATTGACTCAACTTATAGTATTCCAGGGATAAAATAAGGATTCTGCTGAGTTGAGTGTTTTCCAGCCTTTTGCATCTTTTTCTGTTTTTGATCACTCAAGGGATGTTTTTTATTAAAACGTTTTAAAAGGCTTCATCTAATCTAGTACTTGTATTTATGATAAACGGTTGGGACCCTTGTCGAAAGTCTTTCCAAAATATCCTTAGAATTTCTCTTCGATCAAAAATGATTCCTTAGTAGGAAAGAGTGTCACCTTCTGAAAGAAGTTTGGCCATAATCTTTTCTAATCGTTTCTTTGCCGCACTTTATTTATTTATTTACAAATAAAAAGGCTGTTTCTAATGATAAAAGTTGAATAGCATACATTTCATGGCAAGCACTGAGCTCTCTAGTGTTCCTTTGCAATTGCATATTTTTGTTTTCTTGTTTCTCCTTTTCCTTGCTTTTGTTTCACTCTCCCTGATGAACCAAAGTGCAATATGAAGATATTTTCTGGTGATCTCGTAAATAAATAATGCATGGCAACCTCCCTGATTTTATAGACAGTGATTGCTGTCCAGTGTAACACAAATGTTACTTGTTTCCATGTGATCATCCTTCGTTTCGAACAGTTGTGTAACCATAAAAATACAAGCGACTATATATCGTACATTGCTGATCACACATTTCATGGTCATTTTAAATTGAATTGTTTAGTTGAAACGGAAACGGCAACCGCGGCAACTGGTAGGGCAAGTGATTCAACTCTTGACAAACCACCGGGCGACGAGCGTAGAAAGATTTTGAAAAGAGTAAAACGGGAATTTGTAAGAGATATGGATGCAGATACAGTTTTACTACAAATGGCAGCTGAGGACGTCTTCAACAAAACTGGCGAAGAGGGAGTAAAAGTGAATCAAATACGGTTGAATAACAATTATCGAGGATTTTTATGCAACAGTTCGTATTCGTAGCCCCACCCCTCATCTCCTCTTCTTTTATACTGTCACTCACCCCCCTGGTAAACATTTCTTTCTCTACCCAACCTTCTGCTGTTGTAAAAATCAAAGATTACAGCTATAATTTTCACCAAGATAATCATATACGCTCGCCCGCCGAAATTACGCCTGTTTTGCAGGCCACTGTCATGCCGATGCAAACTAAGTCGTTCTAAGGATTTAATATCAGCTGATTCTAGAGGGGTTTCGTGTGACATAAATTGATGATTTTTTATAACGGCGTTAATGTTCTCCATTTTACCATGTCAAAAATAGGACTGCAACACTGTAGATGAGGGAGCACATACATCTCATATTGAGACCTGCCATTATGTCCTTTCATTGAGAAAACGACATAATTGCTGAACTGCCCACCTTTGAAATATAATTAATGAAAAAATAAGCATGTTATGAACTTATTTCATGCAGAAAATTGTAAATTATGTGACTACTCTAGCTATTTTATAGATTTACTCTATTGTTTACCCAAAGAGGGGGAGGGGGCGCTGATTTTCTCAGCGAGTCAACTTGCAAACTGTGTGACCACTCTTGCTATTTTGTAGAAAAGGCAGTAGGTGGCTGCAAACTAGGAGAAACCAAAGAGGAACGCGGGAAAACTAAAGAGGAGCTCTTACTTAAGAAGAAAAAGGCTGCAAGAGGGAAGGGAACATCAAGGATAGGTAAGAATTACGGTGCTTAACTCAAAGCAAGCTGACAGGGTAAGACAGGCACCTGACTCGAGTAAGTTCTTAGATTTACTCTGTTGTTTACCAAGGGAGGAGGGGCTGATTTTCTTAGTGAACTAACTTTGCTCGGTCGAACAATTCCCACAAATGATTTTGTTCTAAACAAGGTTGATGGGTGATAACGTGGTGAAGGGAAGGTAACTGCCTCAGATTCTGTTTTCCTATCAAGTGGTTACCTGTTGCTGGCATAGTATGTCACCGAGGTTCAGTTGTAGTTTGATAGTAGCGCAAACGTTTGTGATTGGTTTTTTTTTCTTGTCAGAGTTACGTCGAGCCGAACGGTAGGACAACCCCGTCTGTTTCTGTTTCGAAAACCAAGTGAAGAGCTCAAAGAAGTCGAAGAAAACAATGCTACTACAAATAAAGAAAAACTGCGGAAAGACAAAGTCATGTGATGGATATGATAGTTAGTTGAATAAATTGGCAAAACCCTAGATTGAATGGGCTTGAAAACATTTGCATAGGCTTCTACTGACTTGATAGGCAGGATGCATTTTAAATATGTCGACCAAATAATTCTGCTTGTCCCCTCCAACTTTTTTATAGACAAGTTGGAGGGGAATGATATAAGATTTCTTCATTAAGTCAGAAGCGATACGCCAGACTACTAATAAACGTCTATATTATGATGAACAGGCATGCTTACGCGTCTTTGAGTGAACTGAATATAAAAGTTTACGCAGACATTCGCTTTTATTTTCAAACTCTTTCTTCAGTCGTGTAATGTTATCGTTCGGTTGAGAGTAGTCCTGAAAGGGTCTTTTGACGGTTAAAGTGACTGAAGTTTGGAAAACTCACGTTGGAAGCTGGGATTCGAGTAAAAAGTACTTAAAATGATGATATTTGTTACTAAAACTGCCTGTTGGATTTCTAAGCTTCTTAATTGTACCATTGAACACGGAAAAAGCTTGACGCAAGTGTCAAGTGTGACATGCCTTATAAGACCGTGGAGGTTTACAATTTTCAATTATCGTAGATCTGAATGTCTCTGGCTAGATAAACGAACGTCATCAACACTGGAACTTCTGAATTTTGAGAGTTTCCATTTTTCGCTTCGGAGAGAGTACGACAAACAAACAATTTTTCAAAGACGGATTTATTGTTAAGTATCAAAAGAATAACTGTTTATTGTTCAAGACCAGAAAGTTCTACCACTATCAGTTATAATTAGGCTACGTCGAAAGGCTACATAGTCAAGAAAACATTAAAGCTCGTCAAGCTTTGGACAAACCTGCGTCACTCCAGGTATATACATCACTGACATGAATTGAAAGATGTTGTTGCTTCATATATAAATAACTTTAGCCATAGAAGACGTTTCAGTCTGCCTTGCACTTTTTGTTCCAATACTGTAAAACAAGGCACGAAATCGCGAGTGCCATAGCTGCATTAAAATTTTTTTTTCCAATCGTCATGTGGTACATTTTGGTCAACAGAAAAATTTAAAATGCAAAAAAAAGAAAGTTTCTTTGCCTCCAAGATATCCCTACTTCTAAATTATGTCCAGCTGAGTGTTAAAGAGTATAATGAGAATGTTACGGACGTTTTGTTTGATAAGGGGATGACTGACACGAAAACCATTGAAAAGACTAAAAGTTAGTCGCCCGCTGGCGAAATTCTAATCAAAATCAGTCTAAAATTCTCAATCGCGGCGAACAGCCGGTGGCAATTTAGAACCCTATCTCATAAACCACGTTCTTTCCAACCTAGCTTTCGGCTCCTATTTTATCTACTATTGACAACCGACGTTTATGAGAAATCTTGCTTAAACTTTCTGACTTTTTCAGTTATTTCTCTCAACCCTTCTACGTTTTCGTTCTCCGCTATACATACTAAAATGTTTTGTTCAATGACCTCTTTCAATGCAGCTACTTCCATCAGAAGGTTGTGCATCGTTTCAAGTGGCTCGTTCCTCCTCGCGTTCTGCTGCCTCCTGGGAAGTTTATCTACATTGTTCAAAGCCAACAAGACAACCATCGTAAGGAGCACTCTATTAATCATCTATTAATCAAAAGTGATTTATAAGAAATACAAGTAAACTTTCCTTACTTGATTAAAAGTTACTGATAAACCTTGATCTAGTAGATTAAGCGTTTTAAAACGTTTTAATAAAAAACATCCCTAGATTGATCGAAAACAAAGAAAGATACAATAGGCTGGAAAACACTCAACTCAACAGAAACCTTATTTTATCCCTAACATACTCTAAGCAGCACAGTATACTCTTAAACCCAATCAACGAGCGGTTTGTACCATCAAATAATGTCAAAAATTGCAACTTTGTAACTTGACCATATACGACTCATGATGGCAAGACTTTAACTGGAAAAAAAACTAGGTAGATCGAGTTGATGATGTGTCCGGCAAATGCTCGAATTTTACAGAACATCGGCGATTGTCAGTGCAGAGCCTATAAAGAATCAGCATGTCAATAGTCTATTGAAGAAGAATCGTAACGATTGCATGGTTTTAAACCCTTTACACCCTATCATCATTGTACATTTTATCTTTACTATCTCTATACATTTCCTAAGGTGCTAACAAGAAGAATTTGTTTAACAATCAGGAGCTTCGTTTGTTGGTGATCAGTTTCCTTTATTCTCATGACCTTAATGTGTGATTCAAGGGGTGATATTGTAAGGAGAAATTAGATGCTAGTCACCCTCAGGGGTTAAAAGGTTAAGCACACTCAGAACTGAAACTCACCTACTCCAGATTTAAGCCTCGTCACGGTTTGATTCATCTCCTTAACTTTTCTGAGACTTTCTCTTAACTCATCCAATTCCCATTTTTCACTTCCTGTTTCAATGTGAATATACGACACAGTTGGTTACTCACTGAGAGTTTTTGGTGAGAGTGAAGTAAAGAATTCAAAACAAACCATGATAAAAACATGTCTGGCTGATTTGTAAATCCCAAGTAAGATTTAATAATTTAATTTGATCACAACAAGGACCTCTACAAGCCTGAAATTGAGCTTCTCAATAGGGGAGAAGAAATTCTGGCCCCGATCGCCATGCAGCTTAACTTATTAAACGGTAATCAGAAAAGAAATGGCGCCGATCAAAAAATTAAAATGTATTGAAACACAAGATAAAGTGCATCTCAAACAGTGAATCAGTAAAGGTGATTACTCTTATACTTTCCGATGCCCTGGACCACTATAAGAAGACTTTTTATAACTGCCTGAGTCACCTGGGGATACATTACAACTTAGAACTTTTAAAGAATTCAGACAAGATCATATAGAAAGCGAGAGACACTTGAAATGTTTTATGCATCAATATTCATGCATTCAGTAATTCTTCAGAGAGTGTAAAGGAAAAATCTCTGTAAATGTTGGTCATACCTTCCAACGGGCTGCTGCATGTTTCTTGATGCTCTTCTGCCTCCTCGCCTTTTCGTTCGCCTTCTCTAAGTTTTTCCTCTCGAGCAATGTCTATTCCAGAAACAAAGAAAATCAATGATGAGAGAATTTAGATAATGTGAATTAATACTGCAAATGCAAATTGCAGGTTCTGACAGCAACTAAAAACACCGTGACCACCTGAAATTGCATCAGAGTAGATTTGAAGACCTCATCAGTAAATACTCTGGATTATATTCAATCGAGATGAATGATTTTTAAAAAACATTCTGATTTAAATACCTAACAACGTGTCTGCGATCCTTTGCTGTTTGATTCGATTAAGGGCGGTCTCAAGACGTCCCACGGTTGCGCGGTGTCCTTCCCTATCCCTCCATAACTTGAGCATAGCACCTGCCTTTTCTTGATCGCTTTTGTTACTCCTGTCTATACTATCAAGTTCGTCCTCAGGAACCCAAAGAAATGCTCAAACGTCTTTCCAGCAGTTTCCTATGATTTTTTTAAAAAGTGTTGCTATCTGTAGAGTAACAATTGTCTCTCTCTCCTCGGTTTGCACTAAACAAGAAAAAAAGGAAACAGCTTATAACTTCAACAGAACATGTTTCGGCAAATATTCCAGACAAGATTCAAGAATAATTTCAATAAACCTCGACATCAAACTTCTTAAGAACGGAATTCTACTTTTAACAGCTGAGAATGTAAATCGCGAAAAGATTTGTAAAGAATCTACGTTAAAATTAAAAAGCTGAATTAAAGACTTAGCTTCTAAACATAATTACCGAAGACAGTTCCATGTTTGACCTAGCACTTAAGCACTTGTGCAGTTTGGTGTGTCTTTGTTCTGATCAGTTCATGATCAGCATTCAGACAGTCGTACCAAACCACTTAAGCCACACGTTTTTTCCATCTTTGCTATTCAAAAAGCAGTCCTGAGAACTAATAAACGTCTCGCTTGTGAACGACTTTTCCTGTACTTGTAATTGTTTCCAACGCGATACAAGTTCGGTAGATCTAAAGGAACTCATTATAACTTTGTATATTCGATACGATTTCAATTTCCGCGTAAAAGGAGAAGCCTACTGTAATTCGTGAGTGGTCAGTGGTTACGCTCGTGAGGTAAAGAATGGGTTTGTGACTTTCTCACTCAATTGAAAGACTCGCGTCACTCTTATGAAATGGTTGAACGGAATACAGACTTCGAGTAGTCTCTTATTTTTCTTAAAGATAGTGAGGTCACGCGTATCCTGTGAGCATGGTGAATCCGCGAGACGCGAGACTCGTATCTCGCGTCTTCGCCGCTCCACGCTCTCAGAGTTGGGCAAAGACAAGACACGTTATTTCCGGTGCGATACAAGAGGTTCAATGGTTATCTCGATTATCTAAACACATTTATTTACGTGGTAAATATTTGTTTTTAAATCTATGAACTGATGCTAGTCCTATTTGGAACGAAATGTATTTAAGGAGAAAGTTATGAGAATAAAATAAAAGTTGTCTGTACCACAAAGCATGCCTTCACTGTTTAGACTGATATTCCTAGAGCTTTTTGAAAAATAAAGTTCTCGTAAAGGTCGGGCCGCAAAGTTTTTTTCTGTAATTATCTTTTCTATGGCACCTTCTTCCTAGCTATGTTAGTTGGATCAGTTAAGAACGCCTCACTTTTTCAAAAATTTACCTTGAATTTGATCGGTTTTGGCGTGTTTGATTTAGGCGAACCGATAAGGTGTCATTCAAGTCTTCCTGTTTCTTTGACTGACACGTGATGTTTACGAAAGTCGCCTCGATAGATAAGATAGAGTTAATATACATGGCTGTGGTATTTGTTTTTTGCTGAGTTCCGTAGTTTTTTGTAAATTGTCCTCCAAAGTTGTATGAAATTAAAGTCTTGAAAAGTGTCACGACAAGCCTTCGCTCGAGTGAAATTTAATTTCCTTAAAACTCTGAAAAATAAAGAGATCCGATCAAACTGATTGTGGTTTTAGTATAGGTACATGAATGTCTTACAACACACGAGAAACGAGCGAAATCCGTGTCTCAAGCAAAATCGACCGGACCGCTCTTACAGAGACACTCTCTTAACATGTTGAGATATATACGTTAGGAACTGTTCCTGAGAAAACCACCCACACAATCCGTGTTGTAGATTTCTATTGGTTTTCTTCATAGCAGGATATGCCTCCATTTTCTGGGCATTAAAACCCACTGCGTGCTGAGGAACACAACAAATGGTCAATTAAGTATTGACTGCCATAAATTTTGCAATAGAGCCCAGGCGTCATATAATATGTATTTACGCCAAAATGTTTTTCCTTTCCGCTTTATTGTCACGTCACAACGGAGCGTTCAAACTATACCTTGCTCTGAGAATAAAATTTTGCCAGTCCGGGCTTGTAAGGTTATTATTTCAACTTATTGGGTGGGAATGTAATTGCTCAGTTGTTTATCATCTCTATTACACTAACAATCCTTCACGGAATTTGAATCACTGATCTGTTTCATGCATGTCTCATAGCAGGCTCTTCCTTGGTTAATATATTTACAAAATTAAATGCTTACGTTTGCGAACATATCAGCACGGAAATTTTAGCGCCGGGTAAGACTTTCCCCTTCTTCGGTAAAAGTTCTCTTGTGGCTTGCGACATGGGAATGATTAAAACGAATACCGTACCTGACGTGTTGAAGTCGTAATGATTTCTTTATTAAAATTAACAAGCGTCTCTTAAGATCACTCTAAGTGAGTGTAATAGATATTTGGCTTGATCATACAAATCAGACGGCAACCTGAAATAGGAAAGAAGGGTTTCTGTTCCTCTGTTTCAAAGAGCATTTTTTTAGAAAACGGGAAGTGTAATTAGGCTAATACAACCACTGTAAAGAACAAGCAATATAAACTGTACACGTGTCAGTTGTTCACGAACAGCTTCGAAGGTAAGTATCTCGACATGTTCGAAGTAAGGTAGTCAGGAAGTCACGTTTGATATCAACATGTTTTTTTACGGGTATTTTTCAAAATTATTAAGTGAACAGTTTAAAAATGCTGCATTTACTGAAGATGAACTGTCTTTCGAAGGATGTGCTTACACAGTTGCTGAGCATTGAAATCCATCGAGGAATACAGCTGGAGGTCAATCATCGACTGCTATATATCGCGCAATCGAGTCCACAATCCTTTTTTTAAGCACTTTTCACCAATAGTTTAATAGCAACTTCCTTGTTCATCCAGAGATTTGAGGTATATAAAGGTAGCATCGGGATGAGATAATGGAAGACGATATAGGTTAGACTTAAAAAAATTTCACATTGTTGAGAAATAATCTGTTGATCTGATTAAAATCTATTGGTTTAATCCTTCTAACCAGACTTCTCTGATCATGTGCAAATCTGCTCTACTACAAACAGTTATGCTGTTCTCAGATATTATTGTAAGGCAAACAAGATGGCAGTATTCTGTTGTTTTGTCAACTTTCAGAATTATCTTATTTGGTGTAGGATAACATGATAGCCTAAACATCCCAAACAGGAAAATTCATGGAAAGGTCCAAAGTTGAAAATTACACTCCTCCCTCCCCCCGTAGTATACAGAGTGTACTTAAGCTGTATTTATGTTTGAATCGCAAACATGTTCAAACATAGGAAGTTTGGAACGTCACCTAAGCGATCAAAGAGGGGCACCATAAAACTATTACAAAGCCTTATGGGGAAATCAAGTAGTTTGTATCGTGACGCAACCAAAATCGTTCGACCTCCCCCTCCCCCGGCGATAAATAATGGCCGGTCCCGAAACCCTAAGCGTTTGTTTATTAGTATCAACTTCATCTCGACGATCAGCCAAGTGATCATGTCCAAAGTATATTGTGAATGTAGAAAGCAAGGAGAAATATTACTCAGGAAGTCGAATGTAACAAACAAACGTGACTTATAACGTTTGATGCTTCCGTGCACGTTAAGCTAACTCAAAGAAGGTATATTAGAGCAGCGTAAGATATTCCGTCTCAGATTCTAAGAAAAGGGATTTCTGACCGTTCACTGCATCAGCTTGATGCAATTTGCAAATGGACTGTCGGGGATCTAACGAGCAGATGCTGACGATAGCACAAATGGAACTTCAAAGCAAATGGCACAAACACATTGGATGGAAATAGAGACAACATGACACTATCACAGCCATTTCAGAATGAATAATCGACACAGAGCTGCTGATGATCAAATTAACGAGACGAATCAGAGGCTTTGAATGGGTGTGAAGACTTTTAAAGCCAACAGTCTTTTAACGGTTAAAATTTTGGCCATGTTTTCATTGACGGTTTATATCTTTCCTTTTAAGTTAAGAAGGTAAACATTTATGTATTTTGAATCAGTTGAAACCTACAATTCAGACCAGCTCAGTTGCTCATAATTAATCAGCTTCAAACTTTGAAGCTTTGAATGTAGGTATCGTAACTGGGACATTCAGAATGGTACGCTTGGCATGATAGTGCCGGTGTTATTCTATTGTTTGCAAAGATATCAGCTACCTTGCACTTACTTGAGATGAGCTGTCTTTCAAAAATGTGTTTTGTTGAGAGATGAATTCCTTCGGGTGCTAGTTGTTAGGAAAGAGTTGTGAGTTACTGATTTCTGTAAGATCGCCCCACGGACCTTTATGTCTTACATGTACGGTAGACCTAGACAAGACTAATTTTAGCTTCTTTGTAACCTTATGTCGGTTTTCTTAGTCACGTTTATGTCGGTTTTCCTTAGTCACGTTTACTAGCCTCAGCTGTTGGGGAAACTAGCTGTCGTTCGTGACGAGACTAACAAGGAACCCTCGCTCCTCATTCCCAGTTGCTCAGAATTAAGAGACATGAAAAAATGCAGCTTTTACGTGATAGAGAACAAACGATCGCTCACCATGGGTGTTTATTTTGTAAATTTACTCTCCGTTAACCAAAATTCAATCTTTTGGGTTTTCATGGTTTGGTATTTGTCAGACCAGTTTAAAAATTGTATTATTTGTGAATGGCAGCTTAGATTTTTTTATTGTTTACAGTTGACCGAGCCTCGATTCCAAATAATTCTGCCAGACATTATTAGTACTTTTAGTTTGGTTTTGTGGGGATAACTTATTGAAAACGAATGATGCGGAATTGAGTAAGGGTTTGAAGGTAAAAGCGCCAAAGGGTATTCATGAAAGCATGAAGCGAGATATAATTCGTCGCACAATACTATTTATGTCTTTAGTGAAAGTTGTCATTTAGAAACTTTCCATTGATAAAAGAATGAGAAAAATCTCGAATAAACTTGGTCTTGCTTTAAAAGTGATGAGGGCGTAGAGTGTCTTGTAATCCAAGTGGGGCATGTTCGCGTGTTATAACTTTCAATATCAACCTCATAAATTAAACATCGTTTATACTGCTGCTCAGATAATTTGGCAATGATTTATAGTGACAACCCTTTAAAGTTGAACCTGGTCGAGTCTGGGTAATGCATATTTCTATATATTATTTAAGCATCCGATCAATTTTAAGTTTTAAAAAAGTTTAAAAATTGCCGCACAAGTTTTTTCGTTTTTGTTTTTGTTTTTCTCAATAAAACTGTGACTTGATTTCAGCAACGGTGAACAAGTCTTGACGTTAAGAGACTAGAGTCTCTTCTTCAGGACAAATTTTCAGCTTTTACTTATATATAGATTTAGCCAAGCCTAAAAGCGGAGCTCTTATTAGTTTATTTTCCAGCCCTACGTTACACTGAATAAAAACTGTAATAAAACTATCTACTGGCACGTCTTTGTATTATATTTCAACCCAACCATTTCCTCAACATATAAACACTATTACAAAGTAATTAGTCAGGGAAATGGAAAAATTTGTGGCATATACACCATGTTTGAAATGCCATGACCATAGTAAGCTAAGAGGGTTGAGGAGGATGTATGTGGGAATAGGCCCTCTTGTCTGTATCAATAATTTGCTAATCACTCCTGTTGGCAATGTTTTGATGAGGTTGGGTTAGCAAGGCAAAGGAACTGAGGATTTTAGTAGGCAGTGACTTTTTTTCAAATCTGGAAACTATCATCACAAAAGCCATAATTGTTCCCGGTAACCCACTCTTATTCTGATAAACTAGTTTTGAGAAGGATACAATATTTTATTACAAAAACTCAGTGCACAGGTTGTGCAAAAACCTTTACTTTGACCATACTTATATAGCCAATACCAGTCCCTTCAAATGGTAAAATGTTAGGAGGTTCAGAGAAAAAATAATCTGCCATACATCTGCAAGATTTGATGTAATTATTTTAATTACAAGAATATTAACTGATACTAGGGGATTTAATAATATTAAAAAAACAATAAAATTTGGTTGAAAAATTCTGTGCTATTCTGTGCATTTTTGTTCACTTCTTGTACATGCTGAGGGTTACTCTTTTTACTTTTGGCAAATGCCTGCCTATTCAGTTCTCTGATATGATCAAGATTTGATTCTTTGCGTTTGTTAAATGTCTGCCTTTGAGATTCTCTTTTTTCAATGTTTTTTAATCTTTTTGCGTGCAGAGCTCTGTTTTGCTTATTTCTGAACTTATTATTTCTTCTCCTTCTTGTCATGTATTTTTCCATATCAGCTTTCCTTTTCTGTTCATTGGTTGACCATCAGATAAGTCCTCTGACTGCGTTTCATTCTGCTTGGCCACGAGAGTGTTTTGGTTGGATATTATGGACTGATCAGTTGTGCTACTGATGTTTGTTTAACCTTATGTTTCATTCATACTTTTTATCAGTGCTCACAAGTTCCCCCATTAGTTCGATCAAAGTTTCGCTCTAAGATTCACTCGTAAAAGGTTCCCTATTTATAAACCCTCTGTGAGCTTGGAGGATCGACGAGCAAACGTTTCGAGGGGTCAAAGACTCTTCGCATTCAGCGTCTACAATCGTAGTCACATCTTTTTCTTGCAAACAGCTTTGTCTCGCCTACACATGCGCTGACTGCGTCGAGTATTAATCAAAACTTCCTCGAAGAAAAGTCGAATTCTATTTCAACGTCGCGGCATTTACTTCAGTATTATTTCGGAATATCGATATCAGCTGGTCTGCCGTTGACATATCGATTTGTTTAAAGGGTAACTGACGCCAAATTTTTCTCCTTTTTTTTTGTCCCAATACATTCCTCTTAGGTTAAAGAATCCAAAATGAGCAAGTTAACGATATATTGTGCAGAATTAAATTTTTTACAAATTTTTTTTGACGCCTAATCGACGGCCACTTTGAAAACGGTTCGATTCAGGTCACGTGATGTGATACGTCACACGTGTGTAAGGCAGTGAAAAGTGTCATGTCAAGACCTGAGACTAACAAATTCGTCTCGGCTGTTCAGCTGCAGCCGAAATTTACGAGCGGAAAAAAAGTAAGATTTGTTCGATTCTGATATAGGTCACCATTTAGAGACTACGAAATACGAAGTGAGAAATAAAATAACGAAGGTTGAATAATCGAAACGCGACGGATCGCATGTCTGTATTCAGAGCCACAGATAATTTGCACGTTATTCCAAACAGCTGTAAAAATATATATGTTCCCACAATTTTTCCTCTTAACTATTATCGAATTCTATACTTAAAGAAATGTTTTTTAATTCCAAGCCGAAAACTATTTGTCTTTAGATTTTGTCTGGAGTGTAGCACTGTGACCTCAGGCCCATCGGTTCAGGAGTGAGCGTGACTAAACGCAAAGTATTGTCACGTATTATGGGAGGTCGTCATCTGGTTTCGTGAACAAAAGTCTTCTTCCACGGTCCGGAAATGGGCAAGATTTATCCTTTTTAAACATTTTTTAATGAGACTAGTAGGCAACACAAAAGATGATTTCCTACTTTTGTAACTTTTTGTTTATTTCTCTCGATGCGTTTCGTCTCTAACTGAGAGTTTTTCACGAATGATTACAACTAACATTGAGCAGCATGTATAGCACATTCGTGTGCCTAAGTTTAATTAACTTCCGATGGAAGTGTATAACAACAGAACCATGCTGTAAACGGATGTCACAAGAATCGCCTTGTTATGAGCGCCATGCTCAAACGTTGTTTCTCATTTGCAACCGGAAACATAATGAAATCAATCCTGTCCGAAAGGTTACTCGTTTCAAAAATGTACCAATGTCAGCTGAGTGAACAGTAGATTACTCGCGCACGTTTATCGTAAATAAAACAAGCCTAAAGCCTGAGAGAGGAAACCATTAAAGCACAAGTCATATGACTATCTTGTACCCACCGTTTAAAACGCAGTGCTTTGGTAAAAAAAAAAAAAGGAATCGAGTCCGCGACAAACTCGTACTAAGGAAATAACAAGCAGGTAATGTTTCTCAAATTATGATCGCTTTCACCAAAAAGAACAGTTATCAGCTTTATAACTGTCACAAACGTGCGAGATAACTCAAACTTTAGGCTACTTTACTTTATTTACAATTCTACATGTACGAATGCTATTTTTTGCTACATCACGTTTTAAAGTAAAAGCCGAGGAATCTTAAATCGTTCGTAAAATACAACACAGGAAAACTTCAAACCGATTCAATTGCGTGTGAACGTGTATAATCCAGCCAATTCACCTCCACAAGCGTGTATGTTTATATTTTCAGTCAGTGAAACCTTAGCTTCGGAAGGTACGTGCGTGTAGCATAAAAACAATTCGCTCCCATGGTATTCAAGAGTCTGTACATTTGGTTTTCTTTACTTGATCGCTCCTACGTTTAAGAAGCAAATGATTTTCAGATACTTTATTTATAATCGTAAATGCACTCACCATTCTCGCTTTCTTGATTGAGGCGGCCGCGGCGCACGGGCTATGGATCCTCCTCTGACTCTCGCGCTCTATTTTAGGTTTCGTTCGTCCTGGCGGTTCAAATTGCCAGGGCCTGATTTTACCAACAGATTTATAAACTCTTCCATTATGTTCGCCTTCCATCGAAGCCTCAAAATCCGAATAATCAGACCCCGTAATAGAACTGCTTTCACTCGAAGTACTATCCGCCCTATTTACTTTGCTTAATGTACACACGTGTGACGTGTCAAGTCACATGATCAAAATCGAAGCGTTTATGGCGAATGATTCACGAAGCTGCATCTTGGACAGTTTTCCCGGCGAAAAAAGGCACAAAGAGGCATTCAAAACACCTTGTATCTGTTTCAATGTGTTAGCCGAGGCATTTAGACGGTATTCCGAATAAAGTGACCTGTTAGCCGTCAGTTGCCCTTTAAATCTGAGTGAGTAACAAATTTGCATATTCGGACCCCTAACAGTAGTCGTTTCTACGCTTCGCGTATCTACGACCAAAAAACGGGTGAGTCAAAGGAAGCGAATACACCCTCAGATAAGTAAAAGCAGTAAAGAACCTTTCATTTAAATTGTGTCGGATGTCTTCTAACAACACCCTTAAAGGTACGTATCTCGACAAGCAGAGGTTAAAATCTCTATCATATAAACAAGTATTTCCGAAGTTATTCGGTGGACAATTAAAATGTAATGTATTTACTTTCGAAAATGTGTTTTCAGTTTTTGATGACTAACATATCCTCTGTACCCTCCAATACTCAAAGGCCATTGGGCAATGTTGACTGCATTATAACGCGCAATCCAGCCCGGCTGCTGGCGAGTCCCCGTCTAACCAGTAAAACATAATTGATTGTTTTTTTTAGTCACGTCCAATTTTTCCTGCTTAGCTACTTCCCCCTTTCTTCAAAAATAGACGAATAAAGGTTTCGGGAAGTCATTCATACCTTCACGTGCCAGTAATTCATCTCAGATGGCTAGTGGAACAATGTAATTTTGTATGCTTCTCAAGAAAATTGAATCAGAAAATCTAAAAACGCTGCATGACATTTGCAGATTAAAAGAAGAAAAGCTCATAGAATACTAATTACTGTAAAATATATGGTAAGTTCTTCCATCGTTATATTGACATGATTACATGGTTATGTTTTTATAAATCGAAATACGGAAACTTGAACGTGAACTTATTTTGAAGGCTGCTCGGATCTCTTTATTTTTCAGGGTTTTACGGAAATTAAATTTCACTCGAGCGAAGGCTTGTCGTGACACTTTTCAAGACTTTAAATTGAGATAACTTTGGAGGACAATTTACAGAAAACTACGGAACTCAGCACAAAAACAAATACCACAACCATGTATATTAAATCTATCTTATCTATCGAGGTGACTTTCGTGAACATCACGTTTCAATCAAGCAAACAGGAAGACTTGAATGACACCTTATCGGTTCGCTTAAGTCACACGTGCCAAAACCGATCAAATTCAAAGTAAATTTTTGAAAAAGTGAAGCGTTCTTAACTGACCCAACTAACATAGCTAGGAAGTAGGTGCCGTAGAAAAGGTAACTTCAGAAAAAAAACTTTGCGGCCCGACCTTTACGAAAACTTTATAACTCCGCGAACTTACCTAATTTTCGGCAATCTCCAAGTTTGGCCGCCATTTTAAGGGACTTGTCAACATGAAGCGTGGCAGATATAAATCAAGCAGGTAGATCTAAAACCGTCAGAAATACATACAAAAGTAATTCAAATGAACTTTACTTCAATTCAAGCGGAAAAATTTGAAATCGTTCGTTAAACTTACTATTCCTACATCCCCATGCGACCATTTCTTCCAACAATTCAAACACTACAACTAGTGTTCGAATTCCTCTCGTCGATTCCACCGTAAGAAATAACCTGTGGCACCCAAGCTTCGACTCGAATGTGAAGTACGAATCAAATAAAACAACTGCTTCATCTTCGAGGCAATATCACGCTGGTATTTTGATTTTCTGATCGCCAAGAACGGTGATCAGGAAGCGATCGCCATGTTTACCTCATAAACGTGACCGTTGACCAGCCGCTGAGTGAAAACAGTATAGCGCGGGGTCGGGTGGGTGGCGGGCCTATCGTCATAAGATATTCGAATACATGCTTAAAAAGCTTTAGGACTCCCAGTCTAGACAGTGAAGGCATGCTTCGTGGTACAGACAACTTTTATTTTATTCCCCTAATCTGCAATGGAATAGAATATTTCTCTACCATCGCAAAACGACTTCTGGAAAGCTTACTTCTTCCTCAACCCTGATACGATCACTCACTCCAAAGACACGTACGGCTTCAAGTCTACCAAGAACCCCCCTCCGATCGACGAGTTAAAGGAATTTGAACACGACATGTTAAAAATAATACAATAGACGAAATTCAAACAAGTAAACAATCCTTTTCTCAACAAACTCAAAGACGACACCAAACGCATAAAACCAAGCTGCTCATCGCCGCGGACAAAACAACGAACTTTTACAAACTAGAACCGTCAACATACAACGATCTACTAAAGCAAAATATCACAAAATCCTACAAAAAAGCACAACCTAACACCACACGAGCCATCCATTCAGAAAACAAAAACATCGCAACAAAACTAGGCATCGATGACAGGGTGGACATCACAGCTAACAAAGACGCACTCATAACACTGAAAGACCACAAACCGAACTTCGCTAACAAACCGACCTGCCGATAATTAACCCCACCAAATCTGAGATAGGTAGAATCAGCAAAACAATCCTCGACAGAATCAACAGCAAAATTACGAGAACATCCAAATTCAACCAATGGAAAAATACAGCATCCGTGATCGAGTGGTTTAAAGCCATTAAAAAAAACAAATAACACCACAGTTCTATTTGCTTTGACATCGAATAATTCTACCCCTCCATCAGCCAAGACCTCCTGAACAGAGCACTCGACTTCGCCTCAGCCTATAATAACATTACCGACGACGCAAGAAACATCACAACACATGTAAAACATTCGATCTTTATCCACAAACAACAACCCTAGCAAAAGAAGGGCGATACAACATTTGAAGTCACAATGGGCTGCTACGACGGTGCCGAAACATGCGAGCTAGTAGGAAATTTCCTCCTCTCCCGAATACAGAAACTCAACATCAACATCGGACTTTACAGAGTTGAGACGGACTGGCCATTTCAAACACCACACCGAGAGACACAGAAAACATCAAAAAAGAAATATGCCCCATCTTCAATCAAAATGGACTACGGATCACCATCGAAGCCAACAAGCAGACCATCCTTTTCTTAGACGTCACTTTCAAACTGAATAAAAACACCTTCCAGCCCTTCACAAAGCCTAACACCACATTACAATACGTCCACCGCGAAAGCAACCACCCGCCAACCACCACAAAGAACAAACCCCCGGCATCAACAAAAGGCTATCATCCCTTTCATCTGACAAAGCATCCTTCGACCAAGCCGCTCCGATGACTGCGGATACCGGTACACTCTACACTACGAACCACCCACGACTAACAACCGAAAAAACAGACAACGGAACAACATCCTCTGGTACAATCCCCCATTCAGCAAAAATGTCAGCACCAATATCGGACACAGATTCCTTACCCTAATAGACCAGCACTTCCCGAAAGACCACAAACTTAGAAAAATCGTTAATCGTAACACAATCAAGATCAGTTACAGCTGCATGAATAACACTAAACAGATCATCGACAACCACAACAAACGCATTCTAAATTCATCCAAACACATCAATGACACCGCAAATAACACCAACACAAAAGACACCAAAACGTGCAACTGTCGACAGAAGAACGCATGCCCACTTAACAGAAACTGCTTCCAATCATCTCTAATCTACCAAGCCACAGTCACACGCAAGGACAACAGCACCACTGAAACATACATCGGACTTACAGAAACAACTTCAACACTAGATACAGAAACCACACCGCATCATTCCGACACACAAAACTCATAAACTCCACCGAACTCAACAGGCATATCTGGACCCTTAAAGAAAATAACATTAGCTCCTATATTTCATGGCGCATCCTTTCATCAAGATCGCCCTACAGCAGCGCAAACAAAAGATGCAACCTCTGCCTCAAAGAAAAATTACTAATCATTCGCCGACCCGAATTATCATCACTAAATAAACGTAATGAGCTCGTGTCCTCATGCCGCCACAGAAACAAAACGTTACTACGTAACAATTGTAGTATTATTTTTATGCAAATTTATAAAAAATATAATCAATGGTACGAAAATTCTTAAGAATAAAATCCCCTGATGAGTGAGCAACCACGAAATAGGCTTGTAGGGATGAAAGTATAGTCTCTCTGTTTTCTTCTCCTATCGAGTAGGAGTATGGCGACCTTTAATATTTATTTTGAGCAATAACTATCCTTCCGTTTAAATTGATAAGGAAATTCTCCGATGAAGGATAAAAGACAATTGACGATCGGTGTGTACCGTTTATTGAAATTCTGACGGAGCTCTCCGATTGTCGATTGTTTTGATCTGATTCTGCACTAGAAATTGTCAATATGGAAGAAAACGGAGAGACATTTATCATTGACTCAAAGTTCAAAAACCCGACAAATGATCGCAGTGCATACTCCATTTCTGTGAAAAATTTGACTAAATCTAAAAAAAAAAAAAGAGAGAAAGACACGCACGTCGTTTATGTCAGGTGTAGTGATAAAATTATACAAAGGGGTAAGTTTCTAAAGAAACTGTGGTGCTGCGTCGGTGGGAGAGTATAGCAGGTAATTTTGTGTTAACAACTGGGTTGAAAACATAAATTAGCCACCGTAAAGAGTAAAAAAGCTGACGTTTCGAGCGTTAGCCCTTCGTCAGAGCGATACAATTATCAATCGCTCGATCAATCGCTCTGACGAAGGGCTAACGCTCGAAACGTCAGCTTTTTTACTCTAATTTACGTTTTCAACCCAGTTGTTAACACTAAATTACCTGCTGTAGTGATAAAATTGTCTGGTCTTGCCCATTGCTATTACGATTATATTATTCATTAATCATAACCATTACAATTTCTTCAAATTTGATTGGTGCATCAGCTACTTTATATTTCACTTATAGAAAAGAAAACTGGGAAATTTTCAAATTTTTTGCTTTAGACGTTGTCTACATTATTAACATTATTAATCATTTAGACATTATTAATCATTTATCTTACAGTACTGTCTTCAGATTCACTCTACTTGACTCATCCCCTCTTCACACCCCTCTCAAGGAATGTCTGTTTTGGTTTGAACGGCTGATATGGTCTTGCTGTATTGTAATTGGGAGCTCCCAACAATTTTAGATGAAAGGTCAAGTTTTCGCTCAAATTTTCAAAAACTGCTAAGTTTTCTCCCTTGATATCCCTCTAGTTCAACAGAACTGTGACGATTGCTTTCAAGAGGTCAAACGAAAAATTTCCCATGTACATCACAATCGCAGGATGTAATTTCACAGGAGAATCACTTGGTCATTTCATTTCCATTACGAGTTGCATCGAATGACGGAGCAGACCAAATAAGGAAAAAAACACATTAAATCTTGTCCTATTGTGTCCACCACTTCCGGTTTTAAAATCGTCACGTAAACGAGAAATAAACTGCAGAGTAGGGCGGGGAGGAGAGCGGCTTTTTTACCGACCTAATAACCCATTGTTTATCAAGTAATATAGGACTGACTGCAAGCATATATTGCCTTCCCGTTCGTCCACTTTCCTTGTTTACTTAGCTAATTTGTGGTTATTCAGTTGCCATCCCCACACGAATTGTGGAGGTGCTTCCAAAATTGATAATTACGTATTTGATTGAAGGTTTCCAGTACTTAGCTGATTACACGAAAGCGATTTGTGTCACAATGATAACGGATAGTGCCCCTCTGATTATTTCTCAGATTGCTCCTGAAGTAAGTACAACCAGTTATTGACTCGGCAGACAGATAAAGAGGGTCAAAAACACGAAAATTAGACTTGGAGCAGTTTATCCAGTTAAAAGAATTGCTTATCACAAAACACGCGATAGCAGGACCTCAAGACGTGGTTTTTACAGGAATCCTTTTGTTTTTCCACGCACGGAGAATATCATCAAATAGTAGTGAGTCTTTGAGTGTTTGCTTATTTTATGTATTTCATTTTCACAACTTTGAAGACAAGATAATCACATATTCCCGGTCGGGTCACCGAATTATTACGTAATGTCTATAGAGAACTCGCTAAAAAGGGTTCTTTTCAACATAGTAAGCGGTCAGATGACAAACGATGCACTGTGGAAGCAAGGTGAGGTATTTTTATAATCTAAGAGCGGTTGTAAATATTCCCACACAAACTCTTATAACTTCCCCATGACTCTTATTTCACTTTGACACGACCGCGAAATTAGATGGTCTTTGTTCAGTTGGAATCCTCCTTGGAGACTTGATTATGTTAATTGCCATGAGCTCGTAAAAAATTTAATAACTTTAAAAATAACTAAGATCCGAAACTAGTGATGATGATGGATTAGTAAATTGCTTTTGATCTCGAGTAAAATGGTATATTTGTTTATTGCACTGATTTCCCAGATGTATTAGGGAAAGCTGACTTGCGAGATGCTTTCAGGCAGGCAAAAGATAAGGTTTCCAGTCTCTAATTCTTATATAACACATTCATGTCTGCAAATTCTTTCACGAGAAAGTAGATTTTCCCAACGTGTAACCAATCAAAACAATAATTAATTCTCAATTAATTTATGTCAAATTTACTACGCAGCAAAGACGAGGCGTAAAGAAACTGAAAAATTTCATTTGATTGGAAAATTCTTTCTGACTTTACATTAAGTCTCCGAAATTTTTAGAAAACAGATCGGTCGGCCCCGTGGCTTTGACTAGTAACAACTCTGACCAACATTCGACACCACCCGTTAGCGTTCGTCTTGTCATATTCGACTGAGAATTTTGAACCAAAAGTAGTGTGTACATGTGACGCATAATCCATCATGAAATCTGGCTACTGCATGATCCGTTTTATTTGTTTTGTTTTTGTTTTGATTTAACAACTTTATTGGGCTTATAACATAGTACTAATGACAAAGACATATTACACAGAGACAAAAATAAATGAAGATAGAAACAAGAGTAATACTAACCCAAAAGGGCAGGTGCAAACGGGACTGAAGTCCCACGCGAGGCACCGCCCCGTAGCTAAAATAAAATAATACACAAGGAATCTTAATTGCAACAAGTTTGTCTAGCGTCCACTGCACCTATAACTTTTAGCATGAGTAAGTTCTAACTAGTGTCCACGTATAGGGCCAGTCAATGTCAAAGGACATTCTCAGGCGGTCAAAAAGTGTTTGTTTTACGAAAAGCTGGAAGGAGAGCGGACTCGAAAAACTAGAGGTAAGAGGCCTGAAAAGTGCTCGTTTTACAGATTGGTGATTTTAAATTAAAGGAGTTGCTTAGTCTAGTACGGCCGTGAGAAATAAAGTTTGTGAAACTATGTAAATTAAGGTGAATGTGATTAAATAAGCACTTATAAAAGAATACCAAGTCTTTCAGTTCTCTGTCGTAAGTAGGAGGGAGTAAGTCCAGGGTAATAAGTCTATCTCTGTAGGACATCTCGCCAATCCGGGTTAATACGTATACTGATCGGAGACAGTTTCCTCTGGATTCTCTATACCTCGTAAAAAAAGAGATTCAAACTGCCATGTAACTCTTCACTTTAAATTAATCCAGGATTACATTTCATGAGTGACCGTATCTTTCCGTAAGTCAGTTACCTAAAGAAACGCCGTAACAAAACTTGCAACCGTAAATCCTCGACCACTCGATTCAGGAGGAACACTCGCCGGCTTGGACACAACTGACGACATCTAAGGAAAAAGGGTTTAGGTTATATATTTTCTTTACTGCATAGAAGCTGGAGAAGACGCTGTAATTTCTTGTAGAAAAGAGAAGAACTTGCTCAATTTCGTGCCGTTGTAAAGCCAAGTGGAATGACTCGTTTGAGGCTGATTTTCAATTTGGGGAAGTTTAAAAGAGAGGTGAATGTTGTATGCCCTCTCTGGGAAACAGTTATGAAGCTCTTCTTTCAAAAGTTGTTCAATTGACAAAATAACGCAGAATCAATTGTTTCGACTTGGATGGGGGAAAAGCTTGTAGAATACCATGCTTTGAAGAAAATTGAAAGAGTCTAAACCTGCTGTTTCAGTTCCTCTATATTGTCTATGTCATCTGAATAACCAACGACCATTTCACCACTTTTACAAACAAACGATTCATTACTTTCTTTTCTTCTCTCTTTAATCACTCTGTCTCCTCAGCCTCTAATACAAGCATTTATATACATTATCCGTGTGCTTGATTAAGCATGCGGGCCAACTGATCTTGGAGAATAGACTTCTTAATTAAATGCTGACCAAAACTGTCACGAGGATCTCACGAATGAATAACAATACACTTGAGGCTTCCGATCAAATAATCCATCTCATCATATTAAGCAAAGCCAAGTACTTAAGTGTAGGTCCACTACAAGGTCAAAAAGCGACCCAGAGATGCACATAGTAGTCGCTAACCACTAAAAGGTAGAAACTGCATGTGCGGCCTTGCAGGACAGTGAATTACAAGACCCGCGAAAGGACTTCGAAATAATCGGATAAATAAACAAAATTTCAGTAAAATCTCGACGAACTACACATCATGACTTCTATGGGGTTCGAAGAATATGAAAACCAAACAACCAACCATATTAACTTCGTAGAAAATTTAAATAAAATATCCGTTTTCAAGGCCACTGGAAACGACATCCTACTTTCATTTGAGTCTTTCAGTACTGTTCTTCCCAATTCAAAGGAAAGCAGAATTCGAATTCATTCCACGAAAAGCTCAGGGGATTATCCTCTCCTAGCCCCTATTACTGTATTTCAGCCCCCCCACCCCACCCCACCCCCCTTACGAATGCAGTACATTTATTCAACTCGTAAGGTGTTTTTCCTGATTGTATGAAAATAGAAAGATCCTTCCCATATCTTAACATGGCTGGCATGTTAGTGGATGTTAGCGTCAAGATTTATTTCCTCTATCATGTTTGTAATGAAAACAGTGAGGAGTGTTGCTTATAAACTGGTGAATTAAATCGGCTGTTCGATTAGTAATATTACTTTCTAAATTAAGGGCCGTATTAACGGTGTTAAATTATAGGGGATTCTACTGTTTGGGATTTAAAATGTGGCCGTTGGCCGTATCAACAAGTGACCAGGAAATGTATGGCCGTTTTGCAAAGCCAAAATATAGCGGCCGTAATAACGAGGTGACCGTATTACCGAGGTGGCCGTCATGCGGGGCTCCACTGTACCTAACAGTGTACGCGCAGAACTTCTTTTTCCTACATTTTCAAGGGCATCTGTAAGAACCCCTAACGTGGCCCCACTTGCTTGTCTGTATGTCCACTTGAGGCACTCCTCCCAGCCTTTGTTGCGGACATTTTTGCCATCAGCGTCAATAATGCCGATCACTGATGTTGGAAGTTTCAACCTAACACACAGATCCCTCCAGTTTTGTGCTATGTCATCAATGATTAACAGAATATGTTCTGCAGTGACGACTGTTTGCCGATTGTCAATTGTACTTGAAATATCTACGATGCAAACAAAATTATGTCATTGATCAGCATTTACTTTTTCTCGAAAAAAAATGTGCGCTGTCACAGTGTTCGTGGTATCCCCGCGTTTTGGGTGTTACATGTTTACCTTAACTAAATTAGAAGATAAGAGATACTCAGTGATATAGGTATCCCTTTCCAATGAGGTTCCAATGGTGTCGTTGTCAGCTTTGTCAGCTCTAGTCGATATCTAATAATTCTAACACCTATTGTTGGGATTTTATTATTTTAAGATATAATTGTACATCACAGAAACGCAGAAACCGAGCTAAGACCTGTTTACACGAATGTGGGGAACCCGTTCGCGTTTACATACAATCTTACAACCCCGAGATGCCGTGGTGAAGCTTCTCGAGGTTGTTATCGAACTCGTAATAAAAGAGTTTAAGATGTCACTGCGACGACGTATAGTAAAACGTTGCCGGAAAACGTAAATTATTTTCTTCTAAAATTTTCGCCAACAGCTGAAAGCGTCAACCGTTTCTGACGGTATAACGTCTTCACTTCGGCATAACATGTGAATGTAGCTTTGAGTTTAGAGTAAAACGTGACAAAATCGTTGTCGAGGTATCATTGGGACGGCTAGGAAATGTACAAATTTTTAACACACTCGCGTTTCGCTACTGTTTGGCTCATTTGATCTTTTTGTAACATAAACGCCATGCCGGCTGGGCGGGTTACCCACCTGCATGGCAAATCAGTCATCACCCCCGGCCGAAAGGCACAGCAGACCGGACAACCCTCCTAAGAAGGTCACCCAACCTATCATTTAATCGTGATCAAGATTAAAATAAGAGATTATAAAAACAGGCGGGTTACCTCACCTACCTGAGGTCCCCCACTTCCATGTAAACAGGCCCTTAAGCTGATTATTTTTTGTCAACTCTACGCCTTAGAGTAGTTAGAATACTCAAATCCTTATTGATATAATGTTTTACACCACTTGTTTGAGATCTTCAGTACACAAAGACCTCACGAATTGCAAACAAAAAAAGCGGAGATTCTGTAGACACGCGGATACGCCAAACGCTGTGACAGCGCCCTTGATAGGCGCCCTGTTTCAAATAAGCGCCCCCCTTTGAGGTACCATTACTAAATATTCGCCCCAGGTACTGCCCCAGGTACTAACCCGAATCATCACGGTAGACACTTTTCTGAAGACAACGTTTCAATTGCTTTAAACGCGATATTTACTGATTATTTTTAGCAAAATACGAAAAATTTTAAAATGAATCGCTGAAACAAACTATCCCATGTAGTATTACTAAAAAACATTTTACAAGATTGAAGTTTTTTCCTGAGGCAACATCCCTGAATGAATTTTTGTTTCAAGGCTTATAATGCCGCAGACTCCGCGGGCGTGGAATACGTGACCCTGCAGGTTGGAAGCTAGTTACGCAATGTAATGCTGAGGTCTACGTGCAATATTCTTAGATTTTTGGCACCAGCTTTGTTCTAGCCTATTGTTCGGAGATGGTCTATTTATATGATATCAGTGAAACCACTCGAATTAAATGTCACGGTTCACAGCCACGGTCCATACGCGAGCAAAACTTTTTCATAAACCACAAATTTATAAAGGGGGTATGTTTCAAAAGAAACTGTGGTGCTGCGCTGGTGGGGAAGTATGACAAGATAATTTGGCTTTATCAACTGAGTTAATAACGTAAATTAGGCAACCGGCGTAAAGAGTTTCTAAGCCGACGTTTCGAGCGTGAGCCCTTTGTATCATCAACGCATTTGATAAGAGTAAATTTTTTTTTAATAAACTACCTATTGTCAAATGGATTTGTCAATGAAAACATTATACATGAATTCGTTTTGCTGGTTTTGCACCGTGATTCTTACCTTTTTTAAGTGTCTCCTTCTCTCTTGCGGCCTTTTTCTTCACAAGTAAGAGCTCTTTTTCAGTTTTCCTGAGTTCCTCTTTGGTTTCTTCTAGTTTGCAGTCACCTATAGCCTTTTCTACAAAACAGCAAGAGTAGTCACACAATTTGTAATTTTCTTACTGAAATTAATTCATAAAATACTTATTTTTCATTAATTATACTTAAAAGTTGGTCAGTTCAGTAATTATGTCGCTTATTTTAATAAAAGGACATAATGTAAGGTCTTAATGAGACGTATGTGCTCCCTCACATATAGTACTGTAGTCCTATAATTGGCATGTTGGTAAAATGGAGAACAACAACGTCATCTATTAACATCCTAAATTTATGTTACACGAAACCTTTCTAGAATCAGCTGATATTAAGTCCTTAGAACAACTTAATTTGCATCGGCTTGACAGTCGCCTGCAGAGCAGGCGCAATTTCGACGGGTGAGCGCTCAGATTTATTTTGGTGACAATTATAGCTGCCATCTTTGATTTTTACGGCAGGGTAGGACTGGGGAGAGAAAAAAATTTGTACCAGGGGGCCGAGCGACAGTATAAAGGAAAGGAAGGGGGAGGGGGTGGGGCTATGAATTAATATTCCTTTGTCTTTTCCCGCCCCTTTCTCCCATCTTTGACTCTAACTCCAAGTCAAACATGGCCGGTTGAATAAGCGATCGCTAGCTTCTTATGGATCAATTGAGTGGAGAAAGTTGAAATTGGCTGCAGAAAGTTGAAATTAAGTTTATTGATAGTTGAGAAGTGAAAGCACAACAATGCATTATGGTGGACAGGTGAGGAGAAAGTAACAACGTTTTCAATCAGAATTTGAGGTAGTAGTAGTAACCCATCAAGCCTAAAAAAATTACGTAATGGAAGGGCAAGGGAAAAGGTAATGCGCAGGCGCGATTGCGTGCGTAACTTAGATACCCATTAGTGTGCGCTAAAAGACACCGGCAGATGACAATGAAGTGCTCATACTCGAGTGCCAAGCTTTAGTGCAGCTAAACAACGAGGGCTTCATGTGGGATAGTAGATGTGAAGCCGCGTAAGCAAATAATTCGCAACCCGCGTTTTGAGCGGGAAATCAAACTGGTGAGGTTGGAGTTAAACAATAATTCTCAGTACTTTACGATTTCTAATCAACTCGCGGAGTGACGATACCGGTAGAGCTAAAGCTTTGTCAACCGGAGGAAATTGTTATAATTCAAGTTCGTGGAGAGAGGGTTTTGAGTGAAAATAGGCTGGATGTAAAGAGACAGAGCGGCCAAAGAAAGCAAGAAGTAAAAGGCGTAAAGCGAGTCGATAAAAACGCCAAAGAAAGTTAGAAAGGACGTCAAAATAGGCAGAATACGGCGAGAGGAACGCGAAAGTGAACAAGAAAAGGCAAATATCTAGTGAAGAGCAAGGTGAGAAGGAAATACAAAGACGCTCCTGAAAACAAACTGAAAAGAGGTCATCAACAAAGAGAAGCGAATTACAAAGGATCCGAGAAAGAAGAGGAGGTAAGTCGTGTCTTATCTGGATTTTCTCTCACGCTAAGGCCTAGAAAAATTCAAACATTTTTTTACCAATCGTTGTTTGATATTAGCTTCAGTTTATAATTCAAATTAAGTTTCGGTAAAACAATGACTTAACAATGACTTGACTCATCGCCTAAAAACCCTCGCGCTGGTTCATCGCTCGAATAACATTTCAAAGTGTTCGTATTCTTAGATTATTTCTTGTCATATCGTTCGGAATGTTTAATACAGTTGGTGTTAAGGGAAAAGAGGTTATCTTACGGATTATGTTTTGCCTAGAAAGTTTTCAAACGATAGCGAACGGCGTGAGCAAATTTCTACCTATTTTTCTCTTCAGTTAACTACCGCAGAATCTACTCTATTCATGAAAAAAAAAATCGTGCTTTGTCGAAGATCTGTTTTTTTACCCTAAGAACGAAGAAATGGCCTTTCTCAAAATTGAAATAACATGAGATTGAGTCAGCGATGTTCATGTTTACGTTAGGTCTGACGCGGTAATTTGATTTTGATAGTAGTGTCATGTGAGAACCCGTCAAACATCTGAGAATTAAATTACCGACCGCAAATATGTGGTGGAGACTAACTTACGGCAAAATGGAGTCAGTCCTATTGTGGGAGGTGTGAATTTGATTGTTTGGTCATGGTACTTTTCAGCGCTATGTTTTCATGCTTTATACTCGATTCGTTCAAACTTTTGGAAATGGTTTGTCTCATAGAACATGGAGCCACGTTCTCGTCGCGCAACATCTCGAGGCGCACTTTGTGCCCGGGTTATGATGAACATGCTTGTAATACTTGGGATACGATAATTTTTCCAAAAGCTTGAAACTGCAGAATCAATCGCTGAAATTGATAGTCATCACATTTTTCAAGAAGCGCCCGAGCTGTGATCGTGTAATTAAACGGGGTCCTGGCAGTTACATGACACTAGATACGAAGAATATTCACTCTCAAAGATAAACTTTCACAGTGTTAGACTACCCAAGGAACTTTGGAAAACCTCATCAAAACATCGCCAACAGGAGGGATTAGCAAATTAATAATACAGACAAGAGAGCCTATTCCCACATACACCCTCCTAAATCCTGTTAGCCTATTATGGACATGGCATTTAAAACATGGTGTATATGCCACAAACTTTTCATTTCCCAGAATAATTAATATCTAATGGTGTTTACAAGTTGTGGGAAATGGTTGAGTTGAAATATATTACAAAGACCTGCCAGTAGATAGTCAAATGAAAACTTTTTACATATCAATAAAATTTATTGTTGCGTTTTATGTTAACATGTTGCAACAACTCCACCTTCCAGTAAATGGAACAATTATCTGCAAACGTGAGAATATACCATCGAAAACTTTTCAATTTATTTGATATAGCCAATGACAACTTCAACTCAACTTTTAAACTAGAGAGAAAACTTGATTGATGTTTGGAATTTATTTCTGTGATGTAAAAATGAAATCCAGGTATTATCTCAACTGTTCTTAAAGACACCCACATTAAATGCTGATACAGCATAGTTTACCGAATTAAATAAGAGAAAAAAATCTCAAAAAGACGTCGTGTATCTCCAGCCAGACGACAATCATAAAACAAGAACGGCCAAAAAAGAAAAGGTATAAAAAAAATCACAGGTTTAAACAGGAGTTGAAAATTACTCTTCTTTTTAATTTTCACGCTAGACAGAGGAGTTTGAAATGTTTGGAAAAAACGGTGGGGCAAGCAGTCATACCTGGCAACTTCAAGAGAAGATATAAGAGAAGCCCATAAGATTCTGGCGTATTGTTTTACTGGCTCATTGTTCCTCTGTTTACTCTTTAATCGACCAGTGATGTCTTCACGCAAAGCAGTCTACCGTCGTTTATTTCAATTTTGGTTGATCGCCTTGCAAGTTGTGAGAAAATCGTCCCCAGCTTCCCAAACTGAAATTAACAATCACGCTCAATAGAATACACTTTCAACTCATGCTGACATGATACTCTTCATCTGAAGAAGAAAACATTCCCTGTCTTCGAAAATTTGCTCAAAACATCAGGAACAACACAGAAGGTCCTAACCTTTTTGAAGATACCGCTGCCTAGCACTCGTGTTGATCGCTTTGTAAGTTGTGAGAAAATCGTCCCCAGGTTCCAGACCTCATCAATTCTTCCCACCCTCCGGACTGGTTCCTAAATCCCCTTGAGGAAACTCTTCTACAGCAAGTACTGAAAAGTTTTATTACAGTTTTTGTATTGTTTTAAACAACAAATGTATTGCTGTAACCAACGGTTTCAAACTGTGTTCTTTAATATCTGTTAATACACATGTGCGTTCGAAATCTATGGCAAAAATACACAGCGATTATGATGAGTAAGGATTCTACTAAATTACAATTCCATAGAAAGGAAATATTTACCCGATGGTTGTCCTCAACGTTCGTTGCCTCTCATGCACGATCAATCAGTGATAGTTTCGTTTTGTGATTGTTCAATTATAGCTTCTTGACGATTGTTGCGCTTTCACGCGTAATTAATTAATCTGGAGTGAAACAGTTTTTTTTCAGTCTACTGTAGGGATGGAAAATAAACTAACAAGAGCCGGCTCCGCTTTTAGGCTTGTCTAAATCTATCAGTATATTGTCTTTCATATTAGGCGATCTCTCTCTTAAGAATTTGAACTTTACCACACGTTACGTTATGTTTGTCTGCAAGGGAAACGTCTGACTTTGCTAAGTACGGTGGTCTGATTTTGAAAAGTGTTTCGGTCAAATACCGACTTACCTTCTTTTAGAAGATAATAAACGACAAAGCATTTACATTTCTCCAAGGCTTTAACAAACTCTTCATACGCCTCTGGTCCTTTATCGGCTATCATCCTCAACAACGTCTGCGTTCTTCCTTTCTGAATACTCAATGCTCGTAGTTCTGCTTCGGTGATCGTTTTACTTTGTGCAAGATGGGTACCAATCCTGTCTGGATCAACCTCTTCTAAGAGCTGATCGTAGAATTTCCTCATAATGTGCTTATGATTGACTGACATACTTGCAGTTAGCTTTCTTGACTGTCAAAAGGCTGCGGAACCAAATGGCTTGGAACTTGATTTAGCTGTGCGCTATGCATGTATGAGTTCCACTCTAACAAGTACAGCGTGTCTATTGCCTTTTGGTAAGATTTTATTTTACTTCCTGATCACGTCCAACCTCAGGTAATGTTCCTATATATCTGCTTGAAAGAATCCAAGCTTCCCCTGGATGCCTAAATATTACGTGTGAACTTATTTTGAAGGTCAAGCATAGTACGCACGTATTCTTGCATCTCAGGGACAGAAAAACATAACTTTTAACTGCTTTCTCTTCCGCGTTCAAATATTTTTTATAAGTTTCTTATCCAGAAAACTGCCCTAAATTGAAGATTTTACGATTGTAAAATCATTAACTTTTTTGAAGAATTCAACCTCAAGGCAGGCTTGACCTAGAGGCACTCGAACGAAAACGGTCTAGAAGTCAGAATTTTAGAACGGTTCTAGGGAAAACTGCGAATAGTCTTCATTTTAGTCCGTTCGAGACCGTGCCCTGCAGTCTTATAAAAGCCGTGCTATTTCTAAGTGTCGACAACCGAGTGATGTTATAGTACGCTCAATCTCGGAGAGTTCGTCCACGGAGGAAACAAATAAATTTTTTGAATCGCTTGACATTTCTAAACAAACATCATGTTAATCCTAAGAAGTTTGAAAGAACCTGTCAGTGGAAAATCTGAGAACTTTTCTGACTGCCGGGCATATAGTCAATTTGAGACCATGCCTGGCTTCCGGGTATCTGGTCACAGCGAAATTTTTTTTCAGATGAAGACTGAATTCCTTTAATAAGTAGCAAATTTAAAGACTCCAGACAAATGATGTCAGAGATGCAATTTCTAAATACTATAAAAATTTGAAGCAACCTCCTCGATCGTTACATTGACAATATTACATGGTTATGCTAAGTTAAGAGAAAGCATTAAGAATCTTTCATTTAAATTGTGTCGACTTTCTTCTAACAACAGGTACGTGTCTCGACGAGTAATGCCAGAGGTTACTTTAAAACCTCTATGATATAAACAAGTATTTCTGAAGTTATTCGGTGGACGATTAAATTATGATGCACTTACTTACGAACAATTGTCTTTCCAAAATGTGTTTTCAGCTTTTGATGACTCAACTATCCTCTGTGCCCGCCAATACTGAACGGCCAGTGGGTAACGAGTAGATGTTGACTGCATTACATAGAGCAACCCAGCCCGGCTGCTGGCGAGTCCCCGTCCAACAAGCACAACGTTATTAATGCCTATTTGTAAGACGTCGCGCTTATTTGACTTTCTAATCACTTCCAATTGTTCCTGTATATCTGCTTCCCCTTTTCTGTATCGCTCATACGAACAATGCAATTTCTAATTACTATAAAATATATAGTAAGCTCTTCCGTCGTTATATTGACATGATTACATGGTTATGTTTTAAACAATCGAAAGACGGAAAACGAACCACCATGTATTCAAAGATCATTCAATCATTGAGTATTCAAAACTAAAAAATTGTCAGCAATAAAAGGAGGGTGACAAGAGAGTTTAGACGTGACGCGTAATGTTAAGACCACAACTAAGATGTGACTATAATCTTTTTTAGTTGCGGTTTACTTGAACAGTCTAAAATCACAGACCATTAAGTGATAATGAATGAAATATTCTGGCTTTGTTACGTGCTTAATAAATAATCCAAAATTAAGTACGTTACCCTGTTAGGAATTTATGGTTATTTTCAACGTTAACCCTTCGTAGTTATAATCGAACCTTGTCAAGAGTACAATTAGCGGCAGAACTGGTCACTCATCACGACCGAGATCACATTATTCTGAAACAGAATACTCTTATCCTCGTCCCCTCTACTCCTTTATAATGTTGCAACGTTTTGCCTGTCGTTAGACATTCTGAACAGGGTTAGAGCAAGTATTGAGTCGAACTGTAGTTCATTTTTAAATTTTATTTCTTAAAACATCCTTAATTGTGGATGCGTAAATATTACGCGTGAACTTATTTTGAAGGTCAAGCGTACGTGCCGGCCACTATGCATTTGCCTCTCCGGGACAGAAAACGTGATCAACGCTCTCGCTGAGAGCGGTCCTCTCGACTTCCCGTCGAAAAAAAAATTTACTTTTATTTTTTACCTTCGAAAAGGAGTTAGGACACACGTTTCAAAAATAGTTTAGTTGTTCTCCAATTCTCTTTTTTGCGTCGCCAGTAATTTGATGTAGTAATATGATGTAGTCAGTTAGTTCACAGGCTAAATATGGAAACTTCGCCTGAAATATTTTCCATACCAAAGTGATCAGGGGAGACCCTTCTCTTAGACCTTAACTTGCATATCAAAACTTTACTTATTTGTACGAAAGAATTCTCAAAATGCAGGCTTTAATCGGGCTAAAAAAGCATATCAGTATTATGCATAGTTTATACACCAATGAGGTCAGCGATTGCCTCAAACCAGCGGGTATATCTCTGACTTTCATCCACCGACATGCTAAAAACAATGCAAATCCATGTATTTGCTCAATTGCGCTCGTGTCGAGGCGCCTCTCGATAATTTTCGTTGAATTATCAGGTCATGAACTATGCACAGAGTGGAGAAGACCAAAATTAAAGAATAAAATTTTGCACTGTGGTCAATACAGACATATCGCGTTGCTGAAAAGAACACACAAACAAGTTAAATGCGTTACAGTGTTATTTACAAAACAACACGCATACACTCTGAAAGAATTCTTGCAGTTTCCCTCGAGATTTAGCACACAGAACGCAATCATCGCACTAACCCTCTTTTCTGCAAATTTGTTTCCATCATTATCCGCGTTCAAATGTTATTTATAAATTCCTTATTCAGAAACTCCCCTAAATTTAAGATTTAACGATTGTAAAGTCATTAGCTCCTTTGAAGAATCCAACCTGAAGACAGGCTTGATCTAAAGGCACTCGAAGGAAAACGGTCTGGAAGTCAGAATTTCAAAACGGTTCTAGTTAACACTGCGAATAGTCTTCATCTGGCATGTTCCTAGTCGACCTAGTCTAGTCTAGTCTCGACAAAAAGAATCTCTTCTTTGTCAGTTGTGGCTGCTTTCAATAGATCAAAATAAACCCTGAAACAGAATATCTTCTGGCTTTGTCACGCGATCTATGAATGGTTCACAGAATTGCGTATATTGCATGCCCTCTCTGGAAAATTGGGGCTTTTATTTAGTAGTCTCTGCGAGCGATTGAGATGTTTTTCCAGCTGGTAGTGGTTTACCATTTCGAGGGTAAAATTGTGAAAAATATTTCCTATGGGACTCGTTCTTAATTGGCGCCAGGTTTTCGAAATCGATGACTCGCGTTTCCCTACACGGGAGTAACTACATCACGGGCGACGAGTGGGGGAAGAAGAAAAGACCGAAATACGAGTGGTCAGCGGGGAAACAAATTTAATACGTCGTATAGAGACATATCAGTTATAGTTGCGGAAAACAATAGTGTTGTAAAGCCGAACTATCAACAGTATACTTCGCTAAATAAAATGTTAAGCAATTTTTCAAAAGTGTTTGATGGCACATATATCTCTTACTGCTGTAATAAGCAATAGAGGTATCGGAAAAGGCATTGGTGGCATCCGGAAGACCAACAGTACACTTCGCTAAATAAAATGTTAAGCAATTTTTCAAAAGTGTTTGATGGCACGTATATCTTTTACTGCTGTAATAAACAATAGAGGTATCGGAAAAGGCACCGGTGGCATTCGGAAAAGTACCAAGAAGAATTATATTTACGTTTTGTAACTTGCAAAAAACAATCGTGTTGTAAAGCCAAAATATTACCAGGTTATACTTCGCTAATTCAAAAGTTAAGCAATTTTCCAAACGCTCTATTAAAAACTGGAACAATATTTTTACTGCTATATTAATCAACGGAGGCATCGGGAAAGGCATCAGTGACACCGGGAAAGGCATCAAGAAGAATGATATTTACGATATGTAGCTTGTTGTATGGCGAAAAAAAGTATCTTGACTTGTTTAAGGCGTTAATCACAGTCGGTTTGCTTTTCAATTGACCTTTGCAATCTCGACTTTCGATTCCGGAAAAATGAAAAGCTAAGCAACGCTAAAAAAATTTCGTTCTAGATTTTTATATTTTTAGAGTCATTAATAAGTTTGTATCCACAGCCTTTAGATAAGAAATTTTAAATTTCCATCAGCTTTAGTTCTTTTAGTGTTGATTATATATATTCAATCGCCTCATTTCACGTGAAAAAGGCATGTAGGAAAACACTGAGCTTCGAGAAACAGCCAAGTTAAGGCTAATGTGTTTACCACGCTTAAATATTTATAATCAGGGCTACTCGTTTAGGAGACCTTTTTACAGAAGATCCAGGCGTTAAAACAATTCTGTTTTCCGTTCGAAGTGTTTTTCATTTTAACAAATGAACTCGGGATGAGAACTTAACTTTCGAAGCGAACGGCAGATGAAATGTTGTGTTGGTGTCTCTGTCCCCACCACGTCTCTGCGAAAGGTATATCCAGATAACCTGCATGGAAAAACTGACCACAGCTATCGCACCAAATTTTTAAAAAAAATTTTTTAAACTAAACGGGTGAGCAGCACTCTGCGAAAGGTAGTTGTTAAATTTCTTTATTCTCCGACGCGTTTCGTTTAACTGCCGTAGACTTCTTAGGAGAGTTTTACAATTTAACACTAAACACCTATATTTATAAGCCATAGTTAGTGGCTCTACGGGAGCCAATGACCATAAAGGCTTGACCAGACCTACGAATACGAACAGGTGAAGTTGCGGAAAATTTGAAAAATTTTTGGGGCAAGGTGGGAGAATTCATTTGGGGACCACGGTTTTGGTTTTCTTTTTTCGTCACGCAGCAAGAAAATCCCACAAAATTGAGTATAGATCTTGTTTACTTGGGCACCTTCAGCTAATTCTTGGTGAACACAATTTTCAACCGATAATTCTCCGCCAGGTACTTGTACATTGAACGCTCCTACAGAAGGGATCATGAAATAAGGCTTTGCAAAGAGTAAGTGGCATTAACCTGTTTTATTTATCGTAAATATCTTGCGGCCTTTTTCAGCTTGAAAATAGAGGTGGGCTTTATTTTAATATAGTTACCACGGTAGACATTTTTGAAAAAAATCAATTCAGGAGAAGTCATGTTCTCAGTCACCCTTTCAAGTAATAAATATTCTTGTACAACAACTACTTGCTTCTTTTCATTATCTTCCCACTCTATTTCATCTTAAGTGCAAGCAAATAATTACTGTTATGTAGTGACTTATTGTTTCTTTGAGGGTGAGCAGAAAAGCGTCTGATTTTTAGGATTTCCGCAGCATGTTTTCTCTCTGACATGCCGACTATGCCAGCTATCAGTGCCAGCACTTTTTGGCAGTTACAGACTTCTATAACGTATCTCTTAGAAATACAGGACTTTCCCTTGTAGCCATGACAGGATGATGTAGTAACCTACACCCTTTCCCTGAAATTAATACACCTACTAGCAATTACCATTTGACAAAACATTATGGTATCATGTGCTAAATGGTGTCTACTTTTTTTAATCAATGTTATTTGTGATTTCAGAAAAGTGGTAAAAATAGTTGATAAATACAGGAAAATGAGTAAAAACTGCCATGTTTAACTCTTAACTGTGGGATCTTTGGCAATTAACTTTGGGCCCCAGATTGCAAGAAATCACATTTCCGAGCTTCCAGATGTCAAAATTTTCTGGGGGAGCACGCCACCAGATCCCCCTAGAGGAGAGGGCCCCTCAAAGTCATAGCCCTCTACTCCTAGAGAAGAAATATATAAAACAACTGATTAGTCATTATAGCTTAATGTTCTTTTCAGCAAGTGAGACTTGTTAAAATTTCTCTGAGGAAATTCAATTTTTGTCAATGTCAATAAGTCAAATTAATTTTGCTTAAAACGGGGCTCTGCCCCTGTACCCCTCTGGGGGCCTCAGCGGCCCTCAGACTGCATAACAATTAAAGTAACTCAATTTTCCATTACCACTTTCACATGCTATATACTGTTGAAAGTTGATTGCAATCCCTTAAAAGTCAGCATTAAACCACCCACACTGTGAAGTGATCATTTAAAAAATTGATTTTTGTGATCTTCACATGTGTTAGCCAATCAGAACAGTGTAATCCTCCTCTTGATCGCTTTGTATATCATTGAAGTATACATTATTACATCAAGATCATCTCTTTGTGATTTTGGAAGTTTTTAAACTCCTGATCGTTTAGAATCTACAACAAATTTGGTTGCGATTTCAATGCTTGGATTATTTCACCATATCAGCAACAAATTTCCATAAATGTTTATTTTACCCCAGACCAAAGTGAAAAAAAAAAAATGCCAATTGATTGGTCAAAGAAGTCAAACTTAAATGCGATGTTAATGCCTCTGTTGCCTGACAATTTATTCCATTAAAAATTACCTATAAATCATGACACTGTCTGCCATGTAGATTCCAAAGCAAAAAGGTATACCAAACCTTTTGACAAAAGACATTCTGCTGTATGATACAAAAAGAGGTCCAACAAGAAGTGGAAAGATTTTTGAGTAACACAAAGGAGGCAGGAACAGATTACAGACATTGTCCTCCCCGCAGATTTCCCTCAGTTTCCAATTCGTTAAAACTAGTCTTATGAATTGGGAATTTGGGGTGCCTTCATGGCAGTGATTGACGAAACAATTTACTTACCAGCCGAACTGCCATCTGAATCTCTCGAAGAAGCCATCAAGTTTGCCGAGGTGTGAGCCCAATTTATTATGTTAAACCTCTAAATTGTACGTCCCTCCTTTCTCAAGAAATATCCCGATATTTAAGAGGCTATTTAAGAATGAATTTCCGATATTTTCAGATGATATATCGCTTCGTAGTGTTCGAGAAGGAAATGGACGGAAGTACGCTACTAAACCTGACATTGTAGTCAGCAGCCTTACATTTTAGCGCATGCGTAAATGTAACATCCTGTAACGTAGCAACGGAGCAGAGGAAAACAGCTTTTCGATTGCGGTACGTCTAAACGCGAGACTTAGCAGTGCTTGGTTTGGACAGCAACATCCCTTTAAAGAGAGAAAATGAGTTCAAGAAAGGTTACAGCAGGTAAGTTATAAAACATAGGGTAAAATTCTAGCGTTGTAATGTCAAAACTAAGGATACATGCTTTGTCTTTAACCGTAGTGTTTGAGAACTATCAAAAACAAAGGACAACTTTCGTTGAGAGAGTCGCCGAACTCGCCAATCAGGCGGAGAACATCGAAACTCTGCAGAATGTTGGTAAGTTAAACATGCACTTCCCAGGACATTAGGTAGTCTGGTACACGAAGATCCCTCTTTTTCTGATGGATCTCCTATCTTTAATTCCAACAAAGTAATCGACACAAGTTAGTCTGGTGTAATTCTTCGAAATTATAGATGACCCGAACCGTTTGTATGGCTATGCTTTTGAAGCAGAAGTAACGATGAAATTTACCAGCACTGTTATTTAACTAACATGTGACACGAACATATACCTTTCAAAATATGGCTATACACACTAACACGTAATAAAAGTTTGGTATGTGAGATTGTTAACTGGAAAAAAGACCAATGCATTTGCATGTCTACTGAATATAAAAGATACTGTAACAACGTAATTATACGGATAAGGAGTGACATTGTCGAATCATGAATCTTACTTTCTCAGCAAGGGACTCAATTTTCGAATAAACAAAGATCATGTTCAGTTCCTGGTGTCATTTGAATTCTGTAGCACCCTGATGCTCAAAAGTTTTTTTGTAAGATCGTTCAACCACATTTTTGATGCATGACTTTTAATGCTCTGACTTTTAATCTAACTAAGTATATTTTTCACATTTTTCTTAATCACTAATACAAAATGTTTGTTTGTGAAGGTGCGATGGCTCTGTTAAGACCACTTCTCCTAGATGTTGCCCCCAACATTCAACAGACAGCAGCATTAGCCCTTGGTAGACTGGCAAATTACAATGAAGACCTTGCTGAGGCTGTTGTGAAAGGAGACATTCTACCACAGTTGGTGTATTCTCTGGCAGAGCAAAATGTAATTTTCTTTGTTTACATACATGGTCAGCAAAAATTTTTTCTGACAGTTGTAAAATAAAAGAGAAAAAGAGTCACACACATATCTTTGGGCAAATGTTGTAGGTTTATTTAGTTTTTGTATAGGATCATTTTGCCATGTAATTATCAAATCATGTATTGACTATTAGTTTCCTTCAGTCAGGATTACAGGATATTTACTTAGCCTCATTCTTTCAAAGCATATTTATAGGCCCTAACTCTGTTGCAAGCCAACTTAAAATAAGACCTGGGTCAATATTTAGGGATCTTGACCTTACTCCTATGGTCATCAAATATATACCTATATATTTATAATTTGCATAATAGAGAATAATCTTGCAGCAACTAGATCCACTAGTTCTTCTGCTATTGACTTGGAAACTTGTGGGATATGCTGCAGACATTCTCACTGATTATATAATTTGTACATTAGAGAATGGCCATTCAGCAATTAGCTCTGCTAGTTCTTCTGCTGTTTGCTGGGGAACTTGGTGGACATGCTGAAGACATTCTAACTGATTATGTAATTTGCACATTAGAGAATGGTCGAGCAGCAATTAGCTCTGCAAGTTCTTCTGCTGTTAATTGGGGAACTTGTTGGACATGCTGAAGAGATTCTAAGTGATTATATGATTTGCACAAGAGAGAATTCATGCAGCAGCTAACTCTACCAGTTCTTCTGCAAGGCAAAATTTGCTGCAAGATGATTCTCTACTGTGCAAATCATATATATTTGTATATATTGATTCAATGAAATGTGGAAAACTCATCTAGTACATCCAAATTCCATGTTTTTTACTACAACAATTTAAGAAATTTGTCTATGTTTTTGTCCACAGCGATTTTACAAGAAAGCTGCTGCATTTGTGCTGAGGGCTGTAGCGAAGCATTCTCCTCAGCTGGCACAGGTATGAAGGAAAGCAAAATAGAGACATTTTTAAGCTACCACACAAAATGTGTGTACATACCAACTAGTGTACATGTATGTAGATTTCAGGTTATGTGCTAAATGTAGAACTTGCAAGGCTTAGTTACATTGTACATGTACACTGAACTAAAACAATACAGATGTATTTCACATGATCATTGTGATAATGTTGAGGTTAGGTGCAATTAGTCTTTGATAAGGAAATTTCATGTAGTATGATATTTTGGATGAAATGTAAATTAAAAAAGATGGTGAATGTGCAGCTTTGTGTCCAAAATGATTCAAGGATCTGACTGCCTCTTACAGGCTGTGGTAGACTGTGGTGCTCTGGAGGCTCTTGTCATCTGCTTGGAGGAGTTTGACCCAGGGGTCAAAGAAGCAGCAGCGTGGGCCCTTGGATATATTGCAAGACACAATGCAGGTAAATAACCAGCAATGAAATACTATCAGTTTCCATTTAACAGTTTCTTCCTTTCAATTCTGATCACAAGTTCCTTGATTTTAATACCAACACTTAAGTCTCTAACATTTTTTTTTCAGAGCTCTCCCAGGCAGTTGTTGATGCAGGAGCTGTCCCTCTGCTAGTCCTCTGCATTCAAGAACCTGAAATGCCTCTCAAGAGAATCGCTGCATCAGCATTGAGTGACATTTGTAAACATTCGCCCGAGGTGAGCAGTACACTGTGGGCATGACCACTGATTTCTCAACAAAATAGTAGTGCTTGATTAAAATTGTTTTGTTAAACCTTATTTGGGTTTCCTTTAAGTGGGAGCTGTAGTGTTTACCCTTTACACCCTAACATCAGTCGACATATTCTCCATACTGTTCTCAATACATTTCCAAAGGTGCTGACAAGGAGAATTTGTTTAACAATCAAGAGCTTCTATTGTTGATCATTTCCTTTTTTCTCTTGACCTCTATGTGTGATTTTGGGGGTGATATTGTAAGGAGAAATTCAATGCTAGTCACTTGGAGGGGTTAAAGGGTTAATCTATATAAAAGCCAATTTACTCTTTTCCATAGTTGGCCCAAACAGTGGTAGATGCAGGAGCTATTGCTCACCTTGCGCAGATGATTCTTAATCCTGATTCAAAACTTAAGGTAAGTCTTGGTGATGACTGATAAAAGTTTCACTGTTTGTTCAACTCTTTGCATAATTCTAATGATGCTTTTAACACAAATGTAATCAAAGAAGACAATAGTTTTATTAGATTTTTTAACCTGATTCTGAAGGTGGACTGTAACTAATCTTTGACCATTAATATTAGCACCTGTGGTCAATTTTTGCAACTGCCTAGTACCTTCACACCTCACTTTGTTTTTTAATATGTGATACATTTTTAATGTACTGTAAGTTTTAATTAATTCTTTTTCAAAGTGGAATATAATAGGTTGATATCTATTTTACTTTCTACAGCGTCACATATTCTCTGCATTAAGCCAAATTGCCAAACACTCTGTTGACCTGGCTGAGATGGTTGTTGAGGCTGAGATATTTCCAGCTGTTTTAGCCCGCCTTAAAGGTAAAGCACATTTAAATTCTGACTTCCTGAGCAATATTCTGGTCAGCCTTAATTAATCTACGGTTAAGCTATTAAGAATAATCCTCTGGATACAATTTTCTTGATAGCTTTAAAACTCTATTAAATTGTCAAATGCCATTGAATGGAAAAGTTGATTTATTTGCAACATTGCTGTCAAAGGAAAAAGGATTTTTAAGCCATTAAGTAGGAAGGTTATCTACATTTGACCTAGCAATTAGTCCCATGCCCGCTGTAGCTGACATGTAAATTTATATAGCTGTATTTATCATGCTATTTAGTAAACCGAATAATAATTTATCACTGGTTGTCATGGATTTGATCTTTTTCACTTTAATTTATTTTCTCTCGAGGGCTATATTTTCACTCTCTTTAAACCTGAGAGTGATCCAGTGTAAACTTTTGGATCACTACCATTTGATTTTAAGGTTTTCATGATACTAATAATTGTCTTTGTTTTTGTATGTTTTAGATGAAGATGAGTATGTGAAAAAGAATGTGGCAACATTAATAAGAGAAATTGCTAAGCACACTCCAGAGGTATGATAAATCATAAATCAAGTTACTTCATTTGTTTAGTTGATATATTATCAAACACCAGCACTTAAAATCTGGCTGGAGTAACTGGTTTTGAACTGTTTGAAATCATGTTGTTCCTTATTTTCTCAGCTTGCCCAGTTGATAACAAATGCCGGAGGAGTTGGAGCTGTGGTTGATTTCATTAAAGAATCAAGGGGAAATGTGCGACTACCTGGAATCATGATGTTAGGATATGTTGCTGCCCACTCAGAAACACTTGCAATGTCTGTTATTGTTTCAAAGGTACATGTCAAGTTAGTTTACATATTAAGTATTTTAATAATTTTAGTGTCTGATAAATTCAAATGATGTTACTGGTCCTAATAATGGATGATAAAGTGATGATGATTATAAGCAGATGGCTTTCCTCACAAATTACTTTTCAAAACCTCACTAATTCTTTGTAGATAAATCAATCAAATCCTGTGCAGGGCTGGAGAGCACTGCTTGATAAAGAAATTGTCCTTGGCTATCCCCAAACAACTGGAGCTTGTAGAATTAAGTTGAAATAGTTTTGTAATTGTTCTTGTTGCAGGGAGTGACTGTGTTAGCTGGCATTCTCTCTAGAAGTGAGCATAATCACATCATGCAGCAGGTATTTTGAGCTTCATGTATTATAAATGTGGTACTGATTGATACTTACAAATTCCTAATGTATTTTTCTACAATGGAAAAGAGATTAAGAGAGGTGTGTTTCTAATCCAGAAAAAAAATTTATAACTATAAACTGCTTGATTTCTAATGTTTTCCTGTTTACACCCGGTGAAAATGTCAGGTTTAAGAAACATACAGTCAAATCAACCCTTCACACCCAAACTTCATGATCAGCATGCATATTCTCCATACTGCTCTCTCTACATTTGCTAAGGTGCAGATACGGAGAATTTGTTTCACAATCAAGAGTTTTTCTAGTTGGTGATCATTTCCAATTATTTTCATGACCTTAATGTTTGATTTAGGGGTGATAGTGTAAGGAAAAATTAGATGCTAACCATTCTTAGGAGTTAAAGGGGTAATCAGCTGATAAACCCTGCTGTGGTTGACGCTATCGTACATTGTACATGTGTGCTTTAATGAAGTCTCTTTCTCTTACAAATGTAGCGATCTACCGAACTAGGAAGGAATGAAGAAGATCACATACAGGTAAGGGATGTTTTAAAAAGTTTTCTAGTTAGTTTTTGAAGTGTAAAAGGAAAGTATTTTAGGTTTAATTATATTTCACAACTCTCGTACCTTTCTCATACCTGCCTTGCTTGGGAACACAACACATGGCCACAATACCTAGCCAGAACTCCTCGATCATTAATCCACTTTATCTCACACATATTGTTTCCCCCAGTTACTTGACCATTTTTGCTGAATGAGCAAAGTTTCTTCAAACCAAACCCCTTAATTTCGTTTCACAATAGGCTGCTACAGCATGGGCCCTGGGTCAGATTGGAAGACATACACCAGAACACGCTAAGGCAGTGGCAGTCACTAATGTCTTGAAGTCCCTGTTGGATTGTTACCAGGACTCTTCTAGCTCAGAGGACCTGCAAGCTAAGGTAAAGATCTGCAGTTTATGGCAAGCATTGTGAAGGCAGCTTCCGTTTTGTTCAGGCGCTGGTAGGAAATGATATTTATGGCGTCTTCTTGTTCCGTCTCGTTTTGGTAACAGGGATGCCTTACTTGGCAATCCTTCTCGTTCTTTACCAACCCGGTGATCATAGAAACCTTTTTTGGTCGTTTTTCAGAATGCGGCGTTATGTCAAAACAATATTCTTTAGTTGAAAATTCTCCTTACTTGCCCACGACACATTGTATGGAAATGGGATGGATGATCTTTACGCTGGTCACTCTGGGCAATGAAGGGGTTAAAATAGGCTTGATATAGTCAAGATATTAGTGCGAATTTCCTTGGAATTGATGTTTAATGATTTAGGGCGAGCTCTAATTTGCGCTGTACGGCTATTGGCGAATAATCTCACAAGGAAATTAAACTTTTGCTAGTAAAGAGTGAAGGCTTCCTTGTAACTTTGATATTGGGTTAACTCTTTCTGAAAAACAGGTTTTAAAAATCTATTACAGTAGTCATTGCACCTATACGAACTTCATAATAATGATTGAGTCAAGAGTACCTGCAGTCATTGTCAGCTACAGCAAGCCTGCGCAGCTGACGGTTTTAAGGCGCATTCCTTTTACTTGGCGGCAGATTTGCGAAAGCGTCCTATTGCATACCCCTCGCGGCTTCGCCGCTCTTCTTCGACGCCAATCCGCTGATTGACGCCTCAAAGCACATGCAAAACCGCGACAGGATACATTTTACCACTTTATTTTGTTAATTTACAGTTAATATACTTGTTCCGTTTATTCTTTACGCCATTTCTGAATGATGTCTTGTCTTTTCCTACTCTCCAGTCCAAGAAAGCACTGACCAACATCCTACAGAAGTGTGTCCATCTGCCAGCGCTAGAACCTCTGCTGAAAGACGCACCGCCAAACATCTTGAAGCACGTCGTAAGTCAGTTTGCTAAAGTTCTCCCGCACGATGTGGCGGCACGTCGGCTGTTTGTGACGAGTGGAAGTTTGAGGAAAATCCAAGAGATCAATGCAGAGGGGAACACAGCACTCAGTGAACACATCAATACCATCAACAACTGTTATCCTGAGGAAATCGTCAAGTGAGCAAAACAAAAGATTGTTTTGTACAAATTGCTTTTAAGTTGCTTAAGGGCAATTCTTGTCCTTCCATTAGAGCAGTTTTTGATTAAGTGCCGTAAATCCAAAACCAATGAAATCGCAACGACTTATCAGAAGAAAGGAAAATACCATTTGGAGCCAAGAGAACTCAAAGTGAAAACACCCAAACTTCCTAAGGCGCGGGTAAACGCGCCGGCTACCAAGTCTTGTTTGGGTTTAGTTTTGCATCTGATTGGATGGGAAAGTAGCGCGAGTTTTCTGGACCAATCACAGAGCAAAGTAAAGCGAAACCAAAGCAATCCCAGATTACTTTCGAAAATTGAAAATTGCTCTCAAGGAAAAACTTATATCCTCCTAATTTTACTCCGTACTGTAACTAGCTGAATCGTGTAGCGTAGCATGAAGTCTCTTTAAAATTCTTGACGCTTTAAAACAGGACATAAGAACAAACGCAGCGAGAGGTTTGGTCACATTTTTGGCCAAACTTTGGCGTGTTTGTGCGTTGCCCTGTCATTCTCGTTTTTTATTTAGAAGCTGTTAAATATGTGATGTATGTTGTCATGTGTTGTCACTTTACACTGTTTTTGGTTTTTCGTTTCAGATTCTACTCTCCTGGTTACCCCGACAAACTGCTTGAAAGAATTGGTCAATGTCAATCTTAATAAGTTTTTTTTTTTTCGAACATGGTGTCATCACCTTGGATCCAAGAGTACAAGATGTTTTCTTTTCTAATTTGTTCCCTTAGACCAGAGAATCGTATACCGATATTTCCAATTTTCTACAAGGTTGTTGGACTTTGATTTCGAAAAAGAGGCTATTTTTGGTGAGGAAAACTTGAACCGATGTTTCAGGGACTCCAGCCAGTTAAGAATTAAATAAAAGTATATTTACCTCCAGCATGTTCTTACACTTTCGAGTAACACACTTGAAGCATGTAAATATCTAAAAAAAAATTAGGTTTCCATTTCTTGTAACGTAATGGACAGTAAAGTTTTATTATATGTTGTGTGAATGCTGAACTTTGTGATTCAAATACGTGATTACCAGTAATACACTTTCTTTCCCTCAAGACCTTCAGTCGTTTCGTTCTAAAAGACGTTTCGAACCCCAATTTAGACGATTCGTGACCAGTTCGCGTGCTGGTTGATACCCGATCCACCACTGGTCGTTTTGTATCAGTCCCAACATTCAGTGACGGTCGAAACGTTGAACTTGCAAAGTACCTCACCCACGAGCGCGTGAACAAAATGTCCATCGTTGTATACGAAAAGGCGGTAAAGAGTCAAGCAAGTAAGGAACAAGTAAAATTCATATGAGGGCCAAGAGTTTATCGGTTAAATTACCAACTAATGTCACCCTCGTCAGGAGTCCTGCCCTCGTTTGATAACACACCTTATTAGTAAGGGTAAAAAACGGCCAAACTGACCGGGTACGAGTGGCCATATCTGAGTACCAAACGTTAGTGGCCCAGGGGTACAACACGGCAAAATTAACTGAGTATGAATGGTCCCAACTGGGTACCAAACGTCCGTTGAGAAAACTACTAAACTGACTGGATACGAACGCTCCTCGGGCTGGGCACAAATCGACTGGGTACGAAATGTTCGTAAGTAAGAAACGACTGGCTAAAGCCTTAAAACCTCGTAGGACATTCACAACAATGGCTGGTTTCTTCTGTGAAAGGAATTTATGGTCTGATGATTGATCGGAGGGCGGGGATTGAAGTTAACAATGTATACATCCTGTTTATATGGCGTTCTCCTTAGTTCACTCTCCGTGTGAAATATGGGTACGAATGACTAAGAAAGCGCATTTTTGGTGATTTCACGGCTCTTGGCGGCGTCCAGGGTTGACCGAGCTGAGATTGGAAAGGCTCTTGCCTACTGTCTTCCTTATAGGCAGTCATTCAAATACTGGGGATCTTGTCACCTTTTACAAGAAATCAGCAAACACAGCCTTCCTTCACAACTCACGAAGGGCGTGTTCTAGCTGACCTCGCTGATGTTCGTTTGCCTTTTCCAACTCAATCTTTCCTCGGTCGTTCTTTAATTGCTCGCTTTTGCGACAAAATTAAATCATACTCCCTTCAAGAATCATCATAACAAATACTTCATCCTAAATTTATTTCACTGAACGTTCTTTGATGGTGGTAAATTGAATGTTTAAGCTGCTGCTGTTGACATCGTACATGCAAAAATATATCTTTGTAATTACAAAGTCTGAACAGCTATGAATGTCGTGAGTAGTGCTTAGGCATTGTAATTAAACAGAAGTCCAAAAATAGGTCCACAATGACTTTGCACATTTCCTCGTAATACTACAAAGTTAACAAATACACCAACAATACCTTTCAGCCTCACTCGCAACACTTTTTTTCTAAAAATGTATTTTCTTAAACGAAAGTTCTATGTGTCAGATGAATTATATCAAAGGACTAACCACTATTAATATACAAGAGATACTTTCATATGGTATGTTATCTGCACAAACACTAAAGATAACAAGTGACAGTGCACAAGCACGCATTGCAGACCCATTTCAGGAGAATATAGTCACCCAGTGATACTAACGTTTGTTCACGGAAGCTTGGCGGCCAAGCCTTTAAACTCTGAAAAAAAGGGATTTTGCCCAAGTAACTTTTACTTGACAAAATGTAGAAAGATTCTCTCAGAGTAAATTATTTTAGTGCATGCATAAATATCACCCCATAGACAAAAAGTTGTACAGTAGCATTTGCACATTTTGGATGACTTATCCAAAACATTTCCTATTTTAAGGCATGAGTACGCTTACTAAACCTACACGAAAAATCATGTCTTGCATATGTGGATGTGAAATCCCCTCAAACTTTAACACTTAAGAATTTTTATCATTTATGAAATCCATTCAAATAATGGCTGACTCTTAGCGCTAAGATGACATTAATTCATTGACCTCCATCAACTATAAATCTCTCATTACAACCCACAGCAATTACTCCTACACCCAGTTAGCAACTAGATGAATCATCTCTGCATTTTTGACAATATGTTATATCAGACCACTTTGTCAACTCTCATGTTAAGAGATGGTAACAATAAAAACTTGTGTACAATAGAATGAGACTAAAGTACTAAATCTAATTGGGATCAGGACTATATCTATTTCAAAGACAAAACAAGACTGTTGTCTACTTCTTCACAGAGCTTTTCAGTGAACATATTGTTCTAAAGAGGAACAGTCAGCATACACTCTTTCAAGACCGTTTCTCTCCAGACTGTTTCAAACATTTACTTTTCTCCCGGATCATTAAAGCAAAGAGTAAAAGTTTTAGTCGTCATCTTCCAGACAATTGGAGTAAGGAGGCAGTGCCAAAGGCCTCCTCAGTCTTCACCATAATGATCCAATATTCGAAATCCATGTTTACTCAATACTTTCAGTTAAAAACATCCACCTACAAAACATTCATTATGATGCCACAAACCGTTGCAGGTTGTTGCAATCTTTGATTCTTGTAACCTAAGGGACAACCAAAGATCCTTGCATTCAACTCTTGATACCTGTCTATGGCAAGTGACACCTGGTACAGCCTATGCCTGGTGCCTTCTTAAGCTACACCTTTACCATCACTCTTAGATTTCATTCATGTAAAAATCATAGAAGATTTCAATTTTATCATTCACTATGCCTATTGAACAGTGTTCTCCAACTGATCATACATATTTAGTCATTGCATTAAAATTTAATTCAATTTACACAAAAGAATTGTGATCACTGCCGTTGTTTTAGTTACATTATATACAATGGAGCACTCTGAGAACTGTACCCAAACCACTCCCACAAAAAGGGAAACAAAATGACTCTTGCAATGTAAGTACATAAAACTGTTTCCTCTTTCTAAAACTGCAAAAAAAAAACTCATCTTGTCACATACTAAAAAGCCATAACTCTGACCTGCTGTAGTGACATACCACACTAGTACGCACTACATACTAATGTAATAGGCTGTATGTACCTAAATGCCAACTACTACTACTACAATATTCTGCTGAAAAATACTTGTTTTGCTGTTATAAGTTAACAACTATTTAAACACATGGTCAAATTCCAAAAGTAGAAATTCTATGATTTGGTTTTGATGCACCATGTTTACTGCTATGTCTCCAGAATCATAGCGAGGCCACATGAGATTTGGGCCCCAAACAATGGCCAGATTTTGCGCATTCATACGGTTTTCTTCACTCTGATCCATTAACCTGAAATCATAGAATTATATGCCAACATTTAGTTTGATGAATGTTATTTATCAATATGGTTGTTCCTTTTACGTATCCAAAGTTTTAATACATTGAAAATAGTTTTGCAAACAAAGTTCTACATAATATTAAGAACCATAGTATTAGCAGAGCATTAAAAATCACTCTTAACACTGTACACCCTAACATCAGTATACATGTTCTCCTGCTATTCTCTATATATTTCCTAAGGCCCTGACAAAGAGAAGGTGTTTCCCAATCAAAAGCTTCAGTATATGGTTTTAACTTGGGGGTAATATGTGAAAGTGTAGTCTGATCGTCTAGGTGAGTGTAGTCCAGAGAAGGACTGTTGTCTGTAGTGGTGACTGACAATTAAAAACCCTCAGTAGACGTCATCATCAGAGTCAAGAGAATGATTGTGATCAGTCGAATGTTCTAAGTCTGGTTCACACGAATTGATTAGTCAGTTTTGCCGAGAGACTGTAAGACTCAAGTGGCGTAGGTCGGTCCTGATTGGTCTGTTTCGATCAATCGGTAAAGTTAGGTCATCGTATTCGGTTCGTTTGCAATGTTTAAGTCCTACTCGAATCGTTTGTATGGTGCCGGTAGTAGTTTACATCTGTTAAGGGGAGATTGGTCTAAGTTAGTAAACCAGCTTTCCAGAGTCAGTCGCTGAAAGTAGTTAGTGCTGTAGGTTACGTATTGCGCAGAGTCCTAGTCAACAGCGTGGTTCATGACATTTAGGAATGTGATTGTAGACATCATCTTTCCTCGTCGCCCGCTTGTGTTCAGTCAGTCTTGTTGTGAGGTTTCCACCAGTCTCTCTGATGCAGGAGGCTTGGCAGTCAAAGCAACTGATCTTATAAACAGCCCCTGCCTACTCCTCGGTTCGTTCTTTTCTTTGACGTCTGTTATTAACTGACGTGGTGTGGTGATGGGTTTGTGGGCGACACGCATACTGAATCATTGTAGGTTGTGCAAGATGTTCTCATACCCTTTATGAGCGGTATAGTCGTTGTAGTCGTAGGAGCTGCACCGTTATTTGTTTTGGTAGTTGCAGTACTAGGTTGGTGAGTGTCTAGTCAGATAAAGACCTAATTGTGGTTGTAAACTGAAAAAAACATGGTCAAAGCATTTGTTCTCATCGGATAAGCTGTCCGTCGTGTTTTATACTAGTTGCGTTCATCGTGTTAGAGTCCTGGTAGTTGTGGTTTTGTGTGATGTCAGGTTGTAGGATGACTCGTCCAGTAATCTGTCGGTATGTGGCGATTTCCTGTAGACTGTTGTTCGTAGCGAGTTGTCGTCACAGCTTACCAGGCAGTCTACAAAAGGAAGTTACCCATTTTCTTTGACTTCTCTGGTAAACTGTATGTCAGTGTTTTGTCAGGTGTTTTGTTCTTTGGTTGATGGTCATTTCCTTTAGTCCCGTGACCTCGACTTTGATTCAGGGAAGACATTGTAGAGAGAAATTAGAAGCTAGTCATTCTTTGGGTTCAGAGGGTTAACTCTATACATCTATTCTAACCTAGTGAAGATTCTCATCTGAACAATGAACATGCTTAACTCTTGAGCCTCTCGCAGTAACAACTTGAATGTCTCATAAATCCTAAGCACTAACTTTTAAGTAAAACTGAAATTTACTAAATGAATGAAGGGGGCAAGTTTCACTCTGACGAAGGGCTAACGCTCGAAACCTCAGCTTTGAAACTTTTCACCGTGGTCAATTTACATTATCAAATCAGTTGATAATACTAAATTACCCCATTTCAACTAAATAATTTCTGAGAACATTCCCATCTAAGCCAACAATAAAAAAAAAACCTACTTTCGCAAATGTCGCAGCAATAACTTTAGAGTTTCCCCATTGACCTTCGGCATCTGAACAGCCAAAGATCTCATAGCAGTTAGCTTGCTCTTTCGTGTGCTTTGCTCTGTTGAAAGATCCAATTAAAAAAGATTATTGATATGTCATTAAGAAAGATGTTCTTCGTCTTTTTTCGCCGTTCTTAATTCTTTACCGAGCTCAAAACTTACCATCTCTATTATTTCTATCAACAATATGTCATTGTTGAGAGTTCACAAAATAATTTTTGGACTATTATTTTTAACATTTCTTAAGGTAAATCAGGTTTCCGGAAAGGATTACACCAAGATACACAAAAATATGTGCAATGTATGTATTCAATTTAATCACGAAACCAATTGATAGGTGGTTGAGGGGAAAGAATAGAAAACAAGCAAAAAGGAAGGAAAAAAAGAATAAAACGATACAAATTGAATGTTTGAATTGTAAGAGCATATTTTGGATGAACATATGAAAAATAAATAAGACAAGATGAAACTCACTTATTGCCTCTACAAATCCACTAAAGAAGTCATAAGGAATAAGAGGCTCTGGAAGCTCTCTAAAGTAAAGTTTTAGAGATCCAGTGAGGGCGTGGACGTCATCGAAAGGTGGCTCACCAAGTACCACTTTCTCCTCTATGGCAAAAATTTAAATTGAGCAAAATTACTGATGTTCTTGGAGCAGGAAAGAAAACAGAGTAATTAAGCAAAAGTTCTTTCCATGCAGTTTGGAAAGAAACCTTCATTGACGTTCCTATTCCAAATTTTGGCTCAGAGAACTGATCACCATCACACTGATGGCCAGAAGTATAAGTGATCCACACAAAGATTCTTGTGGTAAATGGCAGCTTTTAATTACACCCTTAATATTATTTGATTTCTAAATCAAATTCTAGCAAAGACCCACGAACAATTTTTTTTCTGAAAAAACTTATACAAAAACTAATATACAGCAGGGTACCATTCCTCCCTTTAAGCTTCGCATAAACCATATTTAAGATAAGCTTGTTCTTCTTTAAGGCAAAAAAAAAAGGTTTTAGTTGGATTTTGTATCTTTTCCTATTATAAGTTGAGAGAGATCTGATACTCTAAAAAAGACACCCTTGAAACAACATGGCTTAGGGAATTCTCGAATTGTAATATCTCCATTTCAGAATTTTCATATGTTACCTTGAAGTCCCTCAAGAACCCTTAACATATACTTATACATGGGAAGGAGGGGGAAGGGTTCAGGAGAATCCTCGGACTCCCTTCATTTTCTGTGCCCCTGGATGTATAAACTTAAGGCAGACAAACCTTGGTCAACCATTATTCTGAGCTTCTGCACCGTGGAGACATTACCACACACCCTGTAGAGACCATCAAATGACAGACCTGGAGGAAAAATCAGGTAGACATCACTATGGCTACCATGCAATCAAATTGTCTCACATAGGCAGACATCATTTAATCAAATTGAACACTCGTTTCAAGAAGCATGCAGTGCTATTTATTTACTCTTCAAACTTTCACTGATGTTTGGACTTGTTCTTACCAGTGACCATCAATTAGCTTTCAGTCACTCATTCAGTCATACTAAGATGTGGTGATGTAAAAAAAAAAACTGATAAAAATTCAAGAAACTCTGTCAAAGATGCAAAAGGTAAAGAGGTCACAAATCACTTTAAGCAAAACACACCTCTCTTCTCAATGGCAGCAATGCATGAGCTAACAAATACAGGAACTGTTGTTTTCTGTCTTTCACAAAGATGTGCAATGTGGCAGCCAAATACACTTTCTGAAAATGAAATCACATGCGGCTTAACACTTTACACCCTAACACTAGTATGCATATTCTCCAAATTGTTCATTAAACATTTCCTTATGTGCTGACAAGGAGAATTTATTAAACAGTCAACAGCTTCTTTAGTTGGTGATCATTTCCTTTATGCCGATGACCTTAATGCCTTACTGCAGTGTTTAACGGCATCATGTTAAATTTGTTTACCTTTAATAATTCCTTTCTTTTCCAGCTCCTCTATTGGAGGTCGTTTAGTGAGAAATTTCCTCAGCTTTTCTCTCATGTTCCTTTTGTCCTCTCGGTCAACACCTGAAATTAAAAGAAGGTTCTTATCAAGGAATTTTTATTTTAATTAAATAAACTGTCAACCTCAATGTGATGCTACAATCTTATGAAAAGTCAATAAAACATTTAAAAGATGAACCTGGCAAAAGCAAAAGAACAACCTCACCAAGCTGGTTAAATATAGGCCTTTCAACTGAATACAAACTGGTGACCATTGCAGAGAAATTACCTTTCTACTAAGTTCCTAAGAGTTCTACTTTACACCTTGGTTTTCATTTAGACCGATCATTCACATTTAATTGAAATCTATTATGAGGTGTTGTTTGTCACTGATGGAGTCAGAAATGTTTGAGTAGAAGTGATTTCGCCCTATGGTTTACCTCTTTTATGAATGCTTGGAATTCGGACCAGATCAACAGGCTGCAAAGAAATTGGGGTCCCAGGTTCTTGTGAGACGACATCATTGTCAGCTCCTTAACAGAATGAAAAATGTAGTGAATAAAACAAGTACAAATCTCATTAGTTCCTGTGTTGATTCTATAACTTCTCCCTGTCCAAATCATAACTATCCATAATCCAGGCTAGGAGATAAAGGAAATTGAAAATCAATACAAGGAAAAAATGTTTCTCTTTGATTACAATGCACAGACTAACATGTAGCCAAATAACCTCCACAGGATAGATAAGGTTAATTGCATGCTCTTAACACATTGTGTGTGGAGAGAAGTGACCTCAGTGGAAGGGCACCTGGTGCACAAACACTTGCACATGTTTTCATAATGCAAGAATTGGGTGGACTTGGGCTTAGAAGCAGCCACAAAAAAGACAAATAAGTTGTAACACATGAATTTGAGGAAAACTCCAGGATTCAATGGGTTTATATGCCAGTAAATTAAAACCAAAATAAAACCTCGTTGTGGTTGATCTTGCACAGGAGTTTGTGGTGGTAATGGCTCTTCCTCATTCTGAAAAAAGACAGAAGAAGAATCATACATGTATATAATAAGTGCATCTTATTAGATGTTTTGGTATGTAGTATTGCTGAGTATTTTTACAAGTTGTGCCATATTTTGATGAGCCCATAAGGTAAGTCAAAATAAAAACACCGAGTACAAATACTCAGCAATACTATGAGACATTTATTATCCAACTGCTTTTTGTCCTGCTAAGTCTTTCTGTTCGTTTCTCATAAGGCGGGAAAAGGAAAGCGAATAGAGACAAGTAGCACACAGCCAACTGGTAGAACAGGTTTTTAACAGTACAAAATAACCAACTGTTCAAATAAATGTACAATATTGCAGGATACTTGTACTCTATTCGTATGTTATGTGTACTCTACTTTGTGCAGTTGGATAATAATTAATAGTATTACAATTAAGTAATGATACTAACACAAACTGTAAAAACAAGAAGTCTCCAGGAGACCATAATGACAACAACAACAACATAATCACTGGTGCCAGAGTTGACATTCACTACTCACCAGTCTCTTGATAACACCAGAGATGGCACTAAACCAGTTTGTGGCCTCCATTTGGTGATCATGTTGAAGGAGATACACTGCTCCGGAAAATGCTTTGATCTGAAAGAACACACCAAACTTTTCAATTTCAAATCATAAAAGAGATAAATCATGACATAAACGCACAGAAGGAGCTACAACATTTACAGGTTTGGAGTAACTTCTACACAGTAAATTATCTACATTGCAAATGACATAACAAAGGTGCATATTACCTGGAATGCATTTTTCTTTTTGGTAGAAGACCTCCCCCACTCAAGTGTTGCACCTTGCAAAGGACAACAACTCTGTGGTTTCCCCTGGGGGTGACCAGGTTTCTAGGAATGGAAAATGAACACAGTATTATGAGTTTGTTTTAAATCTTAATATTTAACATCCTCTGTAGTTTTTTAGCCCAGTTTTTTTGTTTTCCAAGTGCAGAAAATCCTCACCAGGATGAACATGACCAAGCCAAGAGCATTGGAGGGTGGGTGGTGTAAAAGCAGTAGTGGTGAGGGGTAGCAATTTACTGAGTCGCAAGGAGGCTACCATAATAACCAAGAGTCAGAGTGTTTTTTTGTAATTAGTTTTTGATACTGATTTTTTAATTAGGTAAATAATTGACTGTTAGAGACGTTGACATTCTAAGGCAGCTTACATTAGGGAATCCTGCATTCTGTTTTAAGCTGTCCTCAAATTCATGAGATTGACTTGTGCAACATAATGTAATTTGGAATTTGTCTTCATGATTAAAGATAAAAGCACCTTTGTACAATACAATGAGGAAGTTGTGTATGGAATGAATATCCATCAAAAAATGGGGGGGGGGGTGAAACTTTGCTGAAGCCCTCCACATGACACAGCAAGAATGGTCACATTTCAGTTATTTTAAACTTGGCAAAATTACATATCTTAACAACTTGGCCAAAATTTCAGTTAGTGCTATCAAAAGGCACCTGAGCTGCTGCTTTCTGGTCCTTGTAAAATACCAAATTTGCTGAAAAGAGTATTACAAATGTTGGTGTCCATGACATCTTTCTGCAAAAGAAATGTAACAACTTTCTCATTTTTGGATACAGATAACAAGCTCAAAATAAGGAGGTGTGTTTCCAAGAACTACATTGTATGTAACAAAGAGATGCCTTCTTACTTCTCAAAAATAATTAATTTCCAACACATTATCTGGTTTATAAAATATCTAACACACAGAAAGTTCTTGTTCTTTACAATATTGGTAAAAGCTGCCCTTAAATGAAAATATTCTGGACTGAGTGTTTGATAAACTGACTCAAAGATATCAAATTCCAGATTCAGTTTAAAAGCTATGCTGACTGTAGTTTCTTCAATAAAGGCTTTCAGAGAGATAAAACTAAACAAAAAAGTTTGCTCAAACCAAGTTCTATGCAAACAAGAAATATTGAAATCAAGATAACATGTTAATCTTACATATTAAGTGCAATCCACCTATCGCACAATTGACACCCAATTTTTTACGAAATTTCTGTATTTAGGTCATACTTACTTGACCTTCTTTCCACCTCCTTCCACTAATTTCTTGCAGTTCAGCATCCCTTGTTTTTCAATTGCCTGAAACTATCACCAAACAAAAGATGGAATTGATATCACTTATAGTAAACTCTGGCTCGTGTAACTCTATTTGGCTTTGATTATACACAAGTAAACTGAAGGGGACATAAAAGGGACTCACACTAGAGTCTGCTTAATACAAGGTGTGAGTTAGATGGGCTTTCATAAATTAATAGTCTACAGTACACATGTGTTTCAAAACAGCAATGACCGACTAAGTCCATCAGCATGATTGTTCAGTATTGAAGGTTTGTGTTCAAAGCATAAAAATCCTAGAAAAGCAAAAAATATATATATATATTTGTGCCAGCCAAGCACTTTTCTTTCTCAGTTTTCAGGATAGGTCTCCTCTGATGGCCAAAGGTTTCAAATCCCGCACAGGCCAGAATTTTTTTCTGGCATTATTTTCACTACTTCTTATAAATAAGTAGTGTTTATTACTCTGAAGATCACTTTCATATTCATAATATGATTTTCATATATTTTCATTGATTTATTCATCATTTCATGGGTTTATTTGGAACTAACACAATGACCAGCTCTGCAGAGGTCATGGATTCAAATCCTGTACAGGCCTGAATTTTTTTCAGGCCTTATTTCACTACCACGCTAGTAGGGTTTACTACTGTGAAGATCACGTTCATATTCACTTTTTTATCTGCAGTTCACACGATTTTCGTATATTCACATTCATTTATTTATCACTTTCCAAGTTTACTTGCGACCAACATAACGACCAGCTCCCAATTGGCTCTGACTCAGTTGGTAGAGTTGCAGTGGTATTGCAGAGGTCATGGGTTCAAATCCTGAACTTTTTTCAGACCTCATTTTCACTACTGCTCAAGTAGTGTTTATTACTGCAGAGATCACTTTTGTTTTCAAAGGTCTCTTTGTTTTCATTCATAGGAATTTTGCTTTGCAATGAAAATAAATTCCCTCAATGATAATAACCAAACAAGATGTAGGTGGCAAATGAAGAAAAATCTCTGTAACTGAAATAGTCATGTGTCCCTTTTAAATAAATCAATACTGTATTTCCTTGAGTAAGAGCCTGGGCCCTTATTCAAAATTTTGGCTAAAAGGAGGGTGCTTTATTATGGGGAGTGCTTCGTCAAGGGTAGTGGGGGGGGGGGTTGCAAGGGGAGTGCTTAATCAAGGGGGTGCTTTATCAAGGGACTATTGAGGGACTATATTAAGGAACTATTAACCTGTATTGTTCTGAAAGAGTTGAAGCTTACAAAGCTCTACATTAAGTGGTAATAGAAACAGGTTTTTCTTTGTATCCCAATTATCTAAGAAAGAGGGGGAGGATGGTGCTTTTTCAAAAGGGGCACTTGTTTGATATCATGGCCTAAGGGGTGGGTACTAAATTGTGGAAGGGTGCTTATAAGAGCGGGGCACTCATTTGATGAAATATGATGTTTTTCCTAACTTAAAACCTGCCAGGTATGTAACTGTTATTCCAGAATTTTGATAGACTTGAAGGCCATGGTGTCTGAGCTATTAAACCATTCATTGCTTATGATAGGTTTAGGAAAAGGCTTTTGCAATGTTTGAAGCAGATTATGAGATATCATTTATTATTTTATCAGTCAGGAGTGTTTTTCATAAAAAAATCAGACAATCATCACTCTCACACCTTTTGATTATCAGATAGTCCAAGCTTACTTAACTGAAATGGAAATTTATCATCTCATTTTCAAAGCAGGACTATTGGCCTACCATATTATTCAAAACACTGATTAAGTTATTACTTACAAAATCAACAAAATCTGTTGAAGGTGTTGGAGGTGTTGGCCATTCATCTGCTGAGGACACACTCTCTCGAGACTGTACAGATGCAGATCTTTTGGCAACCTAATTGAAAAGATTGTAGAAAACAAAAACCCTGAGAAGTTATTATTATCCTAAATCTTTAGATTTTTATGGATACATATGTAAATGCTTTTTCTCACAAAAGGATAATCTTACACTGCATGAAGCATGGACCTACTGATGTACCAAAGATTCAAAAACTTAATAAAATGAAAACATTTGATAAAACAACTATCTGCAACTAAACATTCTCTTCTTGTTTCTGTAAATGCAAGTTCAAGATTAATGCTACAGAATTTCTCAGTGAATAGTGCTGATCACTCATAAGTGCTACAACAAAAATTTCCCCATGAATAACTTAGTGGAAAAAAGCAGTGACTTTTCCTACAGTAGGCTACATGATTTTACACACTTTTCATCTTTTGTCTCCTCAGTTTCTGATTTAACGATAAGGAATGCACAGCAAAGACAAAAATAAACAAACAAACAAGAAGAGATTTTTATAATTAAAAAACAACCCAAACATGTATAGTTTGACTTTTTGACTAATTATCTTCAACTTGTCTTAGCTTTTTCAAGTTTCTGCTGCATTTGCTCTCATTTGAGTAATGGGACTAAAACACAATATTTAAAACAGGAGTAAAAACAAGATTTCCCTTTTCCTTTAATCACTATATTAACCCTTTAACTCCCACGAGTGACTAAGACATAATTTCTCCTTACAATATCAATACAATATCAACCAGATAGGTGATGAGAATAAAGAGAAATATCAATTTGGGGATAATTAGTCAATCCAATACTAAATCCTCTGAACTAACATTATGAGAATTATATGGTGGACGGTAAGGAGAATTACAAACTTGATCTGGGAGTTAAAGGGTTAAAGAGAGTTTCCCAGTAAGCCTTGACTTTATCTATTAGACCCAGATGTGGGTCCTGATATCTATATAGGCCACTAGAAAATCTTACAATGAGGAAGTAATATCTTAATGATATCAGACTTACCATGTAATAGCAAAATAAATAAACCAATAAATGGAGGATAAAATGTTAATTGGCACAGTTTTGATAAGAAACCATTTTTGGTTAGCTGATGTGGTAAGATAGTTATAGTTTTGTTATCAATTCGCAAAAAATGGTGATCACACCAAACATGGAGGTTGCATGAAGTGTGTCTGTTAGGATGATAAAGAATTATTTGAGAACCAATGAGTGCACATGACAACCAGGTGCAAGGCAATGGAATTAAGGAATTTGTCACAGGGAATAATTAGAAGGCATTAAGGAGAAAGATAAGCAGGTAGATGACCAGAAGTATGATGATTTTTAGTGACTGTGTGAATTGTTAAAACAATCAAACATCCATAGTGATGCCAGATGCCACAATATTGTCACCTTGAGGGATGAACGCAGCTCAGAACCAACCAAGGGTGGTGGTGGGGGAAAGCCATGAACAGCAGCAGCAGACATAGAGGGGGGAGGAAAGGTAAGATTTGCTTGAGAGTTTCGTGGGCTTGATGTCAGCAGAGACTGACACTTTGAGGTTCTAAGACTGAGATTTGGTGAGCGCCGTCTGTATGTGACATCCAGTGCTTCAAAAGACTGCCGGGCAGGTTCAAGCTGTAGAAAGCCAGTGGTGTGAATACAACTTACATTTAACAGTCTAGTCTACTAAAAGGAAGAGGCTCAAAAAGATATATGGGACTACATCAGAGAGTTTCCTGGCATGAAAATTCAGTAAATGCAACATAAAGATCAACAACAAATTTCGTATCAAAGAGAGGGGAAAAGCTGACATTCAGCAGATTACTGGACAGCTGTGAATACTGACTATGTCCATATTTAATGTTAAAGAACCCAACTGCCTTGTAATTCCTTGCTCAAGTAAATAAACAGATAAATCAGAAAAAAAATATTGACATAGTACTGGAGCAATTCCCAAAACCCCAATTCTAAAAGTGAAAAAAATGCTTTCCAATGAAAATATACACACATATGTACAAAAGGGAGACAATTTTTCAGGCACAGAAGTTTGTCAGAATTTCACTGTTCTATCACAACGGCTTTACAGTTGATACCTCTTTTGATATCAAAGCCTACAAGAAGCTGTTTCCCTCCCTATCTGGCTACCATCTTTGCATCAAAAGTTTCTGTGCTTATAAAGACCCTGTCTTTTTTTTCTTTTCAAAGCCCCTGGCCTTAAAAAAGTGTTAAGATTAATTAAGTACCTCAGGAAGTTCCCAAGATGTACGTGCAGTGTTTCCATTGACAAGGTAATAATAATCTCTTCCTTCCTCATCTTTTGAAGGCATCCACTTTAAAATTAAACAAAGAACTGTAAGTTATCTTTTAGTCACTGTAACTGGAGTATGTTACATTGCTTTCTTATAAAAATATTGTTTAGAGTATCACAATTATCAGGAGTTAAAAATACTGAATGTTGTGAGCTCTTTTGGTAAAAAGTTTCTCAGTTTGGGTCCATTGTGATGTTGTTTCAAAAATTGCAGGATCTGCCAAAGTCAAGAGCTAATGATACAACTACAATGCAGCTCAAAGATATGGGGTAGTACCATACATGAGTCTTGCATCTATGTGTATTCTGACATAATAGTATAAAATGCATTTGAACAAGTTTTACATGCCATTGTCATTTCTTGCCACACTTTTACTTTACGTTCCACCACAAAAACATTAATAATGTAAAAGTGCTCACCCACAGAGCATGACATTAGCAAAACAGTTGGGAAAACATAAACAAAAGCTACTGGATGCCAACTGTTGAACAAACAGCACATTAATTTGGCATCTGTGAGAGGAATTCCCCTTATAATCATATGAAATGCTTTTATTCATTATGAAAACTGCCTGCTAAAAATACAAACCTCTTCATCATTGAAATCATTGACATACACCAATTCATCAGTTGAACCACTGCGTGAGATTCGCCATCCTAATGGTGGTGTCTGCCACTGTTTGAAACAACAATAACAACAACAAAAAAAAAGTTACCCAAGGTTGTGTAAAGTCCCTTTTATAAGAACTTTTCCATTTGTACACCTTTAAAAAATGAAATCTGTATATTCTAATACCCTCCACCAAAACAGCTCCACAGTTTTTCTAAGAAACATACTCCTTCTATCAATCCATTATCCAGAAAACTAGCCATTAAGCTGTCTTTCTCCTTTATCAAACTGCTTTGCACCATCCTTCACTGAAAAGACCTCAAGTAAAGCATTTACCCCATTTGGTGGGGGAGTCCTGGATTGTGATATCCTTGGTGGTTTCCAGCTTCTTTCCTCAGTATGTGTGTTGTAATAACACAATCTACCACTTGCTTCATCAGTTATTTGAACCCAACCCGTGGGTAGTGACTGCGATTTAGGTCTCTCTTTTCTAGGTGATGAGAAGTTTCCAGACTAAAAAACAATCACAGTTGAATCAGTTACAGGTGCAGATTAAGCTCATTTTCCAACAGTTTCTTGGCATAATAGTTAAATTAACCTTGTTATATCTCTCAGTAGTATGTGCTTGGGCCAAAAATGCAAGCAGAAAAAACTGGCGGGAAAAACCTGGTTTGTAATGTAAAGTACAGAACATGGACTTGCTTAGATCAAGATAATATTAATTACCCCAAAAATCTTGGACTTAATTTGCTGTACTAACTTTCCTGCATTTCTTATCATTTTTCCCTGAAATTTTTTTCAATCCATAATAAACTTATTTCCTTGGGTGGAAATTTTTGTTTCTTCTCATCACCATTTTGTTTGGGAAGTTATCAATATTTCAGGAAAAAGTTAATTTATCATCATTTCTGTTAGTGAAGGGGTTTACAAAGCAACAAAGCCAGCAAAAAGTGCAAAAGCATGATATACAACTGTGGGCAGTTTTCATGACTTTCTGTTGAAATACATACTGAAAATAATTTATTTCGTCAAGAATTAAAAGATATCAAGAAGGCCAATATCCTGTTACTCTGTACAGTACATTTATTACCCACAATACAAGACCAAATGAACACTGAAACAGGAATGTAGTATTATAATAGTAGTATAATAATAGATGATACAGTCCACAGTGTTTCAGGATCCTATCATTTTAGTCCTCATGGTGAGTGGGAGAATTTTGGCAATCAAATTTGAAGGCGAAGTCACCAGTTTGGTAACTTGTTTTCAGCCTGGCTCTCATAGTAAAAACATTCTATTATGTTGCAAAAAAATATATATTTCCTTTTTCCCGTCAAAGAAAATTTTGTTTCTGGCAACCTTAACATAATTTTAGGCAGATGAAACCTGGATGAAAGCCAAACAGGTAGCCCTGGGCTAATGATTACGCTAGGATTAAAAAAAAAATTCAAATCACAGATAACTAGCCAGAGAATGAAAGATGCTAGGTAATGGCCACCACATCTCTATTCTCTATTCAGTGCAAAAACAACAACTAAAATAGTAACCTAAATGTATAAAAATATTTTCTGATGGAGCAAGTTTAACTTTCACTTTCTTGGAGAAATTTTTTTTCAGTTCACTTCTAAGCAAACAAAATCTTGGAACTTTCACAGTAATGTGCTTGAATCAAAATTAATACAAAATCTTAAGTAAAAATTTTACATTGCTGCTTATTTAAGTTACTACCAACAGCAAAAAAAAATCACAAGAGGTATAAACAGAACACTTTGAATCCAACTTACAACTTCTCAACTTTGCACGAAGAGCAAAAAAGTGTCAATAATAATTTTGGGAACAAAACTAACCTTGAAATTAAAATTTAAAAGTTTCAATTTTAAAATACAGATCAAAGACCAGTTGAAATCAGATAATAAACTGCAAAATCAGAAACAAACACACAAACAAACTTTTTTATAACCTAGTACATGGCTTATGTGTCAAAAGTATCCAGTTTGCAAACCACTAACTTCAGAAAACACTTATGAATCATATTAATGTAAGACATAGCTAAGGAGATAAAATTATCTGTGAATACTTCCTTCTCAATTAAAGGGCCTACAAGGCACCCACAGGACCCACAACATCATTTACCAAGCGGATGAAAAGTTTTCTTTTCGTTGTTTGACTGTAAAAGATGGAAAGCTCTCGTTTGTGCTAATTCTTGTTCGTAACCATGATAAGCACTGTTTGAAATAAATCTTCTTCGGTAAGAAGGTTCTAGATGGATGCATGTTTTTTCTCACAAATGATGAAAGTTATGGGTGACCATTATCTTTAAAAATCCCTCACGACAAAGTATACAAAAAGCGTTTTTTTCCTTTGATATCCGAAACTTTCTTGCCAAAGGCAAATGTAACCAGTAGTACCGTGATCAATTATCACGATGGTTCTTACTTTGTTTTCATATTGTTTATTGTAAACAATCACTTGTTTCTTTCCCCGAAAAAGAAAACTTGATGTAATTTAAGTTTCTCTCAACAACAGAGAATTAACTCTGACTAGATTTAATCAACTATGCAACACGATTTATCATGCCATCCAAAAAAAAAAAAAATTACGGAGTACTCTTGTATTCCTAAAGAGTGCTTACTCTCGTTTTCGCTGATGAGATGACAATTAGAGAAAATTGCTTCGCGATTAACAAGATAATATTATAAACGACTTAAAGCTGGCTGCATGCATACACTCACCGATTCCAGAGATTTTGCCGATGGGTTGACCCTTGAAGAACCATTTGTAACACCATTAAAATCGTTTAAAGCTCTAGAGGCGTTACTTGCATTTTCGTCTCCAGTTCCGTTGTTGCAAGCTGGATAATCGGAACAATTGGCATCGTTTGAAACTTGTGAGTTCCCTGTGATCGAATGGCAACTACGCATATCGCTCGTCGAGACATTCTCTCTGCTACCTGCTCCATTACAAGTCTCATGATGATCAAACTTTTCCACGTTTTCGTAAATCGGATCTCTTCTTCCTGGGGTAATTTCTTTCATATAAGACGCAGGAACGTACATAGGTTTTTCCTCAGTAGTATCCTTCCTCGTAACTTGCCACCAATCGACGTTGGTCTTGTTGAGCAATGTAAACCGATCTCCTGTTTCAAATTCGATGACTCTTCCATCGCCAGCTTGGTAAGAATAAGGAAATACGGCTTCTACAGTTCCATCTCCCATATCGAGAGCTTAGGGTGAGTGTTTAAAACCGCAGCGAAGAAATAAAATCTCACTTCAGAGTTTTGTAAACGAAGACATCTCTCATGTTATTGAAGATACAGGCGCCATAATGACATAGCATTTCCACAGAATAATATCGACAATATATATATAACGTCCGATTTTGATGTATAAATGGGATGAAGTAAAGAGAGTTTGATTTACTCAAAAAGATACACCAACCACTAATGAACCTTGAATACGATAAAAGTGAACTTCAGACATTCGACTTCCAAGGAAGCATTTCCATGTTTTCCAACTTTCGAGCGCAATATACCGCGCAAAGATGTCACTTCAATACGTCAAAACCCACGCACATCAGTTTTGGTTTCAGCTTTGCACAAACAAGGTACTACCACTGTCGAAATTTCCGCAATTACAGCAATAGAAACTGTGGTATCCGTCCAAAATATAAGTGAAGCTTATATTTCACTTAGCAAATTTGATTGACTCGTTTGCAAGTAAAATTCAGAGGCGAGAGGACTGAGAACTAGTAACTACCATCGGAAAGCGAAAATCACTCCGAATGTGTTACGAACTGACCCGGAAAAAAATTAACCAATAATAAGCCCATAGGAAGCAGGCAAAATCAATCCTCCGAACGAACGATTTCCCGCGATTCTTGGAAAAGCAACCGGAAGTTTTAACTTTACAGGAATTGTGTTTGAATGGGAGAAATCCCTTGATTTATTTTCGGCTTTTGACGATTTTTAAAGTGCTATTTCTACCAGTGTGTGGGCTAGGTGCTTGCTTAGTTTTCTTGACTGCGTGGGCTGAGGACGGATCGATCGATACCATTTGGGTAATTGTAGAAATCTTCTCTGTACTGGTATAGGCCTAACATGGATGCAATCCACAAGAAAGTGTTGGCTAGCAAGACAACTGTTATCATGAATAGCATTACCAGCCCAACACTGATTGCCGCACAACTCGGCTCAGTTTTCTGCCCTTCAGATAGAGAGGAAATAAAGGCTACGGAAAGCAGATTGGGTTCCATTCACGCGTCACAAACATTGTTAAGTTTGTTGGAGAAGAGAGGACCGAAAGCTTTTGATAAGTTTTTAACAGTCCTGAATAGTCCAGACAATCGTTTGACTCACTTAGCAGACGAACTCTTAAAAGCAGAGAGAGAACTTCGTGGAGAACAAGGTCAGTGAGCTGTTTTCGCCTCATTTAATTCGCTTAAAAATTTATCGGAGTTACAAAGCATAATTTGCCAAAGTATCCCACCTCCAATTTCCAGGATTTATCCTTAGTCGTTTGAGAATTATAGAATCCCCGAGTTTTACAACAAAAGACAATTTTTTCCTTTCTAGTTAACTGATTTCAGTTCAATTACACGCTGGTCGTAGCTTTTACGACAAATGCTGGACAAGTTTACCACGGTTTTGGTTTTCAATTAATATTTCTTTTTTCACACACACAAAAAAAATTACTCTATGATAGCGTGTAGAGTAGTATGTTCCTTGCACCAATCAGATCGCCCCATTTGGGTATGTATCTCAGTCATGACAAACCATCTGCACTTGTAAAATGTTGGTGATGACAGAAAATTTATCTAAATAAACAAGTAAGTTGGTCAGTCTGTTGGTGAGTCAGTTAGTCAATGAGTCAGTGAGTAAGCCAGAGACTGACCTAGTGAGTCAGTCAGTCAGTTAGTGAGTTAGTCAGTCAATGGGTTAGTGGGTCAATGAGTCAGTCAGTCAAGTGGTCAGTTAGTAAGTCAGTTAGTCAGTGAATCAATTAATGAGTTACTCAGTGAACTAGTGAGTCAGTGAGTCAGTGAGTCAATGAGTCAGTCAGTTAATCAGTTAGTAAGTCAGTGAGTTAATAAATCAGTGAGTCAGTGAATCAGTTAATGAGTCAGTCAGTGAATTAGAGAGTGAGTCAGTCAGTGAGTCAATGAGTCAGTCAGTGAGTGAGTGAGAGAGGTAGTCAGTCAGTCAATTGGTCAGTAGGTGAGTCAGTCAGTGAGTAAGACAGTCAGTCAGTCAGTCAAACGGTCTGTTACTAAGTCAGTTAGTCAGTGAATCAGTTAATGAGTCAGTCAGTGGTTGAGTCAGTCAGTCAGTCAAGTGGTCAGTTAGTAAGTCAGTTAGTCAGGGAATCAGTTATTGAGTTAGTCAGTGAATTAGTGAGTCAGTCAGTCAATGAGTCAGTCAGTGTGTTGGAGAGTCAGTCAGTTAATCGATTAGTAAGTCAGTGAGTCAGTAAATTAGTTAATGAGTCAGTCAGTGAATTAGAGAGTGAGTGAGTCAGTGAGTGAGTGAGAGAGGCAGCTCAGTTATACCCTCTGGAATTTCTAAGGGAGTCAGCATCGTGACTCATAATTACTCTCTGAGAGAAGAAACTATATGGTCTCAGGGACAGACTTCTCATTTACATTTGACGTCTTAGAGCAATCAACTGATGGGCCGTCCTTTTTTTTACTTCGGGTCAAGGGTTGGTGAAAAGTAATGAAAATTACTCACTGATATGATGAAACAATCTGAGCATGAAAATCTTGACAAATAATTGTTGCTGACTCTTTATCATCAGAAGCTCCAAGACTGCCAACACCAGCAAGCCCTGATACTCCTTCTGAAGATGTAAACTTTGATGATCAACCTGAAGAAAAAAGAGAGGTGAACCCACATTCTCTTGACTCAGGGTCTACAGAACAATTCAGTCATCAAGAAAGTGACAGTAGATTGAAAAACTTGTACCAAGGCCATGGCCAAGGTCAAGCTTTTGCTAGCAACCAGTCCTCCAGTGCTGATATGAAAAATAATGTGCTCAGTTTAGGTAAGTCTAGATGAAAATTTATGATGAATTCCCATTTGAGAGGAATTTAATAACAAGCACTTTTCCTTCAACTATTTAATTCTTGTTTTCTTGTCACCATATTCCCACCAATAGCATATCTCCTTTTTTGTATAGGTAATCACATGATTTCAAGTGCAATTGGAATAAATAAGCATGAGTAAATTTTTTCAAAGACTAACAAAATTACACGAGCTTGTAGAGCAAGTGCAATTTCTGGTCTTTGAAAAAATTTACAGGTGCTTATTTATTCCAAATTGTACGAGGAAAATCATGTGATTACGTATTAATAATATACATGAAAAAATATGAAACAGTTTATCATAATTAAGCAGAAGCAAAGTGGGCACATCAAGTGCAAAAATAATTTATTCAAACCCTGCAAGTGACATTGTGCATTCGGTCAAAACAGCCACATACGATTAAAACAATTAAATATACAATAATATTTTCACATCTTTACGGTGCAAAAAAGATTACCTGGAAACTACATTTATCTTAACCAATCAGAACTGAGTAATTTTTTCATGTATCTTATTATGCATAAAAATACACACAGCCCACAATTCCTCCAATTGCTCTGACAAAGGGCTAACACTTGAAATGTCAGCTTTTAAACTCTTCACAGTGGCCAATTTACATTATCAACTCAGTATACTCTCCCACTGACACAGCACCACAGTTTCTTTATAAACTTACCCCCTTTATTTATTTATCTTGAACTCTCTCTCCCGCATTCTGAGAAATGTGTTGGCTAATGAGATAACACAGGGATTTAAATCCTGGTTGTGTGAACCATTGTGACATGTTCTTGGACAGGTGACTTAAGTATTGCCTCACTCAATCTTGGAAAGTAAATGAATACTGGTGAACTTTTAGGGAAAGTTTATAAATCCCTGTGGGAGTGAAGTATCCTATGATCATTGCTTTTCCCACTGGGTATTCCTCTTGACCATCTAAAGGATGTAAATTGATGCCATAATCCCTTTAATAGGAGCCTGGGCACTCATCTAAAATTTTGGCAAAAGTAGAGGGTGCATTTGTTGGAGAGAGGGTGCTTAATTGAGGGGGGGAACTTATCTTTCTCTTTGTACTGATTCTGCTGTAAGTGCAGCTTAAAAAGTTATAAATAAAGTGGCAATAGAAACAGGTTTTCCTTGTTTCCCTATTTTTAAAGAAAGTGAGGGAGGAGGGGGGGTGCTTATTTCAGGGGGGGGCTCATGTTTGACATTTTTGCCTATGGGATGGGTGCTTATTCAGGGAGGGTGCTTATTTCTGAAGGGCACTTATTAAGGCATGTGCATTCATTTGAGGAATACAATATTTAGGTTGGCTTGACAATGACAAATTACAGGAACTTTTATTTAGTTGGTTTATTTTTTTCTCAAAATTGGCATAGATTTGTTCACAGCTCTTTGTTTTCTTTCATCCAGATACACTTATCAAAGACATCCCCTACAAACTCCAGTTGCAGATTGTGAAGTTAATGGATCCATCAGATGCCAATCATCATGACTGGCGGGGGATAGCCAGTGTAATGAATTTGAGTGCTGATGATGTAAGACAATTAGAGAATGCTCAAGACCATGGAAAAATGAAAGGACTGATTGACAAGATGATTCAACTCAAAAAGAATGTGAATGATCTCCTTGGTTGGTTAAGGAATCCTAACGTAGCCAGATGGGATGTTATTGATGAAATCAAAAATTTTTCTTTCAATATTCCCCTTAAGTTTCTGTCACCTGAGACAGAAAGCTCAGAAGACCAATCATCAGGTGTGTTTCTTGGTTTGCTTTTTAAAATCAACTCATGTCTGATTTAATTATCACACCACTAATTTTGTAGGCCTCAATTACAGCTATCATAATGTAACTCATGAAAATGTGGTTTCAAATTCCAGAAAGATCAAAGAACTCTTTGGGGGAACTGGGGGCAAGATAACACACTCCATCAGAATAGCCAAACAACAAAACTTAATTCTCATCAACTGCAGTGATCATAATTCCATAAGATTGCGAGGCTTTTTATGTTTTCTCTCTTTTTAATAACAGCCTCTCTTTTAAATGCTGATTAAAGTAATTTTTATTGCTCCCATGATTATTACCAAAGTTCATACCCCAATTTTTTCTCAGATTCAGCAAGTACTGTAACATTTGGAGAAAGCTTTTTGCCAGAGCCAAAATCTGAATTGAAAGCAGTACCTATACAAGAACACAGTCCAGAGCTTGATGAAAAACCTGATGCTCGAATTCCAACACAAGAAGAGGATTCTAAAGACTATCAACAAAAACGTAACTGTAAGACAAGTGCTAATCCAGTTCATGAAACTCTCAGGAAAGGGTCCAATTCTAAATTGCATGCAGTACCAGCACAAGAACAGAGTCAAGAGCCTGATGAAAAACCTAATGCTCAAATTCCCACACAAGAAGAGGAATCTGAAGGCTATCAAAAGAAGGATGGCAGTAAAAATAATTTGCCTACACCAACTCAGGAAGAAGGCAAAGATGAAAAAGAATTCGACAACAAATCTGATGATCAGATGCCTACCCAAGAGGAACAAACCAATAGTATCTCTTCTGTTGAAGATGACGACGTGTTTGAAAATTCAGGTATTCGTCATTCTTTAACTCTTCGGAGTGATATTTTCTATTAAAATCTGAACTATCCCTGATAATGATTTGTCGTCAGACCAAAAAGCAATCAGTATCAAGAAAATTATTAACCAGGGAATTTTTAACATTAAGCTAGCTCAAAAGATAATTTATACATTTTGTTGTTGACTGATGAAGATAATGTTACCTGTCTTGAGTGTTCTGTTGCACAGTAACGAGAAAATGCACTTTTTAAATATTAAATCAAAAATAGAGAATAATTGAGTATGTGACAAAAGTGGAATTCTTGAGTACTGTTCTAACTCTGTTCGGTTTCAATGACATCTGGATATTAACTCATGCCAAACCAGAAACTATTAATAGTAGTTTGATCATTTCCCAAAATTTATATCAATTTTTGGAATATCTTGGAAGTTTGGAGTCAGAGCATTTGTAGTAGTCCCGAAGAGGCACTTATATTACTGGGTCATTTTTAGTAACCTATGAGTAGCATGGAGAGAAAACCTTAAACCCTCACACCTCAACATCAGTATGCATATTCTCCATACTGTTTTCTATACATTACTTAAGGTGCTGATAAGGAGAATTTGTTTATTAGTCACAAAAATATTTAGTTGGTGATCATTCCCTTTACTCTTGTGACCTTACTGTGTAATGCAGGGGTTATACTGTTGGGAGAAATAAGATGCCAATCACTCTCTAGGGATGAAGGGTCAATTCTTCCCAAGTTAAGCAGCATAGTGAAAGTTGGTTAAGGTTTGCTTACATTTTTAAGAGTTAACTGGTTTTCCTGACGTGTTTAATGAAGGACTGTTTATCTTGACAGACGATGGCAAAAAGGAATTCCATCCTCTCTTAATAAGTTGCTGTGGAAATGAGGGACAGGACCAGGACCATGAAAAAGAGCTAAAGAAGCTGCGTGAAATCCTTGAAGAGTCTTGGGAAAGTACAGGTATAGTCTAATGTTAACATTGTTTACATTTAATGTTGTTGTACACTTGGGGCAGATCCAGGAATGATTTGGGTGGTTCCGTCAACCCCCTAAAATAAACATCACTGACAAATACTATGCATTTGCTTTCAAAAAAAAAGAAAAAAAGATAAACCAACTTAAAAGGGGAAAAGATAACATTGATGGAAGAGAGTCTTTACTTTTCCTAGCATGATTTTTAAGACCACTTAGCAAGTACAAATACATTACTGCAACTTAAGTTTCATTTTCTGTATAAGTTTCAATGACTGTAAATACTTAAGAATGGTAATTTTGTTAAATAATTCAAAACAGAGATGGTTGCACAGGTTTCAAATAACCTACACTCATCCCTCAAAATGTTGTAAATCATGTTTCTGAAGACCTACTTTTCAAAATATCCCAAGGAAGCATGCCCCCAGAAACCTCTAGAAGGGTCCACCCTTAGCAGACAATTTTCTGAATCCCCTTTGACTAAATCATGGAATTGCCCCAACATAGTCTAGTTCTGTTTATTTGGCATAATAAATGGTATGCATTTATATGTATTTTTATTTTCAGATGTCCAATTTAAAAAGAAGGTCAAAGAGCAAGATTTGAGCAAAACAATCCATTCATTTATAAAAGCCAGTGAGTCTGGGGCAAGAAAAAGTGTTTACTTTGCTTATTTGGTTGGACCCACAGTTCAGGTGTGTTCCTTTTTGTTTAAAGATATTCCAAATTCCATACAAGCTGGACTTTCATTCCTTTCACCTTTTTTGGTGGCATGATTTTGGAGACTTATTTTATGTAAATTAGCATTTTTTTCTGATTGTGACCAGAAAATACTTGGTTTACAATTTTCACTCTTTTATAAATATTAATGTTATTAAATTAATGTCCATCTTGCAGATAAATGGGGAAAACTACCTTCTTCCAAATGATCTAAAGAGTCCTTCCTCACGAGCTGACCTTATTCACAGTTCATTGAATATCAACTGGCTGGTTAAGCAACTGAGCAAGAAATATGTGTGTATTTTTGTTTCTGATCTTTATGATATTTTCTATTTGAATTTAAAATTGAAGGAGGAGTATGTATCTACTTACATAACTTCATGACAGTTATAGAAGCAAAATAAATTTCAAATTCACAATAATACTTTTTGAAGTCATGTTTTGGCATATCCTATTTCCTCTAATCAGTATCCAAAATGAGCGCCTTCTCCTGAATAAGTGGCTACCACGTAGGCCAAAATTTCAAAGCCCACCCCCCTCCCCTGCAAATAAGCACCCTCCATCCCTCACTTTCTCAAAGTAAGTCTAATGTATAACTATGAGAAATATCATACATTACACTTACTATGAAAAATTAGATGGGTAGAGAGCAAAATCATTGAAGTAATCGTTTGTGTTTCTGCTTTCTCAGATGCAAGTAGTGATAGTCGATGGAGCTTATGAGAATCCTGTCGTGAAAGATTGTTTAAAATTAAATGGAGTTCTACCAGGATTGGCCCCGATCCAGCCACCGCCAAATGCAATCATTGCATTCCCATGCCACCCAGGAATTGTAAGAAAAGAGAAAGAACGACTGTGAGTTTTATGACAAGCAGATTTATTCATGTACTTTGAACATCAGTGACACACTTTGACAAGAAATTGAGTTTGATCAAAATACTGTCAAACTTAATTGAGAAAAACGCGAAAATGCCAAAATATTTCCCGCTTAGAGTCGGGCTGGGCGATCGGAAAGGAATCTTCTTGTACTTGTGAAGTTCTTTGTGTATCGCTTTATCGTTTTGTGTGGGATAACTCTAACATTTTTTTCTTCAATCCTCTTTTCCATTCACGACTGACTCAAAGGGTCCTTTGATTTATATTCAGAGAATTCATTACAAGCCTTGTAAAAAAGTTGGAAGGCGAACCAAACGTGATGCTGGCAGATCTTTTTGACCAAGTGAGAGCAGACTTAGAGGGAAAATCTCTCAGTCCTTCAGTGGAATTCGCCTTAATCTCGTCTCCACTACCAATCTGCATCAATTCGGAAGCAAGTCAAGGTTTGTTCAGTGGAGAGAAACAAAAATGGTTTATTGTTAATCTTTGTTTTTGTGGTATTTTAAAACGTATAAAAGTAAGCTATAGTAGTTCATCTATTGCTTAAGTTGTGAAATGAAAATTGGAAATCAACTCCTTGCTATGGAATGGTGTGAAAAAGATCTTATCGGGGCCTGAATATTAAAAAGGATCGGCTGGTGATTAAATTGTGCCTGTGCCGTTTGTTTAACTGAACCGCGGTAGAAATTTTCAAATAGATCTCCGGATGTAAGCAAAAGATAGGAGAAAGATATTAAGCTAAGGTTGAAACTGCCTAAGATTTGACGTTAGGCTGTAGTGCTCTCCGTGCCATAAGAGTCGCAGTCATGAAAGAAATGTCAATTTTTTATTCTTTCCGCAGAAATTCAAGTAAATTCTCCAGTTGAGATGAAACGCAATGCCATATTAGTTTCAAACTTCAGTGAGCCAAATGCTGAGGCGAGCACAGATCGTTGTCTCAAGCGGGACCGTGAACAACTTCGAATGGCCCTGTTAAAATCTGGATGGGAATGTGGTATGTTGTAGAAACTCAAAAGATCTTACTGTGTAACTTAACTAGAGTTGATAGTTAAGGCGTCTTCTTATGAGTATGGTGTATGGAATATCGCATCAACACACTGTGGATAAAGCAGAAGAAGAAGAGGAGGAAAGCATGTATTCAAAATCAACTCCTTACTAAGAATCACGGGAACCGAGATTCATAAGGAACCATTTGTTATTTACCGCCAAGGGTGGGGAGAGGATTTCGGGGATCACATGGTTTTCAGGAGGAACGGAAGGAAGGGGGATCAGTCGCCGCCAACTGACTGTACAGGGGGGACTATAGGAAATTGTCTGTCAATTAATGATCAATGAGGAGGGAATATGACAGAGCCTGATCGGGAAATCAGGTACATTAGTTTTATTGTGACACAAGCAAAATCCTCCACCACAACCCCCCCTCCCTCCTCCCTTCTCATGACCCCAGGTTATGCTTAACACTTTAACCTTTAAGAGTGACTGGCGTCTAATTTCTACTAACAATATCACCCTTGAATCACACATTAAGGTCATGAGAATAAAGGAAATGATCACAACTAAAGAAGCTCCTGATTGTTAAACAAATTCTCCTCGTTAGCACCTTAGGAAATATATAATGAAAATGCATAATGATGATAGGGTGTAAAGGGTTAATTACTGGTGATCTCTTGTCGGTTCCTAAAAGGAAAGAAGATGAGAAAAAGGGGGCAGTGAAGATTGCGTTTCGTGGTTAACCTGCCTTGGTTCCTCCAAGAAGGGCCGGACATTATCCCCTATAGCTCTTCTAGTTTTAAGCTAGGTTAACTGAAGGATGAAGGTAGAAAGGTCATTCTCCATTCGTATTCAGAAATCGGGCCGAAATATACTTTTATCATAAACAGGAGGCCAAATTCGTCTATCTATCTTGCGTTACATACCCCCTTTCTGCCCTCAAAAACACATTCATAAGCCTGAGAATAAACACGCGGAACATTACGAGAACAAAGGTCTCGAAACAGATTTAAGCCCACACGAAATGTCCCCGTAAGTTTGTATGCTGCTTACGAAACACGTGTATTGTTGGAGAAGGGGAGGAATATGCGAATACGCAAAAGTGGCGTGTCATGGACGAACGAAGAAGTTCTTGAGCTCTTGGGATAAAATTATATTCTGTATTTTTAGTCTTGCAGTTCTAAAGGTTTTTTTTTTCTATTTCAATAGAGGATTTTTGTGACAAGTCTGCTAAGGTTGTCAAAGAAAATTTAAGAAGGACATTGACCAAGCTGGCTGATGGTGAAAAGAAAGAAGTTATGCTCTATTTCATGGGACACACCAAAATGGTATATGAACTATAATCAGATGCATTATAGCGTAGAAACTGTATAAATGCTTTTTTTTCTTCTTCATTCCTTAACCATAACAACGGAATCGAAAAGGTCGAACCAGACCTTTATACAATGGCGATGTTAAATGATATACGATCGAACCTCGATTATCCAGACTCGTAAGGACTGGGCTCAATAGTCCGGATAATGCAGAGTGCGAATTATCGAAATATATAAATGTAATGTTCGTAGATAATGGGATCAAAGAAACATGTCCGGATAATCTAAAAATCCGGATAATCGAGTTTCGGATAATCGAGATTTGACTGTACTTGCTTCCGTTTTCATCAGTTCGTCAAAACTATGCCAATTACTTCTTTGCACTGGTTTTTTTTCCATGTATATCACTCAATCATGTCTCTGATGGTCCTTTGTATCGATTGCTCAGTGTGTGGTCGACTCTACACAACGATACATTTTTAGAGAGACCTTATATGCAATGCTGGGGAATTCAAATTGTTCTAGAGGACATTGCACCAATGTTCGTTTCAAACACTACAACAAAACCAAAAGAAAAATCTTCAGGAGCAGTTAACGAGTAGAATTGCCATTTGCCTCTTTAAACCATTTAGTGTCAGTTTTTAATCTCCTTTTTCTTGCCCCTCGTATATTTGTTACAATTTGTGAATCAATGTCAGTATCTGAGCGGCAGTCCACCTACTCCTCCCTAAACCAACAAAAGTCAACTGATAATAGGTCAGGGTTAATGTTGGATTAGGGGAGGGGTACTGATATCCATCCCATTTGGTAAAATATCTCAGAGATATTTTACCAATTTTCTTTCTGTTTTATCATTCTTATGGAAGCGGCTTTTTCGGGACAGATTTTGTTTACTTTAAATCTGGTTTTTTTTCATTTTCTTTATTATTTATTTTTTTTCTTTTGTAGATAATGGACTGTAACTATTTTTACGGAGGGGATATAGAGGCTCTTTTAGAAGATCCATACCGCTCGGGTGTATCGCTTCAATGGGTGTTGGATCTCATGTGTGAAAAAATTCATGGAGTAAGTAATTCATACTTTTCTGAGAAAGATATTGGCTATTTAGTGCGAAAAGCTGACTTTGCTTAAGGGTTCGCTACAGTAACTTACACCCTCCGCCTTCACGATGAAACAAAAATGGTTTGTTTGCGGCTGTAAACGAAAAACTTGCTAGGCTGCCACACTATTCGCCGGCCGTAAGGGCGTGTGTCTGTTAACCCTCTACACCCGTTGGTGATCACTTACCATATTCTCATGACTTAAATGTTTGATTGAGCAGTTGTGCTGTGAGAAGAAATTAGATTTTAGTCAGTGGTGAGTTGACATTTGCCGTCACAGTTCAACAACTGACTGCGCACTTGTTTCATTATGCAGCCAAAACTATTGGTAGTAGATGACGTGGGCTCAAACCCCAACAACCCAGAAGAACTGGCGGAGATGTCCGCACCTTTTGATGTTATGATCAGTTTACCACGAAAAGACAGGTTTGTGATCTTTCTCTCCATTTTTCTTCGTTTCTTTTTTCCTTCTTTTCCCTTTTTTTTTAATTAATTATTTTTTTTGGGGGGGGGAAGGGGTGGGGGAGAGCAACTTTTAAGGCCCTAAATGCTTTCGCGATGGCGGAACGGGGGGTGGGTTAGTTCAGCAAATGAGCCCTTACTGGGTGTTATGTTTTTGTTCAAGACGCTAGTCTTTACCTAGATAATCTCGTTCCCAGGTCTTTTTGATAAAAGACGGGTCAAGATGTTGACTGCCTACTAGACGTACGCTTTTGTTTCCATTTGCACTGAAGTTCGATTGCATTTCCATAGAGTGTCGTAATAGCGAAAGGATCGCAAAGGCCAATCAAAGCTAAGGAAGATTTCACAACAATCCAATAAGAACTCAAAGTAGATTCAAGTAAATTTTTACAAAGGGCGGGAAATACGAATGATCTTGTCGCGATTGGCTTTAGTTTTACATTTCATTGGTTGATTGGTTATACTTTTATATATGATTGGTTGATTGGTTTTGATTTTGCATCTCATTGGTTGAGAGGGGTGCAAGTTTTCTAGTCCAATCACAAAGTGAAGTTAAGAAATGCTGATTCAATTCAGAATCACCTTGGTTACTTAACCCTTTAACTCCCATGAGTGACCAAGACAGAATTTCCCCTTACAATATCAATACAATATCAACCAGATAAGTGATGAGAATAAAGAAAAATATCATTTTGGGGATAATTAATGGATCCAATACTAAATTCTCTGAACTAACATTACAAGAACTGTATGGTTGAGAGTAAGGAGAATTACAAATTTGATCTGGGAGTTAGGAGGGTTAATTGGAAACTACTTCGTAAGAAGACTAAAAGCTTTAATTTCGCTCTGTGAATGAACTGTTACAATTCTTTCATTATTTTCTCCTTTACTTCATCTTTCAGGCCGCGTGCAAGGAGTTTCACTAACAATTTTGGGCGTCTGCTGGGTGAAAACTCAACGAAGTTGTCTTTGAAGGACAAGTTGGAAAAAGCTGCGATGAAGGACCCTCACCGGCTCAACTCAAATTTATTAGAACCCAGATAAGATGGTTGCATCAAAAAAAAAATTTACATAGTGTAGCTTTAAAAGCCAATTTTTATTAATATTTATTGAATTCACAGAGTAAAGTGGAGTATGGTAGAGTAAAATATAGATTGGACGCATTTAACCACGAAGCAGTCAAAGTATATAATATTCTGATTATGAGCTGATCCTCTCATTGATGAAAGCGATTTTCTTGAATTATTTTGACGACTAGTTTTAAATGTGCACTTTTATGAAAGGTAGCGTGTGACATTTATAATCAATTCGCGATGCGATCATATTTAACTAATCATTTTAAGCCGAGCACGACAGTTTTTGCCGCGTCAGCAAGTACTCACGTGTGATCTTTCTCAAAGTGCATTGTTGGCTGAAGCTGCCTTAAGTGACACCTGTGTTTTAGCGAATACAGAGGTTTATCTTGGAATAACGAAAGCGGAATGCACGAAAATTAAGTAAATTTTATTGTCTCGGAATCAGCTTAGTTTCATGCATGGAAACTGAAAATAATCTTATCTCATAGTTATAGGGGTACTTTTTTTTTTTTTAATTGTGCAGTTTCGTTGTTGTTTTTGATTTTTATAATACTTCAATTCATATTAAAAGGGGACAATATTGGTAACCTTTTCCAGTTCACTTGCAGAAATATACGTTTTGTTAAGCTGGGGAACTTAATAGAAAGAAGGAACATTATAATATTTTAACATACATTTCTTCCCTTCCTTTGTAATTTTCGTTAAGTGGAAGAAAACAGTTTTCAATTATTGCTTGCTGGAGTAGACAAACTCCACATAGTCCTGAATAGTCTGAGATGGAACAAGAGTGTTTAAGGATAGGTAATATTAAAACGGATTGCAAACCTTGATCTACTAAAGGCAGCCGGAATGGTCAATGTGATTAGGGCAGTTTTTGAGTGTCGATAACGAAAAGTTAAGTAATTCCAGAACAATAACCATAACATGCATATGTTCCAGAAATTCGTTTTCGGTGCGTGGTACTGTTTTAAGTTTCATCCTTTGGGCTTTCAATTCACAATTGATGGACTAAATTGATGGACTAAATTGATGGACTAAATTCTTCCGCGGGCCTTTTTTAATGAGCCTGACAGCCTCATTAGGTGGCTAATAAAAAAAATCCGTTTAATAGGGAAAACCAAATGAAATCGTTGGTTTTTTATCAGGTTTGATTTACTCATCACAATTTTTATTTAGTCTACGATTTGCTGTTTCTCACGTGTTTGAATTTTAATTATATGCTCGAAACTGTGTTAAACAGTTTCTATCATGGGGGATTACTAACCAGTAAACATTACAATTCCTTAAAACATACCTTATAAGAATTAAACTGGCACATCTTTATCACAGTATCTGTGAATGTTTCTTGTGTGAGTAACTAACATCAGGAGTCCAGTTTACGAACTTTTTTGAAAACCTTCAACAGGCTGGTTTTATCAGGGCGAGAACTTCAATTGCGTGGACTTTAACTGCTCTTTGTTCGCAAATTACTGCAAAAAGATATCCTGCTGCTGAAGGGGAACCGAACTCTCTCCTCAAGCTGAAGTGAAAAATGACTCTTAAGGTTACACACTAAGCTTTCTTTCCTGTGACATCCTAAAGAAATTGACGCTAAAATCTCAAAGTGATGCTTCCTTTGGAAGGGTTAGCGCGACCGACGTCATCATGGCTCTTTGCTTGTGTGGGGAGACTGACGTCATTCGACGAGAGATCGCATATTTTACGGTGCAACCGGCTGCAACTACACTCGAACTTTGTTCCAACATGTTAAATCTACCTAGAAATATGACGTCGTCAGCTCTGCAACTCGACAAGTGTAATATTGAAACGTCCACCGCGGCTTGGCGTGATTTTCAAGGACCTTGATCAGCTCAGCCGCTCTGATGACAAGTCAGGCCACCAGAGAATGTGGACTGAAAATAAATTAAACTGTGTCTCACCCAAAACTACACGCTCGCGACTGCAGCTATAGAATGATTTTGCACCAACGTACGAAGGTCAAGTCATTTGCTTTGCCCACTGATAGTCGTGAATAAAGATCTGTGCGGCGGTCAGAAATCGAAAATACAATGTGCCTCTGTGTAATGAACACATGATCACAGGTTACGTTCAACCGTATCATCTAAAATGTATTATGCGATCAAAAAGCTTCACTGCACTAATTTTTAATTAGTTTTCAGAAATATAATTTTTTAAAAGGACTTCTTAAAAGCCATTCACTTGCAAAAATTAATCGAAAATGTACTTTTTCATCCCTAATCTGACCATATCATATCAATTGGCTCAATAATAATTAAAACTCGCTCTTCACATTGCATCAATTTTGCCAATTTGTCATTTGCATTAATCTCTCAATTTGTAAATATCATGGCCAAAGAGGAATTTAATATTTTATCTTGTTTTGTCGAGAATTCCGAGAGACAGGGAGAATGTCAAAAATATACCAATAAACATTGCGACGGTGAGAGCCAAAGTCGCGCGGGCGACAACTCGCGTTCTGATTGGTTCATTTTTGGCTCGAGATGTCATATGATTTCTACCTTTGCCCACCAGATATTTGGAGTGCTGTGATTGGCTTATACTCATCAGGCCACTCACAGCCCATCAACGGCAGTTTATCGTAAGGTTTTTGCATGTATAAATTCTACGGACTTTTTAAAAGGAATTCTTTCGTTATATCGCTCGATGGGATTCACAATGCACTGTCTACTTTGTGGTAGGCGCTCCTCGTCGAGTGGGAAATACTTCTTGAACTTATTTCGCAAAATCGCACCGTCAGTTGTAAACGTTTGCGTTCGCGGCGTTGTGTTGTTCATCCTCGGAACTTTCTTTGCAATGGTTCTTTTCACGTTTTCTGTTTTACCAGAAGTACGTAGAAAGAGAATCCAAGATATAGGTATAATTGCAAAGCTCTTCAGTGCTGTGTGGTGGATCGCTCCGTCCTCTGGCACTGCTGCTGCAGTTGTGGGTTTGATTTATCCTTGTTCTGACATTCGCCTTGGAAAACCGCACAAACTAGAAAGAGAATGGTCTAGCGTTTTTAAATGCGTGGTGTTATTCCTTGGAATAAGTCATGCATGTGCCGTATCCTTTCCACTGTTGTGTCCTTTGGGTTTTAAAGTAATTTAATGTGAGTAGCTACGAGTGTTTGCGGAAACTTAGAAGCTAATTTCTAGCGTGATAGTGCAGTCAACGAAATTGACATAGGCGACTAGTTTATTTCCGGTCTGTGTAAAACAGTCGTCCGAAAACGAAAAAAAACGCGATAAAAGCAGAAATACAACGTATATTTGTGAAAAAATCGCAGTTCATAACAAGAATAGCAAACTCTGTTTTGAAACAAGCCTCATTCAGTTACAAAACTTTAAAATCAGGGCAACGAAACCCGAAGATTGTTAAAACGTGTTTTTAATTGTTATGTATCGCGTTTTGAATCGAAATACGTAATTTAGTATCTTTCTTAAGAAATGTGAGCTATGCAGGACTATTCATCATTTGCTGATACATAGGAAATTTCCATCAACAAATTTATGAAACGCCGGTTGTTTTTCAAGGTATCAAGTTACGCCTAAAATTTCCGGGACTGGCGTTGATTTGATGATCAAGTCGTTTAATGTGTTTATGTGACGGCAGTTTTTTGTGTATGTATTGTGTGCAAAGAAATTAAACTGGTAAAATATTTTTGATTGAATATTAAAAAAAAATGTTAATCAATCTTTGTTGTTCAGCCTGAAATATAATTCTAGGAATTTTTGTTTGATACCCTTGTCATGATTTGTATTGTTGTAGTTATGGTTTATATTTTTGTTCTCTTTCATGTATCGGTTATTTTTGTTATGGCTTTTTTTTCGTCTTCAACAGAATTAATTTAATTATACAAGGCATCATGTCTTACACACATCATTGACCTGTTACATTCAGAAAGCAAATAGGGTGACAAGCTCAGTAAGCAATTTAATTCAGTGGGATTCATTGCTATGGATAATTCTTGAGATTAACATTTTCCAGTCGTTTTTCAAAGTCAACATTTTTATTTATAAAAAATATGATGATCCTACCAAAAACTACAAAAACAAGTAAAGAAATCCCATTATAGACCATTGGTCCAGCTGAACAAACTTGCCTTAAGTTCAAACTTTTTCCTTGCTAATGTGAATATGCTTATCATTCTTATCCAAACTATGTTTTTTTTAGTTAGCCACTCTTTTTTACTTCATGATTATCTGTGGACAGTAAATAGTTTTTAGGAGTTTCGTGTTGTTTATAACTTCTTAAGTAGAAAAAGTAATGTTTGTCACCTTAACATTTTTGTAGAAAATCACTTTTAACAGTCCAATGCACATCTTCCTCTTTATGGCTATTAGCTCACTGACCTTGTGGTGGTTATTTGACCGATCAAAAAATGGTCTTGGACTGGCTGTGCTGGTAACAATGTGTGCCTGTATTCTTCTACAATGTTTGATATACTTGGGGGTTTACAGGTAAAAAAAATATAAATAATTTTTAGACATCAGTCAAATACTAGGATGGACTCCACTTCCTAGATAGGATATATTCTCCTTATGCTTTGAAAATAATGGCTTGTGTCTTTCAAGTGGGAATATACTGATGTTGTCAGAATTGCCAGGTCAAATTGAAGAGAAATACAATAATTGTTTGCTTAATCTTTAATTGTTTGACCAGACCCACCTAATGCATGAGTGATCCTGCAGTTTTATTTCAAAAAATCATGTTTGATTTTTACACCTCAATACTTGAACATCTGGACTAGGTTGTTCAAAGCTAGGTTAAGATAACACAGGGTTAATGTGAAATCTGATTTCAGATCTGATAGCTTTAAAAGACAATTTAGTCAAGTTCTTTTTGTCTAGAATATGACTATGTAATTCTCTAAAAAAGAACTTGGGAAATTATCCCAAAAAGGCTTTTGAATAAAGGAATAAAGAAACCTAGATTAAAATTTAACCTTGGGTTAGTGCTTATTGGCCTTGGAACAAGTGGGCCCTGGTCTTGTATACTTGTATACTGTACAGGTTTTACCTTCTAAAGCTGAGATAGAAACTGAAAGATAAAAATTGGTATGCAGTTCTGTAATCACTTCTATTCACATCTCATTATTAATGTGCTATCAAGTTGGTGGCCTCTCCACCATAGCTCCTGAAGGATAGAAACCAACCAGTCAATGACAAAACAAATTGATTTTTTTTTTGCAAATCATTTATCTCTGTCCTTTAGAAATGGTGAACCAGATTTCCTCTATGCAAGATCTTGGCTACCATGGTTCTTTTTTTCTGGTGTTGTAACATTTGGATCCATTGGAAGACAGCTTGCTATGGTATGTTTCTGCTCATGAAGTGAACCTCAATTTTTCATCAAAAATACTATTTACACTTGAAAGGAATGGTGCCAATACAGTGCCTATAAGATCTGACGACACTAATGTTCCATATAGGCTTTGTAATTTTAAGGCACTTGAACAAGCATAAGCTAGCTTCATAATTTTTTTTTTCAAATAAGTTCCATAGAATGACTTTTTCCACAAATTTTTGTGCTTACATCATGAGACTGGGAAAAGGTTTGCCTGCAACAGGTTTTTACTGAGATCTGTGATGCCTCCTCACAAATTGATACTTGCTTGTCTCAGCACAGCTTTCCTTTCCAGCCACTAGCCCAAACATGTTTTACCAAAAATTCTGGGAGGTTATTTTGGTGTATGAAACATTTATCCCTTTACACCCTAACATCAGTATGCATTTTCTCCTCACTGTTCTTTATACATTTCCAAAGGTGCTGACAAGGAAAATTTGTTTGCCAATTAAAAGGTTCCTTCTCTAGAGACCTTTTTTTTTTATTCTCATGACCTTAATGTATGATTGAAGAGTGATATTGTAAGGAGAAAGTAGATGCCAATCAATCTTAGGGTTTAACCCTTTCACTCCCATAAGTGACCAAGACAGAATTTCTCCTTACAATATCAATACAATATCAAGCAGGCAGGTGATGAGAATAGAGAAGAATATCAATCATGGGATTATTAGTTGATCCAATACCAAATTCTCTGAACTAACATCATAAGAATTGTATGGCAGATAGTAAGGAGAATTACTAATTAGATCTTGGGAGTGAAAGGGTTAAAGGGTTGGGCAACTACTCTGAAATGCTTTAAGAAATGTTAAGATTCCATTTTGGTTCACTGATATCTGATCTATTTTTTCTTTTTGGTTTTTTCAGACTGAATACAACTTTGGGAGAGGAAAAGAACATGTAGATTAAATGTTGCACCAATTTAAATGCTTTTAACATGCCATAAGAGCTTAACACTACCTGTGAATAGCCTGATTGAACAATGGAAAGTATCCAAAGTTTAGAACAGTTGTAAAATTTTTTATTGAAACTTGGTTTTGGCCATGTCATGACAATAGTTGTTAAATATTGTGGATTATTGTTGATAGATGTGGGAAAATTTAAGAAAATTTAATAAGAGAGGGGGAAAAAATTTGGCAGTTTCAGTGACATAAGAACAGAAGGAGGCATTATTTATTTTGCCTCTTGGCTAATCATTAATAAGTACAACAAAATATTTCTTAAACGTTTTGTACATATTGGCTAAAAATGGAGCACAATCCTGAGTTATGACCAAAATTACAGCATGGTTCCTAAAGAACTTGATTGCTATGTTAAAGTTATTGGTAGATAGATAAACAATAGCATCCATTTGGCTCCAAAATATATGCACATATTTGTCTGCATACTCAATCTTTTTAGACATAAGAGCAGTTTTCTGATTGCAAAGCTTGATGAAAACCGAGTTATAAAGAATAGATCACATTCAAGGAAAATATCCCTGCATCTTTTTGCGCAATATGGAGGCTATTGTGTTTAGTATCCTAATTTAAATATTTTTGCAATGTGCAGGAAAGATGTTAACAAACGACTTGCTGTTAGATTTGTGGGATGATTACTTTTCAGAGTTCTCTGGTACAACTTTACACACAAGAAACATGTCCTTTCTTTTTCACCACTTCACTGTGTTCTCTTGTCTTGAATATAATTTTAAACAAAGGGTTTTCTGTATTGGACAAAAGTTTTGAAAATTGGGGAAGATGAGGGGGTATATCCTTGAATATCCTCCAATCTCTACTGGGGCATATTCAGTCACATGATGCATTTAGACCAATTGTACACAGGCAAAAATTTCAATGGATTGTTATGTCTGTTATTTATGTAACATATGGTTAAGTTCCTAATGGTACTTTCTAAATAGTATGACCATAGAGGTTTGCACATGTTAGATGGTTAGATTAAATCATACTAATCAGAAATTGAGTTATTTAATATCATTAAGATCACATATCTTACATGCTGTTCAAGATGAAGTGGATATAACTGTTAAAATGTTTTTATTCCATATTTTACCAAGAAATACACATATGTATCGCTAAGGAGACGTTAGGTGGGCAAAAACCTTGAGAATTTGTTTTAATCAGCATAATTATATTCATTATTGAAAAGATTCCAGAATAATAAGGAAAAATATTAATAAGGCTGCTCTTACATGATAAATATTTTTTGGCAGGTTCCAGGAAATTTCTTAGTGACAGGAGTACACATATGTCTAGACATGTGTTCTTTAGGCTTAATTTCTTGCTGGCGAGAGATTTAAGTTTCTATAACCAATTTTCCTGTATTTCCAAATAAAAAAAAAAATTAACTGATTTCTTTGACTGAATATTATGAATTGCTTGTCAAATATTGTTTTTTTGTTGTTTTTGTTTTGTTTGTTTTGTTTTTAACAAAATCACTTTCAGTGGCTGATAAAAAACTCAATTTTAGCACAGGAATTTGTGAACTGTGATCAAAGGCAAAAAAATGGCCTATCTCTTTGAGTCAGGTTACAAAAAACTTCATCCAAGTATGGTCATGTTTTTAACATGGAAATAATTAAGTTATTGGCTCTAAGAAATTTTACTTATTGTGAATAATCCTTTTAACTGAATTAATTTATTCAGATTCAAACACCAACTGAGAACTTTTTCTCATAAGGGTAGCCATATTAATATTTTGAAAAGAATCTCACTGGATTCTAAAATGGTTATTTGTAAAGATGTTAATGCTTTCATGCTTTGTTCTCACCTTCTGTATATATTTGAAATAAAAGATGACAAAACTTAATGAGTTGTTAATGTGTGCCTTGATTAGATTGAATAATGATTTCAGAAGGCAAGTTCTGAGGAGATTAAGGGCAAGCTTTAAAACACGTTCATCTCTCTCTTGTTGCATTTGATAGTTTTGGATGGTTCCTTGAACAAAATTCATTTAGCATGCATTTCTGCATGATTGAATTTACAGGGCAGTAGTTTCCTCCAACTGTGGAGACCCAAAGGGAAACAAAAAATGGTTTGAGTCAGCAGAGGTTTGGGTTAGCGGACAGTAAATGGCCAAAAAAAAATGGGTCAAGAGAAATCTTGTCTTGCTCAAGTTGGGTTGGGTCATCTTTGTTCAAGTTACCCACCTTTCACTTTAATACAAAGGCCACTGCAAAAATTTCGACACTTTTGTTAGTGGTGAAGTCTGAATAGCTTCTTTGATTTTAAGTTGAAAAGTTGTGGAAGCAGGTGAAACCCCTCAGCATTTATCCACGTGTGCAGGAGCACTTGGTCAGTGATAGGAACTCTCACATTTTCAAATATACACATAATTCTCATTGCACTCTATGTTCTGCGTACATTCTTCTGCTACTATTGTTTGTTTTGTTCAATCAGCATTTCCTTAATATATACTTTACATTTTTTTTGTACTTTGTACAAACCTGAACTGAAGATGACAGAAGAACTGTTGAAACATTTTTTCAAAAAGTGTTGTTTATTTTCTTAAATTTGTTACACATCTTCTCCTTCCCTGACCTTACTATAGGAAATGATCACCAGTGAAGGAACCTTTTGATTGGCAAACAAATTCTCCTTGTCAGCACCTAAGGAATTGTATAAAGAACAGTGTGGAGAATATGCATACTGATATAAGGGTAGAAAGGGCTAAAACTTGAAATATGTTGGGGTCAGAGTATTTCTTGAATGCCTGTTCAGATTTTGAAAACATTGTTGTGTTATTTCCACTACTGCTCAATTAGTGTTCATTACTGCATAGATCACTTTCATATTCACTTCTTTTTTCACAGTTCACACATTTGATTTTGATCTATTCACAGACGTTTATTCATCACTTCACGGTTTATAATTAATGGCTCCCAGTTGGCTTGACAGCTCAGTTGGTAGAGCACTGCACTGGTATCGCAGAGGTGATGGGTTCAAATCTTGTACAGACCTGAATTTTTTTCAGACCTAATTTTCACAGCTGCTCAAGTAGTGTTCATTACTGCAAAGACCTCTTATAAATTCATGTTGTAGTGTTAAAAAACCTCTCTTTCTTCTTTAACCCTTCAACCCCTTAAAAAGACAATAAAGGAAGTGATTGCAAACAAAAGCTCTTGATTATTAAGTAAATTCTCCTTGTCAGTTCCTCAAAAGATCTATAGAACACAGTTTAGAGAATATGCATACCAATGTTAGAATGTAAGGGTTAACCCTCAGAGTGACCAGTAAAATTTCAGGACAACTGTCATACTAAAAGAGATGTTTATTAAGATTTAAGAAGCGCTTACAAGCATCAGAAATTGTTTTTTTGTGCATTTTAACAAATATTTCAACAATAGGAAATTCCCTTTTGATGATGCATACAGTACTGCTTGAAGTTTACCAGTTAAAAAGTTAATTTTATCAAGATCAAAACATCCAGTGAATAAATAGATTTTGAAACCTTAAAAAGACCAAGAAACACTGAGTTTCAAAACCAAAGAAAGAGTGCTTTATTAAAAAACATCAGAATAGGGGCTCTCAGATACGTTGGTGTCAAGTTACACAATTTTTTCTAAACCGAAACACGAAAGACAAAATATTACAGTTAAAATCTTAACATTAAGAAAAAGGCTTAAATACTGGCTAGCAAGTGCCTGGAATGTAAAACCTGAGCTAGAGTCATTGTAAATGTACTAGTAGGTCATATTTTCACTGAAATGGGAAAATAAATTAACCTCAGATTAAGGGAAACCCTGCAAATGTCTTCTGTGTATGATTGTGCCAGGGCCATAATAAACTTGAAATTGAAATATTTAGTATAAAAAGAGAAAAATACCCAAATTAACCTGTAGAGATTAAAGAGAGCTGAAAAAGGCAACTGATCATTTAAAATTTAGATATTTTCATCTAGTCTTTTCATCCAGAATGTTCAGTGTAAAATAATTCGGGAGAAATAAATTAGTTGGGATAACACACATTTCATTAAAGAAAGGTTAGAGATATATCAGATAAAATTGTAGTGGTACACTGACACAAGTCCATAAGACCTCCTCAAGTTTTAACAATTGCAATCTATTGCTCCCCTACCTCCCCCTTGCACCAAAACCACTGCAGCTTCTTTTAAGAAACTGCACTTAAAGGAAACCTGCTCCAGTAGGCATTAAAGTTGGCCGGTCAAGAAAAGAAACTCATCTATAACTGATTTAAACTTGAGACTTAACTTGTGTTGTGATCACCCTTAAATTAACTGTATTTGGATCTTGGGAAAATTCCTCCTCCCACGTAGGAAAACAGATTGTTTCATCATTGGATCAAAACAATATAACCTCCACAGGTGAATAAATTAAGAAAACTAATGCAATCCTTAAAACATTTTGGCAAGAGTATGTTAACTCATATGTGTCACATGAAAAAATTTATTCACCATTCTTTGCATTTAGTAGAACAACTACTTCTGACTGAGATAAAATTTTTCCTAGCAGATAAAAGTTATGATTTTATTAACAATCTACCTCTAACTAAGTGAAAATGCCAATGCTAAAACCAGTTGTTACAGAAGGGGTCAAATGACAGCTAGAAAATATAATAAACCCCCTCCCAACTACATTATGAAAGGATTGTTTTAGTTAACAATTTTAAAGGTGTCAAAAGAAAAACAACAAAATACTAGATGTAATCTGAATATGAAAATTAATATTTGCAACTGTGATAAGTCATAAAATTAAAAATAACAATTAAATTTAATTTTTACATTTTGGAGCTTTGGATTTCAAAGGGTTGACAATGCTAGTGATTGACTAGTTGATTGTACATTTGTGTACGTACTGCATATTTTTGCTTAAAAATTACTCTTAATACATCTATTCAAATATTCTCTCCATTAACTCCAGGAATCTCCTTGCATAATTTTCCGGTTTTATTGTAGAAATTTCTGCTCCTGCCTAGGATGTAAAAAAATATCTGTTTTCAGAGCTGCATACAGTTAGTTTGTGAAATTATTATGAAAATCAGTATATTGCAAGGTAATACAATGTTCAAGGAAGTGTTTGACTAGCATTTATAACACCAACACCCAAGAAAATCTTAACAAAGACCATCCCCACATCACCCAAGTGTCAAGCAAAGATGACAAGGGAGTATGGAAGAGGTTAAGGGTACCACTGAAAACACCTTTCAAGAAAAACTATATTCACAGCTGGATCCAAAAACAAGAGTTAATAAAGCTAACCAATAAATTTTATCAAGTGGATACTGCCATCCAACCTATGAGCAGAAGGTAAGTCTGCATCCAAGCCTTAGTTGCATAGCTACTAGAACTTATACTGGTTTCCAGAGCATGAAACAGTTAGCAACATAGGCATTTCCCATGGAAAAGGATGCCAGTTCATCACAGGTTACCTCCCCCCACCCCTCCCCCCTTGCAGTTTTCCTGTCTCCCTGACGGTTTACCAGTTACAATTACTACTCCTGGGTGGGAAGGGGACTGACAGAGACTGTTTTGTGCAAGAACCAAACCCAATGATGCTGGCTAGAGCTGTGACCTCAACCTTTTGGTCCAGTCCAGCAAGCTAACCATTCTGTCATCATGACATAAACCTGACAAACAGTCAAAAAAAAAAAATGTTTACGCTAGTTCTGCCATCAACATGATAGCTGTGTATCATTGCTTTTTGAGACCACTTCTTTAAATTAAAAGAAAAAGGTTTTAATCCTCTATGGAAGGGAAGGAATTTAAAAGTACCCCAAAACACTGACAGATGAAAATATGTCTGTAGAGGCCTGTTAAAGAAAAATAGTTTATGCTTGAGTTGTATATATCCAATTGTTCACTTAAAGCTTGTTTCATTGACAGTAAAAAATAAAGTGTTTTAAGTCTTACAAATTTAAAATAGAGTCAAAAGAATTGTTTGAGGAAGTTTAGCTAGTTATCTTTTGGTGAAGTTCAATTGTCATCAAATAACATTGTCAGAAACTTTAAAATTACAGCTATTTTCTTAGAAAAAGGTTAACCATTAACAGTTGCTCATAAATTAGCAAAGAGTAAAAAGTTATTATGTTTACAGATTTTCAATGCCAAAATCAGTATTAAGATGAGTATTTTAAGTAAGATAATTAAGATGTGGAAAGAGGTCAAGTTACCCTAGGAGATGTTAGCCAGAAGTTTTCACGTTGCTCGCCATTTGCCCTCATTTGCCTCACACTAGCTCGCCACTGAACTGCAGCAATCTAAGGCAGGGAATGTCACTGATCATGACACTGACTCAAACCCAATAGAAAAAAGTATTACCACTGCTGTAAATTAAGGCAGATCAAAAACTTAACCTGCAGCCAAATCTTTAAGTGCCAGCTCTCTGAAACTTGGCATTTCAGATCTATGCTATTCTAGGTTTATAAATAAGGCAATTAGATAAAGTGAGACAATTTTGAACAAAACTGAAAAAAAGAGAAGTAATTTTTGTGACCAATGAAGTTACAAAATACCAGTAAAAGTAAATTTTCAGTGACAGTCAATTCTATGACAATTTAGATTCTGAAAGTTTTTTCACTCTCTTCTCATTTCTCTCCAATATTCATTAAATTCATTTTACATTTTTTTAGCTCAGTCTTTATGTTTCCTAAAGAGAAGAACTTTTTACTTAAATTATATTATTACTTGTGGATCAAGGAGTCAAAGTCAAGATTAGTTTTATATGAGAATATCTTTCCAAGCCTACATTATGTCAAAGTTTTAAATTAGTCTATCAAGCTTACAAAAAATTACACTAAGAGTTGGTACAAATCATCAACTTTCAGAGTGAACTTTTAACTTCATAAAGAGATCATTTTTCTAATTTAACTAAAAGTTACAAAATCTTGAAATTTTTTCTGAGAATCTGGACCTTAGAGACATCACTTGAGACAGTATGAGAAAACTATCACTGTTGTAAAGTAAAGATTTAAAATTGTATCTAGAGCTACTAAATGTATCTAGCAGTTCTTATAAGGACAAGGAGCTTTTATAGGCACCTGATTGGACAATTAGGAGGTGTCAGTGGAGGAGGGGGGGTAATTTACTACCTTAGCTAATGTTGAGCAAATATAAGGGCTGCTTACAGAATGGAAAGTTCTGTATGAACCCCCATACACCTAGTGAGATTAGAATAACAAGCTCCACAGAGCTTCCGCATGGGATTAAATTATAAAATAAGGAATGAAGTGCCAAGTGCCAAAAATAAGTAAACATTAATTTTCTAACAAATACCTTTATGCACAAAACACTCAAAAGGATACACTTATCTCCCTCTTGAAAAACTTGGAACGAATATGTGACCAAGAAATACAATCCTTGTTTAAAACAAGGTATACTTTGAAAGGGGCAGGGCTATTTCTGATATTCAAGGCAATTATGACTTCAAAATTCCCTCTTGTATACATTTGTATATAACATCATGCAGCTAAAACTTTTTTTTTACCAAGGACACAACAGGACTTGCAGATATCTGAGTATCAGTGAGCCACCTACTATGTTACATGTACCTATCTCCCACACTTCCCAAACCTCTTTCAATAAACATAAAATAAAACATGCTATAAAAATCTGTTACCCCATTTCAAATTACTTTGCATTCAGGATGTTTTTCATACTTAGCAAGGTATAATTCTGTGTTTGCCAAAGTGTGCCAAATGGATTTTGTGTCACCCTTGTGGGAAATATCATCTGATGAGTAGACCATAGGTGTTTTCACTGCCCAATTACATAAACAGTGACCTCAAATACAAATTTCAGTTAACTAGGCAAGCATTTACTCACCCCATGTTTGACAGTTTTCGCAGCATGAGCAGCCTTTTTTCCAGCACCATAAAATGTTAGCACATCTATGATACCAAGGTAATAACACTGACGTCTGTTTTCTAGAAAAAAAGAAAGTGAATTTAAGATCATTCTTCTATTTTTGTCCGGTGGAATTTTAAAGAATATTCAGTTGAAAACCTTAATTAATCTGGACACAAGATAAGATTGTCAGATAAGAGGGTTTGTTGATGTGAAAAAACACTGAAATCTCAACACCAAACATCAAAGAAACATATGATAGATGATTTGGAGATTTAGATCTCAGATGTTTGACCGACCCTTTGCATCTCATTTTCTCAATCACTGCTTCTGTTTTAAAACCCTTTAATGTGTACTCATATACCTCAACATTCCACTTCAAGTGTTTGTTTCTAGTCTAAGATGTTCATTTCAACACATACCATCTATACTTTGAAAGCCCTCTGTGTCATCCTCATCCTCTCTCATATCAAGATCAGTGCTTCCATAACTGATATTTCTCTCTCTGTGATCATCACAGTTAGCAGGAGGAGTTGTTGGAGGTGTATCAGAGTACAGCATATCTGCCTCACCCGGGGAGTCAGATTCCTGGGGTGAGTCACCTTCACGAGGAGACTCTGGCTCACTATCTTCATTACTGTCTACACCCCCCAGAAAATCATCCACATCATTTCCTGCCTCTGCAAGGTCAGCATCATGAATTCCTACCAGCAAGCTATAGTCCATGATGTTAAGACTTGTCAAAAACTGCATGAAAGGAAAATACCAATTCTTAGGTGAAAGATTTCACTTCATTTCATTTGTTTTTTGTTTGAAATCTTTGCCATCATTTGCATCAAATAGTATTTGCTACCCAATTGATAAATCACTATCCAGTGGATAAGTCATGGCAAAACATATCTTGTTATCCACTGGATAGAGATTTATCCTGTGGATAGTGTTATCTGATCTTTCAACAACTGGGGCCAGTACAATAATATATACTTTAAATTAGGTTCTGAAGGAAACAGTTAGTTTTGTTTTCCCGGGAGTCCTGATGTTTCCCAAGACTTTGTCTCAGGAAACATCAGGACTCTTGGGAAAACAAAACAAATTAGTTTCCCAAGGGACCACACATTAAGTACTTTGTTATATATTTAGATTTTCCCTTAAACAACCATGTGCTGTAATTTTGGGGGCATGTGCAACAACTGTGCAGTTGTGTCCTGGTCAGGATACATTTGAATTTGACCAGGGGCACGTGACCAAGAATCAACCAATCATAGTGCTCATTTTGTTGAGTGAAAGTCTAGGTATATAACAAAATTCTATAGTTTGCCTGCCTGCTTATCAACCAAAAGGGCTTTGCTTGTCATTTTCAAACACTTGACTCTCCAAAAAAAAAAGGGATTTGATTAAAAATGTTCCTTTGCTGCTAAGGTGAAACTGCAGAAGAGATTAATAGGTAACTCCTTTTGACATTACCAATACATTCTCCTGCAATAAAGTGACAACAATGCTTATTCTGATAAAACATCAAACTCTCCTACAGATTTAGGAGGAAATGTGTAGCAGCTAGAAAGGAGAGCTAGTTATCAGATATGGGCAGTTAAAGGGGGCAATGAAAAATCCCAAACCATGCAGAAAGGGTAAACTAGAAGTCTCACCTCAACATCATCCTTGACTCTTTGTAGTAAGTCTTTCTTCACTTCATCCCCAATACGAAGCTTTGCATTATCTTTTGTGAAATCATTGTCCTTGAATGTAGGATTTTCTTTTGTCTGGAAAACCAATAATATCCTCTTGAAAAAAAATGTCTAAAATGTACATGTATATCTACATCATCTTGATGGTTTTAGAGTCCCTTTTAGCACACTTAGAGACATGACCTCACAAACCTGTGAGGATGTTACTGGAAATTACATCATAGCCCTCTTAACATGAACTTGAGAGCTTACTAGTTTTTATTATCAATCTTAAAATACAAAACATAGCAATTACTGTTACCTTTTCCTTAGTACTTGCTTGTCTGTCAACTGTAGAACCTTTTAAGTCATACTTCTTGTGAATTTTAAACTTAGAACTAAACACACTCTTCATTACTAAAAGGTAGGTCTCCTTGTTATCCACTGTGATCCGGTACACAGCCAAGTACTGGGGCAACAGTGTTTTGGCATGTTTCTCAACAATATACTGCAAAAGATTTGTAAAGGAAAATATGTGTGGTTATTATTGAAAAGGTGTAGTAAATGTGCATTTACAGTACTACTCAAAAGCTGATTGACAGTGGGGACATTTTTGAGAATTAAGGATGGAGAATCGACGATCAAGAATCAAGCCTCCTTGAGTGAGAATTGAGAATTAATTATTGAGGATCAAGGATCAATTTTTGAGGAAAATTATTGGTAATAATGATCACACTCCTCTGGAAACTGCTGTACTCACATGATGGTACTGTGGAAGAATGTTGTGAAGTCTTTCAATATCTTCACTCTCTATTGTTTTCACATAGAACCTTTTGTCTTTGGAAATAAAGAATTTGGCACCACTTCGACCAGGTGAGGGCATGACTAAGGGAGGACTCTGAAAGGAAGCCTGGAAGATACAAATTAAACAAAATTGTTTCACAAATCTGAAGCTTGTAAGTGCATACCTGTATGTATTTTGCCATAGAAAGCCAAGATTGGAGACAAAAGTCAACTACTTACGGCATAATGGCTGTCATCAATACCAAAACGTTCCCGAAGCTGTCTGAAGACTAAAGGGCAGTATTCTTTGAACTTGAAATGGCTTGGAAAATTTTCTCTGCAAAGAAATATGTGAGACATGGATTAAAACCTATCTTGTTTTTCACAAGACAATCCAGAGAAAAAGAGTTCTAGAATTTGAAGAGGGATGGTTGAGGCAAATAATAAACTCATACAAAGATTAGGTACATGCATGTTTCCTTACATATCAAATGGGCTATCTTGAAAAATCAGTACCCCTCAGTTTAACGCTTTCTCATTTGCAATACGTGCTAAGCTCTGCCAATGTCCACAATCCTTGACTACCTTTGAGTTTAATCCAACCACTTTGGCATTTGTTTCTCCCAGAAAGCAGTTTTTTTAGGGTTGTATTTTTTGTACATGTAAGACTTGCATAGGCAGTTGAGAAGGGGATGCAGAAAGCCTGTGCTCCACCCCAAACCCTCCCACTCTTTCCACTGCAAGTTTTTAAATTAGTGCAAAAATACTCCCAAGCTCAGCATAAATTGGCTGGGAACAATGTTCTTACAGTATATTCCTCTTTTTCATAAATCACTTCATCACAATTATATTTAGTGGATTATAATAATGTTCTGAGACTTTTTTGTAACAATGCATAAGTTGATTTTCTCATTATATCTTAGCTATATAGGATGTTTATTTAAAAAAATTGTTTGTAAAGATATTGTAGTTCAATTAGATCCTTGGTTCAATTTTTGCAATCTTATTTGTTTCAAATCAATCATCATAGGTCACTAAATACAAAGCTAAATATGCATGAAAATAAAATTTGAATGAAAAGTTTATGAAGTTGAGTGTATCTTTCCTACAAAGAATCCCTATGACCTTCTAGTGTCTGCATTAGATATAATTTTTTAAAGAAACAGTTTCACAAATGTATTAAGATAACCACAGAATATTTTAACCTCAATGGCACATGTGCCAATACTTACACTTTTGCGTGCATAAACTATCATGATGCTACATCAGATGTAAAACCCTGCTGTAGCATTTTACTTGAAAAACTACCAAAACATGAATAACAGCTGGAATTCTAAAGAAAACTCATCTTGCATATTTTCTTTTATAACCAATTATTGGCCAAAGTTTCATTATTTTGACTATGTTATTTGTTGTGGTTGCTATTTCCAGCAGGCTACCTTACACAAAACCCTGGATGCTTCTTCCCTTATATGAACAGAGTCCAAATTTACCAAAACTAACTGTAAATGCAACAGAATACCAAAAGTTGGTCAGCAGAATTTTAAGGCTTCTCCCCATCAGATGCCTAACTTTGCCTCTCACCAATTTTTTTAGCATGTGCTTAAGAAACTGAGATTTCCTCCAATCAAATCATTATCATATACAATTTACCTCCTGTATTAGAGGGATTTCCTATAATCATCCCTGAGTAGGCAAATGCATTCTCTGTGATAATTCCTTTGCTACCTAATGCAGTCCTACAATAAATTGATCTAAGTGCTTTTTATATGGGATTTAAAAATAGTTTGAGCTGTTTGGTCAGACAAGACATTGGCTCTCTGCCAAAGGGAATTTTTCATAGCTTATATTATTTTTCACATCTAGAAAAGTCTCTGGCGATGATTCCTTCGATGACTACTTGTCATCAACACATTCACACATCATACCCACTTCCTCATTGTATCTAACAGTTCTAATTATACTTTGATTAAAAGACTGTCACAAAATATCTTTTACCAACCTATGGTGCTTGTTTTATTTAATTTCATGGCCAAAAGGGGCAAAAGTAGCTAACTATACTCCATGTTTTCTGCCTTTAAAATGTTCCTCCTCAGAAAGATAGCCAAACAAACCAAGGTTAGGAGAGAGTCAGTTGGACACAAGGAGGGATAATTTTTAACATATCTGTTGGTTAATATAGAGTACCTCACTTGAGTGTCACTTGGCTTATCTGAACATTCCTTCTTGGTTTAGGGTGAAAATTTAAGAAGATCGATTGTAAAAGTCTTATTTATTTTCGCTTTCTCATTTCACCAGTTTATAGCTATAGCACGTGAAAAAAATCACTTCTACTTCATCAGTAAATCTTGTACTTTGTTCAATTTTTCCTTTTGTTCTTTCTAAATGATGAGTTTGAAAAAAGACAAATTTTATGTTTCAAAGCCAGATTTGAACCATGTTCTTTACTTTAGATGGTATCTCTTGCCAAAGTGACAAAAATGCATTTAAAAACAGAACATCACTTGGCCTGTATAGGATTACAGTATGTCAAGGACATTCATTCATAAGTGATCAAATTAACACAGAAAAAAAAAAACAATAACAGATGTGCCCAGACAAATTTTGAAAAATATGTAAATAATCAAACAAACTTCATGAATTGAGAGATTTACTGCTTTAAATAGAAAAGAAAACTCTGAAATTGCTTCTCATTGTTGCTTTAATTTAATAATATACTATAAAACCAATCATTTCTTATTATGACACCATGTATAAAGGTTGTTTCAATGGGTAAGCACCAAAAACATTAGCTGTGTGTAATTACAATAAAACTCAGACAGCCAAAGGCATTTATATGAATCAAATGAGAAATCAAACTCTGATTTCTTAAAGTTTCCTTCTGATCGCATAAACATACAAGAAATAAAAGAAATCTTGAATTCTTTTACAGGTAGCTGTATAAGCTATCTAAAACACATCACTAACTATGCACAAATACACTGTGATTCCATAGAACAATGCTTCAACCTGATTAATCAATCATTTCAAATTGTTTGTAGTAATAGGTAAACAGCAAGGCTGTGCTCCAGTTTCAATGAGCTCTAGCTTATCAAATTTTTTTCAGATTATGTGAGTTCGCCAAGCTTAAACTGTATGTCAAAAAAATTAACCAGACAAAACCAAATAATCAGACTATTCTTCCAATAAACTAATTCAGCCATAAAATTGACTTAATTTTGCTCCTTATCATCTCATAACAGTATGAGGTCCTTAGGGGGAAATATAAAGGAGTGCATCAATCAAATGCACGAATGTAAAATGATGAAAATAACATTCTTTCCTAACTAAAATTCAGCCTCAAGTTTGCTCACCCAATAACATTATTCAGTAATATCTTCACATATGCACATTTACGCAAGCTACTCTTAATAAGGAAAAAATGTGACTTCTGAAATTAATCCTGACTAGAGCTGAAATTAAGAAGACGTCTATATTTAAAAATTTAGACATTTTCCACGCAGGGGGAAATCAAAACCGCACGTAAATTATTAAGCAATTTGATACAGAGAATAAAAATACAATAAATGCTGAATAGCTGGCTACACCGACCATTCTGTCGATAAGGCTGCAATGTGCGAAAAGGAAGTGTTGTTTACGAAATAAATCAGCTTTCAAGATGGGTATATGCCTTTGCGGTAACGATTTCATGGGAAAAGGCTTTGAAAGTCCAAATACGCTTGCACGATTGTCTAGATAATGAATTCAAGTCTTGCAGGTGACAAGTGCCCAGACCGAATTAAATGAAGAACCTATTCGATCGACGGTTTAACTTTGAAAACGCTGATACACATGTAAAACCTTGTCATGTTTCAGGAACCCAATCGACAATACAAAGAAAAAAATTGATATCTTCCGTAACAACGGGAAAAAAACCTAAGGAAGGTTAGGAAAATCTTAAGTTTAATGAAAGCTTCACAGTTCTCGCATAAACATGCTTGGCAGAGACGCTTGGATTTATTCCGATTTTCCGGACCAAACTTAACTTCGTGTCAAATCATGAAAACGAAACAGAAACACAAGAAATAAACTCCGAACAACGCCAAGCAGATTTAAAACTCATTCACAATAAATAATAATTCTAAAATATAACAGGACTCATATAAACACACTGGCCTTCGTGGCACTTACTTGTTGAAGAGGTGATTGTCCACGCGAAGTTTTGTGAACGCTTTAAAGTCGTCTGGCATTAGCATGGCTGGATTATTCACATGCGAGAGTTCGTTGATCTAAGAAAATCATAATACAAGCATCAGCCTCATATAAACACCGTTTTAGGAAAAAAACGACGAGATCATGCTTACCGAATGACTGACTCCCCACATCAAAACACTGAGAAGCGGATTTTTGGAGCGAAAGACTTTAACTTTCTGGCTCATAACCCTGAACTTCTTCTTCTTCTTCATCTTAGCATGACTAGACATCTTGGACAGTAGTTTTCCTCAGCTAACGACGACTTGTTTTTGTTTAAACCATACTTACTAATGGTAAAAAAAATTCCCACATTCTACAGTCCGCAGCACTGTTCTAATTTTGGATCGGACAATAAATATTCCCACCTGACTCCCATGATGCTTAGCTACTTGTGAAGGAAAGAAGCTTCGGGTGGGGGAGGGGTGCGGCGAGTTGATGGCTTTCCGGCCTTTGGAGGTCACGAATTTCTAAGATGGACATGGCCTACTTTTTAATTCGATTTTGTAAAGTGTTCCTGTCATTTTTAATCTTCTCACCCGTGAAATACTTAACGAGTTGAAGCGGCCACAAGGAAAACGCAATCAAGATGAAAAAAAAAAAAAAAAAAAAGCATCTAAGACAAGTCCATGATGAATTATTGAACAAAAATTTCTAAAGTAGATCAGTTAATTTGAATGACATGGAAAAATAACGATAAAATTTCTCCTTCTTTCGACATCCTTTTCGTTTCCCGATTCAGGGCAGAGTGGAGGAAAAGCTTAAGATAGAGGATAAAATTGCAAACTTCGGTCGAAATTCCGTCCTGTGATAATAGTCGAGTAAACCCCGTTTCGACATTTCTTTGACAATTCTTGTAGGTTTTTTTGTCCAATAAGTACTTAGAAATTTATACGGCTGGTGTTTTGATTCTCCCTTTTGAGTCTAGCATAATTATAGTTTTCGAGAGCTATCCAGGTAATGTCGCGGTTTACTCAGCCATTTAAAAATTATAATGAGCTCAAATCCCGGTTCGGGGAATTAATTGTGGACGCAGCGAACTCACCTCATCGAAATTGTTCAAATAACGTTTTAATTCCGCTTAGCCCATTTTCAATAAGATATTCCATAAATAACGGGGCATTCTGTCAACTTCCGCGATTTTTCGGACACCGGTAGGGAGAAATGAGGAAAAAACTTGAAGTTTGCAAAACCACTCCCTAAAATGGAATCTCTCCGCTGATGATCAAAGAAGGCTTTCATCACCATCGACAGTCCTAAAATATTTTCGTTCGGAAAGAAACACCTTCCCTATCGCTTTCCTCAAATATGTCGTAAATGATCTCGCGACAAAGAGTCACACTGGTTTGATGTACATCATTTTCTTCTCCTTCAGCTCACTCACTACTAACTACATTCTCACAGTCAATCAACCTAAATCATCTATCATGTTTCTGTACTTCTGTCACGAACCTATCAACGCTCCGGTCACGAAAAATAATTCATTGGTAAAAAATGCTGATACACAAGCTAAATTTGAACTGGTTTTTCCTTTTGAATAAAAAAAACGCAGATAAGAATACGAAAACGTCCAAAGTTCACCATCATCAAGTGAATATGGAGACACTTAAATTTTCTGAAGAAACGTGATGCAGAAATCTGGAAACACCATAATTAAAGACAACCGTGACACTTATCTTTAAAATTTGTGCCAGTTTTCTTCTTATCATGTTTCTCTTGGAAAATGTCCTGATGAGCACATAGGATTCTTCCCTCAATAGGATCTTAAGCTTCGATCGTGAATAGTTTTTCATAAACTTAGCAACATGACATTAAAGGTGCATCAAAATATGTCATGACTACAAACGCAGATTTGGTCTCGCTATCAGTCTATTTTTCCACGAAGGAACTGACGTTTGAGATTTATCAAAGTGAAAAAATATTGTTGCAGCCAGAGAGTACATGTTACTATTAACAAGTACTGTAAATTTAACATCAGTACAACTTCGTTTCGTTCTCTCCAGCGTGTGCAGCCCGTCTTGAATCAAACATTGTCAGCGGTAAAGTGGACTACAGAAAGAGTAGAAGAGTCGCTCTAAGACTGGAAGTGACCAAAGATGAAGGAAACGTAACAAATTCTTACTTCATCTACCTTTAATTAGGATTCGGTGGTAATCAAAAATCAAACCAAACGAACTTAGCCTTTTCTCCAGGCTTAAGGTTGTCGAGCAAAGTACTCCATCTACGTGGACTGAAGCGAACGCCATACAATTAAATAATCTTTCACATTATTAGGGGCCCTAACTACATCTAACGTACCATACACTAGGCACGAGACTAGCACGCAATAGTCATTGAAAGCTCCTCTACTTTAATAACTAAGATATCAGTCAAAAAGACGTATGAACGAATGGCAGATCAATTGTTTGTCTTTGTCTATGAATTGTAGTTAAAACAAAGTTATATATAAGCCCTATAACGGCTTTTTAGAAGTACGGTTTATAAAAATCACTTATAAATGTGGTTAAAATAGTATTATAACAAGTTAATGATTGAAATCGATGAGGAATTCTTGTAAAAATAATGATATCTACTTATGTACCAGGATTTGGCACTTAATGAACATGTTTATACAGTCTAAGTTTTCCAAGCTTTGCGTCAAAAGTCTGACGTTTGCAAGAGGAGAGCACGCTGGAAGACTTAATCTACATTTGCTGTGTTTAGTTTCCTGGGTTATTTTAAGATCCCTCTGACCTCGTTTCCAGGGGCTCTCCTCTTTTGAGGACGAGGTTGACACAGTCCCATTCCCAAGTGGATCTAAAAAACACTCATCTAGTGTCCACAGCGCTTTCAGACTAAGTATCGTGAAAACCAAAATCAAAGTAATGTAACCAGCCTATCAGAACGAGTATAATATCACAAGGATAACGTGGGTGGCCAGGTCGCATTTAGTTTTAGTCTTGTAACTCATTTGTTGAGAGCATGACACGAATTATCACGACCAATCACAGAGCAAAGTGAAGCAAAATCGAAGCATCCCATTTTCCTCTCTAAATTTAATTGAAAACCGCTCTATTCCTCAAGTTATCTCTCCCGTGATCTTATTGAAACGCTGGATCGTTAGATACACCTTGCGTGCATCATGGATGCTTTGATGGAGAATGAGCACTCATTCTGTTGGTTTTCCAGGTGAGTCAAATCTGTGACACCAACTGATTAGTTTTTTCTACATTCTCTTAGGTTTTTGAAAATAGTGAGTGAACTAAAAAAACAAGAAAGAAACTCTCTCGGTAATCTCTTTTTCTGATACTCTCCTGCTCGAAAACGATCCGAAATAACGTGGCATTCGCAAGTTAGCGCAGTTATTGCTTCTCATTGACTGAGGACCAAAAATAACAACTAGACCAAAATACTTGAAAAAAACAAATAAAATAAAAGTAAAAAATTAGACGTGGGGAAAAATAATAAAAGCAGACGAGCTAGTCTACGAATGTCCTTTACGAGCTACGCCGAAGTTTTTCGCGCAATCTTTGGAAAAACTTTGTTTGTTAGTTAACTAATAATAGTAATATTGTGGTACCCAAACTATTTCAGCGGCCGGTTGTTGAGGCATGGGGATTCCCTGTACCACAGGCCAAGTCCTTGAAGATGAAAGCTGTAGTTGTGGCATCTGAGGTGCCTGTGTATGGAAATATGAAATCTGTTTGCAAAAACATTTAAAGTTTGGTTAGTGTGGACAGCGGGGTCGGACACGGCGGAGGGGCATACGAGATTGACATTGATCAGCTCTACAAGTTATCAGACCAGGAGGCATATTGTATCTGTAGAAGTTATTAGAGTTAAAAAAAAGAAAAAAAAGTGTGTAGGTGACGAAACTTGGTAATTTTCTTCTGAACGTGGCTCCTACATACGAGTTTACATAACTCCTTCAACAAAACAAACCTGCTGGTTCATGGCTGTGTAATACACAGGTGCAGTTGATGAGGGAGAGGTCCAAGTGGTAGGGGCTGCAAGAGAACAAGAAAAAAGGGGTCTTTCAAGGTACCAGTCAATACTTAACAGAGTGCTTAAAGCTCAACAAGAAAGCAGCGAACCTCCCTGCATGAAAAGATAAATATTATAGGAAAATAATTGATACCAGCCACAGGCACAGTTACCAAATCCATCGCTGTTTGTTGATTGACCTTGAAAATAATAAAAAGAAATCGTTATGTTTCTCTAATAAATACGAAGACCTACGTCTTCTTCTCTACGTCTTCTTCTCTACGTCTTCCTGTAATTTAAACACCACGGAAACGACAGCAGCAATCTGATCACTTTTGTTGTGGTCGCTTCGATGCTGACACTCACTTATAATTAGGAGTTACACCACTATACTTGCTCTCTCGTGATTTCAGAGGGATCAACAGACAATCGGCGAAGCAGCTGCCTCTATTCTTCGGAACTATGAGTGACACCGCGCGGAAACCGAGTGTTCTCAAAGATTTTTAATTAGCATTGCCTGTCAAAATTGCCGCTTTCGTCCCAGCAAAATAAACGTGTCTTACTTACGAGGTGCGGTTTCCGAAATGCCTCAGAGATATTGAGTCGTTTCTCTTTGAAGAAGATTGTTCCCTGTAGGATATTTAGAAAATACAAAGCTGTTCAGTAATAAAGGGATATTTACAGATAAGTTCCAAATTAGTTAGTAAACAAAAAAATCAATAAATAACTAAAAGGCCGCCAACAATAAAACAAAAAAGGGAAAAAAAGAACCAAGTTTGTGACTTTGTATTTCACCAATCAGATGAGTTTTAGTGTCACAAACAAATGAAAGACTGAAATTCTCAATGCTTGGACAAGCCGTCCTCAAAATCAGACATGCCCATCGGCTTGGTCATCGCAGTGCTTTTTAACCTTAAGACAGCCTTCACAATAGAGATAAGCATTATCTCGGAACAAAGATGTAAGGGGTAAGGATTCAATTTACAACGTTTACAGCAGTGACACACACGGCTGCGCCTCTAGTGTAACTTTTAATTTTTGTTCTTTACCACATTTGACTTCAGTCATCTGTGATCTACAGTCTTGTATTTCAACAAGCGCAAGTTAACATGGAATCTGTTCATCATATAGACGATGGAAAATTGTGGTAGATTTTTTAAGTAAACAGGGCCGGGTATGTCCTCACCATGTTCATGACTTTCTGGGCATCTTCTTCTCGATAAAAAGTAACAAAACCGTACCTGCGATTATAAAATCATGACACATTCAAACATTCTGTAAGTTTCCCCGGACTCCACTGAGCCGATTGCCATTTAAGGCAAAGGTGTAAACAATTTAAGATGGCTTTTTTTCACACGTGTTATAGTTGTTGTTTTGTTCACCTTCAGACACTAAATCAAAACTTTTCGCGATGTCTGCACTAGAACGTACTACAATTTAATCCACTCAATTCTTCAGTGAGACTTAAACAAACTCTACGAGCCATAGCCCCAGCGCAAAATACATCCCTTTCTTTTTCCGCTTCAAACAAACTGAACCCGATGGAAATTTGAAAAGAGAAAATGATAAATCAACTTGTTCCTTCAGTTAAAACTACGTTTTTCTTATTGCATGCGTAATCCCATGCAACACAACAGAACTCAGCTGTAAGCAACACACTTTAAAGTTTTCCATGAAGATCTGTACAACCATCCAGAAACAGTACAACATTAACTTAACCTCCATTGTAAATCTCACCCTTTACTCAATCCCTCGCTGTCTTTTATGATTTTCGTGTCCCTCACTGCTCCATAATTACTGAAAAAGTCTTTCAGTTCTTCTTTAGTGGTCTTAAGAACAAATCAAAACACAAAAAAAAAGTTTAAGCGTGCATAATCGTTTCGTCAATTCGTTGTCAGTTTTTCATGTGTGGGATGGAGAAACGTTTGCCGATTACAAGTACATTCTCTATGACCACTGTATAATTAAGAAAAGCGCTTTACTCACATTGAAAGCTATACCGCCAACAAAGATGCGATAAGGGATTTTTATTGCCCCGTCATCGACTGCTCGCAACTGATTCATCGTGCCCGCATCTGACGAAACATATGCCTGCGTTTGAGGTAAAACGTTGAGTAAGACATTTTTAACCATTTGAACTGCCTGTCTTAAACGTTGGATGATATAAAACGAGACGAGCACTGAGCCGTATTTAATAGCTAAGGTTTGTAATGCTCTTGATTCTATTCTGGTGAAAGCGAATTTAGAGCCATTACACGGTAAGGATAAAGTTAATGATACAGCCAAGTTTTACAACCATGATCTAATTGGTTACAGTCCGCCCACGATGGAAAACTTTCACAGATCTAGGATTTTTAAGTAGTTGTTCATGGATCAAAGCCAGTCAAGTCACTTCACAGTAAAAAAAAAAAAAGTATCACTAAATTAATTTGTGAAATACAAACCTTACCATTTCGATCTCGAGATATTTGAAACTTGTCGCCACTCCAATTTGCTACAACAGAAGTCACACTAGCGATGCGTTGGTAACAAATGACTTCACTAGCAGTACATGGGGGGAGGGGTAAGGAAATGGTGAGAGAGAAACATTCCCACGCACTGCCACAGATAGCCGATTGGAAATTCTAATGTCTGAGGACTAATTTGTTATTTTCTGCTTTGATTGTCAATCGCAATCTCTGAGTAGTACCATCATCGAAAACTTCAAAAATTGCATAGCACTGCATCGGCGATTCGCTTTAAGAAAAACAACCAATAGTTTATTTTTCGTTCTTAGTTTTCTATTTTGTTTTGTTTTTTGTTTTGAAGTAAATAATCCATGATTTCTACTTATCAGATCTACGTAGGCCTTTAGATAACGAACCTGCGAGACAGGACAAATGTAAAATGAGACGGAAACATGATCTTTTACTTGTCAAACATTATTACTTTGACATCGTGCTTTTAAGTCCAAGGATTTCAGGCGAAAGGTCCCCACTCAGAGAATGATAAACGAAAATGCATTTCTGAAGACTTTTTTAGGGCCTGTTTACATGGCGGTCCATATAATCTCCTGTTTTACCTTGATCACCTTTACATGATAGGTGGGGTGACCCGCCTGGCCGGGTTGCCCGGTCTGCTGGGTAGGGTAACCCTGTCAGCTGGGGTGACGAGTTGTCATGTAAACGTCTCGAGATGAGTTGAAAAAAGCTCAAAAAGCGAAACGTGTGATTGAAAACTTTGTACATTTCTTAGCCGTCTCATGGCAGAAATCACTAAAAACCGCAACGGACACACAAGGAGTGTAAAATGTTCACATTTCGGAATATTTAGCGTTGTAAATCGACCATGTTTGGTTTCCCAAACTATTCTGTATAACGTATTAAGTCAATGGTTTCTCGCGAAACCAAACACCGCGTAACAGAACGCGTGACGCTTTCACGAATAAATACATATGTGTCCGAGAATTAATCTTTCGTCTTTTTCGAGATGTGAGCTTGGGATGGCTCTGCTCAAACTCCTTAGGGCCTGTTTACATGGAGGTGGGGGACCTCAGGTAGGTGAGGTAACCCGCCTGCCATATAAATTCTTATTTTATTTTGATCACGTTTACATGATAGGTGGGGTAACCCGCCAAGCCGGGGTCGCGTTCATGGCAAAAAGCTCAAAAGCGAAACATACATGTTTTAGCCTTTGTACATTACCTGGCCGTCTCATGGCAGAAATCACCAGAAACCGCAACGGACACACGTAAATCGACCAAATTTGGTTTCCCAAACTATTCCGTATAACGTATTAAGTCAACGGTTAATCGCGAAACCAAACACCGCGTAACACAGCGCGTGAAACCTTCATGAATAAATACATATGTGTCCGAGAATTAATCCTTCGTCTTTTTCGAGATGTGAGCTTGGGACGCCTCTCCTCAAGAAACCTCACCCCAGCACCCCGGGGTTGTAAGATTGCATGTACACGCGTTTTATTTTTCGACCACAGCTAGGTGGGTTACCTCACCTACCCGGGGTCTCCCATCTCCATGTAATAAGGCCCTAAGTTTATTCTGCTTGTACGTTCAAGTTTGAAAAAGAACAACATTAAGCACTCTTACCGAAGAAAACCACAGTATTACGCTAACTTACCTTCAGAGCAGTGTCCCAGAACACCTTTTCCATGCCTTTTTATATGTCACTTAGTGAAGTGATATCGATTTACAGATTTCAAACACAGCGTCATTTCCACGGAAACAAGAGCTTCTCTCGCCCTCGTCTGAAGTCTCTTCTTTTCAAAAACACGTCATTCTCAGAATTTTGATATGGCGCAGACCTTTCTTTAAGGATAATTTTCCAATCACACGAAATGAATTCAAATTAAAAGCGCCAACTCAGTCGACACCTTGTCAGTTAAAACTCATAAGACCCAATTAGAAGTATGAGAATTTTGATGTTTCAACAAGATAAGACCCCGTTGCTGATAAGCTTTCCTATTCTGTTTGCCGGAAAACAATGATACTGCGATCGCTAGGGAATTTATATATTTAACACGCCCAAGAGTTTTTTTTCTAACAGTCCGTTTGTTTCAAGCCATTGTTAGTCTGTTACGGTGGCTTTTCCTCCATTTCTCTTTTGCTTTAGATTATCTTTTTCGTTCCAGGATCTTCTACTCCACCATCACCGATGTTTGAAAAACGACCAACGTCGAGAGGAAACCAAGATACGAGGAGCGTGGGTACTGTTATGAAATCAAAGACAGAAAACATTGCGATAAGTGATCGCTGGTTAAAGGATCAAATATTAATGTTACTGATATATAATTTACACCATTCCGAGGACGGCGCACTTTGATTATCTGGCATAGCGTAAAAATAAATATCTACTAGACCAGTGGAACCTAGACTATGGTATTATATGGACTACTTGACGACCTGATTTCGCGAATATGTCGAAAGTGATGCTCTCACTACCCGGCGTTCATTATCTAACGTAACCACACTGGAATGAATATTTATACGCAATGTCATCAATATACTCCTTCGATTTTTTCTTCAAAAATTCTCTATTCCTCCCTGGTTGTCCTGGTGTTAAGACCTGGCATGAAATGTTGCTAGAACCTCCCAACATGATCAGTAGCCACACACTTGATTTGTTTTTTCAAATTATTATTTTTTTATTCAGCTAAAGGCGACATTTGTTATGATCTTGGGTTTCCAAATGGTGATTATTAGCAACGTTAAACTTAAAGTCTTGGTCTCCTGCTGTGAGTTAAGTCGTTTCTCATGCCTTTGGAATGAAATATATAAAATAAAATTTAAATAAAAAACTGAAAACAAATAAATCATTTTAAAAATTAAATGTTTCCCACATCTTTTTATTCTCAAGCCAAGAAACGAGCATAAAGAAGTAAATCGGGAAGATTGGCACTAGTTTACAGCTGGTAACCGCTGATTGGCTTAGCCGTAAAAACGTGGTCCAGCTCCCAAAATGGAGGTTGAACGGAGCAACGAAGCGTCTGGATCAAAAGAAGGGAAAATTACCTCTGCAGAGGCAAAAACACAGACGATAGGCTGGCAGTCCTTGCTCACTTTCACCATCCTTTCTTTAGCATGGCTGGTGGGTTTTGCGAGCCGGCTTTTCGCAGTGATACGGTTCGAGAGCATCATTCACGAGTTCGACCCGTGGTAAGATCAGAAGAAAGAATTTGTATTGAACAGTTTTTTTCCCTTCTTTTTAATTTCGATTTCCGAGATAAAAATTGAATTTTCCTCACGATTTCCTTTATTACCAAGTCTCGGGAGTGGATAAAGCATGGCTCTGCGTGCATTTGACAAGCCGGTCTTTTGTTTTCAAATTTTTGACATTTTGATCAAAATTCAAATTTCAACTGAGTTTAAATTTATTTAATAACTATCATTAGCCTAGCGTTATTCAGTCGGATGAGTTAACTTATAAGCGAATCAACCTTTTTGATCGGATTTTTGAGCTCGGTTTGGGAAGGTCAAAATCATTTCGTATTCCTCCTCAAATTTCGAATTCATTTAAGGGCAACAATTATTTTGGCCACTATTTCCGTCTTTTGTTGTCTTGGTTTTAATGGATCGGAAAGTGTCAGCTTGATAATAAGTATTTGAGAACATCTTAAAATACAGTGTAATGCTATAGCCGTGGTGGGGGGTAGTTCTTGTTTGTGGGGAATTTCAGGTATGAAAGTGCAAATATTATTTGAAAACACAACTGATATTTTCCATTAAGGGAACACCTTTTTTTCCAGGGTTTGTTTTTTTATGTGACTTGGGCCTGGCTTCCCAAGCTTCTGATAATATTTTTCCTGATTCTGTTCTAATCAATGGGATGATAATTCTGGATTTTGTGAAACTACAAACAATCTTATCAGTGCATGCATTAAATTGATCAATTCTTGGGTTTTTAATCTTGCATTTGTGCAAGACAGATCGAACGGATAAATAAATATGCATTTGTCAATAACGCATCTAGTTTGAATATTTTCAATAAATAACTTTGAAAATATTTTTTTTTTCTAATTTATTTAGTCAGCTGCTCAACGTAAAGGACATGACCTCCTTATTTTCTGTTTGTGAAATGGTTATTTTGGATATTTTTGGCCTTTTTGAATTAGCATTTACATTTATTTAATGAGCGCTTAGAACAAGAGGAAGTGGTAGATGTAAAAACAGATGTTCTGGCGGTTTGTGTTTTGGCTTTGAAGGATGTGATAGAAGATAGATACAGATTGAATTAACCCTTTAACTCCCAGACCAAGTGTGCGATTCTCCTTACTGTTAACCATACTTTTCTTAAAATGTTGGTTCAGAGAATTTAGTATTGGATCAATTTACTATCCCCAATTGATATTTTTCTCTATTCTCATCACTTATCTGTTTGATATTGTATTGATATTGTAAGGAGAAATTCTGTCTTGGTCACTCATGGAAGTTAAAGGGTTAAGAAATAACCTGAATAAAATACGAGAAAATTCATAGCTCTACAATTTGTTTTACTGGTAGCTTGTATTTAATTTTTATGCAAGCAAATTTTGCTAAAACATGGAAATTATGATAATTGTAACCACATACAAATTATCTTTGTTGACTACTTTTCTTGGATATCAGAATGAACTTAAAAGCAAATAATTTCTGACCAAGGTTTGTTAAAAACCTACCTTTTATTTATGCTATCAAATTTAAAAGGGCAGGTGAAACCTTTTTTTATGTTAATTTTTCTCTGTACAAGTAGGAAATTTATTAGAAAAGCCATTTTTTAAATAACTGAAATTTCTCACTCATACATATAGATGCACATTTCTTAAGTTCTGGGGTTTTAAAATAAGAGACCACAAAATAAAGTAACAGGTTTTAGGGAGTAGCCAGCTTTTTGACTTGTTGCAGGCTTGTTTCCTAAGAAAGTTCAATTTTTGTTTCAATTTTTGTAAGAGTTGTATTGTGAAAGTTACATGCACAAAAAAATGTTGGAGACCAAGTCTACGGACCTATTGGCTGGCTATGTAGCTAGGTTATATCTGATTACAGGCTAGCTTAAAGTGACTCAAACTTATTATCTTTTTTCAATTAAACAGGTTCAATTATCGGTCTACACATCACCTTGTCACTAATGGGTTTTACAACTTTTTGAACTGGTTCGATGAAAGAGCTTGGTATCCACTGGGCAGGATTGTTGGAGGAACAGTAAGTAATGCAAATGGCTCATTGATAGAATGCTCAGAAGATTTTTATATTCAATTGTCAGGGGTTTCAATGACGTTTCCCATTAGTGGCTGTGGAAAGTGTAGTAGGCAGCTGTGCCATGAAGGGATTAAACACAAGAGCCTGCCTGCAAGCTAAACAGATGGCAGAAAGATGTCTTTTAGGCAGAAGTAGACCTACTGTACAACCACTTTTATTAAAGCCCCAAGAGTTTCTTATAGGAGGCCTCAATCTAGAATTCAAAGCTAGTTCAGTTACTTGTAGCGGCCAATGCTCTAAGGTAAATGTGTGAGGGTGAGGGAGGGGGAGGGGGAGGGGGAGGGTAACCTTAGATGGAATAACACCTTATTATAGGAGAAGAAGTAGTATTCCTGGTCACATTAATGCAGCAGGGCCTGGCTTTACAAAAAAAAAGGGGGAGCTTTTCCTGTTCCCAGTGCTTCAAGTACCTTTATTAGTTTAAACCATGTAAACTTATAAAGTTTTAGAACTGCCTTGGTGAGGTGTAGTTGCTCTTTGCATAGATTTATGCTGTTACACAAGAATGGTTTTTCATCAAGTTTGAAATGACAGAACTGTTATACAGATTTTTACAGGTCATTGAAAGTTTTCTTTTTTCTTTTCAGGTTTACCCAGGTTTGATGTTGACTTCAGCATCTGTCCACTGGGCTCTTAACACACTTAACATCACAGTACATATCAGAGATGTGTGCGTTTTTCTGGCACCAATGTTTAGGTAATTTTATCTCAATGAATATAATGGGTATATAATGTTGACTTTTGCGAGACTCTGAGCATAAAGGAGTAACCACTCTTGCTCATTATTTTTATCTCATGTAATAGTTATGATGATACAAATGTTATTATTTTAAATGGTGACCAACAATGAATGATTATCTAGAATATCAAGAAAGGGATGCTACTTAAGTCAATATCAAATTCTCAGAACTACAATACTACAATTGTAAACAACATATGGGGGAAAGTGAAGTGAAATAACATTTAGATCTTAGTGATTGATATTTTCTTTGTCTTGTCTTCAGTGGTCTTACAGCAATAGCAACTTATCTCCTGACTAAGGAACTATGGAATGATCGTGCTGGCCTCTTTGCAGCTTGTTTTATAGCAATCGGTAAGTCGCAATATTTTTGTTGGCTGGTTATAATACCTCTAGTGAGGAGTCAATAGTTATTAGAACAAGAGCTGTATGCATCAAATGTATTGTTTTAGTGTGGATGGAATGGCTTAGTCTCATTAACAAATTCATTCCATGTTGATGCGTGTCTGTTCAGTGATAAATCAGAGATAACATCAAAATGTGGTAAGAACAAAAAAGGGCAAATGAGACGCAACCATTATGACACTGTTCTCCTTTTCAGGTGGTAACTGGTAAAATTTACCTCGTATAACAACTTTCATCAGCATTAAAGTTGCTTGTAATTCTTGTAATTCTTGTACATTCAACTGGTAAAAGGATTGCTCTACTGGTTGGAAAATTTATTTTACCTGTCATGCTCACAAGAAGGAAGAACACTGTTATGATGCTCAGAAAAGCCAAAATACTTGTAAATAAGATTATAGTGGAATAATTAATCCCTCATAGTTTACATCTTTCCTTGTCCCTAACAGGCTTGGAAAAATACCACATAACTCACAACATACCTGCCCCTATATTACAATATACCATTCAATAAGGTGTATGAATGTAACAGAATTCCACCAGTGATTTATTTGAATTTTTTTTTGCCTGTACATAACAATGTATCTCTCTTCTAGTTCCTGGGTACATTTCTCGCTCAGTGGCAGGATCTTACGACAATGAAGGCATAGCTATCTTTGCATTGCAGTTTACATATTTTCTATGGGTGAGTTTTATAACTTTTTGTATAGGTTCCATTTACCCCAGGCTTGAACAATTTTGAATTTTGATTTTAGCCGAGAAGCTTATTGTAAGTAAGTTTTGCTAACAAGGGTAATCCCCTGTGTATTATTTTTAAAAAATTTGAAGGAGGGTTCTGTATTTGATTTATGGTTTGCCACAGAGCAGAGCTGCCTTGTCGTTTTGTCTTTCAGAAAGTACCTCAGTATATTACATTTAGACTTTCAGAAAGTACCAAGTGTATTAGATTTAATATTCTTGGCTTGCATACTTTTCATGTGCTGCAAACTGCTGATGAAAAGTTCTTTTTTTCTTGTAGCTGCATTTACTGGCACATTTCATTTGCTGTAATGAAGTTTTAAGATTCTTTTTGCAAATGTGTCTTTTACAGGTTGTGAATTTGTGAGAAAATTTTGCACATGTTAATTTCCTTCGTTGAATTCACTCAGGTGAAGTCTGTTAAGACTGGTTCAGTATTCTGGGCAGCTTGCACAAGCCTCTCTTACTTCTACATGGTGAGTAAAATGATCAACCCTTTACACCCTAACATCAGTATGCATATTCTCCATACTGTTCTCTATACATTTCCTAAGGTGCTGACAAGGAGAATTTGTTTAACAATCGAGAGCTTCTCTAGTTGGTGATCATTTCCTTTATTCTCATGACCTTAATGTGTGATTCAGAGGTGATATTGTGAGAAGAAATAAGATTCTAGTGACTCTAAGAGTAAATAATCTCTTTTTTTGTAGAGTAGACAGATACCATGAAACTACCCTATTGTTAAGACCACCTCCTCATAACAACTTCCTTTTTAAATCCCAAATGAAGGCACAGTTATTTCTTTTTTATGTACTTGTTTTGTAAAACAGTTTGAATATGCTCAACTCTCAATAAACTACCTTTACTTAAAGTTGGTTGGTTTCAATTACAAATTTTGGGCACATGGTGTTTTGTCATTGGCTGAACATCTCACCATTTCCCTCTTGGGTTGATTTTCTTTCTTTCTTTTTTAACAATTGCAATAACTGAAATAACCTTCCTCTAATTGTTGCTGCAGTGATTACCACAATATGTTTCATCACAGGTTAAAAGAGTGGCACAGATTTATTGCTTTGCTAAAAGTTATGGCCATTTGGCAACAGCTCATGCACACAAAAATGACTATGTATTTTAATGCCTACTTGTCTGATCATCTGTCAGGTCTCTGCATGGGGTGGATATGTATTCATTATCAATCTGATTCCTCTTCACGTGTTCTTCCTTCTTCTGATGGGAAGATTTTCATTCAGGATCTATGTTGGTATGTTTATTGCTAATTGCTTATTTATACCTCAGCCTGTCTCTCTAATGATGTAAACAAACATGCTCAAACTTCATTGTAGACAAGTGTTTCTTCCTTTGGGTTTTCCTGATTGTTAAAGATAGCAGTTCCCTTTATTTAAGTAATCCCCTTGATAAAGCTATGATGTTGTAGGTGCTTTTGGGGAAAACAATCTATGATGTGTTTAAATAATTTAAAAAAATAGATATTTTTAATTGAAAATCAATAACTGGAGAGTGAGTCAATCAGAAAAATGTGGAATGGGCCCCAATTTAATTACTACACCCACTCCCACTATCTTTTGTTGATGCACCTGCCTTGCCCTGTTTTGTTCAAGTGCTTGTCTTAACCCTTTAACTCCTGTGAGTGATCAACACAGAATTTCTCCTTACAATATCAATATAATATCAACCAGATAAGTAATGAGAATAAAGAAAAATGTAAATTTGGGGAAAATTAGTTGATCCAATACTAAATTCTCTGAATTAACATTATAAGAATTGCATGGTTGACAATAAAGAGAATTACAAATTTGATCTGGGAGTTAAAGGGTCAAGGTGGTCTAAGCTCTGAAGCATTTTTGTTCTGACTCTGCCCTGTCTTTGGTGTTGAGTAGGATGGTGTGGTGCGTCCAAGTAGATATTGAATCTCATTGCTTGGTAATGATATACCTTATAAAATTATTTTTATTAATTAGTTTCACTTTGTTATTTTTAGCATACACGACTTTCTTCATCATGGGTCTCCTCATGTCAATGCAAGTACCTTTTGTCGGCTTTCAGCCAATACGAACAAGTGAACACATGGCTGCAGCAGGTGTGTTATAAGTTAGAGGCTCAGATAGCTGTCCAAAATTATTGACGGGCACTCCATCTGTGGGGTCATTCCAAAAAAACATTACATCAAAACAATTGTTCCCACAGACAACAGCTTTCTAGCATCAGTTGTATTTTGGTTGAAGATCACCCTGAAATAAATTATTCCAAATAAACAACTACAACAAAACAGTAAATATGATAAATTTTGAGCTCAGTCAGGAAATAGAGAAAGAGGTTTTTTCATCTTGTCATGAGTGTGGGACAAGACCCTCAGACCTTCAGATTCCACCTTCCAATGCTCTACCACTGAATCAAAGAGACTGTATGGCAAGTAAGGCCATCAAGAAGTTCTTACATGACAAGCATCCTGCATACTGCTAGGATCAGCAATGTCATTAGTGTCATGTTTTGAAAATAGAAAAAGAAAGATGGTAAGTTTTAAGCTCAGTAAAGAAATAGAGAAAGATGTTTTTTCCCTGTCCAATGCTCGTGACAAGACACTAGTAAGTAAGTAAGTAAAGCCTTTATTTAAAGAGGGTGGCACTTAATAGCCAAAGGCTAATAAACTTGTGGCCCTCACAACTATTTACAATCTAAAATACTGTAAGCTAAAATATATATAAATACAGTTAAAATATAAAATATGACAGGATTCGATTATAAGATAAAAATAAATTATTAAATTATGAAATGATGCAAAAATTGTTGTTCCTTAAAAATCTTGGCAAACATGTTCTTTTTAAAATATGCTACAGAATTTAGTTTCCTAATTTCAATTGGTGTACTGTTCCACAGTCTTGTTGCCGAAACAGCGAAAAGAGCCGTCCTCCTTCTGTTTTCTCTTTTATATTTAGGACAAACAGCATTAGTGCTTGAATATCTAGTGTTGCGGGAGTGCCGCTTATTATTTAAAATTAAGTGTTCATTTAGATAATTCGGCAAAGTCCCATTAATTCGCTTATACATTATTGTGCATTTATCAATCTTATGTTGCTCATAAAACGGGATCCAACCTAGCTTGTTAAACAAAGCAACTGATGGTGTCATGCGATCGGCATAACAAATAACGCGTGTGCCGCACGTTTTTGCAATCTTAAGACCCTATGAACCGACTCTTTATTGCAATTTGCCCAAACAACGTTAGCGTAAGACATAACAGGGCGAATAATGCTATTATAAAACTGAAGTCGCTGTTTAAGAGGTAGACACGCTCGGATCTTACGCAATATTGCGATTCTAGAGGCCAACTTTTACATACTTTCTCAACATGTTCATTAAATGACAATTTGCTGTCAATTTCACGCCTAATAAGGTAGCACAATCCACATTACTGAGCTGTTTTCCATTTACGATTACATCTATGTCACTTCTATTTATGTTGGCCACGCGTCTTTTGCCAGTGATCGTAAGTACTTTAGTCTTGTCTTCATTTAATGGGAGCTTATTCGCTGAAGCCCATAATTGAATTTCAGAGACAGACTTGTTTAGTGATGAATTTAAGGTGGCTAAGTCCTTCACATCCGCAGAAGCGGTGACAGTCGTATCGTCTGCGTAGAGGTCCAACTGAGCACTTGTATACAAGGGCAGATCGTTGATAAACAAAATGAAGAATAAAGGACCCAAAATACTTCCCTGTGGGACTCCATGCAACATCAAAGCTTCGCTTGACTCACTCCCATTTACACGGACCACTTGCTTTCTTTCCGACAAATAAGAGTGACACCAGGCAAGCTCCCGGTTTACTATGCCGTACAGTTCCAACTTGCGCAACAACAGCTTATGGTCCACCATGTCGAAAGCCTTACGATAATCGACCAGGACCATGCTGCAAACCTGATTATTATCTAGGCTGAACAAAAGCTCGTCAATTAACTTGATTAGGGCAGTCTCGGTACTGTGCATCCTACGAAACCCAGACTGTCTGGAATATAACAAGTTATTATCCATAAGGAAAGCATATAGAGAGTTGTGCATGTGACGTTCGATTACTTTTTTGACACTACGGTAGCACAGAAATTGGGCGATAATTAGAAGGATCACTGGCTGCACCTTGTTTGAACAGTGGTGTCACATTAGCGGTTTTCCAACGAGTAGGAAACTTTCCTGTGGAAAACGACATGTTGATAAGCCTTGCTATGCTTGGAGCTAAAATGGGAGCGGCAATACGCAAAAACCTGGCGCTGATTTTGTCAATACCTGCAGCCTTATGAGGACTGATTCCCTTTATAATCTGAAGCACCTGAGCATATAACACTGGCAGTTATTGGGTCACTTGGCCTCTCCGACTTAAACCACACCTCCACCCTCCATTTTATCTGTTCTCTTCAATTAGCTTATTCCTTTTAATAAGAGACCAGTTTGTAAAAGGGAGGATCAACTTTTGTAAATTTATATCACCGTAGAAAGTCAACCACATTACTGTTTTTAACTTACTCAGCGGATGAGGGATTTTTTTAGAATACCGAAAAGACACTATTTGCAATATAGTATATACTAGGTCAATGATTTTTTAAAAGTATTTGTTGTGTTGTTTTTTTTTTTCAATTAAATGATGCCTGTTTTTTCTAGGGACGTTTGCTCTTCTCCAAGCCTATGCATTTTTGGTGTATGTTAGGAGCAAAGTATCATGGACTGATTTCAAGAACATATTTGTGTTTGCTGTGGTGGCTGTAGCAGGCTTGGTGTTTGTTGCCGTCATTTTCCTTACTTATGCTGGTATGTAGGCTTACAGTTGTCTGTTTACTCTGAGGAACAGATGATGAATCTGTTAAATTGCCTGCATGATACATGTTTAAAATTTTTGTATGGGAGTTTTCTGTAACTTCCTGAGGATCACCGGTATATTTGAATCCAAATCAACTTGTTAACTTCTTCTTTCAACCAGGTTATGTAGCACCTTGGAGTGGACGTTTTTATTCTCTGTATGACACTGGGTAAGCCAAACTGAGAGTATACTGCATAGCTTGAAAGTTTTATGGGTTTTATGTTTTGCAGATTTTACAGATGGTCTTTGATTCTTTGAAAAAGTTTTCTTTATAAAAGAGTCAATGAAAATGAAATGCTGCCAAAAAAATTTTCTTCCTTGAGTTACATTAAAAACTCCATGATTTAAACAAGTGCTAATCTATTTTCTTCACCTTCATCCTTGCTCAAAATATCCATATAGAGGAATTTCAAACTGTTTTTTCCATAAGTGGCTGTCAGTGGTTTAACCCTTTAGCCCTTAAGAGTGACTAACATCTAATTGCTCCTTACAATGTCACCCCAGAATCTAACAGTAATGTCATAAGAATATAGGAAATGATCACCAACTAAAGAAACTCCTGATTGTTAGACAAATTCTCCCAGTCATTACCTTAGTAATTGCACAGAGATAAGTATGGAGAATATGAATACCGATGTCAGGGTGTAAAGGTTTTGTGTCATAAGCCAAAACCCAAACACAAGAGCCTGCTTGACCTTTTTACCCTTTAACCCCTGAGAGTGACAAGCATCTAATTCCTCCTTACAATATCACTCCCAAAATCACACAGAAAGGTCACAAGAAAAAAGGAAATGATCAGCAATGATAGAAGCTCTAGACTGTTAAACAAATTCTCCTTGTCAGCACCTTAGAAAATGTATTAAGAAAAGTAAATTGAGAATATGTCTACTGATGTTAGGGTGTAAAGGGTTTACAAATGGTAGTGACGGGTCTTACAGAACGTAGTGTTACAATGGTAGCAGACTCAGCATATAAAACTCATCTACATGTATTGTGAAGCCCTCCTCTGCAGAACTTAACAAATTAAAAAGTGCTTAAATGTCACTGAATTTCTTTCTTTGCTATTGTTCTACTATATGAATAGAAAGTAAAAAATAAACATTTTCAGCAGAAATTGAGTCTTTTCAAAGGGTGTTTGTAGTGATGAAAAGATTTTTAAATAATTTTCTCAATTTCAACTAGGTATGCAAAGATTCACATTCCAATTATTGCCTCTGTCTCGGAGCATCAGCCAACCACATGGGTGTCATTCTTCTTCGATCTCCATGTCTTAATCTGTACTTTTCCTGCTGGTCTCTGGTTTGTGATCAAAAATATTAATGATGAAAGAGTCTTTGGTGAGTAAAACATTTTACTTTAACTGATGTTTTAGTCAAATCTTTAAGGATAGATCAATGCTGATTAATTATTTGTTCTATTTAAAATTGCAGTTTGACTGCTGGGAAACTTACTAACAGCATTGTTTTTGTTCTGGATTTTTTCATTGTTCGGCACAGTTCTGAAATATGCAACCTTTGAAAGACTTCAATTGCCTATGTGCTGTTGTTAATACTTACCTTGGTGATTAAACGTAGATGTTTGGATTAGTGAGGCTACTGCATCAACAACACTAATGTAACTTTAAGACAAATCCCAGTTGGCAATAACTTTGGAAGAATTCCATGACAAATGAAATGTGTCCAAGAAGACCCAAAAAAAACCTACCCTCTAGGGCTGATAAGATCTTGTAGACAAGTTAGCACGACCAACAATTTTTCAAGTCACTATTTACATCTGTTCACATGCCTGTCATGCTTTTGTACAGTCTGTCAACATTTGTGAAACAGAGAGATGGCTGTCTTGTACCACAAAAGCATTGCACAGATATTGGCAGACTTGGTGTACAAATATTACCCACAAAAGCTCATAGAAATAATGGGCTTCATGGCATCAGTTTGATTTTTTTGCTCTAGTTAACCTTCGTATGCACAATATTGCCATCTTCATTCTCACTTATTTTAAGCATAGCAGCCAAAAGACATTTTCAAAGTGGTAGAGCACTCTTTTTACTGGTTGAATTTTCAAGAATTCCATGTGATTTTAGGCAATAATAAGAGGTACTTCAGGCAGTAGATTTATTTATCGCCTGAAAAGGAAAACACTGTTTGTATTAATTTACTTATCTCTTTTATCGACTAATCTTTCTGCACTTTTTTTGTTTCAGTTTGCCTGTATGCTACAACAGCTGTGTACTTTGCTGGTGTAATGGTGCGTCTGATGTTGACCTTGACACCAGTAGTGTGCATTCTGGCAGCCATTGCCTTCTCTGTAACATTGGACAACTACCTGGTTGATGATCGCCCTTCAGAAAACAAAGATGCGGCAGCTAAACCAACTGATGGAAACAGTAGCAGTGAAGAGAATGATAAGAAAAGGAAAAAAGATTTGTATGACAAGGTAAAATTTCTGTGTAAGAAATCCTCTGAAGCTGACTTGGATTTTTGACTTGAAGCTTTGCAGCCTGTTTTTCTGGCTCTGCTTCCTTTTTTCAGTCAATGAGAAATATCGCATGTGGGCTAAAATATTTTTAATTGTATTGATGTTTTTGTGTTAAGATTCTCTTTTGAACTTCTGCATCCTTTTTGAGTATTTTGTGATGTGTAAAGGAGCATTTGATTGAACAAGGTTTTTTTCTTTTTTTATAGTTGTAGCATATGCTACCTGCATTATGCATCTTTACAATGTTCCTGCTTGGTTCATTCCATCTTTATCTCTAGCCCAAGAAGAAGTCTCATAGCAGCAAGACTAAGCAAGAAGAGAAGGAGAAGGACGAAGATGATGAGGCAATTGGTGCAAATCTGAAGGGAATGGTAGTGATGTGTACAGTGATGATGCTGATGATGTTTGCAGTGCATTGCACGTGGGTGACCAGCAATGCCTATTCAAGTCCCTCTGTTGTGTTAGCCTCTACAAACTATGATGGGTAAGGCTTATTATTGTGGCTTTTTATTGTCCCTACCAACTGGTACCCATGTGGGAGGAGAGAGACAAGTGTCTGACCCAATAACACTTCACAATGAACTGGCCAGTTCTTGAAATCTCACCATATGACTTGGGAGTCAAGCATATTAACCCTTTAGCTCTCAAAAGTGGTTTACATGAAACTTCTCCTGGCAATATCCATACACTATCCAACAAACAGGTTATGAGATTGCTCAAACTTGTCATTCAGAGATTGTTATCATGACATAATACCAAATTCTTGTAACTAAATTTCAAAGAAATATGCAACAGCTAGATGGGAGAATTAACAATCAGATCTTGGGAGTTAAAGGGTTAACTGTTAGGCCATTGAGGTCTCCCACATGTGTGAAGGGAGGAAAATTTTGGCATTCCTCTTGGACCCCATCACGGCTCTTTGCATCATATTTTTGTCTCAGACACCTTGGTCCCTCAACAGTTAGGATGATACAATCCTGGCCAAAAGTGCATGAAACACCTTTGAAAAACACATGCAAACTCTTTCCATGACCATGACAATTTCCTTTTGAAAGTGACCAACATCCTCTCCTCCAAAACAATACTGACAGCAAATTTAATAATCAACCAAGTTAACCCTTTAACCCCAAGGAGAATCTAGCATCTAATTTCTCCTTACAATATCACCCTTGAATCAAACATTAAGGTCATGAGAATCGAGGAAATGATCACCAACTAAAGCAGCTCTTGATTATTAGACAAATTCTCCTTGTCAGCACCTTGGGAAATGTATAGTGAACAGTATGGAGAATATGGATATTGATGTTAGGGTGTAAAGGGTTAAAAAGGTAAACTGTGCTAGGTAGTGGACAGATAGGACCACATGGCAGAAAGGACGTGTCATTTATGGGTGGTGTTGCAGAAGTGTTCCAAAATGTTTGTCCTTGTTTGAAAGTTGTTAATTAACATATAATTGTCTCTATTCAGGAGTCGAAACATTTTGGATGATTTCCGAGAGGCATATTTCTGGCTTAGACAAAACACAGATGACAATGCACGGTATGTTCTACCTTGGTCTCTTATTTTTGTGATATTAAGAAGTTAGTTTTCCCACATTACGGCTATTTTGCTAAGGTACCTGACATTCAAGTGAAGTATACTTTCCTCGGAGGGGTGGAAAAGGACCAAAAATGACGATAACGCTCTTGGAAGTTTGTGTAACTTGGTACTGTCCTTCTTTCAGGGTCATGTCTTGGTGGGACTACGGATATCAGATTGCTGGCATGGCAAATAGAACAACACTTGTGGACAATAACACTTGGAATAACAGTCATATAGCTCTGGTACAAGCTTATTATCATTATTATTAGTAGTTTTATTATTGTTATTATTAATAGTGTATTGGAAATGAGTGATGAGTACTCCTTATGTTAACTTTTACTAGTAACTCTGTGACACCTATGAGTGACTCGCATTTAATTTCTCCGTACAATATCACCCCTGAATCACACATTAAGGTCATGAGACGAAAGGAAATGATCACCAACTGGAGAAGCTGTTGATTGTTAAACAACTTCTCCTTGTTAGCACCTTGGGAAATGTGTGGAGAACAGTATGGAGAATTTGCATACTGATGTTAAGGTGTAAAAGGTTAAATTGATAACGGGTTTTTTTTCTGCATTTTGGGAATGAGGAATATTTTCTGAGCAATTTCGTTTCGTTTTAAGCTTGGAAGGAATTTTTGTTTTTCAAAATTCATCAAGCCTGTAGACCAGTTAACCCTTTCAGTCCTTGGAGTGATCAATAGACATTTTCTCGTTATGATATCAATACATAGCCAGGCTAAGAGGTAATGAGAAGAAAGAAAATATCAAGTACAAGATATAGCTAGATTGAACCCCAAATTCTCAGTGCTAAAATCATTAGAAATGTATGGCAGAGGTTAGGAGAATTGATGTGGGGATCTAGAGAGAGAAAGAATTAAACTTTGTTAAGAATTTTTTGTGTTCGTCCTCTGTCCTTATGGTCAGTTTTTTAACGACTATAGCGTCTTGGTAGCGTTCATATCGGACGCCGAGCCAAAACCCTTGTCTCCTTGACTTTTTTAACTTTCGTTTGATTTTCTTTTGTTAAATTTTCAGGTAGGAAAGGCCATGTCATCAAACGAGACATCAGCTTATAAGATAATGAAGATGTTGGATGTGGATTATGTCTTGGTTATATTCGGTGGTGTGATTGGTTATTCTGGCGATGACATTAACAAGTTCCTTTGGATGGTCAGAATTGCCGAAGGCGAGCACCCTCAAGAAATCAAGGCTAGTCTAAATCTGAAATATTGACAGTGGCTATCTTAAATTTCTTTGTTATTGCTTAGGAGAAGGAGGAACATTCGCCTTCAGATACCTTTTCTTTGACCTTTCAATTCCCAAAAGTGACTAACGTGTGACTTCTCCCCACATTTAATCCATACGTTATCCAGCAAACAAGTAATGAGAATACTCAAACTTATCAGATGTTGTTGTCTTGATCCAACACCAAGTGAGTTGCAGTGTCTGTCTGTTTGTTTGTTTTTTTTCGGAAGGGGGTGAACTGGACCCCATAACTCTCCTCTTTTACAAGCCCTTTCCCCCCCGTCCCTTCCCTTACTGCATTTCTACTACCCTCTCCTCTTTTTACTTGTTTCTTCGAGTTGATTTCTTGGTATGTTTGTTTATAGGAGTCAGATTACTTCACTCCACAAGGCGAGTTCCGGGTGGACTCGGCTGGGTCTCCAATCCTTCTCAACTGTCTCATGTACAAAATGTGTTATTATCGCTTTGGGGAGATGCAGGTAAACTGTTTAAATTTGTTGGTGTTGTAAATGTACAGTTTCGCCATCTGTTGATTGACACTGCCATCAGGAAGGTGCACAGTTTTCTACGTAAAATATTCATAACCGCGAAGAAAGGGAACTTTTACCAAAATGTTGCGAATGCGTGACAGAATGTATTTGACAATCGCCAACATTGCAAGGGTGCGATGGCCACCCCCTTTTTAAGATTGACAATTTTTTTCCTTTCTCTTGATCTCTAAATGAAAGAAACTCTTTTTACTATTTATTTAACGCATTTCCTTTTTTTCATTATTTTCAGTTGGACTTTCGGTCTCCGTCTGGTTTTGACAGGACTCGTAACGTAGAAATCGGAAACAAAAACTTTAATTTAGAACATTTAGAGGAAGCTTTCACTTCCGAGCATTGGTTAGTTAGGATTTACAAGTAAGTTTGTAAGTAAGTAAGTTTGTAAGTAAGATTGTTCATTTTTATTTAGTTTCAAGTAATTTTCTTCTTAACTTCTTTCCATCAAGTTTCAGAGGCAGGTTCGGTTTTGTTAGGTTGATTCAGTTGAGCGTATTTCCACTGAGTGTGGTAAACAAAAACCATAGTAATCACAGCAGCCAATTAGAGCATAGGAAAATATCACATGAAGCCAATTGAAACTAAAAACTAGCAAACTGAAAAAAAAAAAAAAAACGAGAAAACGTGGGTGATCAAGGAACGATTGGTCTTAGTTTTGCTTCTGATTGGTTGAGAAGGTGGCGCGAGTTGTCTACAGACCAATCACAGAGCGAAGTGAAGCAACACCAATCTAGTTCTCGATTAAATGTCTTTTAGTTGCCATGAAATTACTGTAGACGTTGAGAGCTTTCAGTGAAGTTTGTTTTTCCTTTTCAACTGATGTAAGTGTATGTCTCTTTACATTAAGTTGTATCTACTTAACTGAGTGATCACACAATTTTTTTTGGTATGACCAGGGTTAAAGATTATGCAAATCGAGTCAAGAGCAAAGTACCTCTGAGGACAACAAATTTAAAACCTAAAACCAAATATATTCCGAGAAGGGTAAGTACTACTTACAGACCTTCCTATGGTTCATCTCGTGATAAATATTTTTCCAGATCTTTTTGAGATATGACGGTTCACACCCCTTTAGCCTTTGTTATAATCTTTATGCGCATCGAGAAAGTCCTCTTCCTTTTTCTGCAGTTTTCATCGGTTTACTTCTTCCCACGGCTCTCGTTGACTTGTGAGTGACTCCGCTTTTACGTAGATATCAGCGAGTCCTTGAAGGATACCGGTCGCCTGTTCCTGCACAAAGAATTGGTACCAGTTCTCTCAAAAAATTTGCACGTAAATCGGTCCTCGTAGCTCGCAGTTACTTCAAGCTTCGCTCTGAGAAAACTGCTACGCCTCTCGCAATAGTGAGTTCACGGAAAATTTTTCGAGCACTTGGAGATGTGTATTCTGCGAACGAGTAAACCGCAATACTGCACAGTTTTTCTGTAAGCACACTATACCACCTTGTTTTTTTCTTCTCCTTTTACAGAATAATAGGAGGGGACACATCAAAGATAAACTTAACGTAATTCAAGGAAAGAGAGTTCAACGAAAAGGGAAGAAGAAGACGACAAAAGCTAAGAAAGCCAAGAAGAGCACATGAGCGGCAAGTGACGACGTCATGTGAAACACGATAAACGTTCTCCGCCACGTGCAAGAATCATTGTGTTTATTCCATTCGTAGACAAACCTTTAGCAACTCCAGTTTTTCGAGTAGTTGAAATGTTTTAGGACCGATAACTGGAAGTCTTGTCTTTAAAGTCATTGGTTAATTTTTAAGTTTTTCCGAGATGAAGGTAATTTTTGACTGTGTAACTTAAACTTATAAGGGTTCTTCGCAGCTTCATTTGACGGCATTGAGATTTGACACAAAAGTTACTAGTTCAAAGGTAACTTAACTTGGTGGAGAACTGCTTTGACTTCGATACCTCCGTGTGCTTTACTTTTGGATGTTTTCGTTCAAAAGTGGCAGCATTGTGATCCTAATGTTTTTAATTATTACTAGTTTTTCCAATTTAAAAGTCCATCTCGTTTGCTCTTCGGTGAAATAAATTTAATTTTGAAATATCCCGTTAAACCAACCGTTGTAAAATAAAACAACTATTTCAACCGAATGACTTGAGTAATATCTGAATGTCCTTTCCTTACTTTCCTTGGCGCCGTCCTCATTTCCCGGGAGAAGCACCTCTTCGTAATAGGCTCATGGGAATTTGTCTTTGGATGGGGTCGCATTTTCACGAATTGATTACCATGTAACTTCTCCCCAGGGTATCCATACATTATCCAGCAAACAGGTAGTGAGATTACTCAAACTCATCAGGTAGAAGCAATCACCTTGATTGAACACTAAATTCTCACAATCAATTTGGAGTGAAATGTGTAGTAGCTAGAGGGGAGAATTGACAATCAGATCTTTGGAGTTGAAGGGTTAATGTGGCTGCCAAATCAATAGTGTACGAGGATGGGGTCGCACATTTTGGGGATTTTTGGGAATAAGAAAATTCGTGTAAGGAGAGATTATTAAATGGGAAGATTCGCGGTTAAAAAGTTGTTAGCATATTACCAAACGTTATTAAGACGGGGTCTGTTATCGAACAAAGAGCAGGTTATAATGGATTAGGGGTTCTGAGAAGCTAGCGGCACATACTTAGCTAAATTTTACCCAAGTACTCCTCTCCCCCGGGCCTCGCTTAACTGGATAAATTGAAAACCGCGTTTTCACGCAGCGGAAAATTCCGTTCATACCGAAAAAGAAAAAAATGTTTTCGATCCTCACAGCCATTATCAGAAACACTTCTTTGCACTTGCGCATAAGAGGGACTAAAAGAAAAATTTTGTTTTTAATCGCACGCAATCCAAAAATGACTTGTGAGATTTTTATCGTCTTCTGCTGTCTTCCGTAGTGTCAAGGTAAGAACTGAGAAAATAATGTGCTGGTGGCTATTAGCCAGAAATCGAAAAAGGAGAGAACTCAACTCTATATTGAGTGCGATTTCGAGCTACTAAGATGCTCCGAAAAAAAAAACAAGTGGCCCGGGAAACATCAGGTTGAAATTGGGTCAAGATCGGAATTCTATTGTTGCACTCACTCGCTCATCTCGACAACGTATGTGGCTTCGCCTCCTATAGGCAGCAGAGTAGCCACAAAAATTACATCTTCGGATCTGACGGGCTTAATTCGCTGACTCAAATGAAGATATTTTCTCTTTTCAAGGAAAAATCTTTTCCTCTTAGTTTCATGATGCGCCGATCACACTCATAAGATATTTCTGCAAAGCAAAGTTTTGTATTTTCACCCGCCTTCCGAAAATTATTGAGAGATGTTTATCGTCTTCTGTAGCACTCCGAAACAATGTGTCGCACCAGGAAACATCGCGTCAAAATTGGGTCAAGATCGGAATTCTACTGTTACACTCACTCACTCATTTCGACGACATACAGTACGTGGCTTTACCTTCAGTAGAAAGCGGTAGGCACAAAAATTATATCTTCGGATCAGCACTGGAAATAATTCGCTGACTCAAACATTAAAATGTTCTCTTCGAAGAAAAAAAATTCATCTACGCTTTTTATTAAGAGAAAATAAATCCAGATTTGTAGGAGTTCTTTAGTAGTTGTTAAGAAACGGAACACGAATCTGAACTGAACCTTGCGAACCTTAAGAATCAAATCTTGCAAACCTAAAGAACTCAACGCTGCGAACATTTATGTTACTTTTTAACTAGAACCTAGCATGAAACCGAATACTGATTATCTTATCAAATGGCGTGTTGTTGTCCCCGGGTGCAGATAGTTTCTTTTTGACGAGCTAGAACCTTAGAATTTTGTAGATCTAATTATCGGAAGATGTAACCAATAAAAACCTTAACAGTAGTTGTCTGAGTGGAATATTCAGTAAAGCCAGTGGAATACTGGTTTCACACTTGGGTTGTGTAGTCATTCACCGGAAGCCAGTCGCCTTGGGAAGTGAAGCCATACATCGGCGTTAATTTTTAATATATTAATCTCGACTAAATATAGCGGCATGGTCATAAAAGAAGGTAATTTCAGCCGTGACCAGTTTCCTTCCCCATAAACTGATATCTCAGGATTTCAGGGACCAGGCGCAGTAAAAGAAAAACATGTTTTTTTTTCCCAAAGAGCAATACCCCATCGAGCCCAAAAAATATTGGTCTTAACCAGTTTCCTTGTTTATAAACTGGATGTTAGTATTTTTAGGGCCAGGCGAGGAAAAGGGAAGAAACATAATTTTTTCGAGGAGTACCCCCGCCGGCTACTTGCTGTACAAGTTATTTTGGAATCTGAGATCAACGGAATTATACATATTGAACAATTATGACGCAAACTGAACTTTGGTCAATTGCCCTCAGCAGTTTTTAACGAAGCAAAAATATTTGGTCTCTATTGTTTTTTCGTCTATATTCCCACTAAATTCGACTGAATTTGAAGAAGTGTTTACAAATTAGTTAACTTAGTTAAGGTAATTCGTAGACTTGCTGATAATTTTTTTGGTACGGTTGACAATAATTAATCTGCACGTGCGATACATTTTTTCTTGTACGCAAGGGATGACGGTCTTACTCGTCACAGCTCATATTGATTCTGACGTACTTCGTATTTGGGAAAGTACAAAGTACTAGTGCGTAGTAGATAGACAGCGAGCAACATAATTGAATTATTCAAACACTCGAGTTGCATAATTATCGAAAGGACGCCGTTTTTGCCGTTAACTAAAGCTCATTTTAACACAGCTGGACTGAAAAACCTTTCATATTTATGTTGAAAACCGAACTGAGGTAGTTTCAAAAAGCTTCTTTTTAAGTCTTCTTGTTCTTTGTTCTGACGAATCTTGAGCTGTCCTAACGTATCGCCGATTCGCCGAGTTTCTCGTCGCGTGTCAATTCGAGATGGGAACCAGAGTCTTACAAAGTCCAAAATTATGCCGGTAAGTAGATCAGGGTCGTTGCTTCAGGCAAGAGTATACTTAGTCTGTTTTATTCTTTAGGGTTGAGGAATATTCTTCTCCGATATCCTCTAGATCTTCTTAATTCTTCTCTTTCGCTCAGCTGTCTACGTGACACGTGCGACAAATTATTATCATTTAATTAGGTCCAAGACATGACGCTTTTTACATACATGAAATTAAATTACGCCTGTAATGCAGTTTCAACGTGAGTTCATCGTTGAATTGATCTTTTGTGAAGGTATCTTTTGCCCAAGACCACTGAAATAAAAATGTTAAGGATTTAAGTCAAATAATACACAATAAATGACACATGAAATTGACATATAATCGAGACAGCTACGTGACCATTAAGTAACACAATGGCAATGCTCATGCGGTACACGTGATTATGTCTGGAGTCGAAACATCCGACGAGTGACAGAGATCCACTTTTGTTTTCTGCTGAAGAAGGAAGTTAACCTTGGCAGTGTCCTTCGTTTTTTTTCCTTTAGAAACATCGATGTATTCCTTTCGAATATTTTCCAGCCTTCCCGTGAAATTGCGAAGCGACATAATATAATCTCGAAATTAACTCGACATGGTATGTGCCGGTTCAAATTTTTGGCAATATTTGTAGTTGTAGTGGTCAGCAAAATTTAGTTTTAGCCTTGCTCTTGACATGGAAATCAGGTTTTTCACAGGATAAATAATTTAAAGTTAAAATGAGAGACGAGATTCGACAGAGGTTTTACACCAGTATATCAGGTGCTGTAAATATGACGTCACGCGCCCGTTGACGGCTGAAATAATTATTGATGCGTGTTTTCTCAGAGTACGTTCTGGCCAGGTAAAGTGAGTCGTCGCAGCTTTAAAACGTGAAAATACCACGCAGGATCGGCTGATATTTTTCTCTGCGTACTTCTTTGATTTGACAGCATTTTCTTTGGGGACAAGTGAACCATAGCAGACTTTCACGTCAGTCAGTTAACATGACGAACAAACGATCCCTGGAGCGTCGTAGGTTAGTTTCAATTGATTTTACCCATCCAAGCGAAGTGAACGTCACTCGGTTGAAATTTACAGTTTCGGTGAGGGCTGCGGCATCGTTGAATACTTAAGTGTATTGATTTTTACGAGCAGATAAGCGAAACTGTCGATTAAAATCGAATTTTTCGTTGTATCTTACGATTTCAAGAGTCCCCTGCAGAACGCTAAGGGCAGATTTGGTGTAGAGCGCAAGATCGCGCTTTTCTTGATCAGATGCTGTTTTAAAAATGAAAGTATCGTGTAATATTTTAAACTGATAATTAACGTCAAGGACTGTTTCATCGGCAATTCTAGCTTTAGAACAGATGTTATTAAAATTGCTTATCGTCCTTTGAAGATGAAATCGGAGAATTTACATACGTGATATTTTGCGAATGTAAACACTTTGACCGGCTTTCTTGCAAGGAATGAATTATTAAATACAGGAAATAAGCGAAGCGTGCTGACACAAAAGAACCGGAAATTAATACTACTTTTCGATTATTTTACTTAGAAGTGTTTAGCGACAGACGTAATCGACGATTGCCCGACCCAAGTGATTCCCTTTAGCCACCCAAGAGGCGCCCGAAACTGATATAATAGTTTTGAAATTAATAGTGGCGGTTTGTACTGGATGTTGATTTGAAATGAAAGGTGCTTCAGGACTCGTCGAAGCTTCTTTGTCTCAACTCATAAGATTACTATGACCCTGGTATTAAACCGCACATCCTCGACATTCGTTTATAAAATGAACACATTTCAAATCCCCCTCCCTCCCCTTCCCTGTGCAGTGTTGGCACAGAGACGTTTCAGTTGTTTTCAAAATTGCTTTGCGGGGGAAAGGGAGGGGGGGGGGAAATAGGGCCAGAGGGGGAGAGGGGAGCTTGGAACATTATTCTGAAAATAATTTTTACAATAGATAATCTGAGTAACATATATCAAAGAAGGCTTTGTCAACAAATAATGAAAATGTTCCAACAAGTTTGACTAGGACTAACCTAAGTTGAAACAGGTAGCGTTTTTCTGCCATGATTTATTTTGTGCAAGGACCTCCTTCAATGAGCTCATCCAAACCTTTCTACACTAACACCAGTCACCATATTTTCTATACCATTTTCTCTGCGCTTCCTATGTTACTAACAAGAGAATTTAACCTTTTAACTCCCAAGATCTGATTGTTAATTCTCCCCTGTAGCTGCTACACATTTCCTTGTAAATTGGTTTTGAGAACTTGGTGCTACATCAAGATAGCAGCATCTACCTGATAAGGTTGAATATTCTCATTGCCTGTTTTCTGAAGAATGTGTGGATATTGTAGGGAGAATTTTTATGTTAATCACTTCTGGGAGTTAAAGGGTTAAACCTGGCTAGTTTATCTGGCTCTAGCCTGTGCTCTTGATTGTGCTAGTTAAGCTCTGTTAAAGGAACCACAAGCAAACCATCCTTATGGAAGACTAATGAGAGAAACATCTAGAAATGTATGGTGCCTATGAATAAAGTACTGAAAATTTGTATCTTTGACACACCCTAGCCTGAAAATCCCATTTAAGTGCACTGAAATGCCAGTGCCCTTTGCCCTATTGAGTCATGCCCCGTCTGTAGCATGAATCACCCCCGCCCTTCAAAAAGGGGGGGATGACAGTGACAATTTTCTGCGCAGCTCACTTAAAGTGGCTTAGACAAGCCACTTTAAGTGCCTTTCCTTGTGTTTGATAGGGCTGGTATTCATGCAGCAAGAAGGAATAAAAAATGGAGTATCAAGAACTGGAAAATATTTATACCACATAGAATCTTCAAAGCCTCTTAAGGTGCCTTTCCTTATGTTTGGTCAGGCTGGTATTCATGCAGCGAGAGGGAATAATAAATGGAGTATCAAGAACTGGAAAATATTTATACCATGTAGAATCTTCAGAATTATATGCTGTAGAAAAAAAGTTTAAAACTATCCCACAAGGGGAGGGGGAAGGGTGGGTCACTGACACCAAGGACCTCCTAGCTACGCCCCTGTATCAGCTACTTTTAAAAGGAGATTTTCCAGGATACAGAAATCCAATGATGTTTAAGAATTTATTGTACTAAAAGTTTTGATGTGTTTCTTTTATCTCACATATGGAATGTGTAAAATTGTGGCTATTTTACTCTGATTTTCCAACATACACTTGAATTGATAATGTTTCATCCATGTTATTCATTTCCTTCTTTTGCTATTGGTTTTGGTAGCAGTAACTCTTACTGCAGAAAGGCTTCTCAGATAATGAATTTAGCAGAAAAAAAAACGTAATCCCTTTATATGCCTTTTAAAGGATACTACTCTTTATATCTGTTGTAGCTGCACGGAGTATTTTGATGCTGCTGTGCTAGATGCATTTCCAAAGAAGAGGACATCAGTACGTATTCTGGATGCGGGCGCAGGACAAGGTTCAACCGCCTCTTACCTGCGTTCCTTGGGATACAACAACATTGATGCCTTGACAGTGTCTAAAGAGAGACTTGATCGTGCAGAAGCAAGTGGACTTTACAGAAACCTTCTTTACACTGCTCTGAAAGCAGAATCCACCTTGTGCGCCACTGGTGCGTTTGATGCCATGATCTGTGCAGACGGTGTTTTTCCAGATGAAGTGGACCCTGATGCAATGGATGAGATGTTACGCCTTGTCAAGCCAGGTAGCTATTTTATGTTTTCAAGAGTGAATCAAGTTTATGGATGATCTATGCTGAGCTAAAAGAAAAACGAATCTGGAAAATTGCCTCATGTTTAGCGTTGTTTAAGGGATGAAAGTAGTGACTGTACTATTAAGGTCATTTAGCAATACGATGTTACAGCCGAGCAGGGTTATTGGGCCATGTTATTGGGTAAGGCTTAAGCTATATCAGTGCCCCTCTCTTCTTACTAGTGATAACTGGTTCAAGCAAATTGCCGTTAAAATGCTGAAAAACTTTGTTAGCATCCATTTTTTCAAGGAAGTGTAGATTATGAGCAGTCCCTGCTTATTTGCGGTTTTGTCATGCAAATAATAAAAAATCTTTAAAAAAAGGATGTTGGTGTGCCGTGTGGAACTCTAGATCTTTGATTAAGACTTTGCTGAAAAGCAGGGACGGCTGGTAGTCTTAAGGGGGTGTGTCAATTATCAAGTTTGGGCTTAGGTGCAATGGATCAAGAAATTATTAAAAATTATTTTTTCTCTCAACTGCTTCTGTTTCAGGTGGTATTGTGTGCTTCACAATGAATGCAGCACAATTTGACAGTGCCCATAACAGCTTCCGATTAAAATGCGAAGACTTCATCTCCAAGAGAAAATGGAAACTAATATCACAAGGTATTACTTCCCAACCCCAAGATTCAGAGAAAGACAACAATAATCATCAATGTGCTGAAAGAAACTCTTCAGACAGCTATGTTTTAGTTTTTGTGGTAATTGATAATTACTAAAACTTTGTATCTATAAAGGGGGTAAGTTTCTAAAGAAACTGTGGTGCTGCATCGGTGGGAGAGTATAACAGGTAATTTAGTGTTAACAACTAAGTTGAAAACATAAATTAGCTACCGTAAAGGGTAAAAAAAATTATAATTGCTCTGATGAAGGGTTCATGCTCGAAATGTCAGCTTTTTTTATCCTTTATGGTGGCTAATTTATGCTTTCAACTTAGTTGTTAACACTAAATTACCTTTGCATCCATAGCCTGGCATAATGTCAGCCTTGAATATTAACATCAAGTGCGGTCATCTTACAGAGAATGGTGAAAATATTATTAAATTTATTTGGAGATGTTAACTCTTGAGGCCAATGGTTCTACCCGACCCATATTTTTATTGCAAAAAAATTCACCAGCAAAACTTATTTGATCATATAAATACTATTACATTAAGCTCTTTATAGTAGTTTTCAATTGAAAATCAAATGTTTTGCCACAAAATTTATATGGTGCGCACTCAGATAAGTGTGCATGGGCAATCTTTTTTTTAGCCTTTATGCCTGTTTTCAACTCTTTTTTGAGGCGACCATGAGAATATAATGTTTTTTATCCATTCACTCTGTCAAGAAATATTGCATTAAAAAAAAGGCTACATGAGATTTTTTTTATCTAAAATTTTAAGATAGAACATAATTTAGCACTAAACATTCATGAAAATAAATGAATAAATGGTATAGCAGTGCTTGTATTAGGGATTTATAAATTTACTGTAAATTATTTAAGAAGGAAAATTATTCTTTGATAAGAATTTGTGACTGTCACAGTTCAGGCCATCTGTCTTTGTAAAAATATTGAATATGGTCTTTTAAGTCAGTCTACTTAGTCTTTATTGTAACTATTTTGATTATGATCAGAAATTTAAATGTTATAAATAGCTTGTTTATTAACTATAATTTAAAACTGTTTGCTCTTTATGAAAGAGAATGCAATTGGGCCATCCACAAATGGCTTGGCTGTATGTTTTGTAGGATAAAAATAATATTCAGCTTTTGGAAACAATAAAACTTTGTAAATACAGCCCTTGCAGTTCTCTTTTTAGCCTTAATGTGCTGGTAAACTCAAAACTTTAACATCCCCCCTCCCCCACTCATGGGCAACCCACAGGCAATTGATTTTTGTCCGTTTCGGGGGAATGGGGAACTTGGAGCTTGCCTGGCCGGGTGGGTAATTGAACCGGAAGTGACAAGTCTTTCCAGCGGAAAGGGGGGATGTCTCGGGGCTGACGTATCAGATTTTTGAGTGGGGGAGGGGGGGCTAAAGACGAACGCATAAGTTTCAGCCAATTATGGGTAAGGATGGGAGCATGCTCAGCAGGAGAAGCTTTTTTTCAAAAGTAGGGGGGCTAAGGCCTCCCCAGGCCCTCCCTATACGCGGTCCCTGTGTTGAAGGGTAAAGAGTTTACTTCGCGAGCAAATAGCTCGGAAAAAGAGGTCTTCAAGGTATAAAGCTTTGACTTTGAATAAAGAGTCACGGTCGCTGAGTTTGCCTTTCGCAAACAAATTGGCTATCTTGTAAATCCGCCTCTTGGGTAGGACATTTGAGCACAAATTTGGCTGCGGAAGTGGAAATTAGAACAAATTGATCTTCAAAAGTTCAAATACTAGTGAAAGGGGGCGGACGGGGGAATGCTAAGTTTCGATTTGATAGACGCGTAAGTCCGTCTGAGTTCAAACACTTCCTTGCGAATTCGCGCAGTTTTGTCTAATTACGATTTACGTTTACGGATTACTTTATGATTTACGTTTGATTTCAAAAGAGGTCATTAAGAAAAGAGTGACAGTCGCCCCGAATAACAGATTTTTGCTAATCAAACTTTTAGTGCCTCCCGTCACGGCGCGTGGTGTCCAACAGCAGTCCAACGAGGTATGGTGCGCAAACTTTCGAATATAATTTAACTGAACTTACAGGCCAGGCGGGAAGAACGTATGTGCTGTTCCAGCTGTGGAAAGCTTTCGGAAATAGAGTGTGCAGCCTAAGGCTTTTCCTATGTACGTGGTAAACCTAGAAATGGATGACTCGCCAAAATGGGTTCTTCTCAACATAGTAAGCGGTCAGATAGCAAGCGACACACCGTGGAAGTATGGTGAGGTATTTTTGTTGAGGATTTAACTGTGTTTATATTCCTTAGAGCTGTCATAAATATTCCCACACAAACTCCTATAATCTCGCCATGACTCTTATTTCGCGAGATGATCATCGGACAGCTGGAGCTTGGGCCGCATTGGTTTGTTGAATGAACGATCGCGAGCTTCTTAGCGTTAACTCGCCCTAATAAGACACCCGCACTGCAGGCTAAGAAAGTACTGGTACCTTGAAAACTCCCTGTTCGCGTTAGACGGGCTTTTCAGCATGCAAAGGAACCAAATTTAAACAAAGGTTTGGAAAATCAACCTCGTTCGCAGTGTCCTCTCTCTTCCTTTCCTTTTCTCGAGGAAAGAAGACCCTAGGAACGAAATTTGCCTAAAACATCTATTAAATCGAAAGTAAAACCATGCAAGGTTCATTATTTTCGTACTGAAAGTACAAATTCTCATATTTTCGTTTCCCTTTTGATTTCTACACGGTATGATAAATCATTCCTGAGCACAGAAAAAACCTTCAGAGGTGGAGAGAAAGACTCCCATGAGCCCGCGAATTATAGTCTGGTTTCCGCCAATCAACGCATACTCAAAAGAAAGTTAAGAGAAAAAATCATGGCGGATGACAGGAGTGTTTAAGTCAAACTGGAACCTGAAGTGAATTGTCACTCCTAAGACGCTAGTTTCATCCCTTATGCAAAATTTAATGTAGGGTCTGACAGGAAGAAAAAAAAGGAGTATCATAAGAGAATTAATTTTTGATCAAACGCCGGGTGATTAGTGCAAAGAGTCCTGTGAGTTTAGACAAAACAAAAGCGGACACATGTCTATGCCAATAGGAGCTTCGCCGCGTGTCGCTCAAAATTTCCGACAGTTCAACCAGAGTCCATTATCACAGCCTTTCCAGGGTGGATCGGCAGCCGCTTTGGCTCAAGCAGGTAAGAGGCTTTTACGTGAAATTTGTGTAGATAGTTTCGGCCAAAGTCTTTTCGCCTACTTCCAATAGTCTTGTTTAGGTCTACATGTACACTCACCAGGATCTGAGCTCTCCTTCGCAGTAATGCACGCATTAAAAAATTGTTGGTTCCTCACTGTACGGTGTAACAGTTTTAAGGTTTAGAGGTGCTTGTATCGTTAATATATTGATAATAGATGTATTAAGGAGTTATTTTTTCCTCTGGCTCACTGTACTTTTGCTAAACAAAACGAAACAAAATAAAACGAAATAAAAATCTGTTATTTGCGAAATGAAAATCTGTAATTTGAGCAATAAAAATCTCTGGCATTAATATTGTACATCTGTAATCATCATTTGCTATGTCGCTTGTTCAATCCACACCAGCGGTGAACTGACCAATTCATCCTTCTAGCCACTGGAGTTCTCCTTGTGATACTTTGTTCAGCAAATTACAAATTCCACATTGCAAATTACAGATTTAAAATGACAAATCTTCATGTTGCAAATAACAGATTTATTTTTCAAATTACTGATTTTTAGTTCATTTTATTTCATTTTGTTGGTCGCAAAAATTTCAGTTAGCTGTTTCTCTCAAGAGCAGTATGACTGATAGATAAGGAATCAGATTTCTGATATTTACTTTAGCCCAAACTACTGTAAATTATGGAAACAAAGTTCAGGACAGATCTTAGTTCAATTATAGCGGCCATTTAATTTGGCCCAGTATTCAATGTGATACTGATTTGTGGTATGTGGTTGGTAGTGTTCTTCAAAGGCATGAAATTGAGGAGGCTCAAAAAGGGTGAAGGATAAATTTTGTAACACTTTTTTTGGAGGACCCTGGGAAATATGTGAACAGAGAACAATGAATGTTAAAAGTCTTGGCACTTTCTACAACTTTTTGAATTTTTTTCTATAACTTTAATTTATCTTCCCCTACCCTCTTTTTCAATGGTGCCTGGTGTCAACAAAAATGTTACTAATTCAGGTAACATTGTTCAGGGGAAAAGGAAAACTTTCAAGAAACTTATTAGAGAGAAATTTCAGGATTTCTGTTTATTGTGTTAAGTGGAGGGTTGTCAACCACCTACTAATGGAGGCATGTCAACCACTTTTGCTTTTCTTTTCAGTGTAGATTAATGCACTAATTTTTTACAAATTAAAATTAGATGTCTATGCTGCCTTGTAATTTCCGGTGGACATTGTTCTGGAACCATTTCAGGACCAGGGATGGGTTTTACTGCAACTTTGCCAACAAAGAAATGAATAATTGTTTTTGGCAATTTTGTGGAAAATGCACTAGTTCATGCTGTTGTTTGCAGACTTTCCAAAAGGCAGTAGATATGTTAAGTGCAGTCACATGAAACTCATTCATAAAAGTTTTTTATTCAACTTAAGTTCTTGTTATGTTGATAGAGATGCAAATCATTTGATCTGAATAATGAACTTGTATATCCCACCATGTTTACATTTAAGACTAAAGAAGAATTAGAATTTTTCACTCAACTTGGAACCTAAAAACAGGGATATACATTTCTTTATTTGCAAAATTTCTTTCTTTTTCTTACAGCAAGATTTCGACCTCCCTATCACCCTGGACCTCAGGCAATGATGGGACAGGTTTGTGTCTTAAATCTTTTGTGGTTTGACCTCTGTACCTTTCATATGTAAAAATCACTCTGGTTCAAACATTAAAATGACAGTAGTTTCTTTTGGGAGGCTTTTGCATGCTTGATATATGCCTATTTTGGATCAGTGTCAGTGTCTGAGAAACTGTGCATCTACCCCTCCCCTAAACCAACATTAACTCTAACTTGTTATCCGTTGACTATTGTTGAGTTAGGGAAGGGGTACATTATAGTTTTGCAGTTGCTCAGATGCTTGCATTGATCCACTATTTCTCACACTCTCAGAATTAAGGATACTTCCCTGCAACCCTTTCAGATTATTTTTAAAAGATGTTTTCCTCCCAAATATTTTACCACACATATTTGTATGTTCAGACACAATTTGTACTATTTACATGGAGATTCCCTGTCTATCTGATATTCTTACAAACTTACAAGCTTTACATGGAGTGTCTCATCAGAACAGTATTTGCAATTTGGGATGATAGGGTGATCAACAAGTAAATTTGCCACAGATAAGTGATTAGAAGAGAGTAAAGTATAAACCTAGGTGGTATTGTTTCTTTTAAAGCCAATTTTCAGAAACAATATTGTAAGTAATGAATGACACGCATTGGAGAAATGAATGCTAAGATCTTTGGAGTGAAAAGATCTAGCAGATGTTGAGTAACACATGGCTGGTCCTGAAAGTGGATGAAAAGTTGGGACTGCTGTGCTGTAACTGATTTCCTTAAAAACAAGATGGGTCCATCATACATTGTACCTGCATAAAAACAGCTGTTGTGATCTCATAAAAAGGAGTACTTTTAGCTTGTTAACATAATTTAGAACATTTTGTTCCCAACAGAAATAGTGTCTCAAAAATTATGCCTTGAATGAACAGATCAAATTTGTGCTTTCATTCAATCTAGCAACTCTTGAGAGTAATGTCTGTGCTGCATGACAAACCATCAATTGACCAAGCATATACATTTAAAATTCTGTATGCTGGCTCCATTTGGTTTTGTTTTGTGTTTTTTGCTGACTCCCATTTTGTCTCAGTCCTATGGAATTAAAATGAAAAAGGACTTGGCCAAAACTCAGTTACTTTGATCAACAAACCTTGTCAGTGACTCATAAATGTTTTGTTATTTTCAGGCTCAAAACCAGTGGGGACAGATGAGTTATGGACAGCCCAGGTTTGCTACACAGAGATTAATCTCACAGGTGGGTGACTGTAGTTGTAAACTTGGAGTTGTATTTGAAGTAGTTTGATCTTTCCTTCGTTTGACATTCTTAAAATTAGTTAAAATTATAAATTTAGACCCTCTTAACCCTTTAACTCCCAAGATCTCACTAGTAATTCTCCTTAATGTCTGCTATAGAGTTCTTGTGATGTTAGTATGGAGAATTTGCTATTGGATCAACTTATAATCCCCTCATTGATATTTTTCTTTATTCTCATCACTTGTCTGCTTGATATTGTATTGATATTGTAAGGAGAAATTCTGTCCTGGTCATTTATGGGAGTTAAAGGGTTAATGTCATTCTTAGCTTTTTTCAAAAATGGGAGTGGGGGGGGGGGGCTAAAGCTCTCTGCATAATACTACAAACTTAATAGCATTGCCAGGGTTTCAATTACAGCCAACAATTAGTGAATTTCACCGTCTATTTCTCTGAACTTAACAACATAAGAGTAAGGGTCAAATTTATCAGGACCTCTGCATTACCTTGAATTATAAAGAGGGAATGTTTTGGGACAAACGTAGTATTTAATTATTAATGAACAAATCATATTACAAATAAGCTTTGGTGAAACCATTGATGAAAAATGTATTCCTTAACAGGCATCTGATATTCGTATTCCAAAACCACCAAAGCCTCCAGAGAAACCACTGATGCCTTATATGAGGTTCAGTAGAAAGGTGAGCTTTTAAATGCGTAAATATCAAATTTGTGATATGAACTTAACCAATAGTAGTGAATCAACATGCTACAAATAGCAACACATAAACAATTTACCTCAGCGTTTGATGAAGAGTAGCAGTATTGCAGTTGATATGTTGCAATCAACATCCATAGTGACTCCATCCTGAGACAAACAAATAAAGTTTATCTCCTATCTTACACCATGATGAACCATAAACTTACATTTTATTACATGAACTCAAGATGCTGTTGCAGATGTTTATTAAAGATCAGCTCATGGAGGCTTCTCTTCATATGAAAACTATTTTCATCTTCCTTAAACTTATTTCTTAGCAAAGAATACAATGTGACTAGCATTCCTGTTTTTTTTTTCTTTGTAGGTTTGGGATCAAGTAAAACTCCAAAATCCAGAGTCAAAATTATGGGAAATTGGAAGAATTATCGGACAAATGTGGAGAGATCTTAGTGATCTGGAAAAACAGGTACACTGTGAGCAACTCATCCAAACATTTCTTCTTTATAAATGCATACCTTGTGGACCAGAGGCATTTTGTAGTCTGTTTGGTGTCAAAGACAAGACATCAGCACACAGTTGCTGAAGTCAAGTTTTATTGTAAGCTAGCTTACCAGGCACAGTTGGGTAAGGAGAGTGTGCTTCTCTTACTTAACCTCTATTTCTTTGGAGGTTTTAAGACCAAACCCCAGAATGAAAGGAGAGATTGAGCCAATTGTTATAGCCATTGATGAGAAAATGAAACACACCTGTACCAAGCTTGCAACAGCACAAAAATTGTCTTTCACCAGTTTTCATTAAAAGCTCAAAATTAGCCTATTTCTCATTTCATTTATGTGTATGCCACTTTCTATGTTGTCGATCCTCACAGTATGCAATACATGGGCTCAATAGAGTGGAGTCTCTGTGGCTCAGTGGAAGGGTATTGTAGCATGGAATCCGTTGTGTCAAAGATGGTCCAGGTACAATAGGAGGGGTGGTGGATGGTACATGTACCTTGAGAATCTTTGATCAGCAAACTTTTTTACTGATTTTGAAATCTTGTTGGCCTTTGGAATAAGTTTGAAATCTCACCGTTTTTCAAAATTCTCTGAATTTTTCCTTTAGCCAAGGGTCTCAGTCAATAGGTGGCTAGTGAGATTAGCTGAGAGTTATCACTGTGAGCAAAGAATGCCTGTGTATCTTGGCTGTTGTTTGGAAGTGATGTAATGTATAAGATGCTACAGTATGGCACAAATGGGAATGCAAATGGGAGTAGTGCAACACTAATGCTAAATTTCAGCGGCCTCATGACAAATGACAATGACAATTTCTTCTCCTGTTACTAAGTAATTCAGTAGGTAGTCAGGATCTAATGGTATTACCATTTCTGTTCTTTACAGGAACACTTGGATGAATATGAAGTTGAAAAGGTAACTTTAGGCTTTTGGTAATTTCAGAAAAGGAAAAAAAAAAACATGATGTTTGTTTGATACCATGTCATAAAAAAAAGATGGCAGTCCTTTTAAAATGGAAAACAATGGTGTTAAGCAACAAAGAAATTGAACTGCAAAGCAAATGAAAAAGATGACAAATTTTTTTAAAATGGAGAACAATGGTGTCTAGCAACCAAGAAATGGAAATGCAAAGCAAGCAAACTACCCCCTGCGTTTGAAGGGACTGTTTTCCAGTTCTGTTAAGGTTGTAACAGTAATTTTTTATTTCAACTGAATAAAGTGTGTTTCTTTTTTTTTTCATTCTTGTAGCAAGAGTATAATGAAGCAATGAAGGCCTATCACAACTCTCCAGCTTATCAAGCATGGATTGTGGCCAAAGGAAGAGGTGATTATCGATACAATATTCTTTTAGGTGGTTTGAACTCAGGATAACAAGTTGTTAAATGGTGTTATGGTTGGTGTGAATTGGCCAAGTGAGGATCATCCTGAATAGGATTTTCTCAATAGTGAAGACTGATGTTGTGATAAACAAAGATGAAGTTACATGTACAATCAAGGTCAATGAAACTACCTACAAAAAGACACAAGTAATGAATTACTGTAAACTTTATCTTGTGATGTCTTACAGCACAAGCTGCTCTTCAAGAGCAGCAAGCAATGGAGAGAGCTATGATGGGTTCCATGCCTTTTGGGGTAAGTTCTCTTGTCATGACATACCTGCAACCATGCATCAAATACCTACAGTGGTAGGCAACTTGAGTGTGTGTTTAAATGTCACAATAGTAATGGTGGTAGTGCTCCTAAATATTAATGACACTTCAATAAAGTTCTTATCTTATGCTCTACAACTGAGCTACAGGGAACTCTTTGGTGAGCTACATTGTAGGCAATTGCTAGACTCTTATGTTAACATGGATGGCATTCCTACATGTAGTAATTGTTTGGCTCATTGGCAAATTCTCTCTGTGGGAAGTCAGATCTGTTTTCTTTGATCCATGCTTGTCTTAAATTATTGATATCTGTCTTTCTTTGATGAGAGAGCTCACAATGTACCATAGCTATCATTTTTATTTACTCACTGGGCAGTTACACTTTTCTTACTTGCTCTCCTTGATTGGATAGTGGTGACACACAAATAATCTATTGCTTTGGAAAGAAATTGAAAAGGAAACTATTTATAACTTTGTTTGTTGGTCAGAAAATGGATGAGGCAAGATTTGGCATTCAACCTGTGGACGACGATGATGGTAGGTTAAACTGTCAGTTGTGCTTGTGGCACATTTGAGGGCAAGAAAGTGGTAGGAAAAGAAATTATTCAAAGGGACCCTTACAAATTTATCTTCCATCTTTCCTTGGATTTGTTTAGGAAGTTTCTCCTTGCGAATGGTTTCTTTTAAGATTAGTTTCAAGCTTTTGTTAGTGTTCATTGTGGGGGACATGTTTTCCTTTTCCAAGGGTGGAGCCTTAATTGAGTGCCATCACAGTCCCCCACTATTTTACGAGAGGGCGCTACTCGTAATAGGCTATGATCTCATTTTTACATTGGGGTTTGAGGGGGGTTGGAAGGAGGCAAAATAGCTAATAACACCTCTTGACATGTTGCGAGTGAAGAAAGTTGGGACAGGCTCCATCCTGGCAAAGAAACATGGTCTGTTCACTGTTGAGAGACTTCACCTTTACCTTTCTCTGTTTTCAGATGAGGATGACGCCTTCTCAGTCAAACACATATCCGCAGCTCGTTTTCATCGAAATCATAAGTTGATGTCAGAAATATTCAGTGACACAGTGGTCAGGGATGTACGAACAGGTCAGATTACAAAAAAGAAAAGGAAGAAATGCTTAGACTTTGTCTTTTTTTGTTTTTAATGTTTGGCTGTTTGCAACTTTTGTATGAAAATTTTAGGTTGACTTATCAACTGTATTGGGCCTTTGAGAGTTTTTTGTCTGATCTGATAAGTTTTTTTATATTTCGTCTTTGTGTTGTTGACACCTATGATGGTCAATGATATCAGTTGTGGAGTGTCTCAACACTTTCACACCATTGTCTATAAGACGTATTCCTCAATTGTTGTCCTGTTTATTACTTTAGTTGTAACCAAGTCCCGTCTGGGAGTCCTCAAGCGTCAAGTCCAGTCCCTCATAGCCCATCAGGTAAGTCGTTTGCTCTTTGCTGAATACAAAGACCTCACATAACAATTCTAGAGATTGTGTGGACGAAACAACTATTTCATTTGGCACGCGCTGTACTTTTTCTTTTTCATGTAAAACAGTTTGCATGTTTTATAATGCTATCGATAAGCCTTTTGCCAAGCATGAAAAACATCTAAAATGGTAAGCTATTGGAAATTGTGTTCTTTTTGCATCTCCTCCTCCGATGCAATATTAGTTAAACATTATCTCACTTTAAAACAAAGTGTGCCTCAAGTCTTTGTATTTTTCTGGTTACGGTACCTTGGCTAACTTATTTTTCTAATAACGATTCTCTCAGGGTGATAAAAATTTAATTCCAACCTGTTTCTTGTGTTATCTCTTGAGTAGAAAAAGCTGGAAAGTGAGTTGCAGCAAATCGAAGAAAAGTTTGAGGGTAAAAAACGAAAGTTTATCGATGACAGCGAAAAATTTAACGACGCCCTTAAGAAGGTAAAGAAGCTGGTCTTTTTTTTGTTGTTGTTTAGTTTGTTCTTAAAATATTTACAACATGTGTCCTCCCTTTCGAACATCTTTTCCAAAGAAGTGATCGAATGTTTATGTTTCTTGCAGCTTTGCGAACCTCTGAATGAAGGGGAGACAACCGACGTGGGGGAGCTGAAAAAAGGCAAAGGCACCGGTATAAGTTTGCCCCCGGAGGACCCTAAACCATCCACATCTTGACGAAATTAATACGTCTGTCCAACTGTAAAATAACACCTACCCGATTTTCTTTTGTATTTTATGTTTTGGAGTTGGTTCATCCAAAGGAAAGTTGGAGGGGGGAGGGGTTTGTCAATAAATGTACGAACTGTGGCATTTATTCTTAGGCAGACACAATATTGATAAGTAGAGTAAAAAATAAAGACTGTTTGTACCACGCATGAAGACTGCGTCCCTTAAACACCCTGTTCACGGCTTCTGCTTCTTACGGAGACCCTTTCCAAGAGGTTAAATAGTAAAAAATTGCATACTTTGTTCGAGACCCTGAAAACCACAGTCGTTCAGGAGGAATACATGCGAAGTAGCCCTTGCCCCTCAACTCTTGGTCCGAAGTAGACTCCTTGAATATATGTTAATGTGGTTATCACGTTCTTTAAAGGTCAATCTGTACTCGAGCCGAATGGCCTACACAGCCGGAGCTTATCCTGGTTTCCATACAGCTTGAAGCGATAATCCCCTTCTCTTCCAAAAAAAAAAAAAAAAATAGAGCTCCTTGCGCTCTGTAAGCCGCGTCTGCCCTTTGCTCCCCTGAAAAACACAAAATGAAAAAAATTTACTCTGTTTTCTGAAGGGCAAACTCGAGCCGTGATTCGTTTAGATACAAAACACAAGTACCAATGGCAAATTTACATTTGGCGACGAGGCGACGATGTAATCGAGCTGATAGTATCCAAACCATTTGAAATTTCCCGCCGATATTGGTCTTTGCACTCTGACCTGCGCGAGTTTACATCCGGGATTTTTCACCTTCCTGCGCAAGTCCTGGGTACTATCAGTTGTTTCCATGACGACCTTGAACTCACAAGTGCGGCTCACTTGCAAAAGCAGGCCGTAGGACGGTCTTTTCCTCTTTCTTTCTTATTTTTCATCCGTTTTTTTCATTTTATTCCCACTTTTTGCTTAATTAGTTAAGCATCGGGCAGCGTTTCCGTGTAACCCCATGATTCATTATGGAGACAGTTCTTTCTTTTAAAAAGAGAAGACAATTGGCGCCACATCAAAGGATTGGCGGGAATATTGAAACAGATAAATAACGTGGGAAGGACGACAAATCTGGCAAGAAGCGTTCACTTTTCTAGAGGTAAGCGGTAAACAGATTCTTGCTTTGGCATAAAAAATGCGTGTATCATAGATGAAACATGCATGAACTTCGTAATTGTTCAAGAATAAGATCAAATATGCGCGGTTTGAATAGAGTGCGTGAGGCAGCAATTAGGAGACTTTCTAGCGCGATATTTTGAAGTAATTTAGCCGAGATGTTCTCTTGAGCCTTACATGCTTGAAATTTATTGTTTGATGGTGAAGAAGCATCTCTCTTGCCAGTGGTGCGTAGAAAATAAAATGCAGTACATCAAGAAATAACATGCCATCATGAGATGTTTATAATTTCCCTATGGTGGCGTAAAATGGCTAAGATACCAAAGGTCATAATGTAATTGAGAAATATTTTATATCGTAATTGTAAATTGAAAAGTGGAATAGTTTTACAAGCTGTGTAGTACGAGATACGCAAATACTTACGCATGTATTTTGTAAAAACTCTAGAAAATTAAAATTGAAAAAATGCAATGAAACAGTCTGAACAATCATGCAAGCATGCAACTGGGCCAGAGCTCCAAAATTTTGATTTTAACCACAAAATGTTTTCAAACTAGAAAATAAGAATCAACCATTGTCATGCAAATTATAGGTTAAAAAAAATTGAAACATTCATTGAAATCTGCAAAAGGTAACAAAGCCGGGAAAAACAAAAAAAAATTGAGACTTTTCTAAAGCAAAACTAATTGAATTACAGGTATCCTGTTTATTTACCATTTTATTTTGAGCTTTATCACAGCAAAACATACCCTTTTAACATTCCCTTTAAAACATAGTGACTTACTGGTTTTTTTATAACTTGTGTTGCAAAATGTGGTTCTTATAGTCTGAAAGTTTGCCTTGAGCATAGCTAATGCAATATTGGCACATGTGTTCCCAACTCCATGAGACCTGTCACAACTTTTCTGTAGTCCTTCATACATATCAACCTTTTTTCCCTAGACATTGAGTGTAAATTTTCTTTTTGTTGTGGATATCCTGATATCTGATAAATGTGGTGAACAGATAGATATAGAATGAGAGAGACAAAAATAGATGATGACTGTGTTTCAAGGCTGAAACTGTTCCATTACTTTTGGAAACCAGATTTAAAGATCTAGGCTCAAAGATTTTCAAACTTTTTTACTTCCACAATATAAGAGTATGAATGGAAGACATCTTTTGATCAAAAACATGTAGTTTATGGCTTCATTTATAGAAAATTTTCAATTTGGAAGCAGGTTGAGGGTCTGTAATATTCTTCAAGGAAAAGGAATCAAAAAGTTCAAAGGTTATATTTGTCCTCCAGAGAGCTTGTATTGTAAATGTGAAGATTCTAGAGGTTGCAGCTTATTCAAATATTCAAAAACTACAGGGGTGGCATGGTGTGAGGTGACAATAATTCCAACTCCACTTGGAAGATTTAAACTGATTCAATGACAGATCAAAGTTCAAAGGTCTAGATCAATCAGTAGCGTTTGACATGAAGGGTCAAGAAGATAGCGATGATCAAAGATTGTTGGCCATAGTCACAGTAGCAGTAGAAAAAAGTTAAGTTGTAGGTTTGAACTGAAATATGATAATTAAAGATAGAATTTAACTTAGATAAGGCTAAAAAGAAACAATAGAATTTAAAAAGACAGAACTATAATAAACTAGCAAACTTCTAGCAGAAAATGAGTAGACATGATAATTCTCATGTCGTAAATTATGATCAAGCAAAGATAGAAACAACAGTATAGTACTTAAACAGAGTAACTAAATGAGCATAAAAGATTAACAGTTTGAAAAGAAACAAGAGACAATTTGTGAATAAGATTGTTTTGCTATCATACTGTAAAAATAAAATTTAATTGACTAAACAAGACATTCTATGACCCAGAAAAGGCTGATGATTCAGAGACTTAATTAATGCACACTAGTTTCATGTTTGATGACTTGGCTTGAAGATTTGCTATTAGTTATTCATTTATTTTTGATGTTGTTACCTTAGGATTGATTTCGATATTTGCACAATTGAAATTAAAAAAAAATAATAAGAATTATTATGGAGTTCTTTTTGAAAGAATGCTTTGTTCCATCAACAAAAACAAATATGATATCACATGTTTCCATGTGTCTGTGTGGTGGTAGTAGATCACATGTGACATCAAAATGTGTTAAGAAAGAAAAAGTGGCAAAATTCCACAGAGCATGAAGAAGTAACCTCTGCCACAGTGTTTGAAATTTCTTGTTTATTACCACCAAGTACAGAGTGCTCATACCAAGAGACAAACAAACCAAAGAAAACAGTGAAAAACACAACATCAACAACAAAATGTACTGGAGGGGAGAGGGTGGGGGGCAGAATGAGGATTCCTGCCTTTAAAAAGATGAGGAATTTTGAGTTTTCATAAGCTGTTGGATAACCAAGTAGTGAGCGTGTGACGGAACAATGTTAAATTCAGTGTTTGCTATTATTCTAAAGAAAAGAGGAACGCAAGGATAATTCCCAAGATTTTAATGATTGTTTTTCTATCAAGATTGGTCAAAGTCCCAAATATTCTGTGTAACCCTCTCTTTATGTACATATGTTATTAAAAACTAAAAAATATATGTTATTCGATTAGGCCTGGGTAACATGCGTTTGTCTTTACGAACGAGTTCCGCTACAGTTGTATGTGAAAGAGATTTTACAGCAAAATTTTTAACGATATGTCAGTGGAGATATACATCTAGAACTTAATTTTAGTGAGTGAGGAAGTTAACTCAGCTGGGACGATTGAAAGCGTTTTCCTGGTCACAAAATCATCTACTGAACGTGAGCCATGTTTCTAAGACTTTTGATTAGCTACATGCATTACGTCATTGTCGAAAGATCTTCGCGACAAATTATCATTACTATGGCAAATCACATTTTCCCGCCAAAATCAAAGGCTCGCGGACGTCTTGTAAATTCGTTTCGCTGCGAGGCTAGACCTGCAAAGAAAAACTCTGCATTCCTGGGGAACCTTGGCTGCTGCGTAATTAATATGTAAACTTAGACGAAACTTTTGTCTTGATTGTTCAGAAGCTTAGCAGATTAATAGAAATTACTGCTTGCTAGCAAGCTGCATTGTTAAATCCGAGCCTTTTAATGCAATCGTTACGCGCCGCATTTTGGCACACGATTATCAAAAGAGAATGCTTGCTTTAAAGTACACATACAAATCTGGTACATGATTTTTGGTGATAAAGCCGGCGTCACAACTAAAGTTATCTCCGAGAACGTTCGTATAATTTTTCTTCTTGAAGCTATCCACTGTTTGGCTTTTTATATCTTGTATGCTATTCAAAGAAATCCCGCGTTAAGTCCTTCAGACGTGTGTCGTCTCAGTATTTCCGTTAAGAAAAGACTTCCTATCATTGTGATTCTTGTCGTCTGCTATGTAATCCTGCGGACTCCCTCGTCTTACGAGGTTAGCTTGGAAGAAGCTCGTTAATGAACTCTTTCTCCTCCTAAATGTCTGGTCTCGGCTTGAATCTTCGCACAACGACCACATAATCTTCTTGAAAGCCCGGCGGTACTCGATGTTGAAGTAGGCATAAATGACAGGGTTACAAGCGCTATTTAAGTTCGGTAGTATGAAGAAGAAGAGATAGTAGATCGCTGTTTGCACCTTCATTGGAAAGTGACGTAGATAGTTAGGATTGTAGTAAGAAATAGTGAACATAATGAAAAAAGGCAACCAGCATACTGTGAATGTACCCAGCACAATGGCTAGTGTTTTGGTGGCTTTGAAGTCGCGCACGATACTTCTCTGCTTGCGCCTGTCCTCTTTACTGCTTGAGCCTACGATCATGTCCTTCATTTTGTTGAAATGGCTCAAGGCTGTGCGAAAAATTAAACTGTAACTGACGATCAACACAATAAGCGGAGAAAGGAAAGCAACTATGTTGGCCACAGTGTAAAATACTTTGTTGTCGTTGTAGCAGAGATCGTGCGGAACGTCTATTATTACCCCGTGTGCTCCAGGCCATTTGATTATGGCAAACGACGCCAATATGGGCGCATACAGCCACACGCCGCCTATAGCCAAGAACGAACGTTTTTTCGTCATATGTCTATGGTAACTGAACGGTTTGGTTATTTTCAAGTATCTATCCACCGATATGACAGCTAAGTTAGCCATGGAGGCTGCGGCACAGACCATGTCCACCCATATCCAAAGATAACACAAGCTTAGATTCGTTAAGGCCGTCACATTCACCACGATTCGGAATGGCAGCCCCGCGAGCCCGTAAAACAAGTCACTGACCGCCAGTGACGCAATAAACCAATTGGTCGGACTACGCAACCGTTGGTCGATGTAGATGGCCAAACATACTAGCGTGTTTCCCACCACTGTGAAGAACAACACGATCACGTAAAATGACAAGAGAAGCTTCTTCTTTAACTCATCCTCTTGTCTATTTATATTTCCCGGTCCAGTTTCGTTATTTGTTGTGTTATTCATGTTGAAGTAAGCTCTCGGGGAAGGTTGCTCACTTGGCTCTTGCAAACTGAAGTGATCAGTTGTTTGTGTTGTATTGAATCCTCAAAGTCAGCTCACCCGCTTTTCTTGATATGTTTATCAATTAATGTTCAACAACTGCTTTTTCACCTTTTCTTGGTCACAGTCAATTGGGTTACCCAGTTCAAATGCGGCTAACGCCGTCAGTATGGTTTCGAGCGCTTCGTCTGGACATCAAATATAAGTGTTGAATTAAGATAGCCCAGGTTTCCCTTGTTCAAGAAGAAACTTGACGCGACCGCAAAAAGTCAGTAATTTTTCTGTGAAACTCGATGATTCGTTGGTACCTTAAAACCCCAGGTGCTTCTAGTATAAATTAACACTTTCTTCCTGTTGCCTGTCGGGTCGCCTGCCCGGAGAAGAAAGAACATTTTGATTTTAAAACAAATCGTCACAATTTAAAAGCAATTACCATTTCGTCACTTTTGATTTTTAGATTCTAGCTCAGACGTCCTTCTCCCAAAACTAAAATGTCTCTAAAAAACCAATCCCTGGTTCTCTTGAGGGTGTATCTTAATTATTAACTTGTCTGTTTTAAACATGTTTTCTCATGCATTTGGATGAGCAGTTATAGCGTGGTAAAGCCATCTTAAGATTTAAACTAGGGCTCTTGTTTACGAACTTTTTAGTTTCCCAGATCCGTCATTTGTACTTGACAGGGTGCTTTGAATATCAGCTGTCATCGCTTTTTATCAATCCTCAGGTGTAATAAAAAAGAGTTTTATGGAAGATAGTTTTAGATCACCTGGTGGTAAGGATATTTAAAATCCCTGACGCAACTAACATTTTAGATTTCGACTGCAAACTTTCCTTTGTTCAAAGGGTCTCAATGTCGAGAACAATGAAGTAATATTTTGTTATACAACATGGAACATTATAAGTACAGATATATCTCCTAGGTGAAACGCTGTTGACTGTGTATGGCGCAAGCTTCAAACTTTGACAGTTTTCATTGTAGCCACAGGGGGCGCGTCGACACCTTACATTTGCCTTAGATACAGATGTTTTCGCGTAAACGTCAGCCTTTGATGAAACAGTAACAAAAATAGTTTCCATCTGACATAGATTGAAGTCTCAAACATGGCTTACTACAAAGGTGTCCGAGATTTTCTTCGAAATTGTGAATGAATGTATCCCAGTCACACCTGCGTTAATTGAAGGGATAACAATAGCTTTTAAACAGGGTTTAATAGGTTTTCAAGCGATAAGAGGAGGTCAAAAGGATTGTGCGTGATGAAAAATGGGTGTTCTATTGATGTGTTCTATTATTTCGTATACAGTTATACAAATTTGTCTTTGAATCTTGTTCATACTAGTTCTGTGTTTTCAAAATGCTTTGCGAGTTTAACACAGGAGACCTATAAGAAATGCGGTTTTTTTTTCGCTTTTTCACTAGGTGGTTCTTTTTCGAAAACGTGCCTCATCTTACTCGTGTTCAAAATCATACTTTTCTATCGATTTTCAGTGAACTATGACCATTCCTTTATCATCTAATATTACCAAGCCATTACCAATCGGATAATTAAGTAAAACAGATCTAAATTCGACTTTTCATTACGCGATGCAAAAATTTCTAGTTGTCAACAAATTGTATTAGACTATTGAACAAGACCATTATTTCAAAATGGTTGTGTGCCACTGATAAACCTGTTTTGCGAATTCAAGGTGTAATTTGTATTAGAAAATATAATTTTTTTAGAGCATAGGAGCGCCAATTGAAGATTTTCACCGAAAGTTATTTTCCAACTTGAAGTTTTTTTTGACAGTTGACAGTTTTCTTAAAGCTAGCGTACAGATTTCGAAAAACCTCTTTGAGTTGTTTCAGTTTTTATGCGACGTTTTTTACGTTATGGCTTAGATATCCTCTTACAAATGATAATTAAACATCTCATCCAGTCGTGGGTTATTGGATTTTCTATGCATGTAAGGTAAATATTCCTGTTCAGGATTTGTTATTTCTGAGGGAGGATATTTGTCGCGCTGCTTTCTGATGAAGTTTTACTAAGAGAATTTTTTAGTTTTGTTATAAACGGTCGAACGACTCAGGCAGTTGAGAATTCATTAACAAACATCGAAGAGTGTGCTCGTACCCTTAAATGAAATAACAAAACTATTAACACGAAAGAACAGTAAAAACAGTTGTTATGCCAATATTTACCTTACTCAATTCTTTAAAACCCTCGATTGTTTCCTCCACATGAACGTTTAGAGAATAGTTTATAGGTGACCGAATTCACAGATTGACGGCGGCAAAATTTGGATCACTCAGTTAGCACGACTGATGTTGAACTAGGGTGTTTTTAACCTCAATTGCTTAATGTCTTTTGTTTCGGATTGGAATAAATAAATAACTGTATCATTGTTTCTTCCGACCGTCACCTGTTTCTTTAGCCTACGGCTTAGCTTTGTCACAATAAGATTCAATCCTGCTCAATCCAACAGATTTACGTCCTACTTCTTCCTGTCGTTGAGATTTAGCACTTTTCATTTCGCAGCGCATTGTTTTAACGTACCCGGCGAAATATCGGCAAAGTACGCAGTTAAATTGTGCAAAACAATGAAATTATGAGGGAAACACAAAAGGAAAGTAGGAAATATGTGATTTGTATGGGAAGGTGCTAAAATATCAAATATTAACTACATTTAGCGGATTTTTTGAGTCGGTCTTTCAAAGTGTTCTAGTTCAGTCGGCGTTTACAACAAGGTTATTGTAGGGATTTACTTCTGAAAAGATTTTAAAATAAATGGAAGAAACTCCAGTTAAGCGTCGTAACGGAAGAATATCCACTCTTGTTCTACTGAAAAAAGATCTAGCTCGCATCTTATCGTCAAATAGCTCGTGCCATTTTGAAATTTAAGTTAAGTAAAATTTTCTTAAGAGAGTATTTCACAAGAGCTATCGCTGCATTCTGTTAATCTCCTAATAGACCGATAGCTTTTCATTATGCACGGATCTGCATGGCATGATTAAGCAAACACAAACCGGCGAGAGTTACCGTAAAATTTACTTTCAAACATCCGTTCAGATCAAGAGAGTTACTTTTCATTCATTAATTCAAGAAATCAGATGCAGTTTACGAAGCTAAAATAAATCATGAAAATTGCACGCAAAAACAAAGCTACACTATCCACACTACGTCGTTGTTGTTTCAGGATACATAGGAGAATAACATCAAGTGATATACAGAAGAGCTAAAAAAGTGTGCGTTTTAGAGCTTTTTCGTTTGCGTGGGGCTTTTAACATACTTATCTTTTCTAAATCGGTTATTGATTGCATTGTTTTCGCGTACGCGGTCACTGAAACATTTTTTTTTTTCAATCGCATTTTTCTTTATCTATTAATCGCCACGAGGAGAACTCAAGCTGTGTTGTGTAGTGACAACAGTGATCTTCTATCACAATCTCCTTCCGTGTACACGTACACACGTTTGTAAACGACTATATAATTGACGAAGATAGTTTGATTGATAAATATTAATTTCTCGCGCAGCGTCTAAACACTTGTGATATTCTTGCTAGACACGTTTTACATTTTGAAACTTGGAAAAATTAAACAATTCAAACGTCTTCCTCAGAAAATACTTGTATGACTGCAATGAAATAAATTTTGTATTTTGGGCAATTTGTACCTTGAGTTCGCATCTGGCTTTCATTGTTCACAATATCTCTATTTTTTTCGTCATTTTAAAGAGAGTAAAGTTTTGTGTGTGTTTAAGTAGGGAGTGGAGAGCGCGAAGTGATGGTAGCACTGCTACCCTATTTCCATTTCTGTCAGTAGCTTTCAGTCCAATGCGTTCTGTCTGAAGCATTTCAAATCACTGATAAAGTAAGAAGGACGAGACAGTGCTACTCATATCAATGGCGGATCTAGGGTAGGCCCCCCCCCTTATTTTGGGTTAAAAAAAATTATAAAAATAATAATAAAAAAAAAAAGAATCGCAGAAGGAAGAAAAGCCGGCAGGGCAAGCGACAAAAAACCTTGTCATTTTAAATTGTTTTTTTTTATAATCATCTGTTCTTCCTGTTTTTCTGTATCGTTGTAAGCCACAGAAAATCAATAACGCTACCTCAACGATACAAACTTTTGCAATCGACCTTTGAGTTTGATGTATGCTTCTTTAAAGATCACCTCTAACTCTCTGACTCCATATAACTTATAAAACTGCAAACCAGGAGAAAGAAGATTGAGTGACCACCACGAGCACGTAGCCACTGAAGTCAATCCTTACCGTGATTGGAAATGCAAAATCGGTGACGTATCAAGTTGAACATTCAAGCAGATAAGCTCTGTCGAAATCATCATAGCCAAATCAGAAACCTGGAAACTCCAATTTTGGTAATGCTTTCGAAAACCCGCCCTCGCTTTGCATGGATGCAACAGTTAATTCATTCTCTTTTTCGTCATTTTCTTGCATTCAGTGTATAACGTTCATCCAGATCCAATTTCGTTTCCTGTTTTTTCTTTCATCGTAATTTTTCACTGCAAATTCAGCCAAATCGCGTCATATTATAGTGCTCCACGTGGCATAAGTCCTTATGTTGTTTCAGTTTGCTGTAACCGTGTAGTAGAATTTTAGCATGGTAAATTCTTGTGGTGTTAAGAAAGTAATTGATACCTTTAGGGCCAAACATGTGTTTGATCTGTTTCTGACACATTTTATAAACTATTATCGCTCTCCTGCAAAAGTCAACAACAGCATTAGAAAAGGTTGAAAAAACCCTTGCATTTGTCAATTCCGTAGAGCTAATTCTTTGTTACGATTCTACGTAGCAAAACAATCAAAATGATACGAACCACAGTAAGCGGTTTAGAGAATGTTGGTGTCGAAACTGTAGTGCATTGAGCTGTTCTGTTTATTTTAGGCACATTGTGATATTGGTTTTACAATGGTAAGTGCCGAAACGCTCCTCATTCCAGACAAAGACCCGTTTTGAAGTGCTCTCATCCGCAGCAATCTCGGCTTTGTATATGGTTAGAGTTAATCAATTTTTTTTAAGTAGCCTGTCAAACAGAATTGTGAGTATAATAAAAGTGTGGACAGCATTAGGAAACTGTTACTGAATAACTCAACATGTTGGCGTGCACGTCAGGCTTTGGCACCAGCAATATAACTCACGAGTATTTATCTTCCAAAAATCCGTGTTAGAATCACAAAAATGTTCTGAAGTGTACAAATTAGTTTGCAGTATGACAAAAGGCAGGAACAAGTTGTGCATGAAAGAAATAAAATAAGCATATTTTCTTGAGTATCGGTATAAAAGGACTGAGTAGTTGAATTACGATGTTTTTGTCAATATTGGCATTAATTCATTATCATGCTATAAAAAATAAAAAACTACATGACCGAGACAAGTGACCATTTACCCTTTTTTCGAAGTCGGAATTCTGTTGCATATCGTTTGAAATGCTGCTTCGTATTTTAAAGTCAGCTATTGTACCTTTCGACATCTTGAGAACAGTTAGTTTACTCGCATTTGCACAATTATACACAATTTCAGCGGACTCATCGTCATTTGCATGTTGTTGTCCTCTAATATCAAAACGTTTTCGAATGACCTTTTCTAAACTCACACAGTCAATATAAGTGTTAAGGGTTTTTTGGTCGCTTTTGAATGCAGTGTAAACCGTTGACACCATTGCATAGAAACAATTTTGCAACAGTTTTGCTGTCGTCATAAAATGAAGACTATTTTGGAGTCAACATGTGTTGTTTTTTTAGGTGAATGTAATATCAAAATGACCTTAAACTTGTTGGATTTGTTTTTTTCTTCGTTCCAGGTACATAATCACTGTCACAAAACATAATCGTCAAACAAAATTTGAAATCATCGTAAGCTCAAATCATATTTACTACAACATTTACATTTTCCAAATAAGGAGCAGATTGAGCTGAAAGAATGGTGCTTTTGTCTTCGGCTGGTGTTAGACATAAGGACTGTAATTTGTGGACCATGCATTTGTTTGAAATCGTTTCAAATCACAGTTCTTACAAGTAAACAAGAATTTTTTATACTTCTGTCTATTGATGTGAATGGAGGGCCGTCGTTGCCCGACACCAACCCTTTCATATCAATATAAAAGTCCTTTTTTTCCATGAAAACTGAATGTATATTTTAGTTGTTGTCGTTCTTTGATATTTACCTCTATTTTCGGCTATTTTGCCTTCGCTGCAGACGTCATACCACCTGTTTCCTCTAACAGGAAAAAGAGGAAGGAGGATAGAAAATATACGTGCTTTGTGTTTGTAAGTGGCTTCCCTGTGTGGTTACATTCGTCATTATTCAAAGTTGGGCCGTTGTCTTGCAAAACCGTGTCCTAAACCACCTTTGACTATGCCAAACCGTGTTTTGTCGCTGTAAATGTAACTTTTTGTGAACAACTTTAATAGGATACATAGCCACAAGTAAGTCTTGCTAAACATTTATGTACAGTGCGCACTGTATACTTCACAACACCTACTTAGAAAGAAACGTCGATGTGTACTGATTCTCTAAAAACCGTAAGTTCAGTTAGACTTCATTGTAATAGCCGGCCTGTGAATTATAATACCATATGCTAACCCTACATATACATTCAACTCGTTGACAAAATATAAAGAAGCGATCATTCGTAAGATTGTGGCTCACGCAATTGCCATCTGTTTATCTAAACAATACTTCAGAATCATTAGCCGTAACGACTATAACCAGATGCCGGCCTTATGAGGAATGATTCAGCGATTCTGTACGCCCACATCTTATTTTTCATTTAGAGCACGTGTTCAAGGCTGAACGATTTCTTTTGTTTTCAATTCGGTAAAAAAAAAAAAAAAAAGAAAAACCCTGACCGCATAAGTGGAAGCACCCAGTCAGGGAAATTCGACAAACAAGATAAACATGACTTTGAATTCCACAACTTGGTTAACAACCAAAATAGGGTCGAGTATAGTATGACTCATGTATCTTGAGGTAAACGTTTCACATCCCGGAGGAAAAAAGTTCGATTCGTTCGTGCTCACAGGCGTATCCACGCATTTACCGTTTCGTTTTCTTCCACTTACAATGGCCTATTCACCGATTGAAACACCTAAAATATACGAGATTGGATTTTAAAAGCTTATCTTATCTTACTCACTACAAAACTAATTAATGTTCAGCATTTGTGATAAATGTTTTTGATAATTTAGTCACGGTAGACGGTGATTGTTTATAATAATGGAAATTTTCACTTTCTGTTTTTTCGTATTTGTATGTCGTACACGTCGACGTCGTCCAGGTTTACTTTTGGTATTTGTGTCGCTAGAGGTTCCGACATTTCTTACGAAGCACACAAAGCAAGAGTTTAGAATAACTAAACCCTTGTCAATTGGCATTATTTGAAAAAAATCTCATGGTAAATATGGCGAATAGTGAGAATGCCCGCTGCTTTTGACATTGGTTGTTTTCCGCTGTGATCTGTTAGTTTCCTTAATTTGTGAAAATTCATTAGTTTGCGACTAAGTATCTCAAAACCTTCTCGGTTAAGATTCCTCTAGCTTGCGACTAATGCAAGCTACCGCCAAGATACGCTTGACAGCTTCACGGTTATTAAGCAGAACTCGTGTTATGCAGTTCAGTATTCGATATTAGAATAGCCTATGCCATACCAAGTATGGTGATATTGTAGGTCAGGATTTGATCGCCGACAGGTGATTCCCACCTGTATCTCTGATGGTTTCAAGGTAAATTTCTCCGCGACACTCTGTCTTGGAAAGATGGATACTTTTCTTTGCTGCCTCTTGTTTGCAAAACTTAATCGAAAATTATCCTGGGGAACAGAGACGGACAACCTGCAGTAAAAGGCCACAGAAAGAGACAGAAAGGAACAATAACCAATAAAATTAGACAAAACAAAAAGCAAAATAGAAAGAAAGAAATACCGAAAATCTGTCGAAGTGTGCTCCTAACGAAGAGACAAGAAAAAAGGTACGACGAAGCACTATAAAACTATTCGTTTACATGAGCTAAGTCTGCAATTTAAGAGTTACCATACCTGAGACTGTTAAAATTTGCTTAATGTTGTGTTCAATATAGCTGCATTCACTGTGTACGTTTGTAAAATATATTTAACACTCAAACGCCAAGACGTACTACGTAGGGGGGTAAGCTTATAATTTGTGGAAAAATGTTATCACATGGTGATAATCCGTGGATTATTAACTGGCTTGTATAGGTGTATCAGGAGAATCTATGGTGATATTTCATTTACAAATATGTGTAGAAATGACATGCTTTGAAGTTTGGCGTCTCATTTTGTTGCATTTTCAACGAAAGAAAGATTGGCTGGTCAATTTTTTTTCTCGCTTGTATTTTCAGTGCCACTATTGCTAGTGAAATTATAATTGAAATGTCGATTTAACTTTGCCAATTATCTGGCTTTCTTGCGTTGATGGATTTATTACTTGGTAATAAAAAGAAAACCAAAGACGAAAAATTAATTAGGATGTCTATGTTATATGCAAATATTGGTTTATGCAGCCGCTCTTTTGGTATGGCTACCTTACGACCTTGCGGTCAATATATATGTCAAAGGAGCACGAAGTGCAGCGCTGAGAGCAGTTCGCTTTGGAGTGCTTGTGAATAAATTTCATGGAAGCTAGGCGTAAAGAAAGTTCATAGTACTAAAATCAGTTGCATAAATTGGTTGTGTAAATCAGCATTGAAGAAATTTTACTCGAAAAAAGAGTCAACGTGGTGAAAGAAAAAATGTACACAAAGCTTAAGAGAAAGGTTGAGCTTGTTTACAAATGCACTTAACATAATAATCTCAACCGAGATGACGTTCTCAGTCGTCATTGCTTCAAACTGAAAATTGTGTTCTTTGTTTGAGATGGTTGTAGGACACCTAGCCGACTTAATACTCGGTATCAACATTCAGAAGGAATGAAAAAGAAATAATTCTTTACTCTCAAACAAATTACCATGATAGCTTTTTAGGCAGGGGTATTGATTAAAGCGGAAATCTGTCCCAACTTGTTTGCTTGCTGCTCGACATTAAAAAGACTCAATGTTTTTATTGTTGTTATGTGTGGTGAAGTTATTAGCTCTTTCTCGTCTTTTTTGTTTTCAGCAACGGCATGCTTTGTTACAAAGGCCGATATTAATTGCTGGGCATTTTTAATAACAATTCAAAACATAAGCATTTTTTCTAAGTGCAAGTCTGTCACAAAATGAAATTTCACCGTCTAAATAATTTTGCCCGATTCATAGACAAAAATGAAATATACTTTTTAACGGTAGGAGAGGAAACGAACCAGTGTCATGTTAATTGTTGCTCAATTTAAAGCGTTAATTAGAATGCTAGTTGAATGGTAACAGCTAAGTGAAGCTTTTTAGCACCAACCGTGGGAGATCACAAAAGCTGTTCACGGTTGTTCTTTCAGATACTCTTTCGTCTACGTCTAATTTCCTTAGGGTAGGTAGCAGTTTTCATGTGCTGACGATAAAGCAGTTTCATGAGACTCTACGAAACCCCATGTACAATCTTTCAACGTTTCTTTCAATGTTGTTCAATGTTGCATTGTTTTTCCCTCTCTGAATTTTAGGATAAGATTTGGTAGTCGAATTGCTTACAAAACTAATTGAAATTCCGATCGATTTTGGACGGCGCGATAAACTATGAGACTGACCGCGCTAACCTCGTAATACAAAGTTGGAAAACTATCAGGACCTTCTGTGCGCTCAAAATTTTACATAGCGCAGCTTTTTGTACATTTTTGTGCAGTAACCAAGAGAATGCTTCAGATAACTTGGTTATTGACCGCGCGGCATGAACCTCTGCAGGTTTCCTAAAACCTATAACAAGTGTAGAAATTATTGTTAGGGACAAGGCTGTGCAAAGTGGTGTTTCAGTGGTCGCCGAATTTGAGATTACTGATCGTAATTCGTTTGTGAAAGAGGAATTCAAAGTGAACACCAAACTGTGTTGTTGATACTTACATACGCTTGCGATGAAAGTTCTTGAGCTCGTTGCTTTCCAATTCTTCCGTTGTCGCTGAAAAATCGTGCTAATTTGCTTAACACTTCCCTTAGTCTTAAGGAACTTACAGAAAAGTAAAATTCCTTTTTTTTTTTCCGCAGTAAACGTCCTTCAATAGAAATAATTTCTACCAACACACGGACTCGCTCAGATGGTTATAAATATTAGGCTCCAAAGTGTCTACTGGTTTGTTTCTGTCATTATTGGTCAGTACATCGCGAACAAAGAACTCGGTAAAGCGTAAACTTGGTAGTCCAAGGCGGCCATTTATAACCTTCCAAATTACTCGTTAATCGCTTTTTATGGTAAACTGTCAATCCTACTGTGTTTTTGGTCTATGCAAATTGTTTTAAGTAATAGGTATAGAGGCGATTAGGAAGGTGTTTTGTTGCCGGAAATATTAATTCGAAAGTTTTGTACTCATATTGAAAATGCAAACGAACAATTTGAATTTGGTTGATTGAAGTTTCACGAAGCTATAGGTTTCCAAATTATACTTGAAAAGTTGGGCGTGATTGAGTGTCGTTTATCTTTCAGTGTCGTCTGACAACATGCAGTTCCTTACCAAAATAACTTACAAAGTTAAACGACGATTTTCGTAAGCGCATTGAGACTTTTCTCTATCGAAATTAATTAAGAATAAAAATTCATCTGTGCCTACCGCTGCTCCGCTTGGCCGAGCAATCATTGTGTGCTTGTGTTTTTAAAGTTGTTTTTACTTCTCGCTGATTGAATGGCCCGCACGACAAACCCAATAATCGTTATTCATCGCGTTGCTATTAAAAAGCAGGCTGTTTTAACGATACTTACATTGAAAATTAATTACAGCAGTGTTTCTGAACATGAAAAGCACAATACACAGAACTTACTTTGAGTTATTGGCTAACAAAGCCCGGATTAACATAACAACCTACCTAGTTACTGTTTCGTGGCCTCTTTCCCTTTTGCTTCACCCGCTGATTGCGAGTCCTTAATGTGCATGTCAACAAACAAATCGATCTTGTAGCTCGGGGGTTTTCTTTTTGTTTCAAATGACCTTGAAAGCTAAACATACATAGTTAGTCACAAGCAGTCACGAGCATATGACGTTGTTGCTTGCAGCTGACTACAGCCCCCGGGATATGTATTCAATAGTCCCCCGTAACTTGCGTGGACACTAATTGCCGCGAACTGATTGGCCGATTTCGGCCGCGGCAAAGTCATATTTAGAAACAGAAACATAGTTCATTGAACCTCGAATTGTCCTCTTTTGTTATAAACCAGCGAACTGGAAGCCGGTCACGTTTTGGTAATGTCTTCCTCGAAAATCATTTTTTATATAGGTTCGTTGACTTCAATCTCTTAAACTTGAGAGTACAGTACTAATGATATATTATAATATATTACTGCATGGCTTTTGTTACTAACGTCTCCAAGAGCCTTCTAGTATTATTATGGTAATCAAGGTGACACGAGGCCTGAGTAGGTGCCATTAGATTCTCACTATGAGGCAGTTGTTGTGCTTGTGGAATCTCCTCTTAACAGCAACAACAGTTATAATTTTGAATATTATTTCGAGGCTTATAGAACCTGTGATGTTATTAATAGCTCAGACGTGGTATATGAAGTTGGTTGTTTTCTTTTCGTCAAGAATTTGACAAGGATGCTCTAGAATTTCTTAGCCGTGAACTTTTCATAACTTTGCACCTGTGAGTGGTATATTTTTAAGTTATGATCAAAATTTTGTCTCGACTCGTTTTTGATTTCCTGTTGAGATGTTGCTCAGTTAAGATTGTAAACCGACAGTTTCTGTTCTATTTTACGTGCTGAATTAACTCGATTAATTCTGATTAATTTGTAATTCGCTTTGTGAAGCTAATATTTATTGTGATTTCCAAAGACCAACCATGTCAGCCATATCATCTGTGTGTTCAAATGATACTGAAATAATGCAGTCTTTTCGGCTTGACGTCTTTCAAATTCATAACAAAAGATACCCCCTAATTCGTCTCCTTTCCAAAAAAGATACCTTTGTAGCTCAACTACAGAACGTTGGTCTATTGTAGTTACGACAAATGAATAAAGGGGGTAAGTTTCTAAAGAAAATACGATGCTGCGTCAATCAGAGCTCGGACTAAGGGCTAATTAACGCTTGAACGTCATCTTAAGAAACTCTTTACGGTAGGCAATTTATTTTAGCAACTCAGTGGATAGCACTTAAGTTCACAAGGTATGTACGCCGTTACGATTCTTTTCTGGTGATCAAAGTACGGCTTGGCTCAACTAGGCATAATTTTGAAATTAACATTTAGGCAATGCACTTTTAACCTCTTCTGTCCAACAAGGAAAATAACGCTAATTAATTTCAATTGAGAATGTTTTCAGCTTTGAAGGGTTAGAAGCGTTTACAATTAAACAGTGTTTCTCGACAAAGGTCATTTTATGATTACAGAGGTACATTTAATCTCAATTGAAGACTTTTACAGTAGTAACCAGCTGTTCTTTATCTTTCAAATTTTTTCATCGAAAGTTGGTTTAATATCTTTTGGAGAAGTACTATACGGAAAATGTTTTGGATACTGTTTACAGTAACAATTTAATGACACAAAAATATGAACAAGGTCGTGTATCTGGGCTTGTACAAACTTTTTACCGAAAGTAGCCATGTACAGAGCTTTTAAAAAGCAACCCAAGCTAATTGTGTACTTCATATTGAACTTTATAAACCTTCCTAAGCTAATATCTTTTAGGCATTTGACATGACAAACTATCCATGGAATGCAGACGTCACTCATAGTCTACGACATTGCGTGAGTTGAGCGATGACATGGAAACATTTTAAGGGAGGCATGAACGGTGGATACGTGACAGAGGGGGTGGAATCTAGAGGTGTCCAGAAACAGCTCAGATTTAAGCCGGATCTTTTGTTCACTCTCTCATCCATGTTCGGCTCTCACTAAAAGAAACTGTTACTTCAAAAAATTAAAATAAAGGTTGAATGTGTTGTGTTCTTTTGAATCAAATCAATGGTGTTCAAACGTTTTGAATTGTGAAATTAAAAACATGGATGCCTTGCATTCATCCATAAAGAATATTGCACACAAGAAAATTTAAATGAGAAACTGATGGAAATAACTTTTGCTTTTAAAATGGAGCCGCTACGAATGCCAATCAATACTACAAAATGTTTTTAGCAAACGAAAAGAACTTGTTTCGCTCAAAGTTTCCCTAGTGGGCACTGATGACGGTCGATTCAATCAGGTTTTGATGTTATGTCACGCGATCGGTTTTGTTGTCATGCATCTTTTTCGTGGGCATTTGCTGATCGAAGGGGGGGAAAAACATCTGTAAATATAATTGAATACGAACGAAAGTTGTGAATTGCTCATGGATTATTATCGTAGCGAAAGCTATATTACTTTGATATCCTTACAATAATACGTTGTTGCAGTGGAAAGGTAATGGATGATTTCGTGGTTTCGTGTGTGTGTGACCGTTTTCTGTTTCCGGTTCCGGTTAGGAACTCCCGCACAAGAAAGCGAAGCAGCAATTGAGGTAAAAACAGTGTTTCGGATACGTCTGTGATATGAATTGTAAACCACATGGAGGGAAATTGAAAGAATAATTTATTTTTCAATTAGCTTTATCTTTGTTTTTCTTCGCAAAATGGCAGAAATAGAAGAATTAATTTCGATAAAAATGTGCAGGTAATAACAATCGCACTAAATGAAAGTATTGTACTTCCACTTGATCATTCAAAGAAACACAACCAAAGCTCAACACCAGTAACGAATACACTGATATTTGACAAACACTTCTGCAATTAACCGTTAAAACAGAATTTTACAACATGAGCCATATTTGACATAATTTGAATTTACAACTAATATCGCATACGAAATTAAACCCTGTGTAAACAAGGTTGAGAGTTTCTCTTTAACCAGTTCTCAAAACAATTCTTTCAGTTCAAATAAACTCGCCGCTGAATACCGTTATAATTTGATTTTTGTTGCTATTCGTTTTCAGCCTTTTAACTTCTCTCGACAGTAACAAATTAGGGCCAGGCTTGAGTGAAACAAGGAAAAAACTTACCAAAATTCACGTGAGAAACATCTCTCTCCCAGACGGCGATTTTCCTTGTTTATCAAGCTTGGTGCCGAGATGTAAACCGTTGCTTGACCAGTGTTTTTTGTTTCTTTAAAATTGAGGACCTTCTCGAAACTCGGACGAGCCAATTTTGTTAAGCCTTAATCTTGACTTATCGGCTTAAAGCTTGTGTTTTCAAACAACCGTGGTCCTTTTTTTATCAATCCTTACGTGCGTCACTTGATGCGGGTCATTTCCGCCGCCCCCTGTGACGTACGTACGCGTCACGCAACGACAGGTGTGCTTCTTTGAGTGGCTTTATATTGTAGTTTTTTTTGGCTATATATTGTTTCTAAGGAGGAACGTTACCAATTTTTAAATTTACGTTCCCTTGTAAAAACTTCACTCTGGGGGCCTTTTTTTAAATCTTGTTGCCACTCAAAAGGATTAGTTCAGCATAAACGTGAGTTCAACTCGATTAACCTGAAACCCTAAAAAAAGAAACTACAAGTGTAGGCTTCAAATCACGTACAAATCAATGACTGAGTCACGAAAAGCTATATTCTAATTGAAAAGCAGGCTACAAATGCATCTTCCACATCAGTGAAGTTTGTGTAAGCAAAAACAGTAGCTATTCAGAACTTTTAGATGGTGAGAGAAACACAGTAAAAAAAATCAGAATTTTGGTCCCTTATATTTACTAAAGTGAAGTTCTTCTGTTGATTTAACTTTGTGTGGACAAGTTGACAAGCGTGAAATTGACATCCGGCAACGAAATGAACATATGAAATTTAATCTTTAACGGCATGGCTTCTGGCAAGACTTATTTTTATTTTGTTGATCCCCTCTGAATGGACTCAAGGTCACTAAGAATTGCTGAAAACTTGAGAATGCCAGTCAACAACGAGGTCATATTGAATCACTGAATCGGAAGCTGGATAAATATTGATGTTCAAGTCGTATTTTTTCAGACTTTTCGTCTATAAGGTTTAACCGGTCCTTAATATGACTCATGCTAATAAATTTCTGTTTCAGATGACCTTATTATTGTAAATAACCGTCTCAGCTCTTCAATTGAGCAAAGAACATAACGCGAACGTCAGGAGAGCGTGTAGCTGATACAGTCAGAATGTTCTTACCGATGGTGTGTGCCGATTTTGATCCATAAATTGTAAAGATAAAGAGATAAATTAGGCGAGAACACCTGTGAGGCAGATAAATTCGAATCATCTACTATTGCGTTTGTCACAATGTGAGACACTTTGCACTTGAGATAAGCTATCAATTTGTAGACCTCTACGATAGAAAATTAAAGCTTAACTATTTGGGATATAGCGAAGAAAGATGGGTGATTTTATGCTTCAAGGTAAAAACGAAATAAAACTTGAACAAAATGTTGATTTCAATCTTTCACGAACCCTGAAAAATGTGACTTGCAGACGAGAGTGAATATCACGTACAGGACCTAGGCATACCGATGGTGGCTCGCTTCAAATCATGACAAAATGGTTAATTCTTATCTTGTTCCCCTTACCTTCCTAATGGTGTTCATGTGCTGAGCAAAAACCCTAATATTCCATTATGGTTTGACGTATTTAGGTCCAGAACGTATTTGTCCTTTTAGTCTTGACCACATTAAGCTTAGATGCATTTCCATTGTTCAGTTTAGGCACTATAATAGCACTTAAATCAGGTCACCGCGTTTTGGCATGAACACCTGTTTTGCAGGTTATTTTTAACCACATTTTTAAGATTCACTTATTAATAAGCCACGTTTGATATTGATCAAAGGATGGTTTCCAGTCGGTCTGGCGACTTTGTTTGGAATTTTGAAACGTTTGCAAAATAAACCTTGCAAGGTCACTGAACTGCCACGTTATACAATTAATTCGGCTGATTAACACCCGACGGTCAATTACCGAAGGGCGCTGGCTCAAAGGAAAACGTGAGAGGAATTAATAGAAGCAGACAAATATTTTGTTAGCTTTTGAACTGACATCCAAAGAGATTATTTTGCCAGCGTCTAATAAATTATACCACATAACCTTACAATTTTGGCAAGCCCCCTTTTTTGAGAGTAAACTTGTAAGAATTGACATTATCGATTCAGGAACTAAAAACTTATTGCATGCAGTTTTCCAGTTTTCAGTCTTTATCTTTAACGCTAACATCATACAACTAAATCAAAAGGAATAATTAGAGA